CCTTCTCCACTTAGGTGCCTGGAACATGTAGACCTCGTCGTCGCAGTTGATGAGCTTGGTAAGTGCTGTTTGGCAAATAGGGGATAGTGTCGACAAATAGTCTGAGTGGGAATCGTCCTCGTAAAAGTAGAATCCCGTGAAGTTACGCTTTCCGATAACGTCGTCTGCCTTGCGGAACCATCCAAGCAAAGAGGATATGAAGCCATTCTTTGTGTCCTTGGCATAAGTCGCAGTCTCCCCAAGCGGGCTGATTGACTGGACAATTGCCTTGGTAACAAGATTGACGATCCAAATGTCGCTACTCTGCTCAACGTAGAAAGCTTTGTCTTGGCAGTCGTTCGAGTTCAAGCAGTCTTGAGAATATGAATTGAACCAACTGTAAATACCTGTAAAGGTTAGCAATAGCGCGAGTCAAGGCCGAAGAAGATGGTACACACCTGCACCGAGCATATATATCGATTCCGAATTGAGCATTCTCACAGCCCACGAACTTGTGCATGTTTTGCAGTCACCAGTTTCTGGGTCATCGGGGAACTTGCCCAGTTTGAAGGGCTCAGGCATTGGAGGCGTGGGTTGGAAGTAGGGGGACTCGGTTTGTATCATTCCCATCACCAAATTTTTGGCCCTCGATAATTGGTACTGATACATGACACTGTGCTCTGAAGCTGTGCCATACATCCAGGTAGGTCCCTGACTTTCGATTAGAATACCGCGTGCCACGTAAATGTCCACTTGGTCCTGAGACACCTTGTCAAGGTCATGGTCCGCGACCCAAGCCCAAAGGTTCTCCATGTAAGCCGAAGCCGATTTTGTGACATGAAGCATAAGTGACGCGCCGATACAGTTTTTGTTTATAGTTGATGCTTTTTTGGGACATTTGTCGGACTGGAGCTGGGAACCAACAGCTCCGCCTACGCGGAAGTGAGAATCTGGGTTCGTTAGCCTTTTCGTACGCAGATGCAAAGATTCGACAAAAGATTGCGCATCAGGAAAAGGAAATGCTTACCCCAAAGACCTGCAGAGCCTTGTGTAGACTCGTGGACATTCCATTCCATCAGAACAGCACCAGCTGTGGACCCAGACGCCGTGAACATCATGTTTTGGATTTCAATGATACCAACATCACCCTCTTTACCCACTTGGACCGCAACATGGGGATTCTCGGCATCTTCAAACTTGCTGCCTGTCGCCATAATCTGCGGCCAAACCTGTCCGACAATCCGGGAACCAAGCGGAACACGTAGAGTATCTTTAATCACGTAGATACCGTAGGGGAAGTACACGATGGAAGACATATTCGCAGCAGTGGAGAGGATACTGTTTAGAGCTGCTGTATCATCCGTGGTGCCATCACCTTTAGCACCATATGCTTTGACATCGAAGACCTGACCCCCGTTGAGACTAAAGTACTGAGGACGACGACGGGCAAAGAAATTCGAGGTCCCTTTGACATATGACTGGCTGCCTGTGAGTATCTTCTTCCGCTCCAAGGCTGGCAGTTGCTGCTGTTGTGCGAAATGAAGTCCAGTATCGTCATGGTAGAGTCCGAATCCCCAGGAATCAACGAGGACCTCATCTCCTCCAGATAGGAGAGGCTCAGTAGTAGTGTCGGATATAACTGCGTCCTTCACATTGAAAAATCCCACATTCTGTAGCAAGACTGCCGTAGAGTCATCTGCATATAACGATGTGAGGATTCCTGTTGGCGTGTTGGCGATGATGGCATCCACCAAGATGTACGAGCCAACTGATTGACCAGTACTGGCCACACCTCCGGCCTAAACTAGAATTCAGATACAATTTCTCAGACTTGACATGTTAAGGAACTTACACCACCAGTCACTACAATTCCGCGTCCACATGACTCGATCACAACGTCTTGCATTGTCCAAGCCCAGTCCCAGTGGACCTGCACTGCAGTTTTGCAATTCACAAAGACAAGTTGGCTGGTCGTGAATTGTTGGTTTCCAAGATAGGCACTGTCGTGCAAGATGTGTCAGTTTCACACCTTTCGCAACAATTGTCCAGTGGGGAACAACATACCCAAAGTTTCCACCAACAAATGTCAGGTTGCTCATGAAACCCCCGCTTCCGTTTTCCATATAGACACCCTTCTCTGTCAATACTTGAATTTCTCGATCGGTAGATTTCGATATACCTGCTGGGTGTTTCCATCTGCCTGAGACATGTAGAACTCAATGTTCTCGAGAGTTGTTCCTTGGGCGACTTGCCAATGAATGGCACACACATATGCACCGGGATCTGTGCGAGTAATGTCCATTTTGAAATTACGCACATTGCGAAGAAAGTTATTCGTGTTCAAGTACCTGTTAAACCTTGCGTTAGAAGGATAATTTCTCAGTTTATTCTGCAATTTGTACTGACCATTGTTCCTGGTCACCAACGTAGACGTCAGAGGTGATGACGCCCAAGCCAACAAAACTTGCAGCAGCCAAGATCGTCGGGTAATCAGCAGGCTGGGTGATATTAGATTAGATGCCAATTCTTTAAAGTGGATGGGGTCAGCATACATCTCCTAGGAATTGCGTGTTTGAGTATTGAATAATTGGACTGCTGACGAGATACGTTCCAGGAGGAAAGAATACAACTGCCGGGAATCTTGTGCTTGAACCGCAGTCCGCTCCACAACGACCTCCTTCGGAGATGGCTTTATTGATGGCAGCTTTGCGGTGTCAACATGTCAGCTTATGTTTTGATAGCTTCCAAGCATTGTTTGGCATTCATCTTACCCGTGTCGTCAGTCACACCATCACCTTTGGCGCCGTATTCCTTCACATTCCTCCAGACCTAAGATTTGAAGAGTTAGATAGATAGAGCGGCAGTTTCAATTGAAATTATTTACCTTGTATCCTGCAGGGGCAAATGGGCTAGCACCATTCTGTTGCAGGTTAGCCAGCCAATAGTCAGATCCAGTGGTGGCCCTCTTTCTGAGAGTGGTATTCTTGCTTTCCGAGTCAGAATGAAGTACTGTCTGATCAGCCGAGGCGTACTCAAGTAGTCCGTTCGGGTGCTGAAGTCGCTGTTGGGGACGGTTGGTATCGTTCGACTTGGATCTATATTTGGCATGCATTTTCGCAGCCAACATTGCTTCCTCTCCAGTAGAGGCAGTGGGTGGTACAGACTCTGCTAGTATCTTTGCCGCATCTGCGAGATCCTTAGGAATTGTGTATACAAAGCTGCTTCTGTTTTTGCCGCTTTCTCCACGTTTTCCTTTGGTCTCAGATTCAGACGAATTGTGATGGGAGGCAAGCCGAGAGACAGTACCCGCAGAATAATCTAATGGAGGCCCATTGATTCTTTCTCCGGTGACCTGCTCTGAAGTGGCTATGGCATATTTGTTGAATTTCACATTCTCAACTCTTAGCTTATTCACGACAGCCAGGCCCTTGAGAGCCTCGGAAACTTTGAGGGCGGCATCAGAGGCCCCAAAGTGAGGAACACCCGATGCTGAAGACGAGTAGCTGGAAGCAGCGACTGAAGGAGAGGGATGATTTTCACGGTTGAAATGGCGATGCAGATGCTCATGGCCATGGTGCGCATGGCTTGCCAATATGCCAGTGACCTGACATAATATCAGCAACCAGCATAGGACACGATCTGCCACGGCCATCTTGTTGAGAGAAGTGATCCAAGTTACTCTAAGTCAAGGCGCACCCTAAATAGAGAATTTCCAGGAAATAAGAGCATGGGCTTTACGCAAAATCGAAACCTTAGGTAACTCAAAAAAGTTAGGCAACGTACCAATATTTTTGTTCCAGATCCGGATTAATCTCCGGTGAGGTGGCTCTAGTTGCACATGGTAACATCGCGTGGAATAGTTCGAAAGGAACTCACTCAAGTCCAAGACCCTGTTGATCCATGCCAAGCGTTTAGCGCTTGTAGTTCTTCCGGGCAGAACCGACCGCTATACCCGGACGGCAACTAGCCCAATCTTGGCAGGGGCCAAGTAGATCGGTTACAGCCCGAAGGCTTGGCGGAGACCAGGAGGGCTATTGTTTCTGTTCCTTGCCAAGGTTCCCGGTTAATCAATTTCAGAGCCTCGACGCGCTTGGCCATCTCCGAGAAGGATTTTGAACAACTTCAATGTAACGAAGATGGAGTACTAAGGATTAAGCTTCCCACTGAATGCAAATTAGGAAAGGAAAAATTTTCAAGTCATACAAATCAGGCTAGATGCAATTTACCAATGTCTTAAAGCTCAACGACCCAAAGCTATACCAATTTGTTAGCTTCTGAGGAGGGTATAAGATCCTTTACTCCTTCATTTCCGCTCAGTGAGAGCACGAGCTGTGTATTCCTGATGTCGGGGAAGTATTTACTAACACTCAGCATACTGCTCTGTGCATTGGCACTGCTGGTCCTGGGACAGGATTGCAGTGCAAGCAAGCATTGCGCTACAGGATGCTGGTATGTATGATTGCTCTGTAAATTGGGAAATGGCCACTGATCATTCATGAAAATTAGCTCAAAGTCCGGCTTTTGTGGAACTACTCCAGAGCACTGTGGTGACGGTTGTCTTTCGACCTGTGACTATAAACTCGGATGTGACGCAAAGAACCCTTGCGAGGAAGGCTGCTGGTAAGTCTTGTTGGTCATTTTGGATAAACTTGTTGGCAGCTAATTGAGATCAGTAATAATTTCGGCTTCTGTGGACATGGCCCAGACTTTTGTGGCAAGAAAGTCTGTGTATCTGGCTGCGAGCGCAAATCAGAATGTGACCCTGGCTTTGGAGGTGAATGGGCAGAGAGTAAATCGTGCCCACTCAACGTCTGCTGTTCAGATTTCGTATGTTGCTCGAATAAGGTCTCAAAGATTTGGGCCATGCTGACCTTGTGTGGGTTTAGGGTTACTGCGGAACCACGAAAGAATTTGTGAAGCTCACCCTGATATCATTACATTTCGAATATTGGCTAACACCATATTGCTTTTAGTGTGGCAACAAGACTGTGAAGCACGAGACTTGCTCCAAAGATCGATACATGTCCAGGGTCGTCGGTTATTACGAAGGATGGTCTACCCGGCGTCCCTGCCATGACTTCTGGCCCGAACAGATTCCTCTCGGCATCTACAGCCACATCAACTTCGCATTCGCCACCATTGATCCAAAGACATTCAAGGTGGGGCCGCCTGACGACCGGGATGTAGAATTATATCGCCGGTTGACTTCCCTGAAAACCTACGACAAAGACCTCAAAGTGATGATTGCCATCGGAGGATGGACGTTCAACGACCCTGGTCCAACTGCCACAGTGTTTTCGGAGCTCGCAGCATCAGAAGAGAAACAAGACAAGTTCATTGCTTCGTTGATTTCGTTCATGTCCACCCATGATTTCGACGGTATAGATCTCGACTGGGAATATCCCGAAGCCGATGACCGCAACGGAAAGCCAGAGGACTTCAAAAATTTCCCTAAGTTCATGGCCAGACTGAAAACCGAGTTGAAAAAAACACCTGGGCGAAGTGAGCTTTCGATCACGCTACCAGCATCATATTGGTATCTCCAGCACTTTGACCTCAAAGGCCTGGCTAAGCACGTTTCATTTTTCAACATCATGTCCTACGATATGCATGGCACCTGGGATCAAGGCAACAGATGGACAGGTGCTTTCTTGAACCCTCACACCAACTTGACGGAAATCAAATCCGCTCTGGAACTGCTTTGGCGGAACGACGTGGAAGGAGATCAGGTTGTCATGGGGCTCGCATTTTATGGACGATCTTACACGACCCAAGGGTGTGTGGAGCCTGGATGTGTGTATGCCTCCGGGGGTCTTCCAGGTCCATGCAGCAAAGAGGCAGGAATTCTTCTCAACAACGAGATCATGGATATCATCGACGAGAAAAAGTTGAAGCCAAAGCTCTACAAAGAGGCCGCAGTCAAAGTTGTCACTTGGGATGATCAGTGGGTTTCCATGGATGATCGAGAGACCCTAGCCATGAAAGCCCAATTTGCCCGTGAACAGTGTCTCAGCGGAGTTATGGTGTGGGCGATCAGCCATGACACGCCCGCGGCAAACTTCTCACGAGATCTGGCAAAGATCACTAACCGCCAAGTCTTAATGCAGAGAGACCAGGTTGACTCTGACATCATCACAGAGAAGACGAACCACAACCAGTGTCGATGGTCCAACTGTGGAAGGCCCTGTCCTGGAGGATGGAAAATGTCCCAAAGAATCGACGACTGGAAGACTGGAAGCCCAGAATATATGATGGATGACACGCACTGTAACGGCTTGGGCACACGCTCATGGTGTTGTCCTCCTGATGCCAAGTTGCCAAAGTGTGGCTGGTATAGCTTCAACGACGGTAACTGTCAGTCTGGGTGTCCGAGTGGGATGACTGAGATTGGTACGACAACAAATGGATGCAAAGACAGGTACCCTCCAGAATACCAGTCAGCATGTTGCACAGTGGAAGACGATTCCAAAAAAGAGCTGAGCAGCATGGCGCTTTACAACACCTGCGAATGGGGCAAGTTCCCTGAGTGCGGTGATGGCAAGTGCTCCGGGTCAAAGAGCTCCCTTCTCGGTGAATCTGGTCAAGGTAGCGGTGACCCAAACTGCTATGCCGGAGACGTTTAGGGGAAGCACTGGCCAAGACACTGTCACTCACTGCGCAAGTATTGTTGCAATACGGAGTCGAAAAGCAAGCGATTCAAGAACTGCAACTGGCGCAACAACGTGGGCTTACGCTTGGACGGTCAAGGGTGTGTATCTGGATGTGATGAAAATCAGGTACGTGTGGCGATGGATGGTTGGAACGAAGGATGTTACCACTCCGGTGCTCGAGCATACTGTTGCGATACCGTCAGCTACACCGAGACCTCACGTGTATCCGATGAATTGCAAGAGTTTTCGGATGCACTCATTGACTGGACAACCAACTACGTATGTGCGGAGAGCTACCCTGAGACACCTCGTACATCTGAAGCCAATTCCCTGAGTGTCCGCGAGGATAAATGCGAGGTTATCGCAACTCGTTTCCTGGTCGTTCACTTGGTTGCAATCTTCTCAGGTTACCAACAGGGTCAGGACGATCACTGGCATCGTCTGGTCAACGCTTGGAACAACATTGCAGGGCATCTTTTCGAGAACCTGAACACCGCCACGATGCTTCCTAGCCTTTTCTCGGGTAAGACTATGCCAGAGTTCCTACGAGATGGTTATAAGAAGACCGCGACATCCATCTACCTCAACCCATCAGGATACAATCAGCTGTTCGGTAAAAAGCCCAGCGTGATTACATGCCACTAGGACCTATGCAACTATGGAGATGAATCGTGTGGCTCGACACTTGCCCGACGGGAGTCCACATGGAAACAAGAGGTTAGTCAATCATCAACTCTCTATGCTCCTCACTAATCACGCTTGAGATTGTAGCGAGATGTGCTTCACCACCTACAAAAAAGGGCCAATAGCAAGGTGCTTTATTTCGAGTGCGTGGATAAAGATGGCATCGACAGGCTGATACGATGGACGAGATTTGCTTATCCAGGGTCAAAGGACTGGTTGGAATTGAAGACTAAAGATGCAAAGAAGGACCCCAAAAAGAAAAAGGCGATCGATCAAACTGTGGATCTTGACACTTCCGATGATTGTGGAAATACTGCAGTGCGTCAACGAACGGCGACAACGCAGGAGCTTAACCCCGAAAAGCCCGATAGAGGCAAGGACCCAGAACCTGAGGTCAACAGTAAGTCATTTTTGCGCAACGTGAAGAACACAATCTGACGGGCTAAACCTTAGCGGATCACCCGTTAGAGGTGAAATTGATTCGCAGGTTCATAGAATGGGCCATCCTAAACTGCGCAAGTGTTGATTGTGACTTCCTCTTCAACTTCTTCATCAAAGATATCATTCCGAAAACTGCACCAAAAACCCCGGGTAGCAACCAGATACTTCAAAAGCCCATTGATCGGATTATGGAGCAAATTGGAAGCAAGAGCAACTTCGATGTGTTCCGGCTGATGGCTCGAAGTTTGAACAAATTGAAACGCGATGTCAGTGTTTCGAAGCCTTGATTGCGAGCTGGACTAACTGATCTTAGCTCTGGGATTTCGATAAACCCAAAAACGTGATGTTTGCTCAAAACGCTTGGCTCGAAATGGTCGCAAAGAAAGATCCAAGCCAGGCTTTGACCATGCTACGAAATGTGAGATCTGACGTCGCGGGTGTTTGTTTGCCAGCCAAAGCACTAATACTTACTCGTCACAGGTTATTGCCGTCTACAATTATCAGAATTCCGACGATATCTTCAAAAGAATTATCACCGTCTACCAGGCTATTCGTGAGGAGTTGACACGCACTTCTCTGGCGCACTTCCAGCTAGGGCATGACTTCATCGATTTGGTGAGTTGCTGGGATCGCTTCTTTGAAATCCAGCAGAACGAAATGGTCAAATTCGGAAAAGACTTTGTCGAGAACGGAATTGATCAAATGGCAGCTCGATGGGTTGGTGATTCAGAAATAAGCGACTCACTGCGAAAACGGCCCACGCAGTCCGAGAAACACTTCAAGCGTTGAAAGGGAAGATTGATGAGATTTATATGAACACCCCTGCCCCAAATTACCGACCCACCACTTACTAGGTATTTAGACCATATCTATGGATGTTGCATGGAGGCGCTGATGTATATTCATTTAAAAGACTTTGTCCAAGCCCCCTGAGATGGATAGTAGAAGAGGATCCTAAGTAGACTGAATGCCTAGGTAGACTCATCCCTGGAGCTTGACATACTCAGCTTCCGTAACGCTTGCTTTTCTCTTCACCTGCCCATCTGGAGAAGAAAGAAACATTTCCTTGATCTCGGTTGTCGTGGAATAGCCATCCGTGTAAACCTCCTGTGTATGGGGGGAATCCATTCCCCAATCTCCCCATTCGTGCTCTCCGGTCATAAGATCTTCACAATAGAGAGCAAATTTGAATAAACAGTCCAGATGAACTCGGACCATTCCTTGATAAAACTCCCCAGTGTCATCATCGGGGTCTTCGGGATCAAAACAACTGTCCACCGCGTTGACATAACCAACCATAGCTCCCGGCGGGTATGGGATAGATAGCGAACCCGGCTGCACAAGGACTGGTTGGACCGGCTCCGCACTAGCGAGAATGGATCGCACACAGCGGTCATCCAGCAAAAGACAATAATCCAGACGAGGAGTACCACCGCAAAAGCTAAGACCATGGCCTTTGACCCATTCTAAATGTTTTGTGCGAATTGTGGCTACCGACGCCCCCTCCAGGGCTGGGTCTTCAAAAATCACATTTCGGTAGCCATCTCGAATCATGCCGATAGTGTTGTACCCACTTCGAGCCCAAGAGAGCTCGAAGGTTGTTACGCCATTCAGACAGGACTGGTCAAGCTTCTCAATTGCTTTCGCCCAGTCTTTATCGGACGTATGCGTATAGGAGGTGCGAAAAATCGCCCAGCCCCACGGCCACCCCCCCGATTTCCCACACTGAAAGGATAGGAAAGGCGGTACAGAGGCCCAGTCTGGTCTTGCGCGTTGTCGTAAGATTCGCTGACCGATTGTTTCATTCGGCGGGAATTCGGAGTCAAATTCGGATGACTGCCATGGTGTAGACCATGACTTGTCATGGAAGATGCTGGGATTAGGCGCAGGCATGCAGTCGAATGGCTAACTGACGAGAATGTGAAAGATTTTCGATCTCTCTGTATTTGGTTGATGGTCGACCTGTTAAGAGAAATGGCAGGAGGGAGAGAGAAAGAGAAAGGAACGCTCATTGGTGATGTTCTTAAGCCCCGCGAACGGTACTAACTAGTTCGAGTTACTAAAAATACCATCTACGTTAAAAAAGAAAATGAATTATTTAATTTTCTGTTCAACCCTCACATTTCCACGACAACCGATTGTTTAAATCAATAGCTGCAAGTTTGCTTGCCGTTACCCTCATTTCTCACCACTATGGGCCTTGCCCTTATTCGGTTGACCAACTTGTAGGTCAGAACACCTTTGTCGCATATTGCAACATTGTTTAGGCAACCGCTCAGGTTTCTTTCTACGTAACTAAGTGTTGAGAAGACGGTCTGTCTATCCATGCCCACACATGACGACACACTGGTTGTAAGAATAATTAATGCCGTGCATAAAACGCATAACAGGAGCACTGAAGAGTGCCCCACAATCATACCTCCCAGGAGCCGGTGGGCCGCTTCCTAGGAGCATCAAGGCTATGTCCTAGGAGCCCTGTCGCTCCTAGGACCATGTCCTCACGATCCCAGGAGCCTGTAATGTTATTCACCTTACAATATCTCCAACTGAAACCGACGACATGTTTCGCGAAAGCTTCTGAAGCTTTCGAGTAGCAGACCAACCACGCATTGCACTCTCTGTGCTTGCTCCTAGAATAGCAACCCTTAGGCTAATAAAGAACGTTGTATGCCTCGGATTTCTAGCATATATAATAGCATTAGTGAACATCGGCTGGCATCCAGTCAAGAAGCAAAAAGGTGCTCGAAACACACGGACTGAGGCGTTTCCAATTTCGGTCTAGTGGCACTCTCAACCAGAGTAAGATATACGCTAACCATATCCAGCTACTTTCGTCGACAAGACCGGTGGGACAGCTAGTAGGGTTACCGAGTAGAGATTTACTAGTTATAGATATATTATAGAGGTGGAGATCTAATAGAACTGGCACGTCCGTACTTCCAGATACATAACTAGTTACTACGTCATCGTATTAGAATATCTTGTGATAAATTCTACCCTGCCATCAGCTGTCGCTACACGGTAAGATTGGGCTGGCCACATTTGTGCAGGTTGTGCAGCCCAGTACTCTAAGGTGCAGAAAGGAGTACCAGATAGCTCAATCATTCATTATATCCTCTCTTACTCGCCGAAACAGTGTCCACCTGGCCTTTTTGAAAATATTCAAAATGCTGAAACGCGATTTTTGCGCATCACTGTCATCTTTGGAAGGGGAGGCTGCCATTCGGTAATCAAGAAAATCTCATTATCTCCTTAAAGTGGGTATGTGAATTCACCGAAAGAATTAAAAGGAAGAGCGCGACACAAATTCTAGTGTCGCGCTCATTGCCCCATCCTGGGTCTCCAGTGTGTCCTTACTCTCCAGTGTGTCCTTACTCTCCGGTACATCCCTACTCTCCAGTTGTACCACTACGCCAAAGAGGTGGTCCAACTGCTGCTAAATCAAGGTGCCGAAGTGAACGCCCAGGGTGGAGAATACGGCAATGCACTTCAGGCAGCATCACGTTCGGGCCACAAAGAGATGGTCCAACTACTGCTAAATCAAGGTGCCGACGTGGACGCCCAGGGTGGCAAGGATGGCAATGCACGTAATATTGGGGGTGGATTGATTATTTATGGTGTGCTGTTTCATTGAGCATCCTACAGAGCACGCCTCCGTCTAGCTACAACTGGCTCTACTCACCGAGATTGATATAAATCATCAATCTAACCGAAGTCGAACGAACGGGAGCAAGCTGGGAGGAAAAGAAGAGAAAAGGAGGTTGAGGGAAGAGAGGAGGGTTGCTATATCTATATTGGTGGGAATCAATCACCTCTGATATGTGGATTTTATATCGCTAAGTCAAAAGAACATTTCATCAGATAGGTCGGAGTATAAAAAAAAGTCGCGTGTATCAAAATTTACTCCGTCCTCTTTCGTTTCTTAGGCGATTGCCGCCTAGGGCGCCAACAATGTGTGTCAACGAGATGGTAGGTAAGCTCCTCCAGGCTTCTAAAGCTTGTGGAGCAGGCTGGATGCTTGCAGTCGAAATCAAATTTGAGTCCTTTTAAATGATTCTTAATATGGGAGTACTATTGTGGTGGTGAAAGGATGAATTGAAACATCCTCTTTGACGGTTTCTCTCTCTTAGCACCTAGGCAAAACGGACATAGCCCTAGCTTTATCGGTGCGTTCCGAAAGATCATAGGATCACAACGAAGCAAATCGCCTAGATTACTAAGATGCTCCTGGCAATAACTCTCCTATTCTGATTCATTGGTAACCTATACGTCGCATTCAAAGCACATTTGCGTAAATCCGTGGGTGGACTTGTTATTCCTTCAGTAGTAAGGGTAGAGATATAACCATTTTCGGTGATCCTTAAATCTATATTAGATTAGTGATAGAATAATCATATCTTCCTATCAAAGCTCGACATACTCTTCGATAGACCTTCTATAGAGACAGACCTGGCCTAGAGGGCTAAGGCTATCGCGGTATAAAATCGTGTCTGTCTCGCTATAGAGAGACTCTAATACTTATAGGATTCTTCCTATATCTAAGCTCCGGAGGCTGAGCTTATAAGGCAATATACTAGCTAAAAAGTCTCTTTAAGGCATTACCTTTCTCCTATAATGGAATATGGTTTTAGTGTAAATACTTCTATATTGCCTCCCTGATTACGCCTAGACCTTTCGAAGCTCTTTATTATAGAGGCTCCGTTTCTTATTATAGACCCTCTTTTGTTTAAGTTGGATTTTGTGTTTTTCTTCCGGCGTAGAGTCTAAGGGCATCAAACTCAACTTTGCCATCATCTAGTCAAGAGTATAAACATCTTCTCTAGCCAGAAATTCATACTCAGCTTTTGCAGGAAGGAGCTGCGATAAAGAGGAATTGCGGTAAAGACCCATTCCCCGACGATTCTAGATATGTTCTTATCGGCTAGCAATTCCGAGATAGTTTGCTAGCCCATTAACCTCACTAAGAGGATACGCGTATGACTTTCTATACGTGTTCCGGTTAGTCTGCCCAGCGAACTTCATTCTTGCAGATTCGGAATATGTCTTATCTAGTTTATTATCAGCTATCCTATAAGCCTATATTCGAAATAAACCCGTACCTACTTACTATAAGGCCCATCTTCGACACGCCCGAATAGTAATATTCAGCGTATAGCCACTTCTATAGCCTAGATTAACTAAGGCCTTACCGAAGGAATCCGCTCCTCTAGCATAGCCTTTAAAATTCTCTACGTTATACTTAAGATATTAGCGAAAAACCGGAAGATCTCGTATTTCTTACCGGACATAAATCACCTTAAGGATCTTATCCTCCGAAGGACCGACTTTCTCATACATTCCGACAGCATCTAGGATATCGTTAACTAAACCGTAATCTCTAAAAGCTTTATCTACGGTGGCTATAAGTAAAAAGAATGTCAAAAGGTTTAGAAATATAGGCACTTCCTCGGCATATACTTCGTAGAATACGTGCTTAGGGATTGTAAGACCCCGTTACGAGGGTCTTGGGACTTAGGTGGATTCGGGCAATAGAATGGAGAAAGCAGTAGACAGGTTCAATGCTGAACTAATCGCTGGAGTCCAAGACTCCAGCCTCTGAACTGTTTATATACAAATGTGGGGTCATGTGAGGTCATGAGCCCTCGCATTGTGGGTCTCAGCCCTGGGTCCAGTTCGCACCTGCGAACTGGCCATCTCGCAGTCTCACATAGACTGCGAGATATATATCGTCAGACCTGCTTAGTACTTGGGTCCTGACAGCATCTAAGAGTCCTTTATCGTTAATTGCAGGCAATTCGAAGGTTTATCAGCGCTGTACGAAGGAATCTAAATTGGATATTCGGCATGAAGCCGGAAATGCAAGAATTCGAGACTACTGGCATCGCGCCAATCAGGCTCTTAAAGAAAAAGAAGAAGCATTAGGAGGTAGAGATTATCTTGACGCTAATAGTGAGCTATTTAAATTCATAGATCCAGATGGGATGGTGGCTGAAAAATAGTGTTGAAATTGAAATAATGGGTTTTTTGTGTTTAGGCATTGGTTTGTGTTTAGGCATTGGCTCACCTACACCCTGGAGGGGTGGAGGTGAGTGCTTAGTCACAATTATCTGAAAGGCGTGTGAGGGAGACGATGCTGGCCTGACGTGGATCCTTGGCTACACCGTGAGCCAATCTGAACCCTCGACCGGACCCCCCGATCCACCCTCTTGATCTGACTACTTCTCGACACTCTTGTTCGGCGACACAGACGCCCTTGCTCTCTTCTCAGCGAGCAATTCACTATGAAACAGGAACGAGAAGGTCAATGAAGATGAGACAGTGCGAATGGATTGGTCAAGTTGATAGATTTCTCACGGCTATGCTAAAGATAAGAATATTGATGTTCTGCTGATAATGAATGGGCAGTCGCCCCCACGTGACCATTTAGTCGTGAAATCCATATCTCCCCTCTCAGCGTGCTTCCGAGTGGTTTGCAGGGTTTGCATATACTCGAGGCCTGAGGCCGCGACTCAGCGGTTTCGTCCGCCTTCGGCAGCGCTTACTAAAGCCCAAGGACATAGTTGCCTCAGTGCCTCCAGGCCTTTAGACATCGGAACAAGTATGTTCCGAAATTACCTAATCGCTCGTGTGGTGCTGAACGAGTTATTATAGAATCCCGTCCGATCCCTAGTCGGCATAGTTTATGGTTAAGACTATGACGGTATCTAATCGTCTTCGATCCCCAACTTTCGTTCCCTGACCAATGAAAACATAAATCTAGCTAAGGTAATTCGCCTGGGGAGGGTCCTTTGTGCTGGGGGTAAACTGCCGATCTGGGCAACATGTATGTGATACCGCAAGGTGCGCTTGGAACGTGGCGTTAAACCCTGGGAGCTTTTATCACTTCATCTGAGAGCAAGCAATAGAACTAATCCAAACATCCGTCTCCCGTCTAAGGTCGGGGAACGATTGGGCAAGCAGGCCCAGTCTCCCCGGTGGAAGAACACTGCGCTCTGGGCTAGCGCAGATCTGGATCGCTCTGAAATAGTAACGGTCGGACATAGCATGATCGATTGGCACAGAGAACGAGATGGAGGGACCGAAAATAAATCTACTGCTGCAGCTGCCTCTTTAAGATACCTGGTTTATTGAACGTTCGGTCACAATTTCACTGCCCGCCAATTCCCCTCATATTGGAATCCCATTGAACTCGCGTTAATGGTGAATCATTGATTCCATCTCCCTAAGATTTTATCACTTAATTACGGTTGGATCGGTATATTTTCGTGACCATTTGGATTGGTAACGCACTTGTCCGAATTCCTGCTCCCCTACAGATTTGAAGCTCGAACAGATGGATATTCTATAATACGCATTATCTAGCTCCTGTCTCATATCTGACGCCACGGCCTAATGCGCTCGCGCATATGACCGTAGCGACAGGCGAATTGTCACGGCCAAACTACACACCCCTTGTCCCTCTAGATTGCGTGTGATCATCAATAAAAAAAGACATATTTTCCTGCTTCACTACACAAATCTTAAGAAACACCCTTAACACTATCATGAATAGTCTTGTTTACTTATGCGATCAATAAAATGTGCATTGAAAAAACCATAAACAAATATGTTTCACAAAAATAGATATTGCAAAGGTCAAAGGCTTGGCTAAGCTGCTTCGACACGCAAGGAATGAATTTCATGTTCTAGTTCTTCGCAGATCTTTTCCCCTTCGAAATTTGTAGCACAAAATATGCTGCCGCTTTTTTCATTTCAGTCAGGATAAAGCTAAAACGATTGTAGCAAAGTGCTTTGAAATATATTGGCGGTGTGACGCAGATGAGTGTGCACCCATGTATTTAAGGATCTTGGGGGTTTCAACATCTGGTCTCTGTTGAAGTTCTCCAATCCAGTTATCTTGAAATTGCAGGGCGAAAGCATCACTTAATGATCACTTCAATATGTCGGATATGTTTATTGATTTGACTGCCCCAAATGGACTCCTTTACACTCAGCCAACGGGTCTCTTCATCAACAATGCGTTCGTTCCTTCTAAATCCGGAGAAATGATTAGCAGCATCAATCCAGTGTAAGTAAATTGTGAAGAAATTTGAATTTGGGGCTGATCTGCGACATAAGATAGTAACCAAGAAAATATTGTATCGGTTTCCGCTGCCAGCGCGGATGACGTTGATCTGGCTGTTCAAGCAGCTCGGACGGCGCTCAGTGATCCTTTATGGAAGTCCATGTCTTCGTCAGATCGAGGAAAGCTGATGAACAAGCTAGCCAATTTGATCGACGAGAACAAGGAGGTTTTGGCGGTTATTGAATCTTGGGATAATGGTACTCTTTCTTACGCCTGCTTAATTGAGATTTGTTGTTGACTTGTACATTTGAAGGAAAACCGTTTATGGCTGCTTTGAATGACGACCTGGGGGAAGTTGTCGGCACTTTCAGCTATTATGCTGGCTGGGCTGATAAGATACACGGACAGACGACAAGTGGACCTGTGTCAAGCCGAAAGTTGGCTTACACCGTCCGTGAGCCGGTTGGTGTCGTGGGCCAAATCATTCCCTGGAACTTCCCTCTGGCTATGGCAGCAATGAAACTAGCACCTGCCCTCGCTTGCGGCAACACCATTGTTATTAAAGCCGCAGAACAAACTCCGCTGAGTATTCTCTACCTCGCAACTCTGATCCTGAAGGCAGGGTTCCCCCGGGGGTTATCAACATTCTGAATGGTCCTGGCGGGGTCACTGGTTCTAGCCTAGTAGCTCACCCTCACGTGGATATGATTTCTTTCACGGGCTCGACCGCCACGGGCAAGGAGATCATGCGTCTAGCCGCCGGAACCATGAAGCGTATTCTCCTTGAAACCGGCGGGAAATCTCCACTGATAGTATTTGAAGATGCAGATCTTGAGCAGGCTGCCAGATGGGCTTGCTTTGGTTCCATGTACAACCAAGGACAGATTTGCACTGCAACGTCTCGGATACTCGTGCAGGAGGGAATAATGGGCCGGTTTATTGATCTTCTAAAGCAAGCTGTGGGCGCAATCAAGGTGGGCGACCCTTTTCACGACGACACCTTTCAAGGACCCCAGAACAGCAAGGAGCAATTCGATCGGGTGCTCAACTACATCGAGACTGGTAAGGCGGATGGCGCTACCGTGATGGCTGGTGGGACCGCTATTCCTGGCAAAGGACTCTATATTGAACCTACAATCTTCACTAACGTCGACGAAAATATGTCCATTTGGAAGGATGAGATATTTGGCCCAGTTGTCGTGGTAAAGAGCTTTACCAGTGAACAAGAAGCGGTCCAGTCGGCGAACAATAGTATTTATGGGCTTGGGGCGGCAGTTTTCACGAAGGACATTCAACGAGCCCACCGCTTTGCTGGTGAAATAGTATCAGGGACCATCTGGATCAACAGCAGCAATGATGGTGATGTACGAGTTCCCTTTGGTGGAATGAAACAGAGTGGAATAGGATGCGAACTCGGCGAGGAAGGATTAAGGGCCTACTACCAGACGAAGGCCGTTCATATCAACATTGGAAATGTAATTTAGGATATCACTAGGCTCAACCTAGCCCCATGAAGTGATTCAGTATTCTTTTCGACACACCTGTATTGCTTCTAGGCGTGCCGTGGTCGCAAACTATACAGATAAATGATTTTCTGCAAATCAAATACTCAAATCGAACGCACATCTAGATCTTCTTTTCTGACACCTCTAATCAACCTATGGCCTGTTCCATTCAATTGAAGAAATCTCGACCTGTTAACTGTGAGCTAATGTTAACAGGATTAAATACATTCAAGCTCCAAGTCTTATTTAGAATCCCCTCAGGCAGTTTCCTGCATCCTTCACATGAACCTTAGTGGTACGTTTGCTCTCAAGTTCAATACTCTCGTGTTGTAGCGGTGTGATGCAAAGCAATTGCGCTGAGAAAGTTACACGACTCGATATGATCATCGAAGCAAGGATCTCGTTCACCACACAGGAAGCTGATATGCCCACTATCTTACAACATACCCCTAGCACCAGGGTGGGCTTAAAGCGCAAAAAGGAAGTGTCATTGTCTACATGTGATGCCAAAGTACGCTATTTTCTCACCGCTCCTGGAGGACTTTCAGGCAAGGAGTATGTAAGGAAAGCCTGATGTTGTAGCTGCGTACAGTGTTTTGTCGCACATATGTTCTATTAAAAACCGAGTGGTGAGCTGTAGATATATTATCGTTGTCTGTTCCCTGACTTAGTTTCCCTCTTTTCTCATGACCGGTCCTTGCCACCCTCAGAAGCTCCATCGCGAGCTCTATCAACAGGATGACGAAATTCGATTGCCCCAAACTGTCTATTCGTCGCATTCCGGCCACTGCAGGATGCGAATCAATCCACAAAGTGCTGCAAGAAGACGGTTGTGTTATTGTGGAGAAATTTCTCATGCCTGATCAAGTCGCGGACATCAACAACGATGTGGACCCACATATTACCAAAATCCACACCAAACGAGAGACGTACCAAGAAGGGTACTGGCTGAATATGAGGCGACAGGGCCATCTGGCTCTAATCAGCAAGACATATCGGGAGGATGTCTTGAATCATCCGGTCATACATGGTATCTCCGAGAAGATCTTCCTGAAAGAGTCTGGAGACTACTGGTTGGCTACGTCAGCAGTTCTAGAGACTGGCCCGGGGTATGCAGGGCAAACTCTGCATAGGGAACAAGATGGAATTCCGATCTGCACTGCTATGGGAAGGGACTGTCCAGAAGCGATGTTCAATTTTCTTATCGCCCTGACTCCGTTTACCGACGAGAATGGAGCAACCCGAGTGATTCCAGGGAGCGAGAAGTGGCACGACTTTAGTTACCAGCCTTCGATTGACGATTCCATACCCGTGGAAATGAATGCTGGAGATGCTGTCCTTTTCAATGGCAAGGTGCTCCACGGCGCGGGCAAAAATCGATCCGAAAATTTCAATCGCCGTGCTCTGCCTATTGTGATGCAGTCGGGGTACTTCACTCCACTTGAAGCCTCTGCATTTCTTCCTCGTCCTGTGATCGAGAGTATGACCCCTCTGGCGCAAAGAATGGTGGGCTGGAGATCAGTTAAGTGCCAGGGCATCGAACTGTGGTCACTGCACATGAATGAACTTGGAATGCAGTTGGGGCTGAAATCAAATCAGCCGTTACCAGAGGACCAAGTTGATAAAAAGTGGTTGTCTCATTACTAAAGCATCTCTCTAATGCCAAAGGTTAGAGGGTAAAGCTGGGGGACAGTGGTCATCTCCTGTTTATTATATCATAGAATGAACGAACCCTTTTCTTCAAAGCAACACTATTGATTCGTAGGCCGAAATTCTTCCAGTCGCCAGGAAGGAGACAAATTTTTTCCTTACTAAGAATTGAACTTAGAACAAATGTATGTTCTCGGATGGTTTGAATCATCTGAGAAAAGTAGAAGGAAGGAAAGGCCATATTGCCAAGGCTATGAAAGCACTACCCGTCTCTGGCATCGGATGTTTCTCGATAAGTCTCAAAACCGTTTAATTAATCACACATCTTATACGGCCCAGTGGATATAAAGGTCGTCGGAGAACGATGCCAGGTAGAGCACTGGGCAAGTCAGTACTGAAACTCCTCAGGTTACAAATGTTCTTGAGTGGTAAACAAAGTGAGGGTCTTATTGTAATTGGAAACTAGGAGAAGAAAGGGCGACCTGACTACCATCGAAATGAAAACTGGGGAAAGAATGAGAGAAGGACAGAGAGACAGAGAAGAGAGAAGAAGAAGAAGAAGAAGAAGAAAAAGAAGAAGAAGAAGAAGAAGAAGAAGAAGAAGAAGAAGAAGAAGAAGAAAAAGAAGAAGAAGCGATGGAGTCCTGATAACTAAGGGGTTACCTAATTGGCGACAAATAGGCCTACCCTGGAGAACACTAAGTAGTAGATATGATTCACGATAGATACCAAAAAAACTAGATTGAATCTATGATTGTTCTTGTATCCTCCGCTCCTATTCTCTGTCCAAGTCAGATATACGAAATGTTTCCACCAAATGTTTCCACCAAATGTTTGTTGTTTACTTGATGTCAGGGCCTGCAAGTCTACCACAATGACTGCTCCGTTTCAATCACCAAATTATCTCATCCACTGGGTCTATTTCAAAGGTATCTCGAAGGAGACGGGATGATCGCGACACATGTCCTTGGAGAGGGGCTTGAAAAGTGGGACACCGAAGTTCGCTAGACAAGAAGTAAAAGCCAAGAGTTAAACGAAACTATTACTGAGGAATTTGTTAAAGGGCAAACATACAGATTGGCCAGTCGCCGGTTTCAAAGCTCTGGAGATAGACGCTCAAATACGGGGACCCTTTGCGGTAAGAAAAGGAAATGTAGGCGTGCAGATAGTTTACGGTGTCATGATCCAAGTGAGGACTGGAGACATGTTAGATAATGCTAGTGGTCATAATATGACGTTCAGTGTTGGATCGTTCGACTTACTAGAATGCACGCAGACTATCCCTGTATGTATGCGCCATGCGGGTGTAGCCGTGCCGCTCGAAGAAGGCGACCAGCCCGTCAGTCACTCGGCTATCGTTCATGCCGAAGGTCGTAAAATAGATCTGTGGTTCCGGCATTGGGTCACCATGGTGTAGCGTATAGTTCACCATCAGAGGAAGCTGCTCATTTGGGATGCTTCCCAGCTGTAGAAAGGGCTCTGGGTATCCGCGCATACCCGTGGGGAGCTGAATCAAGTCCCAGAGCTCACGGATCATTTCCAACCCAGTGAGCGTAAATTTATCACTGCGTCGGCCCCCCAAAGTCCACAGATCCTCCATTGCTTCCAGGGAGACGTTCATCTCCAGCAGGTATATTTTAATGCGAGACTGGCGTGGATCACAGAGATCGCAGGAGAAGAGCCGGGGAGAGGCAGTGCTGCTAGACTCGCGAGAGTTGACGTAATCTTCCAGTGTGCGGAGTGGAGCGGCGAGTGTAGGATACTGACAACAGATTCGATGAACGGAATCGAACACTAGGTCTTGGATGGATTTCCCGGTAGCCAGAGACTTGAGGGCAGGATAAATGTAGACCTTGAGCATAAAATCGCCACCCTTCAGATCTAAAGCAAGTTTGTTTTGGGTCCGAATATGGCCCCCGACCAACTTCCTTTCCATCAGGTACGCTGCATCTTGATCGTTGACGGTGAGATCATTCTTGAAATGTCTGAAGAATTCCAAGTCAATGCCGTTCTGCAATGGGATGAGGCGATCGAGCGCATCCCATATGGCATGCGTGTTGAATGGGTCCTTCAGGGAGCCAGTGGCGGCATTGATGGGCTCATATGTGTATCGCACCGTGGAGTGGGAGCAGTTCAAACTCAGCTCAAATGGTGTACCGTATCGGGTCAAGACGCTAAGCCATCGGTCATTCATACGGGTCGGGTAGACACCGAGAAAGGGGATGACGTGTTTCAAATATATCCCGAGGATTTTATACTGAGAGTGAATATCATACCCCGCCATGTTAAGCATTTCCGCGAACATAGGCGCCACACTGTGCCACCATAGGATTTGATCATGGCAGTAAGGGTCACTCAACTCGCTTATCGTCTTGTAGACACCAAGGCGAGAACAACTAAGCGTTTCAATAGAGCCCATAGTGCTTATTGTTCTAATGTGATTAACGAAGCTAAATTGGTCGTTTAATAACTTATTCAGAGCCCATAATCAAGGGATAAGGCTCGTAGGTACGCGTTAAAAAATGTCAATCATGTTGTACAGTTCTGAATCCTCGACTTAGAATTACTGTGGTTACCACTCATTCATGCATTATGAAAAGTGACTCTCCCAGGTTATCACACCCGCCAAGCAAGGGGTTGGGCTGTAGGTATGTATGTCCAAGGCTCGTGACTGTGCCTCACTGTTGCAGCTTTAGTCGCCCATAAACGACTTTGACTATATAACGTAGTGATTGGCGAGACAACCCTTGCTTTTCAGATTTATACAACCCCAGAATGGCTGGAACGCACGACTAACATTTCTAAAGATTTATTTTTCACTTTGGTTTACTTTTTTTCCAATTGGACATTCGCACTATAATCCGGAATGATGTTGCACATGCTGGGGTCTGCGGGACTCGGAATTGTTCTTAGCTGGTTGGTATACACAAATTCGGAATTTTGGTCCCAATGTCGTTGTCGACCATCGGAATCATGTTGGCCGTCAGAGAAACAGTGGAACTTGTTGAACAAGTCGATCGATTTTAATCTTATTCGGCTAAAACCTATTGGATCGGTCTGTTACGAGCCAGATCTGAATCAGGTAGCCTGCGAGGAAGTGATGCGCCTTTCGAAAGACAGTGGATGGAGGGCGGCCCAACCCGGTAAGTCTTGAGAATGACAATAAATTGGCAGAGAATTATCCCTGTGCCAGCTGAACTGACCAACCATACAGGTGCATTGCAGGATTGGGTGTGGGAGTCTGGCCAGTCCGGTGAAGAGGCATGTCCATTAGGACCCCAAATGGCGAACCACACCTCGTGTCTCCAGGGGCGCATCCCTCTCTACTCGGTGATGGTAAATTCAGCCAAGCACGTTCAAGAAGCGGTTTTGTTTGCCAACCAGCACAACCTTCGCCTGACCATTCGCAACACGGGTCATGATCTGGCCGGACGATCTAGCTCCGCCAACTCGTTGCAGATCAACACACATCATCTGCAGGACACCAAATTCCATGAGGATTTCCAACTCCATAGTTCCCGTAAATCCCTTGGGCCAGCGGTGAGTATTGGGGCCGGTGTGATGATGGGAGATCTCTATGCTAGGGCAGCTGGTAAGGGCTATATTCCGGTCGGCGGCGACTGCCCCACAGTTGGAGCTGCAGGCGGCTTTCTCCAAGGAGGAGGAGTTTCCGACTTTCTGAGTCTGCACCATGGACTGGCAGTTGATAACGTTCTGGAATTTGAAGTGGTGACCGCTAGTGTAAGTTAACCCCTGCCCACCACTACGGCCCCAACCGTCACAGGCCATGTCCTGGGACCCGCATTCCTGACGTTCACGGCAGGGTGAAATCGTCCTGGCCAATTCTATACAAAACCCGGATCTATTTTGGGCACTGCGAGGAGGCGGCGGTGGTACATTTGGAGTCGTTACTCGAGCCACCGTTCGGGTTTTCACTGATGTTCCTGTCGTGGTTGCCGAACTCAACTTTCAGAGATCCCATTCTCATGCAGATTGGTCTCAAACGCTTGCGTTGTTTTTTACCATCTTGCAGTCCCTAAACCGTGAAAATATTGGTGGCCAGATGGTCATTGCTGTCCTGCCTGAGCAGATCATCCAGGCAAGCCTCAAGATGTTCTTCCTCAACCAGACCGAAACTTTGAGTGTCGACCAGCGCATGCAGCCATATGTCAGCGAATTGAATCGTATAGAGAGACAAGCGACGTATAGATCAACGGTGTTCTCCACGCTCAGCAGCAACTATCGACAAATCCCCGACGTTCACGCCGATAACAACTACGGTGTACTTGGGTCCACAGTTGTGATTTCCAATCAACTATTTAACGCTTCGGAGGGACCCGCTCATGTAGCCCAGGCTCTGGCGAGACTCCCCTTGTCCTCGGGTGATTTGCTGTTTACCAGTAACCTCGGAGGGCGGATCACGGAAAATGGAAATCTCGTCAACACATCTATGCATCCGGCGTGGAGGGCTTCCGCTCAACTAATCAACTTTGTGCGGCCCGTCGATCCATCCAGTAAGGGACGAGCGAATGCATTGCAAGAACTAAACGACATTTACATGCCCTTACTTTACGCGATTGATCCAGAATTCCGTCTGTCATATCGAAATGTGGGAGATCCAAGCGAGAAAGACTTCCAGCAGGTTTATTGGGGAAATAATTACGCCCGTCTTTCACAAATCAAACGCACGTGGGACCGGAATGGACTGATGTTCAGTCAATTAGGGGTAGGCAGTGAGGAATGGGATTCGGAGGGCATGTGTAGGGTTCGCCCTGCGTTCATGGGCTGGGCTGCAAATTGTTTGCACAAATTAGCTCATGTGGTCTATTTTTTTATATAACCGGAGGGGGGAAACGGTTGAATAATGGAGGGAATAGGCCGTAGTCTCTGACCGCCACTCCAGGAGATAAATAAGCTCGAGGGATCATCAATCATCGTGACAATCCATGATATCCGACGAGAGAAAGGAAATGAAAAATGAGTCCCGTTGATTTGCGCATTCTTGACATTCGTCGTAGCAAATTTGAGGAATCCATTCCCGATCAAGTCACCGCTGGGCTGTCGAAGACCTGCAAAACCCTCCCAGCTCTTTTGTTCTACAGCAGTGAGGGGATCAGACACTGGATTCGACATTCTACCGCCACGGACTTTTACCCACGACATGAAGAACTGCGCATACTCCGTGCCAGAGCGACGGAAATGGCCGCATCGATTGCCAACAACAGTGTAGTGGTCGATCTCGGAAGTGCGTGAGTACAAATTATCGCTGAATCACAATAGAATGCTCCAATTGATCACTAAATCTGCAAATCAGGAGTTTGGACAAAGTTCTACCTTTGCTGGAAGCGTTAGAGGCAGCGAAGAAGAGCGTCACATTCTACGCACTCGACCTGAACTTTTCAGAGCTGAAATCTACCCTAGAGACTCTACCCATAAATAGTTTCAAGTGTGTAAAATTCGGTGCACTACATGGAACATTTGAAGACGGAGTGCAGTGGTTGAAAGATACCCCAGGCGTGCAGGACTTACCACACTGTCTCCTATTATTCGGGCTGACGGTGGGCAACTACTCGCGGCCCAACGCCGCCAAATTTCTCCAGGAAATTGCATTGGGAGCGCTGGCCTCCAGCTCAGCTGAAAGCTCTATCCTCCTAAGTCTGGACAGTTGCAAATTTCCAACAAAAGTGCTGCGCGCCTATACGGCCGACGGTGTGGTTCCATTTGCGCTGGCGTCGCTTGAGTATGGGAACACGCTATTCGCTTCAGCTGGGGAGGACGATCCAGTCTTCCAAGTTGATGACTGGCATTACCTCAGCGAATGGAACTACGTTCTGGGGCGGCATGAGGCGAGCCTCATCCCCAAAGTGCGGGATATAAGGCTGGGCTTGCCTCTGCACCACATCGTTGTGGAAAAGCACGAGAAGATCAGGTTTGGGTGCAGCTACAAGTACGATGCGAGCGAACGAGAAGATCTGTTTGGGTTGGCTGGATTGCATAAAGTGGGCGAGTGGTCATTTGAGGCGTGTGATGTTGCGTTCTACCAACTCAGACTATGTCCCAATTGAGATATGTGACCCTTGCTTATGTGGTAACTCTACGGGAATCACTAGGGACACAACAGCTTTCTCTACGGGCACAACAAATTATGAAATACCCGCATTATATAATCAATTTTCTCTGAGATCGTTACCATACATTACCGCAGCAACTGCATTGCTTACTACTATAGCAACTACATTCTATATCATCATGCACTATAAGAACTCGCTCTCTTCCTAAATCTCTCTATACTCTTTATCTAATCCTGTCTTTCATCTTATCATGGAGCCACCAACTGAGCAAGTCTTTGAAACCAGAGAGCTACTGCTTACTTCTATACAAGAACATGCCTTATCTCGTGGGTATGCTATTACTACTATCTCATCTAATCCACATAGGAATATCACCCTTGGTTGTGATAGAGGCGGTATCTACCATGATAGAATTGGTGCTCTAGATGGGGCAAAACGCCGGAAAACTAGCACGAAGCGAATAGGCTGTCCCTTCCGTCTCTATGGGAAAAAGCTTGCTAATAATCAATGGCAAATTCAGGTCAGAAATCCTACCCATAATCATCAACCGGATGATAATATGATAGGGCACTCTCTAGCACGACGTCGGCAATTAACCAGAGATCAAAACGACACTATTAATCATCTATCAGAAATCGGATCAACGCCACGACAGATCATTAGCCTCCTACGAGTAGAGCAGCCTACTACCTTACTTAAAGCTTATGATCTCTATAATATTCGCGGCGAATTAAGACGAAAGAAACTCGGCAATTATACACCGCTTGAATTCCTTAGAGAGACACTTCAAAAGGATAATTGGAGATATTCATTTAAGCAAGATACTGAAGGCCATATCCTTTTCTTTATGTTTGCTCACCCTGAATCAATTAGATATGCTAATCAATATCATAGGGTCTTTTTATTAGACTGTACCTATAAGACAAATCGGTATAAGATGCCTCTTTTACATATTATTGGTCTCTCACCATCGAATTCATCCTATAGTATTGCTTTCTGCTTCATGCAAAATGAGCAGGAGCAAAGCTATAAATGGACTCTACAGACCTTATTTTCATGGCTAGACCCTCTACCCCCCTCTCCCCCGTTCTTTGCACTGATAGAGATCTTGCTCTACTAGGTGCAATTAAAGCGATTTGTCCAAAAAGCCCACACTTACTATGCGTTTGGCATATTAATAAGAATGTGCTTGCAAAGACTAAGCAGTACTTCTCTTCAAACGAGGAGTTTGAGGCTTTTATTAAGTCATGGAAAGAGCTTATTAACTCATCTACTATAGGTGAATACGAAGCTCAACTAGCTAAGTTCGAGACTAGATTCAGTCTTAATCCTACTGCTCTTCGATATGTGAAAGGGACCTGGCTAACCTATAAAGAGATGTTTATTAGGGCTTGGATAGGGCAGTACCTTCACCTTGGTAATTGGGCTACCTCACGAGTAGAAGGCTCTCATGCTTTTCTAAAAAAGTATATCGGGGCATCAACTGGTGATATGCTCTTCGTTTTTGAGCGAATCAAAAGTGCTATACAAGCTCAGCACTACGCCCTTTCATCTAATCTTGCTGAAGATCAGATTAAGACGCTTAATTTCAGCTCCCACTTTCTCTATTCGAATATTACAAAGAGAACATCACGATATTCAATTTCTTTAATCTCTAAGCAAGCTGCTATAGCTAAGAGAGCTACTCCCGAAGCCCCTTTATCTAACTGTACTAATATATTCACTAGGACAATGGGTCTTCCATGTGCCCATAGAATTGCTCCCTTATTAATGAATCACCAACCAATTCCACTAAGCGATATTCATCAATTCTGGAGGACGGGCCTTAGTAATGAGCTATCAGAGTATCTGCCAATACTTGATCCCTTATTACTAGGACCCCCGATACCAAAGAGAACAAACCAACATAATAAATCATATCAAAGCAATGAATCATCAGACCAAAGGATTATCAAGAAGAAAGCGCCATCAAAGTGCTCAAATTGTGGGGAAATCGGTCATACAATCCGTTCCTGCAAGGTATAACAGGCTGTATATAACATTAGAGACATCAGATTGATTTTAGATGATAGGAATTGAAGGAAGAGAGCGAGTTCTTATAGTGCATGATGATATAGAATGTAGTTGCTATAGTAGTAAGCAATGCAGTTGCTGCGGTAATGTATGGTAACGATCTCAGAGAAAATTGATTATATAATGCGGGTATTACATAATGTGTTGTGCCCGTAGAGAAAGCTGTTGTGTCCCTAGTGATTCCCTAACTCTACCTGCACATTATGTAAAGAGATAAGATAATGCAATATGGTGCGTTGTGGTAGAGCTACTGCGTTTGGCAATAAATGTATCCCTTTAAAGAGCCCTGCTAAAGCACCCTATCTTACTCCGTTTTGCGACTCGTTATTCTTCCCAAATGATGGCATCGGAATTTTCCAAGATTTTTGCCATCACCGGCGGTGCATCAGGAATCGGCGCCGCCACCTGTCATCTGCTTGCTCAGCGAGGAGCGAAGGCAATCTGCGTGGGGGATATTTCTTCCGAAAGCCTGGCAGAGCTGAAGGCATCCATACAAGCCGCATACCCTCTTACAGATGTTCGCTGCACTGTCCTCGATGTCTCTTGCTCCGCTGCAGTGAATGAGTGGATTGACAGCATCACGGCCGAGTTTGGGCGGCTGAATGGGGCCGCCAACATTGCTGGAATGGCTCAAGGGGCCGGAATCCGCCACTGCCCGACCATCCTGGAGGAAGAGGAGACGCAGTGGAAGCGGATTTTCCAGGTGAATCTGGACGGGGTTTTCTACGCGACCAAGGCCGAGGTGAGGGCTATGAAGCCAATGTCGCGGGATCGCAGCATCGTCAATGTTGCCAGTATCGCATCGATGGCGCACATGCCAGATGTCTTTGCCTATGGGACATCCAAGGGAGCTTGTGCCTATTTCACGACTTGTGTAGCGCAGGACGTGATTCCATTTGGAATACGGGTCAACACTGTCTCTCCAGGTGATTTTATGGTCTACTTATATGAATATGTCCGAAACATTACGTTAATTTCTCATATTAGGAATTACGAGAACACCGATGTTACCCAAATTTGCCCCCACAAAAACTTCGGATGAGGTGGAAGAGGCCTACACAAAAGAAGGCTTCGCGATAATTGAACCGGATGATGTTGCGCGAACTATTGTCTGGCTATTGAGCGAAGACTCCCGTCCGGTATTTGGAGCGAATATTAATGTTGGCGCTTGTATGCCTTAATCTTTCACATTCTTTTGTTGCTTTCAATGCTCCATCCACATTTCTGTGAGTGGAGTTAGGTACGAATTCCATGCATGTACTATCTTTCATGGTCAAAATAGACGGTGAGACCCGAAGATACCTTCTTCTCCCTTACGTACCGAGCAAAACTGTGCAAAGCAAGGGATTGAAAAGACTTCAAAGGGATGTTCATCTTTAATTCCCAAAGTGGGTCGTCCCGGATTGTTGGTTATAAATGTCATATACAATCAGAACTTGGCCCCTCAGGGTTCAAAGTCTCATTAAAATAGTCCACTTCAATTCTTTTCATCTATCAAACAAAACATGACCCGAACCGAGGCAAAGAAATGCCCCGCTATGGGCCATGCACTCTCGTCAAAATCCAGCATCGGACCCAAGGATATTTACACTTTGGAGGCATTGTCACATTTCAATCGAGAAAAGATACCGGAGAGAGCCGTTCACGCCCTGGGAGCCGGAGCTTACGGGGAGTTTGAGGTAGGTTGGTTCTGGTACTCACTCGTAATCTCAAATTGAGATTAAATATATGCTAATCCTGAGCAGGTGACACACGACATCTCGGATATTTGCAACATTGACATGCTCCTTGGGGTCGGCAAAAAAACGCCGCTGGTGACACGCTTTTCCACGACTGGTCTGGAACGGGGATCTTCAGATGGGGTGCAAGACCTTAAGGGCATGGCCACTAAGTTTTTCACCAAAGACGGGGAGTGGGATTGGGTTTTCCTCAATTTCCCTTTCTTTTTCATCCGTGATCCCGCCAAGTTCCCAGATATGATTCATTCGCAGAGAAGGGACCCTCAAACAAACCGGCTTAACCCTAACATGTTCTGGGACTTCGTAACGGACAATCACGAATCGATCCATATGACGCTGCTGCAGCACAGTGACTTTGGCCGGATGTTCACTTGGCGAACGCTGAGCAGTTACGCAGGACATGCATTCAAATGGACAATGCCCAACGGTTCGTTCAAGTACGTGCATTTCTTTTTGGCGTCGGACCGTGGGCCCAACTTCACGGATGGAACCGGCGCGACCATGGATCCTAGCGATCCTGACTTTGGAAGCAAAGATCTCTTTGAGGCGATCGAGCGAGGTGATTATCCATCCTGGACGGCCAATGTGCAGGTGGTCGATCCGAAAGACGCTGCCCATCTAGGATTTAATATTCTTGACATCACCAAGCATTGGAACCTGGGCACGTATCCCCAGGGCGTGGAAAAGATTCCCTCTCGACCTTTCGGCAAGCTCACCCTCAACCGTAACGTGACGGACTATTTCACGGAGGTCGAGCAGCTGGCCTTCTCACCGTCGCATATGGTTCCAGGCGTCGAGGCCTCCGAAGACCCGATCCTGCAGGCCCGCATGTTTGCATACCCCGACGCGCAGCGGTATCGTCTAGGGGCTATCCCACGAGCTCCACCGACTCGCATGCCGTCGGCCCTGAAGTCAGAGGCCGAGCTGGGACCGGAGTTTGCCAAGTGGGTCGCGCAGGTATCTTCGGATGAATGGTCTGGCTCTCACGACGATGATTACAAGTTTGCCCGGGAGTATTACGAGGTCCTCCCGGACTTTCGTAGTCAAGATTTCCAGGATCGAATGGTGGAGAGGATTGTTGTGTCGGTGTCGCAGACCAGACAGGAAATTCGAGATAAGGTGTATCGTACTTTCGCCCTCGTGTCCTCTGAGTTGGCCCACCGGGTGAAGGATGGGGTTGAGAAATTTGATGAAAGTAGTAAGGTACAAGTTACTCAGTCGAGGTTGTAGCTGCAATAGATCCCATTTGCTGTAGGCACTACCATTCTGACATTGTCTATATGAGGTTTATTCAAGAGCAGAAAGGGCGTGCTCCCGACGGAGGTATTATAGAACCACTACCTAGATATCATCCATAAGTAGGGTAGGCTACGAAGCCCGACTAAGCCGGCGGAGCTAGAGGCGCGAAAACGAAACGACGTCTTCCTTAGAAGAAGATCTACTAAAAAGACTAAGGACACTGCTTGATTGACTTTGTTGAAAATGAAAAGCCTGCCGAAGCGCAAGGAAAGACATTCATGTATGCGGGGGAAGCAAATGCCTTATTGGAAGAGCGATTTGACCGCATAATATGACTGCATCAAATGACTGGGAATTTAGTGTGATACTTTGACATTTGTTACTTGCTTACAATTTTCGAAGAAAGATGCCCCAGGCTTATTCGATGTGAGGCTCATTATCTGGTTTTCAGGAACGAGAAGCCGAAAGTGAGAATCTATGAACAAATCCAAAGATCATCTATCCTGTTACGTTATCAGTAGGAATGTCAGGTGACCTATTTCAAGCTAATAACGAAGATACGTACCTGCTTCCGTGTGTAGACATGATGAGTTCGCTTGCCTGATGTTCCTCCGATGGCTTCTCTATCCAGTGGAAAAAAAACAACAAGCGATTTTTAGCACGTTTAGAATTATCTACAGGTAATATAAAAAAAGGATTGAAAACTAAAAACATACAACAGTGAGGATTCGCTGGTGGTCACCCACCCAACTACTAACTCACCGGCGTGTGGCTTAAGTACGGCTGAGCGGACGGGAAGCCCTGTTTTCCACACCCTATGGTCGTATGTATTAATTTAGTCATAGAATAAAACTATATCGTGGATTTGAAGGGAAATCGAAGGGAATGGGATTTGTAGGTACTTATTGTGTAAGAGATAGTCGTTCGGCTCCAAATCTTAAATACTTCTTCGGTAACGTCTTCTAGTATTTTCTCGCCGCGGGAGATTGGCATACGGAGCTTGAGTACGATTTCGTAACCAGTTCTGGTATGCTCTACTATCCTGAAACCATAGACGAAATTCGTAAGGCAATCTAAGATATAAGCTTTCACCTCAACGCAATACAAAATATGATTACCCAGGAAGATTCCACCGCATTATTCATGGAGGATGATGTCGACTGGGATATTTCACTCAAGCAGCAGCTCGAGCGGGTGGCACCGCTCATACGTCAGGTTTCAGGCTCAAGTTCAATCAACAGGAGCCAGTCGTCGCCGTACGGTGATGTATGGGATATGCTCTGGCTAGGTCACTGCTACGCTCGTATTCTGTACATTATCCCTGCGTCCTACATTGATGACACGTTGCCGGACTCGTCGGTGTACTTCGAGAATGACGGAACGTATACAAATTTCCCACAGTATCTGCGAAGGGTGTAGATGTCGGAGGCACCGGCCTGCATGTACGCCTTTGAATGGACAGTGGATGAGGGATATCTAAATAGTTTACTAGTTGCTCATCGACATTTGCATACCAAATAACAACTACCACAGTTTCAGGGAAACCAAGTCAATCGACTCCTCGATTTATAGCGAGTTGGGATAGCAGGGTCGTGAGTATAATCTGCAAGTAAGCAAAGTTATGTAAGTACAAAGTAAGGCTCTAGCCAGTGACTTGGGCTCAGGAGTGGGAGAGGGAAGTGACCTCTTGCCAGATTCTCGAGGCTCATTCTAGCTGATCCTTTTTAGGTTTTGGAGAAGTCTAAATACCGCATCTTGACCATGCCCCATTGGGATAGCGCCAATGAATAGATTTCAGACAGATTTTGGTCTGGTAAAATGATATCTCTCTATCATGTGATTTGCTATAATTGGATGACGGTCTATAGTGCATAAATTCTAAGAGCCCCCCCCTTTCATTTATGCAGCCCTATTATTTATGGAGCCCCTCATCCCCCATTGATGAAGCTATTACCATGTTGGATTTCGTGGCGCTCAGTCGTCGTCATCGTCGGTCTTCCCGGATTTCCCCCCCTCCCAATCGATGAATATTCGAAAGCACAGTCCGGTGACATTGTTCGTTAGTGAAAATGCTGCCGCAAAGCCCCTGAATTAAGCCGAAGCTGCATCTTTTGGCCTTTTCCAGACGGCGACTTAGTAATCCGTTGTCCGACAGGTTATTGAGGCGGGGTTACTTTGATCACTAGTTACCTATTTGGCCACAACTACTAGAAAATAGTTTTGGATGCACCAATGTAGGAAAGACTTGCATGTTGGCATAGGGTTCATTCATTTACAAGATATGGCCTTCACTACATTGATGCTGTCACCGGACCGGAACTCACGCCAGGCTTCGCTGCACAAAAGCAGCCACAGACGCAGGATCAACCAGCCACGGCGAATGACCGGTGGCAATTTTCTCTGTGGTAATCTGGGCGCCCTTCCCACGGGCTTTTTCCACCATCAACTGCTGGACGAAAAGGGGGATGGCACGGTCGTTCTCGCACAGGAGATAGGCGCTGGGAATGCGGGTGTAGGCGGCGCTGATGGCGGGCGAGGTCTTGGTCGCCCAGGCGTGCGGACGAAGGGTCTTGGCCCATTCTTCGCCGTCGGGAACGTCATGAAAGAAGAGGCTGTAGGGGTCGACAGCGCTCACGGTTCCGTTGGCTTCCTGCAGTCGGGTTGAGTGGGGGATCTCGGGAGGGAAAGAACAATGTATAGACGACTTACATCGCGGTTATACCAGTCGGGAGGAACCCCGCCAAAGGCCCCAATCAGGCTCTCGCCAACGTCGGGGATGAAGGCCGAGATAAAGATTAATTTGGTCACCCCGCCGGTCTCTCCGGCCGCTTGTCGCTCGGCTTTGCTGAGGCCGTCCAGGGCGCTATTCACGGGCAGCCCGGACCAGCTGTGCGAGATGACGACGACTTCCTTGCCCGCGCTGGCTTCCTGCTCGACCAGGGTCCGGAGCGCGTCGATATCGGGCTGCAGGTCTTGGACACTGGTGGCATTTTGGATCGAGGGAAAGGCCACAGTATGGGTAGTGTGGTCGGGGAAGTGGGCGGCCAAGGCCTCAAAGGCCGTGGGCGGATACCAGGCCCCAGGGCAGAAGATCAGGGTGGGATTGGAGGAGGCCATTTGGGGCAGTGAGGGTAGAGTAGATAACGATGGCGATAGAAGACAGTCTGAGAAACAGCACTAAGTAGGGCGATTTCTCTGTCGCTAACAAGCGCATTGCCGACTTATCGCACCTTTAGAAATGCGCCTTGGCCCCAGTAGGGGCCGTGCTGTGCTATTTACGGATCTGTCCAACATCACCGCAGCTAGTCTTTTGGGGGGCGAGAATAGGGTCCACAATTGGGGCGGGGCGCAGAATTGACTCTTTGATTGGGGCGGCGATTGATTAGCTCCGTAAATTATTCGATGCTTGTAGGAGGTATTGCGACAGCGGCGATTAGAGCACGGAGAACATTAATTATTGCGAGAGGACTGTGCTGGCCAAAGCTCTGGTTAGTATAGGGCTGTAAAGGATCGTCATAATCGGGTTTTTTATCTATCTCGTGTTTCTGTATTGGTGAAACTGACCTGGTATGTGTACCGCACAGTTCCATCTGGATTGTAAACGTAGGCGATAAGTAGAACACCGATGGATAGGCAGATGCGATAAGTTGTGCGGAAATGCGAGTTGATAAGCTCAATCCGATAGACTACAGGACTGCCCTCAATAACCAGCTGAGCATCTTAGATTGGCGCTGCATGAGATTGAGGGTCCTTTTTCCGAGTTTTCCCCGAGGCGGCCGCTGACGGTGCTCTCCGGGGCCCGGGCCATGGTGGATAATAACGACCCGTGCGTGGTAAAGAGATTTGAAAAAGAGTCGAGCTGGACCATGAGATAGAAATGAATTGTTATACTTTGAGCTATAGAAGAAAAAGGAAAAGATCCGGGCACTTGCTGCAAATCACAGGGTCAGTCCATGGGATATTCAGGTACTAGAGCGTCCGCACATGCTCGCCGAAGCACTGGCGACAATCGCACTCATCATTTATGATGTACAACCGGTTCCAGAGACTACGAAGAACACTCTGGTTTTCATTGTCATCTTCCGGGGCTCTCGACTCCCATTCGAGTTGCTGGTATTCTCTACGCTGAGCTTCAACTTGTACCTTGAGCTTCTCTTCGGCGGGGAAGCGCAGAGTGAGACAACCTATGTGCATGGCAAGCATGGAAAACACCTTCATCAGTAAAGGGGGAATGGCCCACCGGCCATTCTGTCAGCTACTTCTGGAATAATGGCTGCGAGGTTTTCGCACTTTCCGGGAAAGCAGCCAAAGGCGGCATCTGAGTTGTCTGGCACAAATTTCCACATAGATAGTGTGTTACTCATGTGCAGCAGGTCTGCTTTGATTGCAGCAATCTTTCGACCTTGTGTATCGCCGGTAGACAATGCTTCGAGTTCGTCAAAAAAAGAATCCCGCTCTTCTGCGAACTTTGCAATGACGGTCAGTTTGAAAGTTGGATCCATGCTGCGCTGTCAAGTTAGTAAAGAGATCTCGAACAAGAGGTTAAGCCCAGTGATAGATGAAAGTGTGAGCTTGAATAGGATCTAGATGCTGTCGATGGTTTGACTTGGTAGTGACATATTTGATTCCAACTGGAGGATGGGATGTATTTATACATGTAGATCTGCTTTGGCATGACCTTCGCACTTCTCTTTATCATAACAAGCCAATGTTCATTGTTTGTTCAAGAAGACGTTATGGGCCAAAAGATGTATTGTATGCAAGCCAAAAATACAGACAATGCCTTTAAGGGATAAAGCAAACTGAATATAGAGACAAAGCCTCGGATGGATAAAGGGCGAAATTGAGAAAATTCAGGGCCGAGTAAAACCACCTGAAATCGACACTGGCTAGAGAATACATTAATATTACACGACTAGAGTGGCTAATTTGATGCATTGTATAGCGCTACCTGGGAAGGAGGGCCGGTATGTAGAGAGTGGTGGTATAATGAGAGAGAGCGAGCGAGCGAGCGAGGCGAAGAAGCGTATAGAGCTCTTGAAACATTAACAGCCTTGAGGAAGTAAGCAATCACTTCATGTGAGGCTCAACAAAATTGTATTCTAATAAGATCCACTCGCTCGCCCAGTAATATTGTTGGCATGGGGCCTAAGTGTTGCCAAGATTCGCCAAACAACTCCATTCGCGCCTCATTAAAAAGAACGCCTTCTTATAATTTCGTGAGAACACATTGGAAAGTCAAGTTATTTCTTGGTGTTTTTTCTCTTTCGTTAGTGGCTGGTGAAAAAAGGGTGTCTGAGTGTGGGTGGTGCTGAGTCCTTCAGGATACGAGTGTCGAGTTTCCACTTTTTATCAAAGACAAAGGCCAAGTCCACTGTTCTTCCAACACGAAGGGAGCCCTGTCGTCATTAACAATTAGGGCAGCCCTCAGACAGGTTTCATGCTAGGTTCGTGTTGGAGTGGATAGTAGTGGGCTGAGGATCGTATTCTGTGACTTAGCTCTGTCGGAAATGTGCATTCATGAGTATAGCCTTTGATGAAAACCAAATTTCTTGCAAGCTCTTGTGAGTGAGTCCAAATTGTGGAAGTTGACTGAAATGTGGTTCAGACTTTGCCAGACCATCGATGGGGATATTTCATCAAGATCATCCTCTGGAAGCTCGAAAACTGTCCAGAGTTTCCCTCTGAATACGAGATGGACCCCTAATATAGGGGCTTGCTATGTTATCTTCAGGCTCTGCCTTATGTTGACTACATATGATAGGCTCACCATGTTTGTTTTTGCACAGGCGAATTCTATGACGGTGTTGCTATGTTTGTGATTGGAGCCGTACTCAAGCTCACTACTTGGATCTTGCTCATTATCTTCTGCATCAAGCGCAACCGCCACACCCAACATATCATCACATATGTTAACTCCCCTCCTATCCAACAACCAATGCCCTTCCAACAGACCTACGCCGCACCTCAACAGACCTACGCTCCACCTCATCGGACTGCCCAGTTCCCTCAATCTCCTAACTTACCTCGCGCCGACTACCCTGAGATGGTCGCCTCATCCATCTCCGGTACGCCTCCACCTAATGAGGCGAATGCAATCGCCAATGTTTCCAGGTACTGTGCTCAGTGCGGAATCGCTGTCTCTAGCAGACTCTGCCCCCAATGTGGTGCTCAAAGCTAAATCCTTGTTCATCAACGTTACGACAAACTTTGGATCTTTTAATAGTTGGTTTTGTTGGAGGAAGGGAATGGTGGATCAGCTGGTTGATGAAAGTTGCAAATGGTGGGAATGTCAACTTGGATTTTACTGTAAATAAGGAAACATGATCAAGGCAAAAAGTTATTCCACCATTAAGGATTTACCACAGCGAACCTAGAATATGTGGAACCGAAATTTGATTGAACCGGCTGGCTTTGTGTTTTATGTTTTAGATTGAAGCAATATGTATGTAAAAAGAGATTGCACATGATGAAATAAACGAGAAATGGTGCGACGAATCCAAACCACTGACCAGTCATAGCAGAAGAGAAGAGAAAAGTCAAGGAATAATTGAGCTCAGGAACTCGGTGCTCAAATAAAATAATATAGCAGAAACAGACGAGGCAACAACCCAATATTGAAGTATCAAAGCGCAACCTAAATATCCTTGTGAGAGGCTTAGGGTTGAATTATAAGCAACGACATCCCCAAAGCAGAGTGCAATATTACTATTAATACCAAACGACTTGTTCCTTTCTGTCTATTGTCTATTAAATATCTTTTGACTGAAGAGTAAGGTTTCATTACTCAGTTGGTCAAAGTCAAAGTTGAGATCGACCCCTCTGGAATCACCTTTTTTGTATTATTCCTAGACCTTACCCAGAAATTGCGTGATAGACGCAAATTATTCTGAAATTTTCATACAACCGGGTATCGTAACCCAGTTGGTTAGCGGTTCCATAACTCAGTTGGTTAGAGTGTGGTGCTAATAACGCCAAAGTCGAGGGTTCGACCCCCTCTGGAACCACTTTCTTTTTTCTAGTTGAATTTTGCCCTCTAATCGAAAGTAAATCGGTTCCTTTAGCTTTTAATTTTGTTTTTATCAAGTGATCCCTTCAGAAAACCGCATACTAATACAGGTGTGAGCATAGTAAAGCTCATATTAAGTTGACCCCTTATAAATGTTATATAGGAAGTTCTGATGATTTCAATTTGGTCTTAGTAATAGAGTAAACGTTTCAAAACCCCTCCGGGGAGGTACCACGCAAAGCGAGGTAAGTATATTATATAGGTATTAGGATAGGCATTATAATGGGCATTGATGTGGTTTCTATCAGCAAGACACATATCCACTCCTTACATACAGCAAATAAATATATTTTACACATCCGTGTTATAGGTTGTTATGTATATCAAGAAGCCTGGTAGGGAGGTCTGCATGGAGGAATGCAATACTAATAAAGGGTAAACAAAACAATCTTAGTCTGAATTTAAATGGAACAATGAATCATTTCAATGCAGGCCTAGTTTATATGTTAAGCGCACTTTAAAATAATGATGTACCGACCTTTTTGGTAAGGTGCGCTTAACTAAATGCCTCTCAATCTTAGACATTGAGGAGTCTTGTTCGGTACTACTACTTAACGACCGCCGACCGAGCAACTGCATTGTGTACACAGTAGACCAACTCGATTGGCGAATATATCCTACTATCTCGGTAGTTATAAGGTGGCCAAAAAGGTCTGGAAATAGCTTTCTTTTTCAAATGTAATGTATATTTAGTAGCATCCCTATTTGGTCATGTATGATTTTCTTCTTTCTTTATTGAATCTATATGCCTTGGTGCTTTCTGATCATTCATGATAGCTCCTATTTCATCGTCGATTAGAATCTAACAGAACAGAAAACGAGTCTCCATACCTTTTTTGAACTATATCTTATTCTTAGACTCTCTTATTCATCGTCTTCCTCCTATACTTCGTCTCCCTCGTCGTAATAAGTGTCCTAGTAGTGCGGCAGTACGCCATAAGTCCTACTATAAATGCAAACATTCTATATAACGTAGTGGTCGTGGCTCTGGTTCCCCCGTCGTGATCTTGAAACCGTATTGAGAAAGAACTGGCTCCACTGTGATCTAGTTCCTGAGTAAACTCTCTTTATAGAGTCCTCCAGGGGTATAAGAACCACCGGGGTCGCTGAAGATATATTCTTTTGTTGGGATATTCGCGAAGCGCTCGTTGGGGATTCTATACGGTATATTGATCATAGAGGACAACTAGTAAAAGGCGACGTGTATTTCTGTATTGTCTTCGCTGCATCATATGGGACGGAATGTGTAATTTACGCGATCTTAGATTACCTCTGTGCCTCTAATGCGATCAATCTACAGACTCTTTCGGTCATGATTTCTCCTCCCTATAGAATTTGCTGCTCTACAGGGACTCTAGGGTACAGGGACGCGCCGAGCTAAGGTATATCAAAGAGGGATAAATTAATACAGACAGGGGCTCTTTGTAAAGACACTAGATTCGTAGATAGCTATCACTATAAATTTTTAAAAAACAAAAAGAATGGGGTGAGCCGGGATCGAACCGGCGACTTTACGAATAAATGACTGTAGCTTCAGTCGTACGCTCTCCCAACTGAACTATCGCCCCATTATGTAATCATACCAATCAAAAAAGGTATAACAAACTTGTAAAACCATTATTTTAAAAAACCCTGATAGATAACGGAAGGGGCACTAATCCCCTGTCTTAGTCTTGGTATAAGGGATATATATATTATTTGGTAGACGCAGATGGAATGCTCATAGCCTTTCATCTGTAGATTATTTGGGGTTGCGCGTTACTGCTAAATATATATATATTCTTCCAAGGTTCTAGAAAAGTATAAAATTACCATCGACCTACATAGCATGGGAACGTGGGTGGACTTTTCTAGAAAATCACAATGTAGTATCATCTCTAAGCGAGATGTGATCTCGGTAAATATATGGGCAGATTAATCAAAAGACTCGATAATTGATCGCAAACACTAACAGAGATCCAGTGGATTTAGTCTTCAACTTCGTGTAGGACTAAAAAACACCCTCTCACGTATATTCCTCCAGCTTTGAGATACTTGCTATTACTAGGCTGGTAAATTTCAAATCGAGACTTCCAAAGATAAACGAAGTCTGTCCGAATTGGTGGCTGGTCCCCTGGGTCTGTATTTGTAACCAGGGAGGTCATTGAACAGACTCTGATCATACTTGCTAAATTCTGGCCATATAAGCTTACTGAGAAGCGGGGAGAGGGAAGGCGCCAGGAAGGGTGTGGCATTATTGATATCTGCCAAAGGCCGCTTGAGGAAGTCTGGAATGGCCTGCTGAAGAAGAACAAAGGCGAAGCATGCGAAGTTGTCATCTTCAAACAGGTTCTTGGAATTTTTAGTACACCGCCAGTGAGGTCTCAAACATCGACACCAGTGAATGAGTTGACCTTTCCGGTGTTTCCCAATCTTCAGGGTCTTCTGGTAGGAGAAATATCCAATGCCAACATCCACGAACCCGCCGGCTAGGTTGTAGGGCGAAATAGTCGGCCGCTTGTACAATCCTTCGGGAATAGGCTCTTATCTTTGTTCCAGATGAAGGAGACTGGGGAGCTAGAAATGAAAAAAAGATCGTTTGAAGTTGTAAAAGTCTTATGACATGTTAGTAAGAATATATTTTAGAGTCGAACGGACGCACCACACATCCGGCCGGATGCTCCTCTGAGTGATTTGACATGAAGTTGAGGACAACTTCGTACGCTGCAGGCATAACCACACTGTAGAGAAATCACCAGTAAATTAGTAAGACTTGGTGGCAATCGAATGATCTTGCGCATCATGGAGCCGAGCACGGAATTTGTCAATCGTATAGTGTTGGCCAAATCCATCTTCGAAGAAGGTAGAATAAACGCCCTGTTGGAAGGCAGCAAGGCAATGACAAATGACTGCGGACCATTGCACTAGCCACGATTGATACTTTGAAAATTCAACCAATGGGACATGTAGGTCCACAATGATCACCACGTCCAATCGGAGCTATCAAGCTCCCAGTTCATCCTTTCTGATCGCTTAGTTAACCCCCATAAAACATATGTCACATCTGAGAATGGCTCTGCGTCCATTGACCAAGGGGCGCGGAACCCGGAAATGTGCCTAAAGAACAATTAGCTCAATATGGTCGGTGTACAGTTGCTTAGGTATAGAACTTACATCGTCTTAGTGAGATTATCGTAGATATAGATGGCGATAAGGAATGCGCAGTTCATTTTGCGGCAATTGCCAGACTGTTGGGACCTCAGACCTTCTGTTTCCCCTGGCTCTCCTCCTACAGAACCTCCGTGCAATTTTCATTCTCTTCAATTGTGTGAAAGACACTATTATATGCCCTGTGAAATGACACCTTCTTCAGCAGCTTCTTGATATTCTGTAACTGCGCAAGATGGGCCTTCTTACGTTGTGCTAATCCAGCAGGCTCCTCACACTTTTCCGGAGCCGGTGGATCTTCATTCAGGAGGCTACAGCGGTGCGACTGGAACACTCAGTGGTATCTAGTGCACTGCCAACAATCTGGGACCACAACACAAGCAGTGAAGCGTCCGTCGAATTGCTGGTTGGCCTGGAGGCCCAGCGCGAGCCGATCCTGCGCACCTCGCTGGTGCTTGAGCCATGAACTCCATTCCTGTTCTATGAAAGAATTGGCCGATTGATCGAATGCATTGAGGGTATTATTATTCAGATAAACGGGCGAGTCGTGGAAAATGAACATCGATGTGACAATTGCAAGTCATTGGGGGTGTGTGGTCCTTGATCATTGGGGAAAGCCTAAGCCCTGTGGATGCTGCTATTATGATTCCAAGCCTTGTTCCCGCGACGACGCTATCCCAATCTTTGCAGGTAGCACAAGCACCCCTACGCAATCCCACCTCCAACGTACCGCCTAAAACACGATCCTTGGCAGTCTTCGAGAACTGCGTGTGCCTCTTACCACCTTAAAACAGGCACAAGCAACTCTAGTAAAGGCCAGTGGCAAAGTGGCAGCGAGACTGAAGGTCGATAACTAGGTCCCGGTCACTGCCCGTAAGCGACTGGATCGAGACTGACCCGTGCAGTTCCGAGATCTGCGAAGTATTCGAAACGCACAGAACGAGGCTCTCCAGAGCAACAACCGCGTCAACACCGCTAACGAGAATGTGGTGCTGGCTGTAGAGGCTTTGGATATCGCCCTGTCAAGCTGGAGCGGCGAGAGTGCTATTATCTGACAGCCTCTGCCACCCTCAATGGCTTATTCATCATTTTTATCGTCGTCTGTTATGACGGCTCCTCTTAGCTAGTCCAATTGATCATCGTTACGTATCTACATAATATCTATCGTAATAATTGGTACTATTTCTTAGTGCAGATAAAGGTCTTCTAGGATACGAACTAACGTTTATTTCTTAACGTTTATTTTTATTTTTATTTTTGGTTCGATTTCTCGTTTCGAGTCCTCGTTCACTGTTCTTGTTACTCGGTTTACTAACCCTGTAAATTTCCATCACGCTATCCTTATAAAAAGAACGCAACTCTCTTATATATCATATGAAAAACAAGAGGTAAAAAGCGCAATGTAGGATTGAATACCGGTGGATGTTGACTTTCACACTTCAAGAATGAAATTTTATCCTGACTGATGAACGTTACACATTGATCACCGTAAAAGTGGCAAAGAATAGAGAATGGGAAAACGAGTAAGAGATGCCCCTTTACATACATTAGAAATATCTGTTGATAATGAATGATCATCGAGTGTTCGGTTTACTCCAGCTTCTTCATCATCCCCGTCGGTGAAAAGGGCTCCCTGCAAAACCGCGACAGATAGCCAACTGAGTCGGGAAAAGGCGTGAACGAATGGGTTTCTTTTGAGAAGATATTATCTTAACTCCGCTGGCAGTCACATTCTTGGTATTCCCATCCAGATCTACGTGACGGAAAATTTAGACACTGGAGTAGAGAATGAAATACAAAACAACCACGACTGTATTCGTGTGATGGTTAGACTTACTCCTCTCTCAGAGTCAAGCTTCCAGCAAGCATGGCGTAAACATACTGCGTTCTGCCGCTGAATCTGTGATGGGTATCAAAAACATCAAGTGATTCCGCTTTCTGCCGCAAAAGTGGAACAGATATTTGGACGAACCCAATTTACACCACGCACTGTTGTCACCCCTGGAGTGTATGAGGTTTTCCTTTTCATGACGTGGACGGAGGCTCAAGGGCTCTTCGACAAACATGGAGGCGCTATCGGTGCCTCATACGAACCTTTTGTTGATCAGAGAAGATAATGTTTTTATGCCTTCGATAATCTTGTACAGTAACAGTGCATTAGACTGTAGGCTTGGTGAGATAAGTGTGGGTCTTTTTTTGGAATAGAATTACGGCTCAGAGAGCTGTTTGATCTCTGATACAAGTGCGGTCTAGGTTGGTTTCCCATCAACTCGATCGTTCAGATAGAATGCAAGGAATTATTTTACCATATATCCGCAGCCTGGCTCTTTACTTGACAAAGCCATCATATAGAAAAACAAACAGCTCAGGTTACTTGCAACTCTTTCAAGCTTAGTGTTTCCTCTTCGGCTTTCTTCAGGTATCCCTTCCCAAGAAACCTACTAAGCACCGGAGTGTAGTCAAAGATCAAGTCGCGAATATTCGCGAGGGGCCGAGGCAAGGAGTGGAACATCCTGCCAAGGAAACGTGCAAATTCCATGTTGTGATTGACATAATCGACTCTTTGTTCCTCGTAGATCTCAAATGCGGCGCTGACTGCTAGCGAGTCGCGTAAATCAACACCGTCGAGGGCCTTAGCAAGAAAATAACCGTCTTCAATTGCCATACCCATACCATACGCCGCATATGGCGATACCGGATGCACGGCATCACCAACGCATACGACCTTTCCGGCAGACCACTTTTTCATAGAAGGTCGGTTGAAGATTTCCCATCGGTATACTTGAGTTTCGAAGTCGGTGGCTTCGAGAAAACGAGGCATAGGCTGTGCCCAATCCTTGAGGATTCCGGTGAGATGCGTTTTAGGATCATCTGGGATAGGCTTCCCATCCCACGATGGCTCGACCACCCACCACTCAAATCCTGGCTTGCCGTTATGAAGCATTGGGAAAAAACTAGCCTGATATTGCCAGTCATGCGCAATAACACCGTAGTTTTCGGGAATACCCGGTATATGGTCGCACCAAGCGAGCCAAAGACGAATCCCGGTGTGGAACAGACGAGGCTCACCAAAGGCTTGTCGCGAGACTTTTGAGTGGATTCCGTCAGCGCCAATGAGAATATCGGCCGTGACTTGGAGGCCATTTGCGAAAGAGATCTCAATGCCATCACCGCGCTCCGTGTAAGAAGTGAACTCATGATCGGCCTGAATAACACCTTCCGGGACAAGGTTCAGGACTTTTTCAAATATCGATGAACGGAGGACGCCATAGTGCCAGCCTTTGATACCCATGCGTTTCTCAACCTCCGCATTGAATGGCAGCTTAACGCGTTCCAGTCCCTGTTTATTCTTGAAATAAGTGACAGTGTAGGAACCGACATTGTCCAAGTTCAAGCCATAGGATCGAAGAATCGCCAGGACGGGAGTTGATAGCAGGACTGCACCTCCAATCGCTTTACATTCCGGCTGCCGCTCAAAGATCTTCACATCGTAGCCTCGTTGAATCAAAGCTAGGCCACTGGAGATTGAACCGGGTCCTCCTCCAACGATGGCAATCCGTTTCCCGGGACGCCACTTCGGAGAGGAAGCCATAAGAAGACTTGAATCGATAAAAGGGGAGTTAAAGAAGATGAGATGAAACAAGACAAGTTGATGAAGTCAACACTGCATTCACCGGGAAATCGGGTTTCTATACAGGATATTTATGACAGGATGGACAATGGTTTAATTTTCGCGACGAGAAAGAGCAATATACTGCTACTACGTAGTGATTACTATAACAGAAGGGGAAAGGATCTGCAAATCATCACAGTCCCGACGGTTCCCCACATGCCGGAATCGGGGTGGGGTATGTATTTTAACCCGGCAATTTCTTCGCCACGAAATACACCTTGATTCCCACAATTTATTGATTTTTGAGTTACATTCAAACAATCTCTATCTAAGATAAGTACTGCAAAACATGAGCCCTGTAATTGAAGTTTCACAATTCCGAACAACGCTAGTATATGCAGAAGATCTATGTGCAAGCCAGTACTATCACTGACATGATATAAAGAAATTACAAAGGCAACCCCTTTCTTATTCTATATATTCTCATTTCCCCCATGGGTAAGAGAAGCCATGCTGAAGTTCACGAGTCAGTTGAAGAGCATAAGCTTGAGATCGCGTCTAGAGAAATCATCAAGAACCAACGAGCGTAATGACATACACCTAACTCCTCCAGTCTCAGAACAAGTAAGTACATCAAGACAAAGAATCATCTCATCACCACAAGAGTATATAGTGAAATTACTTAGAATTCTACGCTAGGCATAGGATGAGGTAAAAAGCTTAACGCTGAGTTTCAAAAAGCATGTAATGTAGCGCTAGCAGAGAGCCTTGATCTTGCGTAGGTCGAGGAGAATCAAGGTGCAAGAATCTCTATGGCACAAGGCGCAAATAGAGGCGTCGCTCGTCTTAGAGTGGCTGACACGAAATCATAGTCTATACGACATAGAGGAGATAAGCTTGATACAAAACCCGCTGGCTGACGACTTAGGAGGAAGGCTTTTTTTTGGGTCGGGTGAATTTCCAGGGAGTATCCACTGTTTATTCGTAGTTCCTTAGTCATGTTAGAAACCCCTATAAATTGCCAGAACGAGGGGTACAAAACACAGAGCATTCATACATTCTGATTGGCCTGGGCTAGATAGCAAGTGACAGTTTTTATTCCAGATATATGCCTGAATTAGTTATCTACCTTTACTGCGGAGAATATGCAGCCTGCGACATTCGCCATCTGGGATGCATGGTGACTAGCTTTGACTCATATCGCGAATGAGGCCGAGTTATAAAGGGGAAAATTCGGCGCCAATTTGCTTGAATGTGGGAGTAGTATTTCGCATGGAACTTCGGCTTGTGGTATCGATCTAGTCACGTGGCATTCTAGGGCTTGGTTCACCAATATCCGGTTTACATGGTGAACAAGCAGGCGAGGTACCGCTAGTGAAGCTGATATCCCATACCACTACGCCTGGTTTGATGTACCGTTGGTTACCAACATGGATGGATATGCAAAGTTTGATAGGTGTAACTGATGATCCATCCATGTGATAATTGAAAGTCTATTGAGTGAGGCATAGTTCTAACTTGGTGCCCTATTCAATTTTTTACGCACAGCTTCGAGAATAGTAAAATAATACACGACTAAAAAGTTGTACGATTGAGAGATGGTGTGAGCCACAGTGATCGCTAGGGCCCTTCTGTTTTAGTTGGATCACATGGGATACATGCAGGTCCGACAATCGCCGCCGCTGAGGGGTAAAACGACGGGGGTGACAAAAGTACGGAAAACAAAACTAAGGAACCAAAAAGGAAACAAAAAAAAAAGAAAGGGTAATTGATACAAATCTTTTCTGATGTGTTTCACCGCATCTGCCGTCAAATTTGAAGTTAAAATTACGTTTTCTCGACTACCCAAATGCTTTCTCTCATCCTGATCTGCATCCTCTCTTTATTATTTGTGTTCCTCCTGTTCAAATTGGATAGGAAAACACATCTCCCGCCAGGCCCGAAGCCACTTCCCTTGATTGGAAACATTCATCAACTCCCCAGGTCATCTTTCCTAGCCCTATTGCAAAAATGGCACAGAACCTACGGCCCCATCGTCAGTATCCAAATTGGTACTCAAGTGGTGGTGTTCTTAGGCTCTCACCATGTCGCCCACGAGATCATTGGAAAACAGGGTGCATGGTTTAGTTCGCGTCCAAAGCTGCCATTTATGGACCGGATGATGCGAGGCCCCCTTCCAATCAGCCTGCCATATGGGGAGGAATGGAAAAACTACCGACGATTCCAACATTCGATCCTCAATATCCAGACGATCAAGTCATATAGAGCGGCTCAGGATCTCGAGTCCAAGCAGGTTCTTTGGGAGATGTTAGCATCCGATGATTTCGAGAAAGCATTGGCTCGATATGCGTACAGTTTGGGATCTACCTTGAATTACGGGCAAAGAATCGCGGATCAAGATGCGACGGAGATTAAAGACGCACATGAATTATTTCACGAATTGATCGCTGAATTGTTTTCGACTAATCTACTATTTGACTCCATTCCATCCATCGGGCCCTATTTGAATTGGATGGCCGGACGAAAAAATGCCGGAGGCAAGGTTGCTAGTGGAGTGCATAACCTTATTACTGAATACATAAACAACGCTATCGCAAACGGAGCACAGCAAAATTGGGCCCAGAAGATGCTCCACGAAGCCTCGTTACACTCGAGGGACCACGCCAGGGTATGTGTGGAGTCGTTTGAAATGTACATAGGAGCCAGTTTGACGACCCAGACTTCACTGTGGATATTTGTGCTGGCCGCGCTTCTCCATCCAGACGCAGTTTTGGTGGTACAGGAGGAGTTGGACTCGGTCATTGGACAAGGCAGATGTCCATCGTTTGAGGACATGCCCAACCTGCCCCACCTCAACTCTTTTGTTAAGGAGGTTCTTCGGTGGCGACCAATCCTTCCCACCGGAATCCCCTACTACTCTACAAAAGACAGCGAATACGAAGGCTATCGCATTCCCAAGGGAAGCATTGTGGTAGCCAGTCAATCAGCAATTAACATGGACGAAGCAATGTTCGATGAACCTGAACTTTTCAAAGGAGACCGATACATGAAAAACCCGGATTTACCCGAGCCCGCTTCCTTTGGATATGGACGAAGAGCGTGTCCTGGACAGCATCTGGCTCGCGAGTCTTTATTTCTTGTTATTTCACGATTACTCTGGGCATACAACATTGTGCCTCATCCAGAAGACGGAACACTGAATATTGATACGGTGCGATCAAAAACAGGTTTCATTTTCTTCTGGCCATACCCATTCCGGGCGAGGTTCCAAGTCCGCTCTCCAGATCATCAGGCCATTATTGAGCGTGACTTCCTGTGCAAATCCTAGAACCTCGGTGAAAGACTTCAGGATATGCATGGATTTTGCCATGTCATACTTCCATTTTGAAACCAAAATAGCCCAGCTAGTGCAATCGAGCTTTTTACAGACCCTGCGAAAAGTACTGCGCAGAATCCAGTATTGAAGTTGTTGCCTTGTCCTGGCATTATTTCCGAACGCAGAGCCGCAGTACTAAACCCGGTTTGGAGGTGGTTGCCTACATGTGTGCTCGGTTCATGCACATCCCTTGCAAACAACACGTGAACAGAAGCAATTTTTGTAGAGCTCAATTCTAATTCGCATAAAAGAGAATTTGAAGGCATTCTATAACCATATCAAATCCAAACCATAACAACAAAGTATTCGACAAGGGTATATCGCACATGTTGATCGTAACAGTGAAAAAAAACCAAAAAAGCATAGCTCACACCTTACATCTGTATAACAAAAAAGACAATTATCACATTGTCCGACCCAAGCTTCAAGCCCAGCGCCACCCAGAATCATGAGACTTCTGCTTCCTAATAACAGAAGACAGCAAATTATCCCTCTTTCCGAATGGATTCCGCTCATTCTTCTTCTTCTGGCGCTGTAACAACTGCACAGCAGCTGCGGCGTCAATCCCCTCGCCCGTATCAGTGATTTTCAGAGCCCATTTCGCATCTTCGGTTGCAAAGCCTAGGTCGTTGACCATCATGTGGATAGCTAGATCGACGGGATCAAGGACTTGCGGACGGAGAGGTGCAAGTCTTGGTACCGTGACAGGTACCATGACTGGTGCCTGGACTGGTGCCGCGACTGGAGGCACCACAGGTGCCACAGGCGCAGGCGGCATCTGAACCGACGTCGACGAATCAGACGCATAAGTCGGTGTCTGCGGAGCCTCTCCAGCCGTCGACGTCGACGACCGATCAACAACAAGAACCGGAACAGGCGGAGCAGGCTGCTCGGGTGTCCTGTCCAGATTGCGGAGGATGGCACTATACTTCGACATTGGGCGTTCAGCCGAGAACGAGATTCGGCCTTCTGGTTCCTCGAGACCGCGTGCGCGACGGCGACGCAGCTCGTTCGCGAATGCTGTTTGGCGAGTGCGGCTTTCGCGTGCTTCGGTTAGGCGGGGGTTGCTTTGGGGTTCGTTTGGTGGTGATGAATTTCGTTCGTGGAGTTCGTAGGCGCGGGAAACTGCTTCTTTGAGGAAGGAGGAGCGGCTGACTTCTGTTTCTGTGAGTTGCCATTTTGTCAGGCCGATGGCGTGTGCTTTTGTCAATTTCGCGAATGGGGTGTCTGTTGCGCAGACGGAGCTGAGCGTGAGTACTGCGCTCAGGCCGAGGGTCATGATGTATGAAGTCCACTCTTCTTGATGGGTGTTAGCATTATTGGTACATGTGAAGATTATTGTTGGGGCTGCCACTCACCGAGAACAGTCTCCTCCCGAACCGCATCACCATCCGGAACATCCAAGCCATCGAAAATCCCCACCTTACGCGCCTCACTACACTTCCCATGCAAGGGCTGCAACAAAACACCCATACAAGTCCAGATCTCCGTCAAATCATACATCTGCTTCTGCGACAACCCGTCCAGATTGCCACGCCCAAACCCTTTCGGCGGCTCGAAAAGAACATTGTTAATCCCAAACGGCTGCGTCACGCTCGACTCGCTATACTTCTTCGCCTGCACGCCGCCATTCAACCAATCCATCTGCCCGGTGATATCATTTTCGCGTCTTTTCCCGCTCCCGAAGATGCGACAGAACGTCCACAGCCGCCAGAAGGCATCGTCCACTTCCTCAGCGCGCTGGTTGTCGACGCCTGCTAGGCCGCGGACGGTATCCGGTCGCAGGAATGGCGCGCAGCGCGCGAGAACGAGTGCTTTGAGCTTTGCGAGGGTGTAGATGTCTTGTGCATAGCGTTGCAGATATAGTGTTGGCGTGTACTCTGGGACCTGGGAGTCGGGGTCGAGGAGGAGTTGCCATTCCATTTCCCAAGGGGGGCTCATCTCACGCAGTTCCCAAGCTGGCGGGGACATTTTGAAAAGTGCATTCTTTATGAGTGGGAGTTCGCGGCGCTTGAAAGCAGAATATGTTTTCTTGTTGACGAGGACGAAATTGAACAGATCATCCAGCGAGTCAATCTTCTCCATGATCGTAATGATCAAATCCACCGGCATATCCGCCGGAAGGGTAACATTTTGATCATGGCTCTTAGTCCTCAGCGGCAGAACAGACGACAGAAGCACTGAAGAAGGCGAAGTTGGCTCTGCGGGAAGCTCATAGATTTGATCCGTAAGCTGGAGACTGCTGGCCTGAGCGGTGGAAATCAACGCCCAACTCTGGCGCATTTTCTTGCGCACCTCGGCCTGGTGCCCGACCGGCTGGTTTATCGGGCCGCCCGGGCTTCCTGACAGAAAGTGTTCCACGACTCGCTCGAGGAGTGCCGCGGTTGCGAGATCATCGGTTTCTAGTTGGGGGAGTTGTTGTCGGAGGTCTGAGACATGCTCCGACGTTATCTCTTCCGATCGGGCGCTAGTACGGACTTGGCTTTTGCGAAATGGGGCCAGAAATGATTTCTTCTTTTTTGCTTTCTTGGGGCCCTCAGATGGCATGCTTCGTTCGGATTTGAGCATTGGCAGTCTTTCATTCCAGGTTTCGTGGGATCGCGATTGGGTCTTTTCTTTGGAGTCAGATTTGACGCGACTTGGCTCTTTGGTCGGACTTGACCCAATTGTGTATGAACGGCCATGCTTGTTTTTGTTTGGACTTTCTTTTTTGGGCGTCGAGCTAGGCGTGGTGTTTGTAAAGTGGAGCTTCGTTGAGGGCGGGAGCGGCGCCCGGCGAGTAGCAATCAAGTCGCCATTATTGCGGCTGATTTGAAGCGGCCTATCGAGGACCAGCCGAGACTTCTGGGACAAGTCTTTGTCTGCCAATTCTGCCAGGGTATCTTCGAGCTCCTCGGCAGCCTGAGATAGTGTAGGCACATGGCGACCGCGATGACCATCAGTTTGCAACTCTGACTCATGTCGGCTACGACAGGGCTGAGCTTGGAGCTGACTGTGTTCGGAACCATGCCAAACGTGCCCCGGTTGCCGCTGCGTGTCCAGCTGGTGTAACATAGAATTCTTCCACTCATTGTGGGTCATCAGAGGGGAGAGTTGGAGCGGTGAAACCATCAGGTCATTTTTCAACGGCGTTAACCATTGTGGTCGGGGGTATGATGAGGTTGGTGACAAAGGTGAGTCACTTTGACGTCTGGAGGCCGAACTAAAATTGAACACTGGTTCGAGCGGCAATGGCTTGTTCTTGAGGTCGTTCATCGCGACCTGCTTGGTTGGCCACTGGTGGTGTATCGGGTTCAGCGAATGTAGAGAGTACCGGGAAACGTCCGAGAGACGTCGCAGAGAGGAGAGAGAAGGGACATCGTCGAAGACGCCCACCGCAACGGGTGAGTGGATCGAGTATGCATCAGGCGACTTGAACGGGTACCGTCCATCGTCGCCCCAGAAATCCGTCCCAATAGTAGTGATCGACGTGCGCCGACTGTAGCACGAAGAAGCGCCATCGAACCCATTCAAGGCAAATGACGAGCGCGTCGCCGCACCTGCCTCATTGATCTCCGGATCGACGTCCGCGGAGCCTCGATACAAGATCTGCACTCTTTCCTCGAGTTCTCGCTCAAAAGGCGTAGGCCCCATCTCACGTTCCGGATTTCGATCTGCACAAACCGGGGAGACAATGGAGAAGTGTGAGGAAAGCTCTGGAAAAAAGCGGGCCAGACGAGATGCTGAGCGAGGAACTTCGTCTGACACTGGGGAGATCTCGCCGAAATCCAGGAGTGAGTCGAGGTCAATGATGTTTGATTCCTCCGGGGAGGAGCAGCGACTGTCCCCGACTTCGCCGAGGGCGGAGTCTTCTTCTTCAAACCAGCGGTCGTCTGATTGGTCTCGCTGAATTTCTTTAGATTCTTTAGTGCCGGGTGCCATGCATGGTCCAGTGGATCCTGGTACGGCTTGCGATGGGCCAGGAGTGGTATCCGCGATCTGTGTGGGTATTGTGTGCTCTTTGACACCATTGGAATCTTTGTCGATGGTGGTGCTCGATACATTGCCCCGAATGGTCATCAAGTCATGTCTCGCTTTTGATAATTGGCGTTTCAGGTTCATCTGCAATTCTAGCGATGCTGGACGCTTCAATTTGTTTTGGGTTGACTGTTTGTGACGAGGTCGGAGCGGTTGGAATAATTGATAGGAACCCATATTGTTTGAATCTTTCTATTTCACGGCATTCTTCGCCCAATTTGCTACTGTGCTTTGTTAGTTATTCGATTCAAAGATGTTACTATGCCAGTCCGTATGGCGTAACAATCATCTCTGGTTAGTACGTACCTTTCGAGTCTAGTGAAGACTCGGGAGGGCAAATGCAGGTTCTTTGTCACAAGAATAGTACGCAGTCGGATGAACAACAAAGAACGCGATCTTTTTTTGCTCTTCGCAAAGTTCGCAAAGACGACGAATAACGAATAAAGAATAAAAGTGTGAAGAAAGACAGGTCGAAGTGAACAATATTTCAGTAAGGGCTACACAGGCCACTTGAGATCGCCTCTTTAGGCCCCCAAAATCAGCATCAAAGTCGAGGTTGTGTTACCTCAAAATCACCAAAAAGGAGAATAAGCCAATGACGATAATAACCAGGATTATTCTCAGGTAAGCTGCAGCTAAACAGCGATCCCGAAGGGGCCAAAAATCAGCCCCCAAATACCTGACCGAGTAGGTTGTTCTGAGAGTCAATGAATTATTGGAATGTCGTTCAGAAACGTGGGAGAAGTAATTAATTTGTACTACATATAATTAATTATAACTACTCCGTATAGTATTCCAACTCTGATCTCGTAAGTTCGTGTAAAGGCGCAGTGTGTTCTTATTCTCGTGTTGATCGACGGCCGCAGTGGCTGTCAGGGGGAAAGGATCGACAAAACACGAATAACCACATTGGGCCAATCATGTTGATCCGTACGGGGCAGATTGCAAGATTGTACATATACAATATCGCAGACAGAGCTAGGGATAATGCAGTCATCATTGCCCTGTTGCCCCATATCATATGCAATCTAGCAAATAATTGGTCTACAATGCTAATAGGTTCAATGCATGGTACCGCGTGGTATGACCTGACGCAGTGAGAAGTCAAGAGGATCTGCTAGTTACCTATCTCTCACACTGATCGGCGAGAGTTCTCGTCTATCTTTCCGTGTACGGCTCTGCAGTGGGATAAGACATAGCTTATTTTTGGCCACATCCCCATGTCATGGTAATACCATCCCACGATCGAATCCGCTCGAGAGCCTACCTCATTCTTCATCCTTCAGGCCCGCTTGAGCTTAGACTTTCGAGGTGCGAGGTAGTTTTAGCAATGGTTTCTAGTTATCCCCTCGGTAGTAATCCTTCAAGCGTTGGCATCATACTGCATATTTGCCGACGTTGGACCAACAACTAACTATGGGAAATATTGAAACTTGTACTCTATAGAGTATAGTGTGCTGCTCGTTCGTACCGACCATTCTGCCCCCAATAAACACCTGCTGTGCAACAAGAAGTTGGGGCGACTCCGTATCATAATCAGCCTTGTGGGGGCACTTCCAACCCCTCATCGCATGCTGGTAATATACAGTTGGAGGTGGATCTATTTCGGACCCGTGCATTTAAATCGGTTTAGCAGCCGCTATCCTGCAGAAACTGTGTCAATACCCCCAGACCTTGGTGCCAGAGATACAAATAAAACAAAGCTGTCATCAATGGCTTGGAAAGCAGTGAAAATACATGTTGAAGCGAAGCGGAGTTCGTTCGAGCGGATTTGGCAAGTCAAGTTTTATTTTTGTATCGTCACTGCCGGGCTAACGCAAGGAAGGACGGGGCGGGATATGGGGGCGGAAAGGACCGTGGGGGCGGGATTGGTCTTGACTCCACCTGTTGATCGCATTTCATTCTGAATCATTTCGCTATTACTCACCACACACTTGAGTAAGGTGAGAAGTGCTATATTGAGTATTGATCTAATAACCTTATGTGACGCTTTTACCCGATTAGGAAGGGCTCTTATTTCGAGAAATTTCGTCTTTTCACAACAATTTGAGAAGTACACCTGGAGACACACATCTGATTTCTTACCATGACATCCACATTGCTTTTCTGCATTGCTGAGGAGGCCAAGCCTGTAAGTCAATTACTTATTGATTAGGGGCTTTGTTGGGCATTTAAAAAAGTTAATGCTTCACGTCATTCGCAAAACAATACTGACTTTCATAATCAGTTTATCCCTCGGGCTATGCGTGAAATCAGTCCAGAGGAGAACTGTCCCCCTATATACTATCTTGTGGAATCGAAGGTCTGCCTAGATAGCCGCACGGAATTCAAATCTCAGCTGCAAGATGGTGAGCCTTTCGGGTCAGAATTCATCGGTGCCTCTAAAGAGGAATGCCAGAATTGGGCAAGATCGAATTGGGACGACGTCAATTTCATTTCAAAGAATATCATAGCTATTGCAGATGAACGAAGCGCTCGAGACGGGACTCTGCTCCTGAGCTACTACTGTTCAATAGGCGAAGATGCCCAGTTGGAACTTGAGGGTTGGGGACCCCTGCCACCGAAGAACGACACCTGGTATGACTTCAGAATTGAGTCTGTTGGATCGGATGACCTCCACACCGATCTTTTTCTCGCCCCGATTGAGACTGCCTATCCGACCTATTTCGGGCGTCCAGAGAAATTTACGAACGAGGCAGGTGTGTTCGATGTGTTCAAAGCGAACAATCATGTCGCTGGTATGGATAGTGAGCAGGAGGATGAACTATAATGCTTATACCTTTTTGTACTACAAAGGATGCCAAATTTGACTGTTTCCATTTGAAGTTTGATGTTGGTTCTATTAGACCCTACTCTAGAGCCTAGCTCTACTCCTAGGCCTACCGCCAAGCCTGCCTTGCGAGCATCCTAATACACTAAGGAGTATATTATCGTAGAACCACTTATTGCGTCTATCCGTTAGGGTCGTTCTAGCGAAAGGAAACAAGCCTCCTTTAGCTTAACTCTGTAAATGATCAAATTCGCGTAAAGAATATTAAACATAAGATTCCTAAAGCAAATAGATGTATCGATACTGCCGCATTTAAGACCGCTACGGAGTAAATCAAGTGTGTTGAGACAAAATAAAAAGACGGGACCGCAATCGGACAAGCGATTTGCTAAACCCAACTTCGTACTGGCCTGAGGCGCCTACTGAACCGAACTCCCGCGTCTACCCCTTCATCTACTCGAAACTGCAACTCCTGTACCAGGGTCATTTGCCTATAACAGTTAGTCCCAAGGCAATATTTAGAAGCCTCCATATTGAGAATGTAACACTGCGAGGGGCTGGTCGATCAATAACTGGCTCCTCCTGCAGATCGTGCAGGATTGCGGGTCAGGGTCTCCAAACCGCAGCCCGTTCCCGCGGTTCCAACCAATAACAGACATCCATGCTTTGCTTCTTCAACTACTCAACTCTTACTCGTTTTGGAAGATCCGGCCTTGGTCACATAGCACGCTCGTGGCGGCTTCAACTTGATTCCATTTTAGGTAAATCGTATAAGATTTCAAGACATCACCAACAACAGTCCAATTGACGTCCAGGGGCACCTCGGCATGTTTTGCTCGATTTCTTGCTTTTTCCTCCTTCCAGAGGAGACCTCGTATCCTCGAATCTGTTTATAAACCCCATAAATCCCCCATATAACCCATCTTAACAGTCACTCATCACTCCTCCTCTCATAGCAGGCAAGATGTTCGCCAGACTCTCCGCAGCACTACTGGCCATTAGCCTAACAGCTCAAGCCACTCAAATCTTCAGCAACACCGGTACCACCTCGGGTTGGGACTCCACGAACAAGGAGCACCACGGGACAGTACAACAAGTGACAAACGTGGTATACCAAGGCCCGACGGCTCTTAAAATGACCCAAATCTACGACTCCAGCTACACAGGCCGGTACCACTCTGAAGTCGTCAAGAACAACGTCTACAAGCGTGGCGACAGCGGCTTCTACGGCTTCACCTTCCGCCTCCAGGACAACTGGCAGTTCTCACCCGTGCAGACCTACAACATCGCGCAGTTCATCGCCGACTTCAGCAATACCCACTGTGATGATTTCATGCCCTCCAGCATGGTCTGGCTCGAAGGTGACCAGCTGTATAGTCGCGTTAAGTACGGGAGTGTCTGTGCACAGAAGACAACGACCTTCGCGAACCTCGGCACAATTTCGGCGGGGGCGTGGCATAAGGTTGAGATTCAGGCGACCTGGAAGTCGGATGGGACTGGTGTTTATAAGCTCTGGTTGGATGGGAATAAGGTGCTCGATAAGAGTGGCATTGCGACTACTGTTGATGACGATCGCCCGTTCCAGTTCCGGGTTGGACTTTATGCTAATGGGTGGCATGATGATAAGACGATGAAGGGAACTCAGGGGACTAGGTCGGTTTGGTATGATGAGATTGCTGCTGGCAGTACTTTTGCCGATGCGGATCCTGATCAGTGGTGATTGTTCCTGGTGTGTGTGTAGAGTGATTTTGGGCTTCATGTGGATGTAATTCCGGGTTAGATTCTCTCGGATTCAATCGTGTCTTTGCCAAACGTGCTCTGCTATTGTCAACTTTCAGCTGTTCAATGCAAAATAACTCAAAATCTACCCCTTATCCAATTCACCCTGACATCAGACTGAGATAAACAGCCCATACAACTCCAAAAAGACTCCCCACTAGCATCCGCCGATCAGCAGGCACCACTGTGAAATTAAGAATAGAAACAAGAGGCCAGAGCTTGAACCCAGCGAGCATAATCGGCCAAAAGTCCTATGACATCAGCGTCAGCACTTGTACTCATCCGCCAATCTTGAATCCTTCGATCCACAACAGCTCCGCATCGTATCAACATACCGTTTCAATTTGCTCAACAATGGTATCATAACTCAACCCCCGCAACATACCCATAGTCACAATGAAAAGCGCAGTATTCCACGCTCCGCCGACACTCTGATCAATAACGATCTTAGCGAGTGTGTTGGTGACATTCAATGCTGGCTGGCTTTGTTCGTCGTGCTTTTTCTCGCCCATGGCGTTCTTTTTCTTTGACTCCCCCCGACCGGGAAACCAGGCCTCTAGACTTCCGAGCCAGAGATAGCCCAGTGGCGAGGTGATGAATGCACACGTGGTAAAGTGCGCTAGAGACTCGAGGTCTATTTCAATGGGGATCTAATCCACGTTAGTTATGAAGGAATGTTCTGGAAGGAATTCAACGATTCAACGTGTTGAAGACAAAGGAAAACGTGGGTTCATTGTTGCTTTGCTTGGCACATCCAGTATCGTTCACCGCATTGGCCTTATTTGAATCCTGCAACATCGTCGATGGAAAAGAAAAAGAAACAAAGAGCAAAACTCACATCCGCTCGATAAGCTTTGATGCCCTGGGCGAGCACATTTGACGCGGCGTTGATGAGGGCCGCCTGCAATGTGGCCTTGGCGATTGGTGGAACCGTCATTTTTCCCAAGTCAAGGTAATGAATGCAAGATAGGAAGTTCCAAAATTGAAAATCCAAGCAATGTGAATGAACCGATCCACAAATTGACCAGATGTTGGTGTCCAGACTTTTCTATCTCAAACACGGGATTCACTCCGGCCTCTTCACAGCGGATCGATGTTGACCCCACCACACCCGCAATATTGCAAAATAATTATATCAACGAGGTTGATCCAGTTTCTATGGTTGAATAGTGTCAAATTTTGAAAGCAAGGGCGTTAAAAGACAAAATATGGATGTGCGACTACATGTAGTTTCCAAGCTACAGGGATCAGCATCTTCAGATGGTGTTGGGTAGGGTAGCCCTTGCTTCGTCAATAGGGTCACAATGGGCGTGTGATCGCAGCTTTAGAGAGGCGACAGTGCCGATCGTTGTTTTAGGCCAATAGTAGCAAATGTTCAAAAACTAGCATATGGCTGGCTAGGATCCAGATCCCGGGCCGAAAAAGAAAAAAGTCAAGGCCCGAACCGCGATTCGAACGCGGGGCCTCTCGCAATTGTGACTATACCCAAAGCGAGAATCATACCACTAGACCATCCGGGCAACATTGAGTGTAAGTTTGCTGACCCGGTGTGTATATAAGCAGACTACTATTTGCCGCAAGGTGAATCTGCCCCTTTGGTATATTTCAATTTTTGGTTCAACTTGCCCATACATTGCGAGCTAAATAGAAATAGGGAGACGAAATCCATCTATCTATAGCTCTAGGAGATATGGCAAAATCAAGTATGTCAAACACGACACTACTCAACGGCGGAAGTTGAATAGACCTCGTTCATATAATAGAAGCACTTGTATGGCCTCGGGAAGCACGCCAAATCTTTATTTTACTACTCTCATCGTTACTTTTTACTTTCTTCTCTTTCTTCTTTTCCCGCTTCCTCCTAGCACATCAACTCTCTTTCTTCTTTTCCCGCTTCCTCCTAGCACATCAACCCATGGCTGTTGATTCCCATCTCCAGTGATCGCTTCCCTCAGTGTGAAGTTTTCTTTGTAGGTCACGATCACTCGACTGGGAAAGTGGCTTTGAGAAAACCGGAATTTCGGTCCTATGTCTTTGTATTCTATCTTATGATCGACTTTGCTCCAGTAACTAAAAGAAAAGAAGTCCCCTTCATTGCGTACTGCAACCGAGAGAGGTTTCGATCTCGCTGCAGATGTAGCACTAATTTGAGCCAGAAGTGATGAACTTTGGCTTTTCCAACGAGTCTTTGTTTACTTATCTTTAATCTCGGATTTCTCTCTCAGCACCTTGGAAGAATTATTGTTTGCTGTGACTCGATAATCCAAATTATATTCTATATATATCCCTTTGACTGATATTGTCAAAGGAGCAGGCGTGCAATTGTAACACACATTTTGCGTAGCCCAAAAAAAGGATATAAACTATCGTAGATATGACCTTCGAGATCTACGCGGAAATTTTTCTCTCAGCAGCATCCAATCCTACACCGTTTTATCATATATAAGTCGTCATGGCTACTCTTTTCGGCCCAAGCATATCGGATACAGAAGAATGGACTCTTCCAGTGTGGGGCGTTATTTTTGATCGACTAGCAAGCGGAAATGTAAAAGGATCAGGCCTCACAATCGGAGGAGGCAGCTCAATCTCAGAGAAAACCCCAGCCCAGCAAATCCAGTGGGCAACTAAGCTGCCTCTTGATAAGCTTGAGCAATTTACCATAGATGCAATTCTCAACAGATTCGTTGGCTTTTCTCTGGGGGTTCGATATATGGAGGAGGACAAGATCCACACTTTACATCAGCTTGTGCAGCCCGGCTGTCCGCTCCGATCCAAGGTCAACACGTGGCTTCGCTGGGTAGAAACCGAGGATTTAATGAAATCTATGATCCGATCATACGATAGTTATGAACTTGCGCAGGCAGATATAGAGCAGGTTACGAAGTGGCCAAGGGAAGCCGACAACCACCCTTTCAAAACCAACCCCGCCTATGACGCCGCGGTAAAGTGCTCCCACTGTCTCCAATTTCTAGTTGAGCAAGGATTCGTCAAGCTTAGTGGCTACGACCTATCAGGCAGAAACTGGCTCAAGGCAGCCTTGAACGGCAGCAATGTTGAACTTCTCGACTATCTTGCCGAGCACATGGATCCAGAGGACTTGCTCAAACCAAGAGATATTCGAGACCCGGTGAATGCCGGAAATCACATCCTCCTCACGCTTGCCGGATACGGCGCTTTCAAGGGCTTTGAAATTGCACTCAACAGAATGATCCAGGAAGGCGTTCTCAGAACCGAGCAACTCAGCGAAATCTTCCACCCAGCAGCCGTACACGAACTGTGTACCGTTGTGCCCCCGTCCGTAGCAAGTGCCCTCTACGCCAAAGGAATCAACATCGGCAACATCGAGCATCAGCACCACCCTCTCGGCGGCCAACTCGACGGCTCCTGGCACATGGCCGCAGCCTTCAACCCCTTCGCAGGCGAATTCATGGACTGGCTCCACAAGCATTCCCTCCTCACCCCCGAAAACCGCAACCAAGACAACGAAACACCCCTCATGTACGCAGCGAACTTCAACGAAATAAGCGCCATAACCTGGCTATGCAAACATACAGACCCGGCCCTGCCCCGCTTCGACGGCGGCGCCCCAGGCTATGCCCTCCTCTGCGCCGCCAGAAGCTCCTACCCAAACAGCCCGCAAATCTTCTGTCTGATCCTCGACGCGATGCCGAAAGCCGTCTTCACAGTCGACTACGGCAAGATCTGCGGCACCGAGATCGCAGAAGGCCTCGTACGCCACAAGACCAAGTTGGCAAAGGGCCAAATCCAAGAGCCGTCCCTGGTAGACATAGAGCGCGCCCAGGTCTGGAAAATGCAGGCCCTCGTCTGCCGTCTGCCGGGCTTCTGGCCGGGAAGTAGCTGGCACCTTGGGCTGGAGGCGTACGCAACTAACAATGGCGTCGCTGTGCTGAGGCATAGCATGGGCACGGAGACTCGTCGGACGCGAAGTACGTCGGCGCGCCGTCGTCAGGCGGAGGCGGAGCATGAGGAGGCGCTGGCTGAAATGGCACTGTTTGCTGTTGCTCCGGAACCGAGGATTCATCGGAGTAATGCGGTCAGGGGGAGGGGGACGGCAACTTCGGGTCGTCCGCGTAGTGGGCAGCGGGATAGTGCGCTTGGGCGGACGAGGAATTCGAGTAATATGGTTACGAAGAATGTGCGGAGGAGGCAGATGGGGACTCAGAGGAGTTAGTTGGGTTGTGTCTTTCGGTATTGATGGGTTGCTTTAGGATTTTGGATTAACTTTCTGCTATGTCTATCGCTACAGGTTCTTTTATTGTGATTCTCGACTGGTTGAGGTTTTGTTGAACTTGTATTTTTGGTTTCTTACTGTCTTTACGTTCGGATATTCAAATTTTATGACTCGATCTCTTATCTCTTCAGTTCATTGATTTGAACATCAAGCCACAGTAAATTCAAATAAAATCGATGAATTCAAGTAGACAGGCTCGTTTATATTCACCAGTCGAGTGCACTTGACGAAGTACCATTGTGGGATCCATTACTCACGCAATCCAATTCCTTGCACACTATCAATGTTTAGATGACTTCAAACCTTGTATAATTTTCGGTTGACTCACATTTCTCAGCCTGCTGGAACAGGTTACTTCCTTCTGGCTTGCGCATGGCTGGGAGAATCTGACCACCTTGACTTCTTTCGAGCTTTGTGTGCTGCTGAAGTCGACTAAGAATTTCGCGAGCGCCTGTTTATTCACTTAGATGACTATTCACACGTTATGGTGAAGAAACTTACATGGATTATTGAACTCAAACGGAAAGCTAGAGAACAAACAGATTAATGAAGATTGTCGCAAAGATCGGGACTGGCTAGCAACTGACCCTTGTTCCTTTGAGACGGTTGAGTATTCCTTTTCAGTCTCCCGAGCCAAGTCTTCCGTGGCTTTCTGGAGAACATCCGACAATTTCTGGACCTCGGTTTGGCCCACAACGGAACGGGAGAAGAGGTCGTATCGAATATGCGTCTTCATTTCAGAAGCGGGAAAGAAAGACAAAGCCAAACCAAAGTCCATACTAGAGAATGAATACAGCAATGTCGTTGGGAATACGGAAGTCACCTTTTGAGAGCCTTTCCGTGTCATATTTTTCACCACTTTCATAATGGCGGAACCACCAGAGATTTCGGACATTCCTCGCTCCAGATGTTTGGTAAATGACTCAAGACGACAAGCTTTGACTGCCCGATTGTTAGAAATCTAAGCCAAAGAATCGGGGAATCATATGCTTACTCGACATCTTCCAATTAAAATTCCCAGACAAGGTCTGACCAGTGACCCAGGCGGACCGGCCACTCAATGCACCGGTTCGCGCAAAGTCCTTTAAAGTTGATGCAGTTGAACTATCGAACGCAACCGGATTGCCAGCATTGAGATTCACAAACACCAGTCCCTGGTCAGTAGTATGGGTATGAACCTCAAAGAGACTATTCTGCGACTTATCAAACCCAGGAACCTCATCAAACTGAGGAGCCTTCACCAGTCGACCAGTAGTATCATAGCTCCAACCATGATATCGACAACCCAGAACGGTCGATGCACCGGTTTCCTTTCTGGTAATTGTATACGCGCGGTGGCGACAGACATTATGAAAAGCACGGATCTTCTCGTCTTTTCCGCGGATCAGAAACACGGGATAGCCAGCAATGTCGAAAGATTGATACGCGCCAGGTTTGCTGAATTGGGTGATATGGGCAAGATAGATCCATTTCTGGAGTCGTATGTTAGTTCTGAATATAGACAACTTCTGAGGTCTATTACTTGGCTGAAGAGCGCGCGGCGTTCGAGCTCGAAAATATCCCGATCGGTCCACCATCCTTCTGGGATTTCGGGCTCTTTTGACACTGTCAGGTCTGAATATTTGTCTGTAGGCGCGATGGATTGATCAAGCTCTATACTTTGCTTTTGTTGAACGAGATAAGGCCATGCTCGGTGAATCAAAAAGACGAATGTTACCAAGGCCACCACGATCGAGCCGGGAGATGAAAAGAAAGATGCATCGGTAGACTCCATTGTAGCTTAGTTTCTCCTAAATAATTAACTTTGTTTCACGATATCATCTTGTATTCGGTTCACAGCTGAACCTCATATACTTCTGATGGAGAGGCCCAAGTGCCATCCCCCCACATTATACACCTCACCCTTGCAATGCAGGCCAAAGCCCCCTCTCCGCTATATTTCCCGATTGAGTTGCAATTTCCAGGATGTACTGCAGAGGCACCAACGTCTCGCATCAACGTCTCGCATATTTGATATCGGGCTACCTTGACTGGTTATTGACTTTATCTACGTCCATATTCGTATTCTCGGAAGCAAGTGCTTGATGTGTAATTACCCAGATACCTAGGCAGTATATACTCAAAAAGACCATTGCATTATTATCATCTTCCGCATGAACGATCTGCCTAGTTACTACTAGATCACGACTAAATCTACTACGCTTCCATCTGCACCATGGATGACGCAACCTGTTCCTCCTTTCCGGTCTCTTTGGCAACCTTGGCTACCCTATCGCGCTCATGCTGCTCACAAACCATATCAAACACGCGTCTCTGGTAGTCTAAATGTATCCAGGGATTAGTGACACGCTTTGGGTGGTCAATTAAAAAGTATCAACTCACATGAAACTCCATTCTCCTTCTCCGGGTTGAGAATCCCCTCACGGTAGACACCTTTGGCCAGATTGTCCTGAGCCTTCTCACAGAGCTCGAAGTCCTCCATAGCAACCTGGCGCACAAACTTGAAGTATTCCTCAAATTTCTCTCCGACTTCAAGATGGTAATAGTCGAATTCCATGCGGGTGACCTGTGGGTCTGCTGTCGGACACACTCTGAACATGGACATGCCCCCACCATACACGTTCAGCGTGCAATTAGGGAAGAAATACAAAAATAGACCGTCGTCTGGCTTGTTCGGATCGGCGATGTGCTGTGAGAAATTGTGCTTGTTGCGCACTGTGTAGAAGGTGGGCGGGTAGTAGATTGAGAACGACGGGTGGGTGTACTGGCAATGCAGACACTCTTGGTACCCATCGACCCTGGCAGGAGATTAGAGTTGATAGATGTGAAAACTGGGTGTTAGTTCCTTACATAGTCTTCCAATTGAACCGACCCTCATAGCTGATGCTGCGACGATAAGGAAGCTTGGCAAAGTCAACTTTACCGAGTAACTCCTCCAGTTCCGGGAAGAACTCATGGAAGCTGGGAGCGTCGTCTGAAATTGTGGAGAAAAGCAGTCCAGTAGGCGTAAGATGGCTGCGCAGCTCCTTGCCCTATATATCAAGTCAGTAGGGCCACCTGTAATACCACTAGGTCAAACATACTGTCTTCGAACAAACCACCTTCAGCTCCTCGGCGAGAGGATTCAGAGTCTCCCCAGAAATCCGAACTGCAGAGACAGGCTGCTGTGCAACTTCGTACGGAACATGCTCGCCCACAATCTGGAATCTGGTCACCGGACCGAGCAAATACCAGGACTAGATTATATTTTAGTCTCGTTAGACTGGCAGAAAACTACACATGCATACTTTGAAAAAGACCGCCCGTCGCTCCATCTGATATAGGGGCTCGCTGCAGTACCAGGAGGCAGGCAAGGTGCGAGGCAGCTCAGACATAATTGATAAGACTGTTGACTATATTTCAAGTACTAGGTAGACACGACAAATTTGAACTACCATAGTGCGATATACACAATTTTATATCTTCACGTTACCTCTCTCATCAAATATCTACACTGCTAACCCATGCCTATTGGTGGCACTGGAGAGGTTGTCAAACTTTGTGTGAGTTGGGAGAGTGCGGTATATCGTTTCCAAAACAGGTTATCGAGTCCCGTTATTGATGTCACGGTTGAGATGGCACGCAGACGGCTGACTCATAGATCCGGGCTTTGGCCTTTTAAGCGGTTGAATATCGGGCAAAGGATTACCGAGGGCTGCTCTGAAGAGGTCGTTTGACTGGAGGGTTGTCCTACCAACGCAGACCTTGAAAATGGGATCGAGGGTGGACTTCACTTTTCGGGAATTTTGGTGTCCACTAAAGAGTAAGCAATGTCAAAATGATCTATGGATTCCTTAAGTTTCCAGCAATATGAAGGAACTCATTGCGATACAACATGTTTGACCTCGGTGTTCGTTACCCTCGCCCACCATATGTATCCCCGGATATAGTTCCGAAATCTAACTTGTTTGAGTAACAAACCATGGTGCCCGACACTTTGTGGATGAAGATCCAACCGCAAAACAATTGAAATCTAACCCTAGAAATCAAGATCTAAATAGTTTGCGGTTACTGACGAGTTTCACCATGAATTTGGCTGCCTAGTGAGGCGGATAAGTGGCGACCGCAGGGCGATGATGGCACAATGCCAACAGAAAGAACATTCAAACACGCAAGATACGAAAGAGAAATCTCAAACATAGCAAGAAAACAAAGACGACATTGCATAGAGTCAAAGAGCAAACAAGAAAAGAGGGCACAAGTTTGAGGGTGCCTGGTATCGCGATCATCAGACGACTTATCTTATCGGCAATCAATTACGTCGTCGCCAACTTCCAACTTATTTTCAGCTTCACATTCCACCATGGCCCCCATCAAATACACTCCTCCTCCTACACCATCACCTCCAGCATCTTGTTACGCCATGAGTGATGACGACGAAGATGAATATAATACCATCGCTCAGGCTGCCTCCCGGAGAGGGGTCAAGTTACTCTTCTCCAAAAGCAAAGTGAGAGTTTCCAAAATCGTATCAGCGAATTTCCCGGCTAATAATATTTGAAGGTCTATGTCCATCCAACTTCATCCTCTAAAGATAATATCCCTGGCTTCATTGCTTTGATTCAACAAAAATCGACGACCCCCGCATCACATGCTTCTGCCTCACAATCCAAGAACCCAGACACACCCTGCTACCTTCTCGCCTGGGTCCCAGAGTCCTCACTCGGAGATGCCTATGATACATATGTCAAAGTCGACCTGTCGAGCGGCGACTCCCCGCCACGCCAGAAGTACCTAGTTCCGCCGCTTCCGACAACCACCACATACAAAGATCCGATCGGGCTGTACTCATTCGCAGTACCTCTTTCAGAGATATACTCGCTCCTAATACGGCCGCCCAGTTTGGGATGGTGGTTCGGTAGTTTGGTGATCAACACGCGGGCAGGCGATGGTTTCCCCGCACTATTCTTCCACGACGATGAATGCGAGTCAACGATTTTGCAGAAACGGAAGAGAGTCAAGGAGAGCTTTGATCCATTTGGTGCTGAAGGAGTATTCTGGGGCGGCGATGAAATACTGCGGTGGCTGCGGAAATATGCGGAGGTACAACGGTCAGCGGTGGACCGCAACGTCTATCTCATCAACCCGTCGGATGAGGATCAGTTGTCTTTTGGTCGGCCAGTGAGTCACGGCGACAAGTCAATTTCAGCAAAGGCGCAGCCTGAAGCAGCAGCCGCGTCGACTCAATCTGGATCGACTGATGCCAGCATGGATCCGTTTATGAAGACTCTCAAGGAAACCCGGTGGAAGGTGCTGGAGCAGCTGAGCAAAATTACTACTTTCACTCGTCGAACTGCGAACGAGATTGCGGACAACCCCCGCATACCGCCTCAGATGCGTCGTTTGATGAAAAATCCCGAGATCCAGACCCTGCAAGATGAGTTCGACAGCGCTCGCGTTTATTTGGCTCGCTGGGCGATGACCGTCGCCGAGCAGGGCGACAAAGAGCGGAATCAACGTATATGGACAGCGCAGGATATGCTTGAATTGGAAAACAGTTCGGTCGGAGACTTTGAAATTTTGGAGCTGGAGACTGGGAACTTGGCGATCCAGGAGCGACGCCGAATTCTCCAACTGCCAGAATGGCAAGGATTCTTTGACCCAACCACAGGAAGACTCCAAGTGACGACAGAGGAAGTTAAGGAGCGTATTTTCCATGGAGGGTTAGACCCCAATGATGGCGTCAGGAAAGAAGCCTGGCTCTTCCTTCTCGGTGTGTATTCTTGGGATAGCAGCCGCGAAGAACGACAAGCGATGATGAACTCTAAGCGGGATGAATACATTCGACTGAAAGCGGGATGGTGGGAGCGAATGGTTGAGGGGAACTCAACTTCTGAGGAGTTTGAGCATTGGAAAGAGCAGAAGAATCGAATAGGTAAGATACAATCCCGTATTCCATACGTCGGCCACTAACACATGAAAACAGAGAAGGATGTTCATCGCACCGATCGCACCATTCCATTGTTCGCAGGCGAAGATATCCCTCACCCCGATCCGGACTCTCCATTCGCGGAGACCGGCACCAATGTCCATCTGGAGCAGATGAAAGATATGCTCCTGACATATAATGAATTCAACCCAGACCTTGGCTATGTCCAGGGGATGAGTGATCTCCTCGCGCCAATCTATGCCGTCATGCAAGATGACGCCGTGGCCTTCTGGGCGTTTGTCGGTTTCATGGATCGAATGGTAGGTTCGCATCACATTTGACATATTATCATTCACTAATTTGATATCCAGGAACACAATTTCCTTCGTGACCAGTCCGGGATGCGCGGCCAGCTCCTAGCTTTGGATCACCTCGTCCAGCTGATGGACCCACAGTTGTACTTGCATCTGCAGTCCGCTGATAGCACCAATTTCTTCTTTTTTTTCCGCATGCTGTTAGTGTGGTACAAGCGCGAGTTCGACTGGAGCGATGTTTTGCGTCTGTGGGAGACACTGTGGACCGATTATTTCTCCAGCAGTTTCCACCTCTTCATTGCATTGGCCATCCTCGAGAAGCATCGTGATGTGATCATGGATCATCTTAAGCATTTCGATGAAGTGCTCAAATACAGTATGTCCACAGCTATATGGCGCACCTGTTTCGTGCATGCTAACTTTACTTCCAGTCAACGAATTGTCCAACACAATGGACCTCGTACCGATCCTCACCCGAGCAGAGTCACTTTTTAAGAGATTTGAGCGTTCAGTTCAAGCTATAGATAAGAAGGATAATTTCCCCGCTGCACCAACTGCTCACCAGCGCCGGCCAGCAAATAACCAAGATTCCCCTTCAAACAAGGGCAAGTCGCCTCAGCGACCCGCTATTGGATCAAGCAGCGGAGTCAGCGGTCCCTCGTCTCTTCAGCAGACCGTCAATGCCGATAAACCGAAGGTGATATCTCCTGAGCTTCGAGAATTGCTTCGTAAGGATATCCCGTGGCGACGCCAGCAGTCTCCATAATAGCTTGCCGTCGATTTTCTCGACTCACGTTGCTCCCATTGTTCAGTCTCCCACTTTTTCTTCGTCTATGATTTACGATTGCGTTATGTATATCCTCAATGATTTTTTTTTTTTTACTTTGCTATGGGAGTAGGAGCACATTGTACTAGGACCTTGCAACACTATCTTGAATTGAATTATGACCAATGATATTTAGAGTATCGTGGAATTTGTAGGTAGGATAGTCTACTCTCCAATTAGCTACAGTCGCAATTTGTGTGGTAGTTTATTGAAGGCACTCCAAAATAGATAGAATGGCTGACTATACCTGATGAACGACATGCCTGACGGCGACAACAATCTGCTTTAACAACCCCTATTTAAAAAAATCTCAATCCAAAATCAAAATCCAGAAACTCAACTACTTCCTAGTATGAACCAGCTTCCCCTGAACCCAAACATTCTTCACATTCCGATCATCCCCACTCCACATCCACTTCTCAATCTGCTCATGCCAAGTCTCATTGCCAAACAAATCCACATTCCCAACAGTCCCAGTCGTCACGGCCCGCGCAACAACCCCCGTAGGCTTCGCATCAAGCGGACTAGTCGTACTATTCTTAACAGCACCAAGCTCAACAAGCTGCGCATCCCAAATCATCCCCTTATCAAACCCACCCAAATCATCCGCCATATCGACGACCGCAGCACCGCCCCGCGTAGCAAGATACAGACTCTCGTCCACACTAAGCTTCTCGCTACCATCAGAAGTTTTATTGCCCGTCTCGTCCTGGTACTCGGAGCTGTACTGCACGAGCCGCGAGACGAGACACGCCTGTCGCGCCGCTTCCAAAATGCTCGGGCTGTACCCGCCGCTGACGTCTGTACCTAGGCCGACTGTCACGCCTGCGTTGAGTATGAAGCGCACGGGTGCGAGACCGGAGCCCAGCGCGGAGTTTGATGCCGGGCAGTGCGCGACTTTCGATCCCCGACTGCGGATCAACGTTAGCTCGTCTTTGGTGAGGTGCACGCCGTGCGCGAGGATCGTGCGATTAGTGAGCAGTTTAGACTTGTCGTAGACGTCTGCGTAGCTGGTTGAGTCTGGGAAGAGTTGTTGGACGAGCTCGACTTCGCCGATTGATTCGGAGATGTGTGTTTGGATATGCAGGGGTGGGGAGTAGGATGCTGCTAGTTTGCCCAGACCGTCAAGGGAGGCCTTGGAGCAGCTTGGTGCAAATCTGGGGGTGACGATGGGGTTTATGAGGGCGCCTTTGGGGTCGAGGGCGTGGATGTAGTCAATTGTTGACTTTGTTGCGTTGAAACCTTGCTCGGCGGATTGGTCGACGTAGTAGGATGGGCATTGGTCTTTGTTGTCCATGCAGACGCGGCCGATGAAGGCGCGCTGGCCGTGCGAGTGACAGAGCGCTGCTAGAGCGTTGGTTGCTGGGACGTGGATGGTTGCGAAGTACGAGGCGCAGGTTGTGCCGTGGGCGAGGGTGCGGGCGACGACTTGGTCGTAGACGCGGAGGGCCTCGGGGGAGACTTCTTGGGATCGGTGTCTTGGTTCTTTGGGTCTGACTTTGCACCGAAGCTGGCTTCCATGGGGAAGGTGTATTCGTTCAGCCAGTCCAGCAGACCGGATGATCCGAATAGGCCGATGTTGGGGAACTGTGGAGCGTGGATGTGGGTGTCTGTGGTCATTAGCATTGATATAGAATTGAGGGAATTAGAACAGTGGAACACACCGATGAAGCCAGGGAAAAAGAACTCATTTCGATCATTGTTTGACTTGACAACCTTCACTTTGGTTGCCTTGGAGTTTGCATTCGATGCATCCGCATCAGCCCAACCGTGACTAGAGAGGAACGAATTGAAGCTCGCATCATTGCTAACGGTCCAGTCATATCCTTTAATACGGCCATCAGTGCCAACCCAGAGAGCGCCTTCAGTGCGAGCAAGCTCAGGAGTTGCTGTGGTTGAGTTCAATCGGGGAAGTTGAATGAAAGTACCGCGATAAACAGTATACGGGTATGTCGCCGCCATGGCACAGGCATTGAGGGCCGCAAAGACCACCCATAGCGCAGGCAGTCCCACAGAAAATCTAGAGGAGTTCAAAATCATGATACAAACGAATGCAGACGGTGCTTACTTGGATCAATTCATCTCGAGGACAGCGCGCATTCATATATCATCGCAGTGAATGAAATCAGCCAGAAGAGGCAGGCATAGCAGCACCACCAATACATGATGAAGGTTAAACTTGCTGGATTGGACCACGATCATCATTGTAGTCTTCATCTGTGAAGAGTAAAGGGACGATGTTAGGATCAACAGGGACTTAATCTCGGTGTTCGGCTGCTTCCGACTAAATACACGTACTGACGAGATATCAGATACAACTGCGGGGAAAATGCGCGGGTGAGTGCGGATGTATGGTAATGTATCGTAATATCTAGTAAGAAGGGGGTGACAAGTCAAGCCCTACACGATGTCCAGATTTACAAATTTATGCAGATATCACTCACTTGACCCATGTAAGATTTTGTATTAGCGAGATAAGAGAACAATAATTGATTATAGTACTCGTCTTGCCTCAAATCGAAATCGTCTTACACCAAATGACCGCATCACCCAACAGTCTAGAACGAGACGGATATTGCGGATATTGCTTACGCCCCGACATGCGCCCGATTTCCAATGTTTGTCGCGGTGTGCAGAATTTAGATCGTGGGGAAGGTTTTATGAAAGGGGCATAACCAATATGCAAAAGTCTAAAGTTTCTTGGCGAATCAAACATAATTATTGGAAATATATCCGCTACCCCAGTTCTTCTCGTTTCAGTTTGCAAAGGTATAGAAGAGGGGGAAAGTTAAAGGATCGTATAGAGGTACGCCTCATTACGGATGCCGCCGTGGCCCGAGTCGTGCAAGCCCTGGAGAGAATACGGCTACAATGAAGATATAAATCGGAAAGAATGCTAGTTCAATTAGTGGTCTGCGGGCTTCCAGTGCATGATGGGGTACTTCTAGAAGGCCTTGGCAGGTACCGGATGCACCTATGCTAAGTACATACATACATATGTAAGAACCTGCATGTACATGTTTGTTTTATACTCTGTACTGCAATCTAAATTCGACACGAAATATTAGTTCCCTAGCTATATATAACGTATTTAACCACCGAGCCGCCATAACCCCCGAGTCGCCACATAATCTAAAACATGTCCATGAATTAGCACTTAATTAATTCAACCATCCACTATGACACCAATTCGCCCCCAAACCTCTCGGAATTCAGTAGAGCAGGAGGGTAGGATCTTATTAGCAATACAAGCTCTTAAGAAACAAGATATCGCTACTGTTTCTCTCGCTGCTCGCACTTTCAATGTACCACGTTCCACTTTACGCGATCGTATCTCCGGCCGCACCGAGCGAAGAATTGTACGCGCAAATTCACATAAACTCACAGAGATTGAAGAAGATTCCCTTCAAAATTGGATACTCTCTATGGATGCTCGCGGATCAGCCCCTCGGCCTTCTGCAGTTCGAGAAATGGCGAATCTTTTACTCGAATCACGCGGAATAACCCCGGCTCCTTCGGTCGGTGAGAATTGGGTTACAAAGTATGTGAAAAGGCATCCCGAATTATCGAGTAGATTCTCGAGGCGCTATAATTATGAGCGTGCAAAATGCGAAGATCCAAAAATCATCGGGGAGTGGTTTACTCTCGTCCAACAAACTATTATCCAATATGGGATCAACCCCGACGACGTTTATAACTTCGACGAGACTGGTTTCGCGATGGGATTAACGTCAACCGCGAGGGTTATTACAAGGAGTGAATACTATGGTCGGCGATCGCTTCTACAGCCTGGAAATCGCGAGTGGGTAACTACGATTGAGTGTATAAATGCTTCGGGATGGGTACTTCCTCCGACTGTGATTTTTAAAGGTAGAATCTATATTGAGGGATGGTTCGATAACCTTCCCGATGACTGGCGATTTGAGATTAGTCCGAATGGATGGACGTCTGATGAAATTGGACTTCGATGGCTTAAAAAGCTTTTCATTCCATCGACTTCTTTAAGGGTAAAGGGTCGATATCGACTTTTAATACTCGATGGCCACGGAAGTCATTTAACCCCGAACTTCGATAAGATCTGCGAAGAAAACGACATTATCCCAATCTGCATGCCTCCGCACTCATCCCACCTTTTACAGCCGCTCGATATTGGTTGTTTTGCGGTGCTAAAACGTTCGTACGGTCGGCTTGTTGAAACCAAAATGCGGAATGGGAGTAACCATATCGACAAACTTGATTTCCTCGAAGCCTACCCTTCCGCCCGCTCCGAGACATTCAAATCCGATACTATTATCAATAGCTTCGGAGCAGCTGGTCTAGTACCCTTTTCACCTGATCGAGTAATTACAAAGCTCAGTATTCGCCTTCGAACCCCGACCCCCCTCTCAAGTCAAGAGAGCGAGTGGGAACCAAAAACGCCTTCGAACTGTACACAATTACTAAAGCAGGCTACATCAATCAAAGCATTGCTTCATACGAGATCCCGGAGTCCTCCGAGCCCACTTAATAATGCGATAAACCATGTTCTAAAGGCCTGCCAAATTCAGATGCAATCGAGTGCTTTTCTGGAGAAAGAAGTACGCGGGTTACGAGCCGAAAACGAGAAAAAGAAGCAGAAGCGGACTAGTTCTCGAAGGTATATACCCTCGGCCGAGGGCCTCTCAGTTTTAGATACCTCAACATTAAATATGCAGGCAGAGGGAGTAATTGAACCACCTCCCCCTGGCCCTCACATAGCGGGGGAACCGGCTATTCGACCGCGGACGCGGCCCCCCAGGGGGTGTGGAATATGCAGGTTGCCAGGGCATAGGAGAGAGACATGCCCAGATAGACCATTTCTTAGTTGAATAAAATTGATGGCGTTTTGGTTGAGATAAATGCATTTAAATTCAATGGGTTAGGCTGGGGTGGCGACTCGGGGGTTATGGCGGCTCGGTAGTTAAATACGTTAGTATCTGAAAGGGTTGAAAGCAGCTCAAACGAATGCCATATTGCTGCAATACTACAACAACATTAGAGCATTAAGGAAGACGCAAATGAATGTAACAATCGAGCGTAATATTTACGACTGTCGCTATATTTCCGTAGATGTCACGTATTCCTTTTGCTTGAGGGTCTGCCGTGTGGAAAATGTACCCGAAAGGACTTTTGTGAATTTTCGGACAAGTTTGGTCTCCTGTCAGTCGAACGATGGACACTCGTAGGCGAATGAATTATTCTATAGCAGTTGGGACCATTTCTATCGGAATTGTCGTATTGAGATTGAGAGGTTGAACTATAGCACATCTGGACCCCTAACTCCGATTATGACGTCACTTAGACCCTAAATGGCAATCCGGACTAAGCTTCTCCATACGTATATAAGCCGAGATGCAGATCCCGAAGTATAGAATCAAACTATAAAAACAGTCACATATTCGGGAGGGGGATGCTGAGTTAGTGTATGACACTGCTATAACGGAATTTGATACGCAATTTGGTCGGGACGGGCTCGCTTTTACTGGGCTTATTGGGCGGGAGAGAGAGGTCTGAAGCAGAAGATGGATGTTCACATTTGGTATTAAATTTGTGAGAGCTCTTTCTAGTCCATTTCATGGAATTCCTTTTCTCGTCCAAGTTGTTGCTGCAGGGTTAGGGAACATTATCTAGATTTAATACGAATTGGCAATTAGAATGAATCTAGTGTCGCATCTTCTTTTGGAATAGTAGTGAATGTAATGTATCTACCTACCCCTAGGCAGGGTATTTTCATTCGAACCTATCACCTATACACTGAGACAAACTAGGACTAAGAGTTTTGAGCTAGATATTTCGAAAATCATCTCGAGAGCCTAATTTCTTTTTAAAAAATTCGTATCGGAGAGCAAATCACGCGACGAGCCGCCCGCGGGCGGACAATAATTTTGCACATGAGAATGAAATCGACAAGTGGTGAAAGAGTTGAATCATTGTTCTTCCAAACCAGAACACGAGAGCATCTATTTTTGTATTTGGTCACAGAGCTCAGCCCCCAATAGAGGCTCTGTTTCAATGTTATAACTTCGCCAGGGCTATGCTTATCCGTAAGCGGCCTTAAAGGGTCGGATAATGCGAGGAAAATTGGGCTTTGATCCGCTAAGAAACAATCGCGTTGCTGCCTACGCGATAGATAATCCGTAGGCTGTGGTGCCCCGCCGCCCGAGGCCATACCGAGAGATACTATTTCAACCAAATGAGGCAAATTTTCGTGATGATTAATCTATATAATAGACTACTTTCACCAATTTTTTTGCGTATTGATAATTGTCGCACTAACCTTGAAATCCAGTACCGTGAGTCTTACTTGAACCTGTCATAGAACTATGGACTGACTGGTTTGAGAATAGAAGCATCCCCAACAGAACTGTATAGGTGATATAATTGTATCGCTTGCTTACGCAAATATATTTTAAGTTCTCAGTGGTGCAAATAAAGTCTCATTTACCTATCAGGTCAGTGCTTGACTAGTTCATATCTTAACACTGAAAGATGTTTCTCAATCTCTTTCGGTCCAAAGAAGCCAGAAAAAGGAAGGAGGCAGAAGCCATAGTGGTTAAACGACAACAAGATGAGCGCAAGAAACAACTAGCCGCTGCCGCTGCTTACAAGCCAACATACATTCCTTGGTCTACCACATCGGCCAGGGTTGCACCATCCACCACTGCAAGTAGTACCAATTACTACTACGGGACCGCGGCTGGGAGTGGCAACTACGATTCAGGTGCTGGGACCAGTAGCCATCACCATCACCATTACCATCCTGGGGGCGGGGGCGGTGATCATTCGGGCGGCCATTCAGGCGGTCATTCAAGCAGCAGCGATTCTGGCGGTGGAGGCTTTTCTGGAGGAAGTAGCAGCGGTGATTCAGGGGGTAGTAGCGGAGGAGACTCTGGAGGTGGTGGAGGTGGCTGCTAGAATACAGTGCAATTCGGTACCAGAACCTGACTTATTTTTCTCTATGGGAAATATCATCCTAATGTATAGTTGATTGAACGATCTGCGAGAATTTTATGAGCTGCGTTGAGTTGACCTTTGAATATTTCCAAAATATAATGTATCGCGCAGAGAATTGTGGCGTTTAGCGGTAGCCAAGGCTTTAAAATGAGGTCCCGCGAGAAGTATTCGCTGCTTGATACAGTGTAGCAACTCCGAGTCCTTTTCAAGCCTGAAAATCAAAGAATAGAAGAAGGTAAAGCAAATTGTTTCGATAACTTGCAATGAAGACTGTTTTGTACACTGCGATCCCCAGAATCCCAACGAAATCAGGTTCACTTGCTATCACTTTTACTTTTGGTCACAAGTTTGGAACTCAGACAGTTTATAGAAGCGATAGATGAAGCAATGCATAGCATGGCTATAGGTTGTACCGTTAGCAGGTCGAACAAAGCGGATGGCAAGGTCACTTACCGAGAGTACAGCTCATCCAGTAGTAACCAACAGCTTGGGTCAAGGATCCGGAGATCAATGGTCCGATCATTAGCCCTAGGCTGAGTGCTATATCTTGCAAGGCAAAGACGCGGTTACTACCCCCATGTTGGCCAAATATTTCAGGGTCTTTAGCTTGAAAATCATTTAGTACAACTACAATTCAAATAACCATTAGTAGGTGGAGTGTATAGGAGACGTGGGATCCTTACTAGAAAGCTGTAGATAGCCGGCTCCACGTACAAACGGGGTAACCACGCCGAAGGCAATAACAGCAAAAATGAACAACCCCTCTTCATTTATTGTAGAGCCAAATGGGGATTTGTCTGACCCAGGCACGCCGAGAAGCCACATTATAGGAGCGAATAGAGCCCATCCGATTGCAGTGGGATAACGTAATCCAACTCGATCCCGCAGCCATCCGGCTAAAGAGCCTATGCATATCGATGGTAGCTGCAGGGATAAAAACATCATCCCGGCAGCCATACTTCCCCAACCGAAGGCATCACGTAGGTGAAGAGTAAGTGTTGCGTCAAAGCTGGCCAGGATGGAAGAGCTGAGGATAGTACTCGAAATACCGCTAATGACGCGGGCATCCGAAAGCATGATTCGGTAGAAACCGCCTTTCTGGGTATGCTCGTCATGTGTCTCAGCAATGGAATCCAACGTGTTAGGTTGATGAGTGAGAGCGTCATGAGCCAGTAGAGGAGATGTCTCTGAATTGGATGCAGCGGTATCCGATGGCTCGATGGTGGGGGAATCGTGATCAGTGGACGACGACTTGGGGGTTTCAATCATGATAAACCGCATTATGATATCAAGGGCAAGGAGGCCCAAGGCGACAGACCATGCAGGCCAGTATCCCGCCAGCTCCAAGACGGTACCGGCAATTGCAGGACCCGCAACAACGCCGGCACTCACAAAGGACATAGAAAGCCCATAGAGCTTCCCAAGATTACCTACTTCTACATGGTCGGTCATTGTGGCAGATCCCACAATCCATGTAGCAGACCCCGCGATACCCTGTATAATGCGTCCTGCGAAGAGCGCCGGTACTATATTTCTATGGTTAGTGTGAATCGAGGAAACAGCGTCGAGGGTAGCGAATACCTGAAGGAGTCAAACTTATCAGGACTGTTCCAACAAAACATCCTGCCAGACTTATCAAGAGTGGAGATTTTCGATCCGAGGATTTGTCTGCAAAGTGGGCAATAATGGGGGCGGATATAAGTGCTATAAAACCATGCAAACTAAGCAATGCTGTGGTGATATTCTGAGTTTGGGAAGGATCAATGTGTAGGCGGTCTTCGATCATGTAGCTCAATATCGGCACAGGAAAGCTATAGAGAAAGGTTTCTGTAGGGATCGTTAGAAAAGAAGAAAGAATAGCTGCTTGGGATCTCACCGCAGAATAGAGCAAGAATCACAACAAATAGAATGAAGATCCTTGAGGAGCGCCAGCGATGGCCTAGAGGCCTACTTTCGAGTGCCATCTTTGATGGCTAAGGTTGAGATGATGGCCCAGTAATTGATGGAAGTGTCTGGGATGAAAAAAACAGAATGACAAGAAACCCCAGGCTGAAAAAAAAAGAAAAGCAATGTAATTGTTACCCTGTGACGCCATCCTCTAGAGCGTGCCATACAACGGAGTATAATTGGCCTGACAAGACAAATAGCTCAATACTTTGGAGCTCTGAATGCATTGCAGATCTTTCTTAGCACCCTTGCTCATAACGAATGAAACCCAACATCTTGCACCAGCAAAAGCAATTACCATCGATTTTACTGCGTATGTCTGATCGCAAGACTGGCTGAATGTTTCAAATTTACTATTGACATCCTCATTCTTAGCGACCAATAGTATGAATCGCGTTGAGCATGATTATACGACCGAGTGACTCTGAAAATAAGCCCCACTTCTTTTCTTTCCATGTCCCAGCTGTCTCTACTATTTCATGTCGGCACGCTCGGGGCTGATAGATCGTGTGGCGTAGCGGCTCCACTATTTCATCCCGCCTTTAGTGGTGTTACGGCGCGGTAGCAAGGGTGACAAATACCGGCCAGGGACCAAATAGGGGCCGTGCGAGCTCCAGATTCAGGGTCGATATGCTATTGTGGGCCTGTGGAACCGAATGAACGGGATGATATTGTAGATCCGCGGTAGGGAGCACAGAGTACATATGCAAATTTTAAGATCTTTGTAACGTGACACAAACCTTGGTGGTCTCAAGGTTGCCGGGGTCTTCGCTTTTGGTTGTTACACAAGAGTGGATACCGATGTTGCATTAATTCGATCGATTGAATTCTATCTCGATTCTGGGGAATCTCCCTAAGATCGAGCCTTGATCTGTCCAAGTTCCACTTTGCCACTTTGTGGAGATTGTAATTTCGGTTTGGACTCTTCTCATTTGTCATTATTGCGAAGGTGTATTACGATACATGATATAGAGAACTCTAAGAATGGAGCTTCTTCAGGCATCAATACCCGAGAAATGCTTTCCAATGACCGCTGGCCGCCACACACCACTGCACATTGTGACAGATTGTTTCCTATTTTTTTTTTCTGATGATCAAGTACTTTTGCATCATGCCTACATGTTCGACTCATAAAATCAACGATGTCTTCACTCCGTCCAAATATGCAGCTGCACATACCTGCATGACGCTAATTGACACTATATTCAAACTATTTTCTTACATCGCGCGCTAACTATGAGATCTTTGGGTACATTTGTATTTCTTTGTTGAGTAGTGCTAGAGTTCCCATGTAGGCGCCCGCAATAATACTATTTGCAGCTTCAGTCTCACATTATGTCACAGACAAGGCTCGCCCGCGTTCTCCAATTGCAGATTCTGGAAATATTTAGTCTAGGCGTTCTTTTGCAATTGTAATCTGTTAGTTCTCGGAAATTTTTTTTGACTTAATCTAGAAAAACACAATGACCCTTTACATCAAATATAAAGCACCTTGTTGCATAAAGCCTATGACCAGGCATAATTGAACTTTTGATTTCGAACACTGATCACTAATCCGCAATGGAATGGGCTCTGCCTCCAATTCAATTTGCACTTCGTCTAAACTTGAGCAAGAAGACTGAGGGGCTTCTGAAATGGCCTTGCATCCCACCTCACTCTGCGCAAATGGCGTCCCGCGTCACGAACATGATTCCTCGAATGTAACCACCGGCCATTATCCATCAGGATGATTGAGCCTCGAGGGAGGAGCTCGGATGTCAAATTTTGAACTTGCGTTTTCTTCTGTTGGGCAAATGTATGCATCAACTCACAATATGCAGCATTTGCACGGGGAGTCAAGGGGGTGAGAAGATCGTCTCGAAACCGCAGGCGCCCATGCTGACCCTGTTCATCCGTGCTCAGCAATCTTCCAATGAAAGAGCGCTGGTCGCCCTTGCTGAACTCTGGCGGGACCGCAATGCGGAACTCCGGTTCGGATAGGGCTTGCTTTGCCCAAGGTGAGATGGAGCGTAGCAGCCGCTCAACGTTGAGAAGGGATAGTGTTCCACCCCCACAACGATCGTGCTGGAGAACATGTAGAGCAAAGAATTTTGCAGGCGCAGTTTCGTAGCAACTGTCTGTGTGCCAAGGGAAATCGCCCATCGTTTCCGAGATGGCTCTGTGTTGAATCGTTTCTGGCTGGGGACGAACGTCCCAGAACCAGCCCCGCGTCGAGCTGTGGGTGGATGGTAGACCATGCCCATGGTGTTCATGAAGACCGAGCACTATCTGGCGAAGGTAGTCGCTATCGGGATCTAGGAAGCCTAGCTTCACCTTCAAAGCACCGTGGTTCCTCAGATGATCGTGTACCTGACGGACATGAGCTTTGTCTTTGGCTGATATCAGACTTCGGGCGTCTAGCTCGGGGATGCTCATTAGAGAATTATCCGAAGATATGCATCGAGATCCTCGAGGTGAAAGTACATCTGAGACGATTAGCACAGTACTTCTTCTCACAACTCTGATATCTTCTTACGAGCCTGGGGATGTGACTTTCTAACAGTCTGGTAGATATTGTTCAGCTGCACTCGTAGAACTTGCATTTTGAAAAATGATGTTGCTAGCGACTACTAAGAAAGAAAGTGTCTCCTAGGTGATAGTGAAAGCTATGTACATTTATGTACTCAAAATAGGTCATTTGTGGCTTGGAAACCTTGAGCTGAGCTACCTGAGAGATCATTCGACGACGTATTTAGGGAGCTAAATATTGGAAAAGTCGGTGTAACAAACGAATTCGACCGGTTCTCGCCACGAGCAAGGCGTCTTGATGTAGTGTCTCTTGATGCAAAAGATTTATTATGCCGTCGAATCATGCATCTACCTCCGGCGGGTCAGAGAGGGCTGGGGTTGGCGAGCCGAACATTTCAATAGCTCCCAGCTCGATGTATCCTGATTGGTGTACTATTACGATGTAGTACTTTTGGGAGTCAGACAATCTCAAATTAGAAGACGATCAAAAATTGTCACAATGAACGGAGACTTCAGCCTTAGGAAAGTTAGAATCCCGCCACTCCTCACCTAATTTCATGTGCTTCACTGTATGCGGGAAACTGAGCTGGATCCTCATTCAATACATTGAACCCCTAGCGGAGTAGCTCCAGACAAGTGTCTTGTTTTTCTTTTTGCTTTTTCCGGCAAAGCCTTTTCTAGTTCAGGGGCTGGCTGGGCGAAATATGTGATGATGTTGTAGGTTCTCTTCTGCCTACAGCCCTGACTGTAACGTCATTAAACTGAGAGATCATTTTTTCTTCTCTAGCTGCATGAAAAATCGTAGTTGCAGGTACTAGGTAGGAAGATCATTTAATGCTGATATTCCCGAAGCGACTTTATAAAGCCGATTGGACTCCCATGATTCATCCTAAATTGAGCACTATTTCTTGATTTTTGAGTCCATAGTGCATAACCAACGAGTATTATTATCATCATGGGAATACAAGTCGACCATGCCTTGCCCCCAAAGGCTTCGGGCGAGTCACAGCATATCAATACCAATGAACTGGAGCATATCCCAATCGAGTTACCAGAGTTGACCACGTTTTGTGACAAGAGCTGCGTTCCACTACCTCATCTGCTGCGATTTATCTGGGGTGCTGTGCTGAGGACCTATACTGGCTCAAATGATATTAGCTTTCGGTGCTTTTTCCCAGGACCTACTGGAAGCCAGCAGAGTTGGAATGAGGATGTGTGCCACCTTGAGATGGCGCAAGATATCTCAGCCATTAATCTGCTGAAAGACACGAAGACGCAAAACTGGAGTCGTGAAGTGCGGAATCATGACCTTGAGAGGTGTGACACACTTTTGTGTTGGCAAACAGGGTCCACGGATCTCTCGCAGCTTTTTCAGCAATTTGATACAACGAAGGTGGGTGCATTGAATTTATTGTCACAGATGACGACCATGAACTAACAGTCGCTTAGATTCGCATTTTTGTAATTATCGAGCATCGTGCTGACAGTGTGCAAGCAGTCATGCGCTACTGGAAGCCAAGTGTTGGCGAACTGCAAGCCAAAGGCATGGCGGCTGCGGTAACCCTTGTCGCAAAGACGATCATTGAACAACCATTTGCTGCTCTGAGCGAAATCGATATGTGTGGCGAAAGTGACGTGCAATTTCTTCAGAAATGGAATTCGATCGAGCCCCTTTGGAAGGATGAATGTGTCCACGAAGCAATCTCACGATGGAGCTCGAAGAGTCCACAGAAATTGGCAGTCAGTGCGTGGGACGGAAAGCTCACCTACGGCGATCTGGACCGTCTCTCTTCAAACCTCGCAGATCATTTGATAGATTTAGGGGTTGGTCCGGACCATTTCGTGGCCTTGTGCTTCGAAAAGTCCAAATGGCTCATTGTCTCTATCCTAGGTGTTATCAAGGCAGGTGGGGCATATGTCCTCCTTGAACCGGCTTATACACAGGATCGGATGCAAAACATCTGCGATGAGCTTAAAGTAACCATCATTGTGGCCAGCGAGAGCTTGACACCAACCGCCAAGAGCCTCTCTAGTTCCGTTGTAACCTTTGGTGAACATTCCAAGTTTATGCGGAAGTCCTTATGCAAGACCCAGCATAAACCAGCCGACCTTGCAAAACCTCACAATGCTCTCTACGGAGTCTTCACCTCCGGTTCCACCGGAAAGCCGAAAGCCATCATCGTTGAACATGGAGCCTTCCATAGCTGGGGACTGGCTACGGCGAATTCCATATGTCTTGATAGCAATGCTCGGGTTCTTCAATTCTCCAGCTTTGCTTTCCTTGTCGCCCATCGTGATGTCCTGCTCACGCTTATCTTTGGAGCGTGCATCTGTGTGCCATCCGAGAAAGACCGCCTGAACAACCTGGAGTCGTTTATGACAGAACATCAAGTCAATTGGGCCAATCTCACCCCATCTGTGGCTGCCTTAATCAATCCGACCAAGGTTCGCGACCTCAAGACTCTGGTCTTTACCGGTGAACCGATGTCTATCACAAGTCTCACTATTTGGTCTGAGAAGGTAAATCTCATTTATGCTTATGGCCAAGCGGAGAGTGTAAGCATATCCAGCGTGAGAAAGAATCCTAGACTTGATGAGGATCGAATGAATATGGGGCACCGAGTCGGCAAAGCAATATGGCTAGTCGACCTGGAGGATCATGACAAGCTCGTCCCAGTGGGCGCAGTTGGCGAGCTGATCGTTGAAGGGCCTGCAATCGCTCGAGGATACACGGACCAAGTCAAAACTGCAAAAGCATTCCTCCGTGACACTGCGTGGCTAAGAAGGTTGCGCCCTCCTGGATACCGCACAAGACTGTACAAGACTGGTGATTTGGCCCAGTATAACGACGATGGCTCTCTTCGTTTCCTGTGTCGGAGAGACAATGCAGTGAAACTTCACGGCCAGCGTGTGGAGCTAGACGAAGTTGAGCGACACGTCCGTAGATGTATCACTGATATGTCTGACGCGGGTATTCAGGATGTGGTGGTCGATTTGAGTTCGTTGGAAGAAAATCTCAAATTGACTGTGTTTTTGGGATTTGGCCATACCTCTCCGCAAGCAAACGGAGACATAATCCTAGGGCCCTTGGATCAAGCTCCTGTCTACTTGGAAGAGCTTGGGTCGAGGTTAGAACAAGATGAGGTACCGCGATCGATGATACCGACGCTCCTCATCCCGTTATCGCGCATTCCACTCAACCCGTCCGGTAAAACGGATCGCAAGAGACTGCGCCAGATTGTATCCGACATGACACCAGAAGAGGCTGCTTGGTGTACTGGGTCGAACAACAGTGCATTCGAAGTAGTGCAAAATAAGGAGGAACTGAGCCTCCAAGAGCTGTGGTCTCAGGTTCTGAATGTCGGCGCGTCTAGTATTGGCAGAAACGACAATTTCTTTCGACGTGGGGGCAATTCTTTCGCGGCCATGAAACTAGCTGCGCTCTCACAAGATACTAGTACTCTTCTGAACTTCAGCGAGATTTTTCTTCATCCAACACTCTGCGCTCAGGCGCGATTGGTTGGTGGCAGGACCTCGGAGCAGTTTAAATACAGCAGCGAGCCTTTTAACTTGATTTCAGGAGAAGATGAACACCAGGAACTTCTCAGATTGTGCATGAATGATTGTTCATTGTCAGAATCCCAGATAAAGGACATGTATCCGACCACACCGATGCAGGCAGGACTTATTGCTTTAACCACACTGTGGCCGGGCACTTACATATCACAACGAGTCTATGAGATCCAGAATGACGTGTGCCTGACCACATTGAAAGAGGCGTGGAAGGCAGTGTTCAATGCAAATCCCCCTTTGCGGACTCGTATCATCCAGCGGCCCTATGGGGGGACTTTCCAAGTGGTCGTTCGTGGATCATTTGACTTCAAGATACTCGACCATGGGTTGGACGAATATTTGCAGCAAGACAAAGCTCTGCCGATGCAAATGGGTCATCAGCTTGCGCGGCTGGCATTTATCCGAGGAGAATCGGGGCAGCCGAATGTCTGTGTTTTTACTGTGCATCATTGCGTTTACGATGCTTGGACAATTCCGTTGCTACTGGAACAAGTAAACGCCGCCTATAATGGACAGTCTCTGTCGCATCGTCCATTCAGTCCTTTTGTCAACTATGTGGCAAGATCCAACAAAAGCGCAGCACATCATTGGACAGCTGAGTTTTCTGGTCTAGACGCCGACGCGTTTCCGCCTTTGCCCAACCCAGCATATATTCCCACCGCCACACGTTCAGAGCAACTTGATGTTTTGCTTCCCCCTAACACTAACGGTAATAATGGCATTACCTTGTCTAACCGAATTGGACTCGCATGGGCCTTGACGATTGCACGGTACACGGCTTCGAATGATGTCGTTTTTGGTCTGACAGTTTCTGGTCGTGGTGCCCCCGTGTCTGGCATTGACAAGGTAGCCGGCCCCACTATTGCAACTATTCCGCTTCGGATGCAACTGAGATCAACGGTCTCCATCCAGGATGAACTCCAGGCCCTCCAAGACCGCTTGGTTGCGACGCTGCCATTCGAGCAGTATGGTCTACAGAATATCAGAAAGTTAGGAGAGGAGGCCGAGCGAGCGTGCCAATTCCAGAGTCTGCTCGTTATCCAACAAAATCTACTGCAGCCAGTGGATGGTATTCTTCGGAGCTCCCCCATCGGCAATGGTCGTCCCATACTGGACACGTATGCCTTGACATTGCTTTGCACACCAGCTCCGAACGGTGAGTCCGTTAGTCTGGAGGCAATCTTTGATGGCACGGTCATAGCGGAGGCTCAGCTGAAGAGGCTTTTGAAGCTTTTTGCGCACCTTCTCGCGCAGGTGAATCTGTCACCAGAGCAATCGATAAGGAACATCGATGGAATCGACGCTGAGGATCTCGAGCAACTTCGAGTGTGGAACAGTCGGCCACCATCGCCGAGTACACAAGGGGTCGTCGACTTGATCAAGCAACATGGTTTCACACAGCCAGAGGCAATCGCGATCGATGCTTGGGACGGATCATTCTCGTACAGTGAGCTCGACAAACTGTCCTCAACATTTGCCATAACGTTAGCCGAGAATGGTGTCCGACCGGATACATTTGTGCCACTGTGCATTGAAAAGTCAAAATGGGTCGCCGTTTCCATTTTAGCAGTTCTGAAATCTGGCGGTGCTTTCATCCTTCTGGATACTTCACACCCGACTGAACGCCTTCGGGTCATCTGTCAAGACAGCGAGGCATCTGTGGTTATCTGTTCCGAAGGCCAGGTTCATACCGCGCATCAATTGGGCTGCCATCACGTCGTCCCAGTTGGCACACAGGATGGTAAGCAAATGGCCAAGCTCTCAGGTCGCACAAACGGCCGGCCTATTCAGACAGTGCATGGTAAAAATGCGCTTTGCGCCGTCTTCACATCTGGTTCGACTGGAAAGCCAAAAGGAATCATCCTCGAACACGCAGCGGTTACTACAAACGCAATCTTCACTGGACCCGAATTCCAATTAAATCAAAAATCTCGCGTTTTCCAATTTGCGTCTCATGCTTTTGACGTGGCAGTTGCAGATTACATTTTCACTTTGATTTGGGGAGGATGCGTGTGTGTACCAAATGAGACAGCGAGTCGGGATGATCTCGCCAAGACGATAAATGAACTAGATGCCAACTGGACATTCCTTACCCCTTCCGTGGCCCGGACACTTGATCCCGAGTCTGTTCCAAAACTAAAGTCTTTGGTGCTTGGTGGTGAGGGTGCAAAACAAGTCGATATCGACACATGGTCAGAGCGACTGCGATTGATCAATCTTTATGGCCCTGCTGAGTGCTCGGTATACGGTATACTGCAGACCAAAGTGCAGAAAGGCAGCAACCCGTCCAACGTTGGACATACAGTGGCTGCTGCGTGCTGGTTAGTAGTTCCAGACAACTCGGATCAGCTGGCACCGATTGGGTCTATTGGTGAGGTGTTGTTTGAAGGGCCAATCGTGGGTCGAGGGTATATTGGACACCCAGATAATTCCGAGTCATCTCCCTTCATTCCATATCCCCAGTGGCTGCGCGCTCTGCGATCTGAAAATGAAGCAGCTGGTAGACTATACCAAACGGGCGACCTGGCACGCTACAGTTCAAAAAATGATGGTTCCATCGAAATTGTCGGTCGTAAAGATCAGCAAATCAAACTCCGGGGCCAGAGAATCGAACTTGGAGAGATCGAGTATCAGGTTGCACAAAATATCTCGAGTGCGGCAGATACTGTGGTTGATATTATCACGCCATCACATCTCAAAACTCCAATGCTGGTCGCATTCATCAAAAGTCACGAGCGATTTGCCACAGAAGATACTCAATCAAGCCTTTTCCCAACACCGAACGCGCAGTACCAAGCTGAAGTGACTCAAACAGAATTAGCTCTTCGGAATACACTTCCGCGTCATATGGTTCCGACTGTTTTTATCCTGTTGGGGTACCTGCCACTGACCCCCAACGGTAAAGCCAATCGGCGCCTTCTGAAGGAGAAGGCTTCATTAATCTCCCGGAAGCAACTGGATGCGTACCGCACCGCCAGCACCCATGCGAAGACTCTACCCTCAACACCGTTGGAGCACAAGCTCTATAGCCTGATGAGCGAAATCCTCCACTTGGACTCAACCGATATTGGCATGGACGATAATTTTTTCCATCTCGGTGGAGATTCGATCAGTGCCATGGCCATGGCCGCTCAGGCTCGACGAGCAGGCCTGAATCTAGGAATGGTCGACATTCTAACCAACCCACGGCTGTCTGCCCTTGTGACCCTGGTAACGAAACGGTCAACTTCCGCAATTGATGATAATGCATACGTTGACAGCTCTGATGGTGGACTGGCGCCGTTTTCATTGATTTCCTCATGGAAAAACTACGAATATATTGTCCAGGAAACCATGGAGCAATGCGGCCTTGTTGCAGAGCAGATCGAAGACATCTACCCTTGTACCCCAATGCAAGAAGGACTATTCGCCCTTACAATGCACCAGCCCGAAGCCTATGTGTGGAGGCTTGTCCTTGAGCTTTCTGAGGGTATGAATACGGTTCGATTCCAAGACGCATGGAACTCAGTTTATCAAGCGAATCCCATCCTCCGCACCCGGATCACTTCTGTTGGCGTCGACGGCCAATTCTTCCAAGTCGTTGCTCGCGGCCCAATTTCGTGGAGTTCTACAGATGAACTGTTGGTTCGACCAGGGGCGCCGCTGTTCAACATTCGAATTCTCCACCCTCAGGATAGCGAAGATCTTCAGCACGCCCAAGTTGTTCTGACACTCCATCATGCCATTTACGACGACGTTTCTATCAAGTCTATCCTCACTCAGCTTGAAGAGGCATACAACGGAACGACACTGAACCTAAGACTGTATAGTCCCTTTGTTGACCATTGCTTGTCCCTCGCCACCACCAAACACCAGGAACTCGTAGACTTTTGGAATGGAGAGCTGAAGGATGCCACCTCGACTGCCTTCCCGGCGGTCCCTGAAGATGGTTATATTCTACAAGCATCCCAATCCTTGGACCATGAATTCCCCTTCCGATTCGATCCGAGGGTGGGAGCTCCATTGGCGTCCGTAATCCACCTAGCCTGGGGGATGGTTGTGTCGCACTTTACAGGGGAGAGAGATGTGGTATTCGGAACTGTTGTCAGCGGACGGGCGGCCATGCTGAAGGATATCGATCAGATTTCCGGTCCAACGATTGCGACGGTTCCATTCCGAGTCCGCCATGATCCTGATTGGACCGTCCAAGAAGCTCTTGAAAAAGTGCAGTCCAGCAGAGCACGGATGGTTCCATTTGAACAGACAGGATTACAGCGCATCGACCAAATCGTCAACTCAGAGGCCTGTAGGTTCCGAAATTTGCTGGTCATACAAGCTCCAGGGGAAGATCTTGTACCGGCCAACCCACTGTTTTCACAGGTTCAGAATAAGATGCCTCGTGGCACTTTTGACACCTACCCGCTTACAGTCACCTGTACACCAATGCCAGATTCAGTTATGCTGCAAGCAGAGTTTGATGAAAGCTTGATTACAACGACTATGATGCGGCGCATTCTGGCCCATTTCGCTCACCTGCTCACACATCTGACTGCAACGTGGCGGGCGCTTATCTCGGACATCCCCTCCATTAGTGTATCCGATCTAGCGCAGCTACAGGCATGGAGTGAGAAGTCGCCACCAGTTGTCGAAGAGAATTCCTGCGTCCATGAGCTTATCCAACGCAGTGTAGTTAAGTCCCCGAAAGCCCCAGCAATTTGTGCCTGGGATGGTGACCTATCATACGAGCAACTGGATCGCTTCTCATCTCTACTGGAGACCGAGCTCCTCTCTCTAGAGCTGGATCAAAAGACAATTGTGCCAATATACTTTGAACCGTCCAAATGGACATCCGTTGCTGTTCTGGCAGTGATGAAGGCTGGAAGAGCCTTTTTACTGTTGGATTCCGGACACCCAACCCAGCGGCTTCGTGAAATTTGCCAGCTTGTCGGGCCATCTGTGATATTGAGCTCCAAAAGCATGGCCTCACGTGCGGCCCTGCTGGCACCAGTCGCCATTATCACCGTCGATGGAGATGGCGCATCATGGAAAAAACGACAGATTTGCGTCCTAGACAAACCGGTACAAAGGTCAACTGTAACACCAGACGATTCTCTCTATGTGGTCTTCACTTCTGGCTCCACTGGCCAGCCCAAGGGAATTGTGATTTCCCATCGCGCATTCAGCTCAATGGCCATAGCATATTCTCGCGCGATGGGCGTCGGCCCGAACACGAGGGGCTTCTCCTTTGCATCATACGCTTTTGATGTGAGTATCACGGACATGTTGGACCCACTGATTACTGGAGGTTGTGTCTGTGTCCCATCAAGCCTTGACCGAACCGGAAATCTGGCCGAAGCGATTAGTCGGCTGCGAGCCAACTTCATCGAAATCACACCTTCAATGCTTCGAACTGTCCGCCCGGAAGAAGTGCCATCTTTGAAGACAGTTGTTGTCAGTGGAGAGCCCCTCAACCGAGACATTATCGACATTTGGGCCAGTAAGGTACACCTTATTCAGGCATACGGTCCTGCGGAATGCTGCCCAAATTCGACTGTGCGGACTGAACTCACGGTGAACTCCGACCCGTCTAATATTGGAGTGGGAGCTGGATGTTGGCTTTGGATTGTTGATCCCACCGACCACGAACGATTGGCGCCTATTGGTGCGGTCGGAGAACTCCTGGTAGAAGGTCCTATTGTTGGATCTGGCTATCTCAACAACCCGGAGAAGACTGCAGCTAGCTTTGTCCATCCTCCTCGCTGGGCGAGAGCACCGCCAGCTGCCTCGATGCAAACACGGTTCTACAAGACAGGTGATCTGGTTCGATATGATGAAGATGGGTCGCTCATCTTCCAAGGCCGCAAAGATACGCAGGTGAAGATTCGAGGACAGCGTGTAGAGATCGCAGAGATCGAATATCATCTCGCCCAGCTATTTCCTCTTGCTACTGGCTCAGCGGTGGAACTCCTTCAGTCGAAAACCAGCAAGTCACAGGATCTAGTGGCTATCATCTTCTGTGGTGACGAGATATGGAAGAAATCGAATGCCAAGGACCCGGCTGGTCTCTTACCATTGCTGGGAGCGCTTCCCACCATCAAGAGTGTATCGGACATCAAAATCCAGCTGGGTGAAACACTGCCTCGCTATATGATCCCAACACGTTATCAGATGTGGGCGTCCATGCCCACTTCCTTGTCAGCTAAACTCAATCGCCAGCGGTTACAAGCTGAACTTCGAAGTCCTAGTGCGAGCGCAACTGTCATTGAACTCCACGAACCAACTTCTGACTTCCAAATGATTGACCCGACCAACGTCACAGCTCTGTGTTTGAATAAAAAGATACTCTCCCGTGTCCAGAGCGAAACTGGAACCGGGCTCATCGATCGGGATTTCCCCCTGTCTATGTTGGGCTTGGACTCCATTCAACTGATCATTCTTGTGACATTCATTCGCAACGAATTCAATGTTAAAGTTGCGGTGGCCACCCTTTATGATCCCAGGCTGACAGTTACTGGACTGGCTGAGATGATTTCAAGTTGTCAACAGGGAACAAACGGTGGCGCAGAGGTTTCACTGCCAGTGGTCGATCTGTCGAGAGAAATAAAGAATATCTATCATCAGTTTAACCAGCATTCCAGATCACTGTGTCTTCGAAAGAGGGTTTTCTTGACTGGCGCCACCGGACTACTAGGTTCGCAAACATTGCGCCAATTGCTCGATGATCCTTCAGTGGATAAAGTGGTTGCTCATGTGCGAGCACCTACCGCGGAAGAAGCGCTGAAACGTGTTGTATCCACCGCGACTTTGGCCCAGTGGTGGTCGTCTTCCTACCTTGGCCGCATTGAATGCGTGTCAGGAGATTTGTCCGCCCCACGTTTAGGTCTTCAGCCCGAAAAATGGCGCATGCTTTGCAATGTCGGTGTCCGACCAGAGGACAGAATCACTGCCATTGTCCACAATGGTGCAGCCGTTCATTGGCAAGCCCCGTACCAGTCCCTGAAGCCCGTAAACGTTGATTCCACCGTCGACTTGTTAGCCGCTCTCGATCAATGGGACCAACCGGGCAGCTTCACATTCATCTCCGGAGGACTGCAACGAGCCCCAACACAGGACATAAAGAGCTTCATGGAAGTTCTCCAGCGGTCCAATGGATATAGCCAGACCAAGTTCGTCGCCGAAGAGCTTGTGTCCATGTATGCAAGCCGCCATTCCAAGAACCACGTTTCAATCGTCCGACCGGGTCTTATCATCGGTACTGAGAAGGAAGGTATTCCAAATATTGACGATTTTCAATGGAAACTTGTTCAAGTATGCCTCAGAATGGGATCCTATCCTATGGAAGAAGGGAATTTGTGGCTCTCTGTGGCCGACGCGGAAGAGGTGGCAACGACTATTCTGAAATCAGCATTTGAGACCACGCAGCAACACGAGACCACCCCATCCGTTGTGAATATTGAAACTGGAAGCACTGTTTCTCAATTTTGGGAAATAGTCCAGGAAACAACAGGCACCAAACTCAAGCCCATGAAGCCAGAACCATGGAAAGAGGCCGCAGAGAGCTTTTTAGAATCCGACGACCTTTTCCGTCCCTTGCTGGCCATTGTGCAAGATTCGCAACAAGGGTTTGGGCTTCACAAACCTGAGGGCGCCGAAAGTCTTCGTCCCGAGGTGATCAAAAGGAATGTGCAGACTCTTGTAGATATTGGATTCTTATCTACAGCGCACAGTCCTGGAGAATGTAATTCGCCAGGTTCGACTAAGGTAGGGAACATGGCGGCGTTTAACAGGTCTCGGCGTCAATAACTGCGCGCGATTACGGTGAATTGAGTTTTACTCACTCGAAATACACGAGACATGCGGAAGTAGAAGTATAGATAAAATACAAAAACTTGCTGCTTCAAGACAGATGAGTCAATTTTCAAGAATAGACCATAGTATCAATTCAGGCTCAGCAGAATAAACAGAGATGTACCCCCTCCTTGTTCGGTCAACTGCATTTCACTATCGCCGGAAACGACAACATAATCTCCAGTCGACAATGAGCCTTGTTTTATGTTTGGAAATCCGTTATTATGGTCCATGTACTCCAAACCAACAATCACCAAGTATTTTCCAGGAAATGGGGACTCAAGCTTCCCCGCCCTTTTTGTCCAAACGACAGGATAGTAATCCACCACAGCACGCCACGGGTCTTCGTGGAAGATGATGCCGGTTTCGTTAGAAATTGACTTTAATTTTTCGTTATCCTTTGACGCCTTATTAGTATTTACATTGCCATCAAGGGAACACAATAATACCTCGAGCAAGCATTGCACAACAGGGCGCACATCCGCTTTGCTTATTGGTGAGATGAAAAGCCAGGGGTATCGATCATGAGATCTCCGCGTTATCTGCGATCTGACTTTAGCAGCTGCAACTGTTGCTGCAACCTCTAATGGCGACGTATACGGCATAAAAAAGATATCCGAAGATGATAGATAGCGTAGTTTGAAGTTCCTCGGTGACAGCGCCTAGTCTGTTGAAAATATGGCTGTAGAATCATCGGTTTGAAGAACCGAAATTGATAATGCAGTTAGGTTATGAGAAACTGAGCGAATGCCTGAGGGGGTAGAGGGGTGATAGCGGGAATTGAAGCGAAGTTCGGGCAGTCATACAGCTACGAAAGTGCACAGCGGCCAGGGGTAGGGTTGAATTATCCCTGGGATTGCTGCCTGAAGAAGCCTGACTTAAGTCGAAGATAATTAAAAGCACTTGAATTACTATAGCAGGGAACATAGTAGACAGAAGTGGAAAGAGATGTGAAAAGAGCTGTGAGTAGAGATAGAAAGACATAAGGCATTATAATTTGAATTATGTACACCTTCCAGAATTTGTTCCGGCTAATACTAACGATTTTGATGTGCAGTCAGGTCACGATAGGGTTTCTGTTACTACTTGAAAGGAGTGATACTAGAGATAGAGACTCATGTTTAATAAATTTTCTAGGAACAACTTTAGGTTATTCCGCTAGAATGATTTCCTTAGCAACTTAGCAATCGCTTAGCACTATATTGATTTATTCTTGACTAGATGGCAAGATCCGAAGTAGCTTATATACGTGGTGCGGACAATGGAGGAGACTAAGTAGCGCTTGCAGGATAGAGCCTGTCAATTTGTCGATCGGGTAAAGTAATACAATAGCCGAGAATAACGGAGTGCATTTGGTCTTTTGGTGTATAGAGACTTGTTCTTAGAGAGGGCCTTGATCTAATGATTAGGATGATCTTTGATGCCCGAAAATATTGCTGCTAAAGCGACGCATCAACATAGGAACCGGATGTTGCGTACAATCATGTATGTATGACAATAGCAAATTGATCAGCAGGCATCAAACATCACGAGCCATGTATTAATTGCGACGGGCCATATAAAATCCAGGAAACAAGTGAATTTCAACCCAAGAACTAGTCAAGAGAGGGGAAGAAAGGAAGAGTAGCAAGGAGAAATGCGAGCGAAGTCCTGAACCCTTTCAGCGAATAAAATGTGTGTCACCCCTTAACAAGAGCCAGATCGGAACATTAATGACCGAGTCATCTTTCACGACAATATGCATCCGAGATCTAATAAAAGTAGAATGATCTACGGTTGCTTTAGGGCCAATACTCCAGACTACGAGTGGGCCGTACGCCTGCACGTACCTAAATCTTGGTATGTACCTCCATCTGTATGTATATGTGTATGTAATCCTGTTATATACTAACGTAAGGATGTGTCCAGATAATTTGTCGCAAAGGATACCTTTTTGACAGAATCCTCAGCCTTGCCGAGTGGCTTCAGTCACTGGGACACTGCTTGCGGTGCTTTCCCACTGTAGATGTGCTTGTCTGGTTGGCCCCCAGTTCGACGCTCTTAAATGATTAGTCACCCCTTTTTTGTTTTTTGCTTCTTTTTGTATAGATACACTTTGAAAATTCCCAAACCAATAGAAAAAGATAAATTTTGTATCTTAGACTACAATTTTCGACCTTCATGACCCACAATCTAGCCATTTTGATCTCTTGGCCAAGTGGGCCGGAAAGGTCTGAGCAACGGTCTGATCTAGACCTTTACCCTTTCCTTTGTTACGTCTTTCTTATATATAATTTTGTTGCTTGTCTGCTTTTTTTGAGCTCAGTTTTGTGGAGGATGGGAAGTTCCTAGTCAGTATTACAGAAATTTACGCTCAGTTGCTGAGACTTTGGAAGGTGATGTTGTTGTTTGAGGTAGGAACTATAATACCTAATCGGGAATGTGGCCCCACAACAACATAGTGATAGTGATGCCTGCAGATTATGGCACCAAGTCCGTAAGGCTGAAATGAACCCAAGTAATTGCTTGGCGAATATATGTAAGCCCGATCTGCAAACTTGGAACGATTACCACTATCAGAACTCCTGGAATACCTTTTTTCAAATCAGAGGACAGTGACCCCGTCCAGGTTTCGTACCGAGGAGCAAATGGATGCTAGAGTATACAATATAAGCTACCAAAGGCAAAATAGTGAGAAACTATTCATTATATACAGGGTCACAAGGAGTCGTCGACAGAAAAGTGGATGGAATGGTCAAAATATTCTGCTTTTGATTCGTACACGTGTTGATAAACAAGCTAGGATCAGCATTTGGGACCAAGGACCCTATTATTCTCACGCTTGTGTGAGGAGGCCTAGATAGATATAGACCTACAGGAGCAAATGAAGCAAGTCCAAAAGATAATGAAAGACAGTGAAGAAAGCAAAGCTGATGGAAACGTTGGGGAAAAAAGATATTCATATCAACCGCAGTAGTTCCCTTGATGTAATTGATTTGGGTGCATTTTGACGGATATAGCAGTGTCTGCTTATTTGTGCGCTTATGCACTCAACCTTCGACCATTAGAAAACTTTGAAATGACATATACGACTACGCTCTGTATAATTCTATGTACTGCAATTTCAAGCACATACGACCATAGGGTGTGGAAAACAGGGCTTCCCGTCCGCTCAGCCGTACTTAAGCCACACGCCGGTGAGTTAGTAGTTGGGTGGGTGACCACCAGCGAATCCTCACTGTTGTATGTTTTTGCTTTTTTTTTTACAATCTTATTCTTGGACCGATACTGGTGTCGACCGGGTGTAATAGAATCAGTCTGCCAACCACCTACCTACCTACCCCTTACCTATTTAGATGAAGTTTCCAAAAGTCAATTATAGCCTCCAAATCAATCGTCATTAACTGCGAAAATGAACTGTATTATGTGCTCTCATATTGTACAGGCGATGAGTGCAAGATGAAAATATAAGGAAGGGTACTTACTCCGTGAAACGTATACGTCCACGGGTAAAGTTCATGATTCCTCCAAAAATCCTTACTACAGCCATGGAATTTGGTAAACCTTATTATATATATTCTATATTAACTGAAGCCCACTTATACTTTCCCTAGGTGAACAAGTCTACGCTCGAAAAAGAGGGGCGCTAAGAGGGAAAAAGAGATATCAGGAATTTTAAACTTGATACCAAGAGTAAACGTCCGCTCTGATTAGTCTAGAAAAGAATCACGGAATAAGTTAAAAAGGGAAATCCAAAAAGAAAACCCAGCAAAGAAAATTCTAGATGATCATGATGAGGATCACAATGATAATAATACAATCAAGATCAAAACAAAAGTTTACCAAAAGACAACAACCAAAAAGAAACCAAGAAATAAATAAATACACCGGACCAAAAAAAGAGAAAAAGAAACACAAACACGAGCATGAAGACAGCGCCGGCAACTCAAAAACCCAGCGGTAGCTTTGATTTCTTTTGTTTCTTTTGTTTTATCGTTTTATTATCATTATTGGAATTTTGGAACTTTTCTTTGAGGTCTTCTCACTTTTATTTTATCCTTGTTGTCAAAAGCAGGATCTGATGCCTGAAGATGCCCTGTTCCAGACCACTCTACTCAATAATGATTTACTTCTCTTTTTATATCTCCTTTTGCCCCTACCTAGAGATACATTATTTAGGATCGAGTCTATAAGCTTTGTCCTTCGCAATGACACTGGTGATGAAGATATAAGACCATATAGTAGGAAAAGCTTTCCAAGGTTGACAGCTGTAATTCTTTCAACACTTAACCACTTTTCTTATTAGGGCGTCTGCCATAGTCATTTATATATGTATTTTAAACTCTACTTAGGTATGAGTATAAAGCAAGGCATTCTGAAGCTTGAATTAAAAAGCAAAACACATTTACCCCAGCCGCTGTAATCTTAGGATAAATATTTACTGTTCTAGTTTGCAGCCTTCAATTAGTTTACAGGAAGTGGGACATACACATACATCTATGGAGATATATACTTAAGTAGTTGTTGTATCCTGCATACTGCGTTACGAGTTAATTTTCACCACTAGACCAAAATACAAATTCGCACCTAGTCTAAGGAGTGGTGGCTTGTGGTCAATTTTACAAGGGGTCAAGGTAAATGAAGTCTATTACTACTAATTCTACTACTGTACGTTGAATAGCGCGAAAGCAGCACCGAGTAAAGCCATAACTCCCTTGGGAGCGCTGAATTGAGATGATGCAGCACCAGTCGAGAGTGGAGAGGTGGCGGTGGCACCGGTGGATGAACTGTCGGAAGAGGTGGAAGACGTGGTCGTGGATGAAGATGTAGCAGATGAGGTGGTGGTGGTGCCTGTGGTAAAAGGGAGTATTAGTATAATCGCCTTGGAACATTGTGTGGAGTTGCATGCCTGAAGAAGACAGAGGACTAGTCGACGACGCGGGTGTTGAAGATATCGAGGATGGAAGGGTAGAGGTAGGCGACGTGGAAGTGGTCGCAGTAGATGTTATGAAAGAGGAAGTGGAGGAGGAGGTGGTGGTGGTGGTGGTGGAAGAAAAGGAGGTGGTTGAAGAGGAGGATGTAGTACCATCATCAGAAGCGCCCTTCTCGACAGTGAAAACGTCACTGAGGGCGAGCTGGCCAGCAGAATCGATGATCTCTATCTCGTAGCCATTTCTAACCAACGACAGAATGGTATTAGTGTTGTTTTTTATGTTCACCCAACTCTATCTTCATCTTCTACATACCCGTTGGAAATGCTAGGGTTAGGCTGGGTCGTGTATTCGCCCTCAGAGGTCTTGACGTTGTCCCCCAATTTGGTCTGGAAGGAGCCATCCTGACTTCGAAGGATGATGCTGATTACCGAAGGATCACTAGACTTGCTAGTGAATTTGATGGTTTTGGGAGTGGAAAAATCCCACACCGTGGATGAGGACGGAGTGGTGATGGTGATTGCCAAAGCCGATGATAGGAGGCTCATAGCGGTGATGGTGAATGAGCAACGCATTTTGACTGAATGGAATTATGGAATTACTAGAGAGTGTGCTGGGGGAATGTCCGGCTGTTTCTCAAGAAAAGGCTATATATATCTGGTCGATAGCTTGGAAACTAGGTCGTTGAAAGATCTATTTACAGAAATCAGTATGGTTCATCTGAAGCCTAGCGCATTGAGAATACGAGATAGTGCACGCCTTGCACAGAAGCACTTGGGCAGAATACGATCCCTTACATGAGCTGAGCCTCTTGTGGAGATACTGATAAAGCCGAGGGGTCATTCTAGTGTCCACGTAGTGGAACAACGAATGGGCACTGCTAGGCTCACCTCTGCATCAGCGACCCGCTCTGTTGCGTCGGGTCCATCAAAGTAAGCATTGCACCTTATCTTTCCAATCAACTTTTCGAAACGCATTGGGACCTGTGGACTTTGCTAATAAAGAATTAAGCTTCTAACTAAAGGCTACAACCATGTCAGCACTCGCTTAGAAATGAGACATGCAGTAAACACGAAGTACACCGACAAGGCTTGGAAATCGAGGGTATCATAATTAGAAACATATTGTCGTTATATTGTATTGTTACTTACAGCTGTGAATCAGTACCGATAATGACTGGTAATTTTCACCACATGAGCTAGATCTGTACGCGCGTCACACAGTGTTGTGCCCAATAGTCAAAACTAACTGTCGGACTTCTGCTCCAAGTAAGGACTTTCTAGTGACTCAACATATCCCCTATTTTCCTTTGTAATTCACCAGATGTTATATGAAAGCAATGGAACTGAATATACGGAGTATCTCGTCTATAGTAAAATCACTGCAGAAACCAAACAAACAAAATTGAAAACTAATGCGGAGTACAGGAAGTATGATCGAAACAGAAGGAATAGCGGTCTAGAGAGTTAGATGGAAATGTAGGACGTGGTCAAAGCAGCCGTGACTATCAATGGGCTTATCCCCCAGGACAAGCCGAACATGGACATCCCCGCGCCAGTGGAAGTTCTTGGACTTGCTGACGAGGCTGCAGATGTTTGGGTGTGATTTCCACAAATATTAGTGCTTCGGTTCAAGCTTTCAGTAGGATAGTACACCCTCGGGCCTCCATCCAAGCTGAGGTCCACACTGATATTGCCACTGGAATCAGTCACAAATGTTTTGCAAGACAAGAGCTCGGTCACATTTTGTCCGGATGAAAACCCTGTGCCGTCTGAACCAAGCGTGATTAGGGTGGTGGCATTGGTGGCTGGCTTGGCTCCCAGGTTGGACACTACAGTCACAACCTGGTTACCGGTAAATCCCTTGCGCATGGCCAAGATGTTTGTTGAGCTGTAGATTGGCAATGAGAGGTACGACAAATAGTCGCTCCCCGACTTCGTGGATTTTCCTCCGTCGCGGCTCGCATAGGATCGAATGTGATTCAACGACTGGACCAGCAAAGGTAGCGAGGTCGAGTTCATCGAGTATTTAGTAAGCCATAGGGCCTCCCGGTTGACAGGATTGAACCCACCTGATAGGTGCTGTTCTTCCCCGTAGTAGACTGTATTGTTTCTATCAGTGTCTTTGACCTTAGTTGCTATTTGTGAGGGCGCAACATACGGATGGGGATACCGTCAGCGAGTATATTGAATGTGAGAATGTTGCGCGCCAGCTATACAGAAGTGGCAAAGTCAATACGCGCTGACAAAAAATAAGATGCGTTCAACTTACCGATATGTCTGAAGTATACGAGCCAAAGCGCGGGACATCCTGATTCGATGTGAACGTTCCCAAGGGAAGTACATCGTCGCAAGATTTCCTGATGTAGTCGACAGACTGTATGACCCTGGTTAAGTCTCCATTGGTCGTGTTGAAGGCCTCTGTTAGGGTATAGTATCTAAAACGTGTCAACAAGTCTTTTGTTCATTTTGAGGCGCTACTCACAGTGGATAATTCAAAAGTCCGTTTAGACTGGGTTGCAGAGAACAGTAACCGGATGCGTCTCTTGTGGCCCCTTCGCCCATCGTGAAAACACCCGTTGATTTATTGAAATTGGTGAAGAAGACGGGGGGATGTTCAATACACTGTCGATTCGCAAGCCATCAACTACAAAAGATAAGTGTTATTATTTAAGTTGGAGAGATAGAAAATTTCTAGACATACTTGAGTAGTTCGAAACCAACTGCGAAACCCAGGTGCCCAGAATCTGCTGGACTTCCTGATCCTCGTTTCGCAGATCTGGAAGCGATATGGTGTTGTCTCCCATCCAGCACTGATTGAGACTTAGTAATGCCTTCATAACACTCGATGGCTGACTTACATCCAGAACACAGGTGTTATTTGTGGGGTCCTCAGAAAGCAGCTTGTAGTCGTGAAAATACTTCTGATCATTGAATGGATTGAACTTGCTGTAGTCAACAGTGGAGGCATTTCCAGCCCAGGCCATGTCACCAACAACAATGTCCAGCATCAAGTACTATATTCAAATGTTAGTATTGTGGGTAGACATCGCAGCCGGCGGCTCACCATGCCACGCGCGTGCAACGCTGCGGATAAAGCTTGGAGGTCATCGGAAGTGCCAAAATGGGAGTTGATGGAATACAGGTCATTTGGCCAATACCCATGGTATGCTATCATCCATCAATCTTTAGTTCTCTGTATTCTTTATCCGTTGTCAGTAAAGATGACAGATGAGCATACCTGAGAGATCCGCTGTGCGAGTTGACTCCTGGCTTTGCACGGGGGAGATCCAAACTGCATCGAAGCCGAGTTCCTGAATATAATCCAGCTTATTTATGATACCCTGTAAGCTCCCACCGCAATACTTTCCCAATCCTGTATCACAAGAAGCGGTGGTTGAGTTATCGGATCGAGCGAAGCGATCGGTGACTACTTGGTAGACCGACCGACCGAGCCATTGGTCTCGGGATGCCGCATGTACTGTCCCAATGGCAGCAACTGTCAAAATCTTCCACCACCACATTGTCGGTGGCGTTTGCATGACAGATCAATGAAGGATCAAATAATGGATGGAGTCGGAGGCAATGAAAAGGCGACTTGAATTAATTGACGATGTCATATATGCTGGATGGAAATGATCTACGATGAGGTACCGATGTGTATGGTACTGTATGTGTAATACATATACAGAGTATTAATGACCTGTCATGTATTCTGTCGGCCCGATCGGCAGCCCGCCTCGAACCAAACTCATCCCAATTGACGGCACTGATGGGCTCTAACGACAAACGGGCAGACCCTGGTGGGTTTTCGAATGAATCGTCTTTGGGTTCCGCTAGCCTAGTTGACGATCATTGTCCATGTTTCATGTTCTTTTGGTGTGCTGGCCTCGGGGTGGAAGAGCCGCATGGTTGATTGTAGTCCGGCCCGATTTCTTAGATCGTTCCAGGTTGCTGTTCGGAGCTTACGTGGCCGTTATCTCTTATCTTTCCGACACATCTTGTATTCGACTCATGACTTAGATGTTTCTCTCCTTACGCACCTCAACATTAATTTCACGGTATCTTCGTCTGTCTTGCAGCACTATCCAATAGTTACAGCAACCCTTGCGTGATAATCTAGTTACCACATGGGGATCGAAATATGACAGCTGGGCTTTGTTCTATGTGGGTCTGGAACGCATCAGTGGGTCCGATAAGGAAAATTCCGGGCATTCCGCTTACTATCTCATCCCTTGCCCGTTAATGGGTTTGATAGCAAATTATTCGCAGGTTCAGCCAAGCCAAGTCAAGCACAAAATGCATCAATTGCCGACTATCAACTACGCCTTGCCGCAACCCTAACAGCAGGAACGGAGTGGCCGTGAACATAAGCCAAAGCAATACGAGACAGGAACGACACACAACAATGGAGCCACAACCTTATCATCGTATCTATTCACCTCTCACCGTTTCTCTTAGGTCTGCCCTGCATCAGGTATGACGTGTTCTATCATCTATATGGCGGGATACCCGATCTAGCATAATTTACACTTTGTGATCGATGGTTTCCTTCCGCCTTAACTCGTCTAGGAATACTTGTATATCCGAACGTCCTACACCGATGCATGTCAGATTGTCTCCATGTGTACGAGACATGAGCCGGCTTGGGCCTGGATCTTTGCTTAGATGCCCGAGCATGGCGCGCACCAAATACGGTGTATCTCAGCTTGAGATGCATCATCCAAAAATAGACCCACTCAACCGCTTACCGTGAGTATGGAGATGCTTTGCTGTGGATTGAACCTGTACAGTGAGGCTGGCTCGGATCTCCAACTGTTCGCCTGATTGCTGCGTCTATGGTGATTTACAAAACAGTAATTCGTATCGAGCTCAAAATCGACTATTGCATCGGCCTGGTCAGCTCCGGGGTATTCATTATCTTCCAAATGATTCTCTTATGTATCTGCGCTGTATGAACTGCCCAGTGTCTCTGTTTCTACTAGGTACCCATTTATTCCTGGTATGCACTCTGTGTCTTTTTGCTGTTGAGGCTCGAACAGCGTGTTTTGTGAATGTCACGATAGTGGCATTTACTGTGCAGAATGAAGTTGTTCACTCCCATCACGCATTACCTTGCCATTGTTGCAGTATCTATACGCATTGCAGAATCCCTGCCATATCTTCCAGAGGAAGCAAATTGGAATCTTAATCAAAACCAGACAGCAACACACCCCCTCGACTACTCGGGTCAGTGGGATGGCCATACATACAACCCCTCCCCACAGAACTGGCGATTCCCCTTCTACACGATATTCCTCGACAAATTTGTGAATGGTGATCCGAGTAACGATAATGCAAATGGCACACAGTGGGAACATATCTTGACCTCCAACGAGTTCCGCCATGGCGGTGACGTCCTTGGGTTGGTTGATACGTTTGATTATCTTCAGGGGATGGGGATCAAGGTACGTCTGTTGCTTCGGGAAGACTGGATGTGAAGAATGTGCTGATCATATCTAGGGCGTTTATCTCGCTGGAACACCGTATATCAACTTCCCCTGGGCTTCGGATGGATACTCCCCGCTTGACCTGACTCTGCTGGACCATCACTTTGGTACGATCGAGGACTGGCGCACGATGATATCTGAGGCGCATCGACGGGGAATTTATGTTCTTTTTGATAATACCTTTGCAACGTATGTGAAATCCATCTGAGCAACCTCCGATATCGTCTGCTGATTGTGGATAGAATGGGCGATCTTATCGGGTTTCAGGGTTTCTTGAACAAGTCCGCGCCGATCAATCCCGGTGAGTACGACTATGTATGGAAGTACGACCGTCAATACTGGGACTTTCAGCCCGGAAATGAAGTTGAGAGTGAATGTCCTTGGGAGTATCCTCGGTTCTGGGATGATGATGGGACCGGTTTGACCACCACAACCCTCGGCCCTTCATGTCGCAATAGTGAATTCGATCAGGTAACATTCGTTTCTTTTGATAATGAACATGGCTGACCTTTACAGTATGGAGAAGTTGCCGCCTTTGGAAACTACACCGAATGGGAAGGGCAGATATCCAAATTCGCATTTGTGCAGGATCGTCTACGCGGATGGCGGCCGGACGTGCTGGCCAAGATCAAACACTTCTCGTGTCTAACCATCACCATGCTTGATATCGACGGATTTCGCGTTGACAAGGCCCTACAAGTTACCCTTGACTCTCTTGGAGAATGGTCCGAGTATATGCGAGATTGCGCCAAGCAGGTGGGAAAGGAAAACTTCTACCTTCCCGGAGAGATTGTAGCGGGAAATTCTTTTGGCTCTCTTTACATTGGCCGTGGCCAGCAGACAAATCAAACCAAATCCAATCTGACGGAAGCGTTCATGATGACGAACATCACAGACAAGTCGGATGAGGATCTGTTCTTGAGACCTGCAGAGAGGTCCGCGTTGGATGGGGCGGCGTTCCACTACACGTTATATCGTGGTCTGAGCCGGTTTCTAGGGTTAGTTTCTCCACCTCAGCACTTTCAATTTACTCAAGCTAACATTGTCCCGTTCAGTCTAGACGGTACCTACACTGCCGAAGGCGACCCGCCCGTCAACTTTGTGGAGACTTGGAATGATCTTGTGGAGACAAACGATATGGTCAACACGAACACCGGTCAGTTTGATCCGCGTCACCTGTTTGGTGTCACGAATCAGGATGTGTTCAGGTGGCCAGGGATTAAAAACGGCACCCATAAGCAGAATTTGGGTCTGTACGTCGCGTCATTGCTCATGCCTGGAATCCCCATCCTCTCCTGGGGCGAGGAACAGGATTTCTACGTTCTGGACAACCAGGCCGACAATTATGTCTTCGGTCGCGGACCCATGACTTCTGCCCAGGCATGGCAGATGCACGGATGCTATAAGCTGGGGTCATCGAAATACGTCGATTTCCCACTTGACCGCTCCCTGACCGGATGTGAAGATAATTCCGTCAGTCTCGATCACCGCGATCCTTCTCACCCAGTGCGAGGCCTCATCAAGATGATGTTTGAGATGCGTGAAAACTATCCCGCTCTAAATGATGGCTGGTACTTGCAGCAATTGTCAAATCACACGTTCGATATCTACCTTCCAGGCAGCAATGGGACAGCGACCGAGACTGGGATGTGGAGTGTCCTAAGATCACGCTTTGCGGATGCGCAGAATTTCGATGGTCAAGGTCAAGGAAATCAGAGTGTCTGGCTGTTGTATTCCAATGAAAACATTACAGTCGAACACCGATTCAACTGCAGCAGTAAGGAGGCTTTGATCTCGCCATTTCCCAAGGGAACAACGGTCAAAAACCTTTTTCCACCGTTCGAAGAATTCACCCTCGCCAACAGCTCTATTACGCTTGGGTATGGTTACTCTTCTGAAGTTGATTGCCGTTACTGACAATGAGTAGTCTTGAAGGGTCCGACGTTCCCAACGGGTGTTATCCCAATTTTACTATGCCGGCCTGGGGTTTCAAAGCCTTTGTTCCTAAGCATACATTCGTCCAGCCTTCCCCATATGTGACACGCTTCTCACCAGGGCATGACGCTCGACTTTTGTCTCAGGAAACAGGTGGGGAGACGATTCGCATTGGCTTTGAATTCTCTCAAAAGATGGATTGCGATGATATCACCAAGTCACTCACGATCACATCCAAAGCGCTTGACGACGAAAGTCCGCAGATTGACATGGCGTCTATCTCCTGTAAATCCATTGAAGAGACTGATCTTGTGACATGGCCGGGGGCACTCACTAGCGTTTTCAGCTACGAGGTAGATTTGGGCAATGTCTTTCCAGGAGTTCACAGAGTCACACTTAGCAACGTGACTACAGCAGATGGAAATAAATCCACAGGTGTGAGTATAGTCCTTGCCAAAAAGGTGGAGAAAGTTAGAAACTAATTGAGTTGGGCAGTCCGTCGACCACTTTCTTTTCCGCATCGGACACATAAATAATCCGATGGTTTGGCCACAGTTGGCCAACTACAGCAGAACGCTACTGTTTGACAACCCATCATCTGAGACTGAGCCCTTATCAGTAATGCCACAGGCCCCTGGTGCGGACATGTGGCGATACTCACTGGATTTTGGAGCTACATTCAGTGACTGGATGACATACACCGGCTTCAACACGTCGATCCCTGGCAAGAGCTGGAGCGGCGCTGAGACCCAGGCCTGGGAAGGAGAACATATCCTCGCCCAATACTGGAGCAAGTTGACCGGAAGTAGTGCTCACTGGCAGCATGGGGACACGCAATGGGCATACAAGCCCCCACGTCGTTTCCCAAACCTCTTCATTGAAGGCGAGTTCAACCAGTTCGGATATGACGCTGGCTATTCCAACAAGATGGCTCTTAGCAACACCACTGGTCTATGGGAAATTCACTTCATGGGCGAATGGCCCGTGCAGGTTGCATTCAACGCATGGGGATTGAACGAAGATGGCCTGCCCGATCAAACCATGGTATTCGGGGACATCGATGGAGATAATGTTCTAGATCAAGTCCCTCCGGTCACGCTGCTGAGCAATGTATTCAACGTCACCATCCCACCCCCTTCACCCTATCTTTCCTTCAGGCTGTCGGTAGGTGACGGGGATCTTAAAGTCTACGCAACGCCCACAGGATCCAGGTGGGTTCAGCTGGCCATCTTCATCGTGCTAGCGATTGTGCCTGTTGCCACCGCTGCTGGTGCGGTGTTTGTTTACCTGAAGGCTTTTTACCAGGTCAAATTCAACCAAATCGGTGTCACCGAAAAAAGATCAAGCTTCGCTCCACTCGTGAACGTCTTTCAAAAGGTGGCCCATCGATACAATGAAAAGGAATCCAATGCCGGACTTGCTCTAACAAATGTGGGACCGTTCCCATCTGAGAGCATGGGCATCATCGGTGCCACGGTAAACACCCGCCGACGCACTGTGCTCATTGCAACGATGGAATATGATATTGAAGATTGGGCCATTAAAATAAAAATCGGTGGACTCGGTGTCATGGCTCAGCTGGTGGGGAAACATCTGACCCAGCAGGATCTCATCTGGGTAGTCCCTTGTGTTGGAGGCGTCGACTACCCCAAGGACGACCCTCGTGAGCCGATGGTGATTACCGTTCTTGGGAATAAATACCAAGTGGATGTCCAGTATCATCGGCTGCGAAACATCACGTACGTCCTGTTAGACGCGCCTGTGTTCCGAGCTCAGTCCAAATCAGAGCCGTACCCTGCCCGCATGGATGACATGAATTCAGCTATATTCTATTCTAGTTGGAATCAGTGTATTGCTGAAGCAATTAGAAGATTTCCGGCTATCGACATATATCACATCAATGATTACCACGGCGCCGCTGCCCCTCTCTATCTTCTACCTAGCACGATTCCATGCTGCCTGTCTCTGCATAATGCCGAATTTCAAGGACTCTGGCCAATGAAAACCCCACAGCAAATTGAAGAGGTTTGCAGTGTCTACAACCTTGATTATGTGTTGGTGAAGAAGTATGTGCAATTTGGCGAAGTGTTCAACCTTCTTCATGGCGCTGCCAACTATCTGAAAATTCACCAAAACGGATTCGGCGCGGTCGGTGTCTCCAAGAAATATGGCAAGAGATCGTACGCCAGATATCCTATATTCTGGGGTCTCAAGAACATTGAAGCGCTACCAAACCCCGATCCATCCGACATCGCCGAATGGGATCATACCACAAATTACAACCTTGAAGACGTTATCATCGATACAGAGTTTGAAGCCGGTCGTGCCGCACTGAAGAGCCAAGCGCAAGAATGGGCAGGGCTTAAAGTTGACCCAGAGGCCCAACTATTTGTGTTTGTCGGTCGTTGGTCCATGCAAAAGGGCGTGGATCTGATTGCAGACATCTTCCCCTCCATTCTAGACACTCACCCAGAGGTCCAGTTGATGTGCATTGGTCCAGTCATTGATCTTCATGGAAGATTTGCCGCGATGAAACTAAATCGACTGGTGGAGCTTTACCCTGGCCGGGTCTATTCCAAACCAGAGTTCACTGCACTACCGCCCTTCATTTTCAGTGGCGCTGAATTCGCCTTGATTCCTTCGCGTGATGAACCGTTCGGTCTGGTGGCCGTGGAATTTGGACGGAAAGGAGCGTTGGGCGTGGGATCACGGTACGACTGATCCCGCTTGAGTCTACCACCGGTGCTAACTTATGTTTTTGTAGTGTTGGTGGTCTTGGCCAGATGCCAGGATGGTGGTTCACGATGTGAGTTTCTTTCTCTGACGATGTGTTCAGACTAACCTATCGCAGTGAGTCTATGACAACCAAGCATCTTATACAACAGTTCAAGATGGCCATCAACGACGCTCTGAAATCGTCCCAGGAGACACGAGCGCTCATGCGTGCACGATCGAGTAAGCAGCGTTTCCCCGTAGCGCAGTGGGTTGAGGATCTGGAAATCCTACAAGCCACCTCAATCGAAAAGCACGCCAAGTACTCTAAACGCCACGATCGCAGTTCATGGCGTATTTCCCATAGCAGCACCGTTATCCCCGAAGGTATTCGCAAAGTCTCTTCGAGTTCAAACAACAGCCACGAACACAACCAAACACACAGCCCCCCCGTTTCTGTCCCGCCGAGCAGACCGAATACGTCTGATATGAGACCGTCTGTACCTCGACCCGGTTTTGACCAATTTCTCCCATCGACAAATCCGTCTTTCAATCTAAACATGTCCGACAATGAGCCCGAGTCTGACACCGACCCAAGACGCAGACCCTTATCATCTGAACCCCTCGCAGATTCGCGACTCGTTTACTCTGCGGCAAGTGATGGAGCAGGGCTTGTGCCCATTTCAGGGGCAATCCAAGATGGCGGCAGTCTTCGTCCATCTCCGCTTGGGACACCCACTGTATATGGGACACCTACTGGCTATTTCGCTCGATCTGGTGCCAGCACGCCAGTTCTTGGTGCACGACCAGAAGACGCTCTGCTGGGCGGAAGAGACGCAAGGTCGTCCGTGATGAGTCTGGTCAGCGTCGATGGTATAGTAAAAGAGAAACTAGACTACAACCTCCAGAAAGTTGATCCGTTTTTCACGGATGCGAACCACGAGTATGCGGATAAGTTCGAGAAGAAGCTTGCGGATTTGAATGGCAAGAACTCCGAAGACCAGCTCTGCATCGAAGAGTTTCTTGAGAAGAGCCAGAAAGATTGGTTCAATCGATATCGCGACGTCAAACTCGGAAAGTCCCCCTTGCCCTCTCCTGCTCCTTCTGTCTTTCGCATCAAGCTTCGTGAAACCAGTCAATCAGAGAGCCCGCCAATTACTGGCCCAGGTGCAGACTCAAACGCCGGGCAGTTTCTTCTCCCAAATGACTATGTTCCCCCAACCGGTTTGAAGCGTTTCATGTTGATGAAGCTGGGCAATTGGCCTGTTTACTCCATCTTCCTTGCTATTGTAAGTTGAAACCCTACCAAAATCCTTCATTACGGATGCTGACAGCAGTATTTTAGGGCCAAATTCTTGCCTTGAACTCGTATCAGATCACACTCCTGAACGGTGAGATTGGAGAGACGGCCGAAAAGCTATACGTTCTGGCATCCATCTATCTTGCCTCTTCGATCATATGGTGGATGGTCTTCCGTCTAGTCCCCTCAGTATATGTGCTGGCGACTCCTTTCTTTGTACGTTCACGTCCCTCTATCTTGCTTACGATGTTGCAAGCTAATTCCCGGCAGATATACGGATTTGCATTCCTCTTTGTCGGTCTTGCCGGTCCAATACATAACAGCAGTCGAACATGGCTACAAAACGTGGGAACTGGCTTATATTCGTTCGCATCTTCGAGTGGCTCGATTTTCTTTGCCCTCAACTTCGGAGATGAAGGTATGCAACAATCCATTTCGTAAATATTGAAGTTATCTGACTCTCTCGTTCAGGTGGAGCGCCTCTGAGGTCTTGGATTTTTAGAGCCACTGTCATCCAGGGAACCCAGCAGTTGTTTATCAGTTTCCTTTGGTATTGGGGTAGCTGGATGGCAGCTCTGAATCGAACGGGTAGCACGCAATTCAGCCTTACCATGACCGACCCAGGCGCTTTGCTCGGGATAGGAGTCGGACTTGCCTCTCTTCTGTGGCTGATAGGTGCCATGATCTTCTTTGGACTTCCTTCATACTATAGACAAGCACCAGGTCAAGTTCCGACATTCTACCTCTCGCTCTTCCGCCGTCGCATAATTCTTGTATGTATCTTCCAGTTCTCCCTGAACATGATTTTGATCCTGACGCTGTATCTCGCAGTGGTTCTTCTATATGGTTTTTATATCCAACTACTGGCTGTCGGCACCTTACGGACGAAATTGGCTCTATCTCTGGTCCAGCAAGCATGCGCCCGTGTGGCAAATCGTGCTCCTTGTCCTCTTCTTTTTCATCTTTGTCTGGGCGGCAGCTCTCTGGGTCTTTCACGTCTTTTCCAAGAGACACGCCTGGTTCATTCCGATCTTTGCCGTCGGTCTTGGTGCTCCTCGATGGGCCCAGATGCTGTGGGCAACCTCCAACATAGCCACGTACATCCCCTGGGCCGGTGGTCCCGTAGCTGGGGCTCTCCTTGGTAGAGCACTATGGCTCTGGCTAGGAGTTTTGGATTCCCTTCAGGGTGTCGGTAAGTTTAGTCTCGCAGCGAATAAAACATAACACAAACTGATTTAAGCCAAAACAGGGTTTGGAATGATTCTGCTCCACACAATGACTCGATTCCACGTCACCTTCACACTTCTAGCCGCGCAGGTGGTCGGTTCTATTGCAACTATCCTCGCCCGCGCGACAGCACCGGATAAGTTGGGGCCCGGTGATGTTTTCCCTGATTTCTCCGCTGGCGTCGCGGTCGGCTTGGGAAAAGCAGACTTCTGGGTCTGCTTGCTTTTCATGCTTTCCATTAACGTGCTCTGCATCTTCTTCTATCGCAAGGAACAACTCGCGAAACCCTGATCGTTGTTGCAACCTTCACTAGCGTTTTTTTTTCGGTTCCCATCTGTTTAATATTTTCTGGCGTACGGATCGTGGTTGAAGGATTAATTATCCTATAATGAGTTACTTTTTTCTGATTTGTATATAGTGTATAAAAAGACAACATATGTACTGGTTTACAAGTTCTATAGGTGGTCAAACTTCGCGATCGTATTCATGTAATTTTGAATAGGCAAGGGCTCGCCAATATAGGACTAGGGCGACAGGGTCCAGGCTAATTGGTATTAATACCTTTTGGGCCTAGTCAGGGGGACTGATGATTCAGAGCCCTCTCTTAAATGATAAGATATATATTCTCATGATAGTTCTTGTTTTCTTTGCAAATTGCATCGATTCAAGCTGTTATTCTTGCCACTCTTTTCAAGATAATAGATCACTCATACATTCTTTTATTCGATTCTTTCATCCCATTTTCTTACTCCGTTCGCTTACTCCAGTTTTTGCCGTGCATTTGACAGTCTCTCGTTCTCATTCGATGTATCAAATCTTTCTGTTGTTCTTCGTGGCCCTCTGTCTTTGGACGCGCTCCGCAATCGCTGCTTTGACCTCGGGTGAAATTGCCAACTCTCTCAATGAACTAGCGCAGCAAGGGTTCGCTGCTAAGGCACTCGTATTGGAAATCAACTCCACTGCGGACGCTGGTCCACTTCCGGTAAGTGGGGCTTTTAAGATCCAGGAATGACAGCTCATAATAAAATTCAGGATCTCTACACTGAGATAGACACGATGGTCACTGTGGTTCTAACAAATGTGAATTTTATGGTGAACACGCCAATCATTACCGATCAAGCGGGGGAGCAGGATGTCTATGAAGGATACTCAAATGTAGGTTGATGAAGGAAAATCAGTCCATCACAGTCATTTATACTTAATGATGCTAGTTCGTCCAATCCCTCCTCGAGCTGATGGACGCCTTTTCCAGCAGTGCAGCCCAGCTGAAATCCATCAACCAAACAACCAAGAACAAAGTGCCCTCTGAAATTCGCATCTTACAAAGTGCTGTTGACGTGAGTTTCTTGATTAATGTTTCTGCGGCCTGATTAAATTGCTGATAAGATTCTCTGTCAAGGCCTACTTCTACAACACCATCGGTCTTTTCCCAGTCAACAGCTCGTACAACGCCCAGGCCAACAACCAGAAAGCCCAGGTGGACACGCATTGCTTCCAGGCTGTTTGGGCATTTGATCTCGGCGATAGCAATGGCACTCGGGCTACTCATGAAGCACGCAGCAAGAGCTCGCTTCACTCCCGATGGATGAAGCGCGGTTCCTTGTGATTTTAGACCATGTCTATCTTTGGATATCGCCTGGTTTAAACGTTCGGTGGATAGCCACTGGTGGACCTGGCAGATAGGCGGTCACCCCTGCCTCTGGGCTGCGCCTTGTTCTGGAACAAAGGTTGAGACTACACCCCCCATCAAAAAGCCTTTACCCACTCCCATATTTACCCGCAAAAAGTGCCGGTTTCTGGCCTATTTCTGCACGATTTTATATGGTAGCGTATTTTCTGGATAATTTGTAATTAAACTTTGGCTTAGACTAACAAACAATTTTGTCCGAACACCTCTATATATATATAGCTGTGGAGTGGCAACAGGTTAACAAACTAATTCACAATTTGAATCTCCACTATATCAATATAGTGGCCCCACAATTAACTCTTGTCTAGTATCTTTGCAAAATTTTGAAAATAACAGCTTTTAACCAAAATTACTTGCGAATATGATTTATACATAGTCTGCCCTATATTTGACTGATTCAAATTTATCATAACAATCGAAAATAAAGTTATTATATACACATATGGATGAAAAAGGACCTAAAACTTTAGGATCGGCACTGGTCATTACAGGAATGAAAAAAGACTCATGGACACCGATATGTCTCGGACTAAACAATAGAGAGAAAGGCGTGGCGTGAAAGCCAACGCGCATAGATATCGTACGCGAGATGCACAGCCCCGTGGCTGCCCAACCTGATCGCCTTAAGGTTCGCAGATATCAGCCTTGAAGACAGTGCAGCTGACACTGCTCAAATGAAAACCCCTGAGAATTTGTTGGCGAATCCGCTAGGTGTTCCAAGGTTATTTTTCATAACCTGATATAGATTGGCCAGCCACTTGTAAATATGGGAAGATCAAATCTACTTAGAGCAATTCCTCAATACGAGGGCTTAGGCGGTTGAATGCTGGAAAATCAATTCCATTTTCAAAGTTCGGACTTAGGCTCTATATCTATCAAGTATTATTTACCGTATTTGACTTCTGCCTTCCCCCGTGTTCACGAATATGACCAACTAGGCTCAATATGACCCGATGCGTATATCTGGCCGACTTGGAAGACGATGATAGCTCCCCGGGTGCCTCCTTATCCTCAGCAATCGGACATTATCAGGATATAAAGAAGTTAGACAGGAGAAAATCAAGTAGGAGAGATCCACCTAGTATAATGATTTTCCAGGACGATGTCTTCGTATCCCGAAACCGGCGGCGAGCATCCCCAGAGTCGCCAGGTAGTGAAGAATACCCAGAGTACTCGGCGTCGTCCTGCGGACACCGCCCTGGTGACTGGAAACCCTCATCGCAGCATAATTGCGATGAGTGGGCGCACATGGATCGCCCTCCGCGCACTCCGTTGATTTGCTGTCGGAGAAGGAAAGGTTATCGGGCTTGTGTGACATCACGCCCTCCAAGTGGGAAAACTAGGACCAGTGGTGGCATCTCCCGCATCCAGACGAAGTGACACTACCCAGTCCAACGTCTCGGCGAAAGTCAGAGTGTTAAAAGTCGCCCCGCTATCAAGTATAATGACTCGCGTCACGGAGGCGCATTCTTTGCGAACATCATTTCAGAGAGGGAGTGGGTTCAAGACCATCAATTTCTGGCCATGCTATTGGAGTTTCTTCCATCACCTTCTAAGATTACCAGTTCTGTATGGTCCGGAGTGATTGGGTCGTTGGAAGTGGTAGCAAGGTGGCTCGACCCAAGCTGAATTGTGCCATAGTGAAGGTCTTTCATCACCCGAACATTACATACGTGATTTTCAAGCCCAATATCGTCACTCCAGAGAGTTCCGAAAGAATTTAGGAGCTTGGGGAAAGAAATGATGAATTTGGTTTGATCAAAAGGTGCAGGATTCAGGATTCAGCCCTACGGTTTTGTACGCATATGAATCCACCATGTTTTGTGGACGTGCCTATTTCTTCTATCCGAATCAATCACAATCCATTTTTCAGTTCAAGATAAATACAAACTCAAGTGTCACGGGGATTTCTCAGAGTAGTATATCTTGATCAAGGCTTGATCGCAACGCATCTCAAGCTCGCATATGTGATCCACTGGCTTCCGTCCTCCCTTGTGGTCCCATAACGTAGCATCCGACACATTTGCTCTATAGCACTGTCTTTCTTCTCTTCTGTTTCCAAAAGATCCAGCATCTGAGCTCCAATCAATCTCAGGAACCCCTCAAGTCCACCGTTGTCGGTGGAGGTCAATTGCAGTGGTTGCGGATTCAATTCAATTTGCTTGACTTGAAATCCAACACTTTCAAGCATCTCCTTCATGTGTACATCCGATGGATAATACCAAGGGCACAAAGCTTCCGCTTTCTCAATAGGCACGCCGTGACTCACAAGCGCAAACATGAAGGATGTAAGCTTCTCCGGTGCATTCCCATGCCCACACATCTCGAAGAAAAAGGTTCCCCCCGGCTTCATTGATTTGAAAATGTTCTCCAAAGTTGAGAGGCGAGTAGAGGAATCTTTCAATATCCAGTGAAACGCGGCATTCGAGGATCTATACCGATATCAGAAAGAGCTTGCCGAGAGAAAGAGGTTTGGACCACCTACACTTTATCCCAGTTTCCGTTCATGATCTCAGGCTCCTTCTCAAGGTGTCGACAGTCGACAACACGGAACTCTGTCTCCGCGCCCCCATAGTCAAGTGTCTTGGCCGTGTTGATCATAGACGGCGAATAGTCTACCCCCATGACATATTCTACCATAGGGGCAAAGCTTGCGGTGAACTTTCCATCACCACATCCGATATCAAGAACTCGGTCTGTTGATTTGAAGTCGATACTTTGAACAAGGGTATCGGCAAAGTGGGGCACGAAAGAAGCCGCAGCCTCGTATGTCTACATATGATTAGCATACCGTATGCACTATAGGGTGGTATCCTTGTAGTTCAGGACTAAATACCTCGGTGGACCAATAGTCCTTTTGAACCCTTTGTGTTTCTGTCATGATCAAGATGTATGGAAAGGGAGCACTTATTGAGGAAAACTCAGATATCTGGGCGCCGTAAAGATGGGCTCACTGAATTTAACTGCAATTTTACGGCATATGAACAGAGTTCCACTGCCTGAATCATATATTCTTGACCTGGTATCTCGCTGTTCTCCGGTTTTCTGCAGAATTTGATATGATTATTTAAAAAGTTTTTCTTTCCAGAACTTATATTTATACATGTTGAGCTTTTTCTATTTCAATGTAAATTGCTTTTGAGATCTTCGGCGCGTTCTACAAGATTCACCATTGTGTCAACGGAGCTCTCATCGAGCATGGCTTGCGCAGGTGAGGACATTTCAGCTGCGCGTGGCTGAAATTGCTATGACATCAAGACTCTCACCGACAGGTGATTATCACTAGTGTCGTTTTCTACTATGTTCATAAACATGATATTTTACGTAGATCCTTCAAATTGAGCTGAAGAATCCACTGTGGGGAACGATAGGTGGACAAATACTCCGCTCTTTCAGCACATGGGACTCGATAGCGTGTTACCGAACCATCTTTTGGTGTGGATTTATCGGAAAACATCGGGATCTTCAAAAATCCCCCGTCAGACTTCTCACGTTCCAAGATTGGGAATCACCGCCATGCAAGAACCGATTTTTGGTGATAAGCTATAAGTCATGGGACCCTCCCTACGCCCAGTGACGTGTCGAAATGTATTCAGCTCACCTGTCGGACGCTAAGTATCTCTTGCATTTGAAAGTCAAAGATATGCCTCTCGAGATGATGGTCAGTGCACTTCGATTTTGCGATGCAGCCAATACTGTATCAAAGGGCAAAGATCTTGAGATCAACAGTGGGCCCCTTGTACGCTTGGTGGGGCAGAGGGGAATAATAAGCGAAAAGACTCAAAGGCATTGAATATCGTGTTCGGAAAAGGCCGGCTATCACAATGGCTCCCAGAGCGTCGTGCTATTGCCGCCAATGACAGCCACAATGACTGCAACGAACCACCATCATAAAATACAATGTAACTTCATATGCAGGACTCACAGATATATGCAATTTATTTCGACGTTAAACCGTTCTCACTTCGAACATAGCTCCTATCGATACAAACAAAGCTTGACTTCGACGGTCCTTACTAGCTAATAGGCATTCGATTATATCTATAGCCGGCTAGAAACATCTTATCAAGCATCAGTGTTATACCTTCGAGAAACCAACGACCTGAATCAAAACTTTTAGTACTTCCAACGTATTTGCTATAACTTACGCGAAAAGTAAGAGAATATCCTCCGATTCGCTAACGTCCGCCAAAAGAACGACGAGAATCTTATAGTATATCTTGTAAGATTCGAGCGCTTAGCGTACAAAGTAAGTATCGGTCTTTAAGACCAAGGGATTCTCGTCGCTTTCTCCGCGAGGCCCTATAATAAGCTAGCGATACGCTCTTCGAGCTACTCTACGAAGAATTTCTAAAATTTCGACAACGATACGACCGTCGCTAGCCGCGACCCTTTCAACGCTAATCCTTATCCTTACCCTTCTAGCGTCAATTTTCAACTTTCAGCGACAACTATTCCCAGAACTAATAGATATATCAGTAAATCTTAGCTGGCCCATGCACATGAATCCTGAATGTGATATGCCTGAGGCATGGATGCTGATCTCACAACACATGGAATTGATATTTGGTCGATGACCTGCGAGTACTGTCAAAGTCCTCGGGGTGCATCAACAGAAAAATGCCCAAGAAACGTCGGATATCCGATACCAGGCATCATGGGCATCTCAGGCTCCCAGTCGAAGACATTTCCCGCAAACAGCATCTCGCTCGGGAACGTAAAACTACCCAAATCATCCTCCCCTGACGGCCTGATACTATCATCTAGAACTGCTATTTCTTCAGCGACTGGTACGTCTTCTCCAGGACAATTCCCCACCTCCCCCTCTCCATCCCCATTCTCAATTTGCTTTCGAGCCATCGGGTACGTCCCCAGTGGGTTCAAAACATACTCAAGAGTAAGCTGGATCTGAGAGGAACCCCCGGTCCGGTCAGCGCTACCACCAGCCCGTGCATCCACTAGCGCCGGTGTATTAGCACTCCCAGGCCCTGTACAATCCAATGAAAACAATTCATCGAACCGGTTCAAAGCCTGCACTGCAGACTCATAGTACATACTCGCTTTGATATATCGCTGCAGAAACCGCAGCATAATAACATTATCCCTCAGCATGGCACGATACTCACCATAGCCCATCCCAGGAATCAAAGGCTCATCCCTTCCCCACGAAGCAAGCGTCGTGACAATTACACTACTGCACACCTGGATATACATCGCGAAGGGTGTATCGACAATACTAAGTCTGTGGCAAACCCAGAGATCTTTCAGCAGGGAGGCGATATATACTGCCTTCTGTGCGCAGATCGTGTGGCACGTTACCAGGAAGGCACTCGGGGCGTTCTCGCGGATCCATTGCGTTGCACTATTTGGAAAGACCAGGCGCGAGACGCCGATCCGGTAGAGATCGTGGTAGTTCTGTGAGATCAAAATGTGCAGGCTGAAATAGAGGCTTAGCCGACCGGAGGCTTTGAAAAGATACATATTTTCAGTGGAGATTTGGAGCGCTGGTGGGATTGAGGTCTCGAGGGTATGGAGCTCGTCTTCGAGGATGTGAAACCGGGATGTTGGGTTTCGTTGCCAGGGAACTTCGCCTGCGAGGCATTTTACGTATTTGAGGATTTTTGAGCGGGTGTTTAGAGCGCGAATGTAGAATCCGCGCATATCAAGATTGTTTGAGGCTTCTGTGATTGTTTTGGGCGTCGGAGTCACCGAAGGGAGGTACTGGCCTGGTGTCAAGGTTTCGGTGATGCACGGCGTGCTTCTGACAAATAATTCTTCTGAGCATGGTAACTGAACATGGATGTCTTCTGCTAAGATGAGGCGGAGTTGATCGATGCCGCATTCAATGAAGGCGTCGAGGATATAACATGCCCATACTAGCCGCCTGCGGGATTCCTTCGTTACGCCAGAGACTGAAATCTTTTGACACGAGGGATCGGAATTAGCTTCAATGTTGATCTGCAGAATTTGGAGGTGTCGAGCTATCTGGCCAGAAATCATAAAGCCTTTGGCGTAGTCTCCTTGTCGTAGATAGTACTCATGGAGCAGGACTTCAGTCATCAAACGCTCCGTCCCAGTTTGCCCGAAACCGGAGAACAGACATTGGCTCGCGGCTTCTGCCCAGCCTTTTCCTGCATCGAAGAATTGTATTTCCTTTTTCTGGTCTTCTTCCCCGACAAAACCAATAGTGTCTGCATAGTAGAAGGGCGCAGATAGCGCACACATTATATAAATAAGCCCGGATTGCTGAGTTTCAAGTTGCGTAGGGCCCTTTAGGCGCTCCATGAAAGTTGGGACGTGTAGGAAGCCCATACATCGTACAGTGTGTATGCGAGAGAAGTATATGTCAACTAAATCGCGAATCCGGTTGATAGGAGGCAGTTTGGTTGCCGTCAGCCATACCGGTATAGAGTGAATTGGTGCAGTCGAAGTGGCTAGTTCGAGTCCAGGCTCTTGGAGAGAGGAAAACCTCGTTTCGTAGTAAGAACATTCAAGGCCCTTTCTGGAGCAGGGGTTACAGGTAGGTCCACCAGAGCATTTGGCCTTTGCTCGCTTGCATTGTAGACAAGAACGCAGGTTCCGTCGCCGCTTCAGTCCGGCTTCTGTTGTTTTCCCATCTAAATTTGTTCTCTTCGGCATTGGGCCTGCCACAGTGCTGGATGGATATACACATTCCTCACCGTACTTGCGGCATCTGTGACAACCTCCTGGAGTGCGATCACATTTGACCTATATACCCGTTAATAATAAGACAATAAGATGAGTTGAAAACGCCACTTACTTTGCGCCTACAGCAAATGCGACAACTTTGCATTTTGGCGAGGTAGAGATCAAAACAGCGAGATCCGTAAAATGGGAGGTGGTTGCGGCGCAAGGCGTAAGACTCAAGTGCGATGGTGTTATCGGCGACACCCGCTCGGATCTCGCACTCCTTGCATTTGCACCCGACTGCTCTGCACTTCCCGCAACTATAAAATCTAGTATTTTGCAGTTCATGGTGACACTTATATCTTCTTTTTAAATCAGTCTTTTAGGTCTACATCGGCAACATGTCACCATTGCTTCGAATTGTCGCTTTCTTTACACTGATTGGTGCAGCCTATGGCTCGACCTTTCGCGTCTTTGACAACACAGCCTACACCAACACTTCCATCGGTCATGGCAGCACAAACATCAACTGGATTCCTGCCTATGTGTGCAATCCTCTGACCGCAGGGGGTGTTCTTCCATCAGCCGATAAATGGAAAAATATTGTTCTCGAGTGGAACATATATCCAAGCTATCCGCTTGTGCTCGATTGCGAAAATCTATACTTCACTTCCACCTCTACGGCAGATCTCTACCTTGAAATTATGTCTACATTGCAGACGTGGGCGGCTGAAGTCATCCCTGCAGACCAGATCATTGGCTGGTACGGACTGTCCGGCAATACCATTTCGTCACTATACCCACATTACCGCAACCTCATTGCCAACCACAGCAATCATGCTTTCTTCCCCTCGGCCTATACGTTCAGTGACAGCTTGTCAACGTGGGAGAACTCGCTCAACTCGGTGGTTGCCAAAATTCAGACAATCGATAGCTCTTTGCCGGTTTGGCCATACACTTGGCCCCAATACCATGGCAATTACTCTTTCATCCCAGCAGATCTGTGGGAGAGTGAGTTGGAGGCTCTTGCAAGTAATGAGCATGTTGATGGATTTGTTATCTGGGGCGGAAAAAACCACGCAGTTTGCAATGATGCGTGCCAGATAGTTGCAGGAAAGGAACCTTGGCTTAATATTACGCGAATTTATCTGGACAACCTCTATGGGATCTATGGGAGTGAGGTCAAGGAAACTGGAGCGCAGCTCTTCAATTGAGCATCTAGCGATGTATTAGAGTATAGAAATATAGTCGTGGCTGCCAGTTTCCAAGGTTGCATCAGTGTACAATTACCTAGGTTTCTACTACATACCCTACTACATACCCCTAAAGATACATTGGGAAGGGGAGGTTCATTTCTCCCTTCCTGTCGAGATCTTATTAATAACACCCTAGCCGTAACACACAAGGCTCATACAATCCACCGAGAAGTCGTAATTAAATTTTGCTAAACAATTGGCCTTGAGCACGCTGTGCCAAATATTGAGCTGCAAAAGCGGAAGCATTATCAACAACAACAATAGCTTTGAATGATGGAACTTGCTCTCGTGCCATCTCGCCCGTGATGAGGGCCTGAAAATTGGGCAAGTTCATCAAAGCTCCTGTGAGGATGAGAGAGCTAATATTGGGGTCACAGATATGCTTCTGGGCAAGCGGTTTGATAAGCTGCACCACTGACCTGGCAGCAGAGGTAAGAATCTCAAGTGCCTGTAAATCTGGAACCTTTCGAAATCCCAGCTTTGTGACAACTTTCGCAATATCACTGATATAGTATTTGGGCTGCAAGTCAGAAAACAAAATGCCGGAAAGTAGCTCGTCTTTGGCATGGCCAACACTTGCCAAAATCTCCGACTCCAATTCTGTCAAGCGTATCTCTGTACCCTGGCTCAGCTCCAAGCTGCTCAGCAGTGCCCGCAGAGCCTGTTTACCGATGTCAAAAGCGCTTCCTTGATCCCCAATAAGAGGACCCCAGCCACCTGCTCTCCCAATTTGAATAAACTCCCCCGTTGGATCCTTGCTGAATGCTGTCGCCACAGATCCTGTGCCTGCAATGACAGCAATCCCACGATCAACAGAATCGTTGATGCCAATGCATGCGCTGAGAAGTGCGCTGTCACTCGTCAGACGCAGGACTCCTTCTCGTGAAGAAAGATTCAATAGCTTCTCGAGCCCATCGGACAACGCTTCCCGTTGATTTGCATGGTGCAACCCAGCTATTCCGGCCCATACAGCGGCAAACTTGGGTAGTTGAGTGTCCGAATAGCGGTATGTTTGAGACAAGTGAGAGACTGCTTGGAGAGTGGCTATTTGTATCTGACCCAGGAGATCATCCAATGGAACACTGTGAAAGTTGCAAGGCCCTCCCCACCCTTGAGCGATAACTTGGGAGCGTGTTGCAATGGAAACAGCGCATTTAGTCCCTCCTCCATCAATTGATAGAAAGAGTTCTTCATTCCCTGCGTACTCCATATTACACTTAGGCGTCATGTGTTCGATGCTCTCAAGAAATAAACGAAAATTTCCTTCCATTCGATCGAGTGTGTGCCTGGCATGAGCTGGTGCAAGACCGGATACAGCCACGGCACATGCCAGCTTGACATTTCCCCCACACTTGGTGATCAAGTTATCCAGCGCAGCGTCTTCTTGAGAGGCATCGATGAATCTCAAGGGGCGGGGTTGTGGCTGGCCTCTCCCATCAAGGATATACAAGGGGCGTCCCTTGCAGACTTGTTGGATGATCCGCCGGCCACGCGCTTGCAATTTGTAATTCCTTGCCCGTAGGTCAATCATAAGGCCCATATGTGTTTTGCCTAGCTTCACCATTGCACAGGTACTGATCATGTTCAAGATTTGCTTTGTTGCACTTCCAGCCTTTAGCCGAGTACTCCCAGCGATGAATTCCGGTCCAACCAAGGCGGCGACAGAGTGGTTGACGCCCAATGCCTCTATAACAGACGAATACGTATTTGTGATGGCGGCTGTCAACGCGCCGTGCTCGATAGCCACCTTGAGTGCGCCACAAACAAACGGCGTCCGTCCAGAGGCCGAGATACCCAGGACGGTATCTTTAGCGGAGACCCGGAGAACCTCAAGCTGAGATGACCCATCCTGCTCGGAGTCTTCAGCTTCCTCTTTCGCTTTGAGAATTGCTTGTTCTCCGCCAGCCACAATGGCGTGAAATTGGCCTTCATCTGTGGAAAATGTCACCGGCAGTTCACTGCACTCCATAAAACCTAGCCGGCCGCTGTTGCCCGCCCCCACATAGATGACCCGGCCACCCGCACGTAGACGGGGAACGAGGGCTTCAATTAATGATGCGATTTCGGACAAGCAGCACGCAATCGCGGGTGCGACTTTGGCTTCTTCCGAGTTGAAGGCTTTGCAAAGCCCAAGAGTGTCGAGAACGTCAATGGAGGGCGCTAGTACGTTCGGGACCTCCGTCTGGAGGGCGCCTAAACCTTCGCAATTGAATGGCGTCATGTTGGCCGTAAATTGCTTTTTTTATAACATCTGCATCTATGAGATTATTGAGATGTTCTTATGTTTTGGCTTCGAAAGTGCGACGCGGGTTCGGGATCTCGCTGCATGCTCGCAAACGGATCTCGCTGTATGCTCGGATACGGATCTCGCCATAGCGAGATCCTACTCTCAACTGTGGAGACACAGCACGCCATGGCCACGAGCCTGTGGAGAAAACTATTTATACGAACATAGCAACTGGTCTGCCTAAGACCATCCGGAAAATTGCCTGAATATTGTTTTATTATTTTTTTTAATGCACCATGGAAACCCCAAAGACTTCCCCGGAGACCATCTATCGAGAAAGCCCCAGTGATGGCGATTTCCTTTCATCGCCCCCAAAGAGCCGCTTTTCAAAGATTCGCCAGGACCCATGGTTCCAGATTGGTCTGGTTTCGTTTATATCCTTCTGCAATCCCGGCATGTATAATGCCCTGACCGGGATGGGAGGTTCGGGTCAGGTCGACAGCACAGTCTCGGCGAACGCCAACGTCGCCACGCACGCATGCACAGCTGCAACGGCACTTTTCATCGTCGGCACCTTCTACAAATATCTAGGTCCGCGTCTCTCCCTACTCATTGGAGGCTGGACCTACGCTATGTACGCAGGTGCGCTGTTGAACTCAGACCGGGTGACGGGCGGCGGTCCTTTCGTGATTGCAGCCGGAGCGCTGCTTGGTCTAGGGGCAGCTTTCTTTTGGGTCGCTCAGGGGACCATCATGGTGACTTATACAAACGATCAAACGCGCGGACGAGCCATTGGAGTCTTCTGGGTGATTTTCAACTTGGGCGGGACTATTGGTTCGCTGGCTAGTTTCGGCATCAACTACCACTCTAGTTCTGGCACGGTGACAGATTCGACATATATCGCATATATAGTGATCATGCTTTTCGGTTGGCTACTTTCCGTACTTGTGTGCTCCACCGAGTCTTTGTCGGACAAGTACCACGGTGATCGCATCGCACAAGAGTTCAAGTCCTTCAATTGGACTAATTTGAGGAACACGCTTATCCAGACGCTGCACATTATCTTCGATTGGAAGAATCTTTGCCTATACCCAATGTTTTACAATGCTAATGTCTTCTACTCGTATCAACAAAACGATGTGAATGGCTTGACTTTTAACCTCCGCACTCGCTCCCTCAACAGCGCCCTGTACTGGATTGCCCAAATGCTCGGTGGGCTTTTGATGGGATCTCTACTTGACCTTCACCCATTGAATCGCCGTGCACGAGCAAAGCTTGGATGGGCAATTCTATTCATCACCGGGATGGTAATTTGGGGCGGTGGATATCAGTTCCAGATCTGGAACGACCAACGTCTAAAGCAGGGTTTGAAGCAGAAGATTGACTACAAGGATGGGAGTGACTTCTTGGGTGGAATGTTTCTATACTTTTTCTACGGGGCGTACGATTCCTTCTGGCAGACATTCTGTTACTGGGTTATGGGGACTCGATCAAACAATCCTGTTGTCACTGCCGTCATTGTCGGAGCATACTCGGCTTTGAAGCCGGCTGGTGGTGCAATGGCTTGGAGAATCAACGCTGAAAAAATCAGTCCATTGACACAGTTTGCTATGAACTGGGGTCTATGTATTGGGAGCCTTCTGGTGGCCATTCCCACTATATTGACCATTGAGAGGACCAATCATGCCTCGGACGAGGTGGTCGATGAGGAGGTGGAAAAGGTCACACCTAATGAGTTGTAGATAGTGGTAGATGTCGAATGGATTCCCAGAGGGTATCCTCTTTTAATTTTCAATTCCTTGGTCATGCTGAATCCCTCTGAATTTCCAGGATTAGGGAGAATAAAACACAGAGTTTTTCGGACATTCTTATTGGCCAGGCCTAATAGCATCCGACAGTTAAGAGCCCGATTCGCAACGTACAATTCATCAAACATATCGCAAGAAGCTATCCAGGAGCACTCTAAACCTTGGCGTCGTCTTTACGTCGCCGTTGCTGTTTTTATTACTTCTCACGATACCCGAATTAACCACATTCTAACACCCGGTCACTTTCTCCTCCGAACTAATGCCCCTACACCCTGTGTAGATACATCTAACATTATAGATGCATACACATTAGCGATGCTCTCCTCCTGTAAAGGCGATAAATTTCGCGATTCCGCTCAATAGAATAAGTGGATTAACCTTTATGAGCAATCTGCTACTACGGGGAGAGTCTAGTAGTTCTATATTCTAGCTATACTAGAGAGCCACTTACTGATACGAATAGAAGAGCTCATAGTCAAGCCCTACCCTAAAGATGATAGGGACAAGAAGAGGATTCAATTATAGAGAGATCACTTTAATCTATATAAATTCCGGATAATCTGATAGAAGGAGTAGGAAACAGGAAACCTTGTTCGGCCAGAAGACCTGGAATTGAGACCTTGGAACACGTAGGTAGATATGATATATATACGTATTCCCGTCTGATTTGAAAGACGACTTAAGAATATAGAGGTAAACAGGGATAGGAGGTGGATAGTGGGTATGTGTTTGATCGCCTCTCGCTTGAAATAACTCAGAAATATATAGGCTGACGGAAGTGGAACGTGTATACCTAGGTAGTGTCTCTGTCCTTGATCTTTTGTCGCTTGAGAGATGACTTGAGAACGAGTCGTAATTCGAGTTCTGCGTTCTTTATGCTTCTTTACCTGTCTTGGTTAAGGTTTTCCCTCTTCAGTTAGGTTCCCCCATCATGCGGATGCAAAGGCTTTAGGTCACAAAGACTCAACTACAATTCCCTCATTATTCAACCGATGTGGTCTGAATTTTACATGTCGGTGGACACCAACTCGTCCGCCTCAAGCTTACCCTTTGTCACAACCTGCTTCATCCATATAAACTAGGTGGTACAAATGAAAAGCTGATAAATTGCAAGTATAAATCACGTGGGTCTTGATTGCGCTCTCTGGCTTTGACCCTCGACGTGTATTTTTTAACCTGAGCCCTTCACGAAGATTGAGATCGGGCCAAAATGAAAGACAGCAAGAGAATAGCTACGGCAGTTCTTCATAAACTAATTCAATTGAAAATGAGCTTGGTTGATAAAGAGGACAACTGCCTTTATTATGTTCCAGCAAACAGTAGTACTTCTAAACGGACATCGAAACGGCCAAGGACATAATTTACACGAAAGGTAGAATAAGATGACTGTCGTACTTTCCACCCATATGCACCCAGTGTTTTCCTCGATTCTGAATATGCTCAGTGGTGCCAAAGTTCGAAATTCCCTGGTAAAATCCACTGATCCGCAACTGCAGACTCTCGCCGGCCTCATACTCAACACCCATGCCCCAGATTCCAATCTCTAGTCGCACCACAGATCCTGGTTGGACTTTTTCTTCTTTCTCATGAGTGTAAAATGGCCAGTTGGGATGTATGGAACGAGATGTATCGATGGCGCGGTTTGAAGCCCGAAGTATTCCCGTCGGACCTTGGTAGAGAATAACCTCTGTGCGTTTATCCTCTGGGATATCGGCAATATTTGAGACGGGAAGGTTGTTCCACGGAATGTTGAGATTCAGAAGTTGCTCACCGGAAGCAGACAATTTGCTCAAATTCAGGAACACATCCATGTCATCCAAATCATCGCAGTGCATATACAAAACCGCCTTCGGTATACCAACCAGCTGGGTACGTTCGGTGAAGGTATAGGTGAATTTAGCAATATCCTTTGGATCTTCAGAGTTGTATGAGATGGAACTCGACTCGGGGATTTTTTCGAGCGTTAATCCACCATTTGCAGTGAGATACGCCTTCTTGTATACCGTGCGAGGGAGTGGGAAGTCATCTTCGATCAAATTATCCAATGGGGTCTTTTCTCCATATTTCAGGATAGCCATTCGCACGCGAGGGGTTGACTCCCAGCCATTTTCAACTCCCTTCAAGTACCGGTCGAAGAAAGAAACTAGCTCGCGTCGTGCTTCCTGGTTTCCCCAAATGTCATACCATTCCTGGTATGGATGCCAGCGGAGCCATTTCTCAGATGACTTGACATCTAACCAGCCTCGGATGGCTCCCATGCCGTGCATTGTGTTAGTCCACGTCCCTGTGATATAGGTAGGAATGTTGATCTTGGTCATATCGGGCCGTTTGTCGTTCCACCAATCGTTTGCAAGAGGGTGTTGGTCAAACATCTGTCGGAAGCTCTCGATTCCATTCCGGCCTCGCAGAATATATTTGATGATGAGATGATCAAACAGGTCACCACCGTATATACCACCTCGAGCAAACTGCTCGCGATAAAGGTCTCCACATCCCTCCCAAGGTGCGATAGCTTTCAAGGATGGAGGTTGCAACGCCGCAATGAACCATTGCACAATCGCAAGATGTGAATTACCTGCCATCCCAACGTTTCCATTGCACCAAGACTGTTCAGCAATCCACTCAATCACGTCATACCCATCCTGTGCTTCCTGGGTCCCCATGATTGCCATTATCCCTTCCGAATCGAATGCACCGCGCGAGTCCACATTGATAATAGCGTATCCGTGATTAACGAATTCGGCAGGATCGGGGGCTTCGAATTTTTCCAGGCCGCTGAGTGTTCCATTGGGAATACCAAGATTCCATGGTGTCATGAGACGCAAGGACTCTATTCCATTGAATTTCTTGCCAAACGGACTCCAACACAAAATGGCCGGAGTGGAACGTGCCGGGGCTGTCGGGGGTCGATAAATGTCGGCGTATAATTTGCAGCCATCTCTCACAGCGATCGCGACATCATGTTCAACGAGAATGTCGCAAGGTAGAGTAAGTCTTCCGGGTGCAGTAGAGCTTCCTTTGGAGAGCACTTCTGAGCGTGGATTCAAGGGCTCGTACCCCCCAAGGCCGACCTCGGGCTTCTTCAACTCCGCCACTGGGATGTCCACGTTGAATTTGACCGACATTATTATCACGGGCAATCTTTTTGATGAGCGAAATGTTTTCTTGTAGATCCTCGGTCTCTCTTAATTCCATCATTTGGATTTTAAATGCGAGTCCCACCGCTGTTCCGGCTCGGTTCGGTTCGGTTCGGTATGCGGGCCTCGACCCCATATTTTCCGTGTGGAGAGGAGAACCTTCGAAAAATCTGGGGTCAACATACGCGACGGCAGTTGCGGGTATGGGCCCGCCCGTTCTCGAGATATAAAGATAAACGCTGTCTGCATGATGGTATAGCTTAGGCAGCCGTCAGTTACCCACATTTACGCTTTTTTGCGAATGCCACAGTCATGGAAAAAACAGACATCAGTCATGTTGAGCTTGCAGAGGACTCTGACAAGCAATCTACTCAGGACGGGCAGGTTGAGCTATTCAAAGACAATCGGGTTGTACTCATACCGGCCCCGTCTGCAGACCCCAGAGGTATGTCTTCCTATTCCCGAATCACTTTGCAGGCTCCTGACCTGGCTAGATCCATTGAACCTTCCTCCATGGCGCAAATGGGTTCTTTTAGTCCTTGTCTCCGCATATAGTTGCACGGCCGTTGTGCTTGCTTCTGGAATGGGCCCTATCTTCTCCGTCGTTGCGCAAGATTATCCCGGCCAGACGGCCAAAGCCAACGACCTCTTGACTTATCCGACGCTTTTCATGGGTGTTGGAAACCTCATCACCATGCCGTGGGCATACACTGCGGGCCGACGGCCTGTATTTCTTGCATCAATGCTTCTCCTCATTGGAGCTGGTATCTGGTGCCAGTGTTCGCACAGCTTGGGAAGTCACATTGCAGGCCGCAACATTATGTCGCTGGCGGCCGGGCAGAGTGAAGCGCTTTCCCCAATGATTGTCCAAGAAATACATTTTCTCCACGAGCGTGGTCGGAAGATCGCTTGGTTCGTCTTTATCCAAAACATCGCCGCCTGTGTGTTTTTTGTTACCTCCACATACATGGTTTCTGCATGGGGATGGAGATGGTGGTATGGCTTTTTCAGTATCATGAATGCCCTGATTTTCTTTCTGTCTGTCATATTCGTGACAGAATCTCAATTCGTGCGCCCCGAGGAAGCAGTTCAGGGGCAGTCCGTATTGGATCCTAAGGTAGTGGATGCGATGGAAAACATCACCCTCAGCGCTCATGGTACCGTTCTTGACATTGATCGATACGGACCTCGTCGTTGGCGAGATGACCTGAAGCCAATGGTGCTCAAGCCACGTCTGTGCGATGTTCCTATTTTCTACAAGCACATCCTACAAGGGTTCTGTATTCCAACGATTTTCTGGCTATTGTTGCTGAACGGTGCTTTCCTTGGCGTCTACGTCTTCCAATCTTCAACTTTCTCGAGTATTCTTATGCCACCACCCTACAACTTTGCTTTCACATCTCTTGGATACGTCCAAGCCGGCCAGCTAGTTAGCTGTGTCATTTTCCTCCCATTGTTGGGCTATGGAGGTGATCTGACCATCCGTGCCTTCAGTCGCCGCAACAAAGGCCTTTATAAGCCGGAATACCGTCTACCCATGATGGCTATTCCGGCCATTACTGGTGTCATTGGCGGTCTGATATACGGACAAGCAGCAGCGAATCCGGAGAAGTGGAATGTCAGCGCTGTGGTTGTCACGTATAATGCTAGCTTCTTCGCGTTCCTTGGAGCCAATATCGTTGGAATCACTTATGCCGTAGATAGTTTTCCCCAGCGTGCTGCACCATTTCTGGTTGTTATTTGCGCCGGAAGAGGTCTTATCTCCTTTGGCCTGAGTTATGCTACTTTGCCTGCTGTTTCCTCTCTTGGGTATGATGGAACAATGGTTGTGGAAGCTGTAATTTGTGGCGCGTTGGCTCTCATTGCTATTCCCATCTACTTTTTCGGGCCTAGGACTCGATCTCTTGCGACACGTTTCCTGATCGACAAGGATGAGAGTTAAATAGTAACCATAAGAGCTCAGTCTATGTAATGTTTGAATTGATTTTGAAAGTACCTCATCAACACTCACTCCCTGAATCAAGCAAAACCCTCGAGCCCTGGTGATTATTCTTCTATCCATAAACAATTTTGTGGAACGACCGTTGCTACAATGAGTATATACCTTTATAATATATGTCATGAACATTATCGAATAGTTGCCTAGCTACATCTCCTTCGTGAAAGTGAACTTATCTTTTTCTACATCTTTTTATGTCTTTCTAATATCTGTCACCCCCTGTCGTAATTGAAGAGAGTATCGATTGCTATAGAATATAGGCCGAAAAAGAACTGAACATCAAGATACTACTTGTCTGCGGACATGGACAAATCACCGGAACCTATGGCTCGTGAGAAACGGAGATTACGCCTCGCTATGTGGACATACCGATCGATTTTTCTTCGTTGGCTACAAGACTTCCCAACAGAGCTTATCGCCAGACATAGTAAATTGTAAGCCGAAAAGTGGCGACTTTGGAGAGAGAGAGCAAGATAGCCCTCAACCGAACCGAACCGAACCGGGGCAACCGACCCGCCGCGCTAGCAATGACCCTGATACAATTCCAACGTGAATATAAGTATCAACAAAGAGACATGCAACCAAGCAGCATACTGTCAACGCTACAGAGTCTTTTATCAACTTCAACTCGGGTCAACGAAGAAGTTACCACAACATGTCCGCGACAACCACTACAAGCAGCGCTTCCACGCTGCTGAAAGCACCATCCGGAAGATTGTTCTCACAGGGAACTGACGTCAAGTATGGTGACTTCCGAGATGACATTCTGCAGAATGGTTATGCAGTGGTGAAAGGTGCTGTGCCGCGCGATCGGGCATTGAAATACGCCGACGACATCTACACTTGGCTAGAGGAATTGTACGTCATTAGCACCGTCACAATGGAAGAAAAAATGAGGAAAACTGATATATCGTGCCATAGCAACCTCGGCTTCGACCGCAACGATCGTTCAACGATTCACAAAGACCACCTTCCAGATATCAACGAAAAGGGAATGTGCTTGGGCTACGGCATTTCACATGAATCATTCACTTGGGCCGTCCGTCAAGAGCCAGCGGTAGTCGAGGCGTTCGAGAAAGTCTACGACACTGAGGACTTAATTGTATCCTTTGACTCTGTCAATATTGGATTTCCCAACAGGAAGGATATCAAGCCAAACTCGCCCTGGCCTCACCAGGATCAGGATCCTGAGAAACCTGGATTCCGATGCTTGCAAGGCTTGGTCAACCTGCTTCCTAATGGGCCAAATGATGGTGGCTTGATCGTTTGCAAGGGTGCTCATCTATTGAGCGAGGAATTCCACGCAAACTTCAAGGACGAGGAAAAGATTTGGTCATGGTAAGAAACGTGCTGAGTGTATCACGGCTGGTACTGACTTTTACCGGAATAGGACCAAAGAATGGTATGGGTTTACCGAGGCCGGACAGGCTTGGTTGAAGGAAAAGGGGTGCGAGTGGATCAAGGTTGAAGCTGAACCGGGTGACTTGCTTCTCTGTAAGAACAAATTACCATGGGTGACATACTACTGTCCCATGCTAATGTGAATAGGGGATTCACGCACACCTCACTACAATTTGTCCTCCGAGACAAACCAGGACAGATTCTGTGTCTATACCTGCTTCATGCCTGTGGCAGATGCAACAATGGAACAGCTCCAGACCAAGAAGATGGCCTTTGAAGGTAATTGACCTGGTCACTTGACTATACGAGCATGATTCTCACTGTCTCTAGAAACCAAAATGACCACTCATTGGCCAAACGCCATGCACGTTGTTGATCTCCCGGTCTTCAGGAACGGAGAGGCCGATCCCTACAATCGCTCCAAACCTCGCGAGCCGGTAAAGCTTACTGAGCGTGGATACAAGTTGACTGGTATTCCTTACCTTGAGCAAATGGCATAGACGAGAAAGCCATGGAGTGGAGATTGGACCTAAAGTTGTATTTCTGTTTGACTATTTAAATCAGTATCTTCTTTCCAACAGCGACATGGTCTTTATTAGCTATGCTCAAATAGATGACTTAAATCATTCCAGTCCCATCCAGCCCAATCGAGTGCTGATGGTCCCCAGCCCAGTTCCATCGATACCATTGTAGGTGTTTGCTCAGATGGGAGAGACTCATTCGGTGGATCGTATAATTGCTCAGTAGGATGACCTCCAGGATCTTCCAGACATTGTAGGGCATATCGCTCCAGACCCATCAGAATATCATCTATGTTCGACACAGTTCCATGTTTTTGATAGGACTGCCTGGTGAGCTGCGAAGCCACTTTCATCAGCTGTCCAACAATAATATTAGCCAAACAAATCATCGATATAAAGAAAGGCGCTCGCTGACCTCAAAGTCTGACCGGATCAACAGTGACTTTCTTTCTCGAAATATATGCACAGCCAGTGCATATACCGCAGCGAGGGGCGATGTCATTGTAAGGAGATAACTTGGCACACCCGAGTCAACGAGTGTCACCAAGAGCTTCACCATGTCTCGAGCGGCTTCAACAACAATCGTTGGACCTTTGAGAAGCTGCGGCTGATATGCGGTGCTGGGGCAATATCTATTCACTACTTCATTCATCTCTTCTTTAGAAATTATGAGAGTACTGCGATGTAAAAGAATTACTCTGGTGCGAGATAGGTCAGCGCTTCAAGCTACCCAAGAGCACAATGAATGGTGGGTGATGATTCAACAAAACAGCATACGAATACGGTACTTACGCGGTGTTGTAATAAAAAGAAAGAAATGCCACTTTGGGTGCATTGTGATAGCTTGATGATGGTGTATCGAAGCTAAAGGTAGAGGGTTGTTAGTAACTCGGAGATCTCGCTCTTGCGAATTAGAGTACAACATACCGATACTCCTCGGGGAGACTTGTTCGCCAAGTATCAAGTAGCGCAATTAGCTCTCCTCCAGTTTTTAATTTCTCTTCAATTGCCTCCTCTGCCGACTGGGGTAACCATTCTTCTCTTCGCCAAGCTCTGGCTGACCGCTCTTGCATCTCGTGGAGGAGATTTGCTAAACTTAACGAAATGTTTCGGAATTGGTACTCTGGATCTTTTGAAGCATCGCTTTGGTTGAGTTCGGCTAATGCCCCTGAAAGCTCACGATCCCAGATCGTGGACGGGCGTCCGCTCTCAAACGCAAGAATCTTCTCAAAGGCGTACAGGCACCACCACGTGTGATATCCCTGCTCTTCACTTTTCATCACGTCGTCATTATTCGGACGAAGGTGTGACTTCGTTGTTTGGTTGAGTCCAATGGACTGAGCCATCGACCCAGCCATTGCAAGAATATCCCATGCCCACGCAAGTCTATCGCAGCTGCGAAGGATAATGGAAAATAGTAGAACTGCTTGTACGGATTCCAAGCAGCGCGCTGCAACGAGATGTCCAAGTAGCGAATTGCAATATCCGACGTATGCTGATATACTGCTCTGACACTCTTTGGAAACAGGCTCAACTAAGAGACCAGTCGTAATGATTGAATAGATCAGTGCTTGGTGTGGGAGGGAAGCCTGATGCATGGAAAAATAATCCCGCGAGTGTGATAAATTGCGATCATAAATAGATACCACAGCTTCGCGGCTCAAGAATGGAAACAATTGATGAAGGGTCTGGAAATAGAGATCAACGAGGCCACGAGTCTTCTCTGGCGAAGGAAGAGCAGGCGCGCCTGGGGTGAATGATGCAAATTGAGCATTAAGCATGGGAGAAACAGATGAAACTCTGGGCATTTTGAGTCGATAAAATGCAAGATCCAGCCATTCAGTCGTCAACTCGAGCATACTTGCTCCCGAGAGGCGGGGCATCATCGGCAAGCGGCCCGTTCTCCAACGCTCCCGACCCCAGCATTGCGACCATAGTCGCGGGCGATCCTGGGCAGCAGGGGCGACAGATGATGAGTGGGAGTCTTGTGTATTTGGCGTCACCTGTACGGGTGTTAAGGATGCTGTTGCGCCTGTCCGTCGCCGGTGGGCAACAGGTGCACCATCGCGTCGCTTGTCGGTCGTTACGCACTCCACCCCAGCTAACCGACATGTTCGACACGGCTGCTGTTCATCACAACGCGTTTTCTTTTGTCGACAATGATTACAAGCAAAAGATAGGCGCTTGCGCTTGGAAAGATGATCAGTCGATGGATCCATGTCAAGTACATACAGGTCAAGATCATTAGAATTCTGGGAGAACCCCAATTGCCGGTGCCGGACTCCTCCACCTCCCGAAAGGTTCTGCCATGACTACTAGTATGACCTACGTGTTAACCTCGCCATGAACTTCGCTCGGTCCAAAAATGGAGATTGGCATAATTACAGCTACTTATATCAAGACGTTCGACGTGGTAAACATGTCAAAGATGACTGAGTCCGCCTCATGCAAGAGGGGATTTCCCAATGAATAAATAGCAAAAAGAAAACAAAAACATGCAACAGTGAGGATTCGCTGGTGGTCACCCACCCAACTACTAACTCACCGGTGTGTGGCTTAAGTGCAGTCAGTAGTCCAGTGGGTGTGTCGCCCGGGTGAGAAATGGGTGAGCGCTACTTTACGGTAGCGCGACCGGGGGTGACAAGGGTGAGTGCGCTATAGACAGGGTGAGAATCGGTACTGCATTGACCCCTTTAGCCGAACAACCGCAGAGTACCATTGGATCGTATCGTTTCCCCTGAAACGCTCGGCGTCTTGGCATCTGCACATAAATACAACTGGAAGCATCGTACCACCAGCTTTCTTCAGTGTCTTCAAAGTCATGGTCTGCCTCATCTTGTCGTATGAATTCGACCAATATGGCATATTTTGTGTAGTAGCTACTTCAGGATCTGGAGCATATTGAAGATCAATCTGAACAACATACATGAAGTCGCTGTACAAAGCGGGTCTGCCCCAGAACGAGGCCGAAAACCTTTGTAAATGTGGAGGTGTGCAAAGGGGCTGAAATTGGGTACTCCGTGCCCCAGAGGCATTCGACTAGCATTACGTTAGGATTGTTATAATCTAGGAATAGTTTATCTGGGCCGGAGGTCCCGGAAATTCCGAAAAGGTTATTTATAGAGTTACCTCAGCGGATTGCCAAGACATGAATACAATTGGCTATTTCGTAAAAGCTTACTTGCCTAGGCACTACTTACTGATATTGGGCATTTTGCACCACCCTCGTTCATATAGATTCTCACATGCAGCTCTCCACATAAATTGTCAATTGATGGGTACTTCAATTTGGGTGATTTTGCCCGATTTAGGATGGATCTCGGACGGCAGTAGCGCGTGGGAACCCATAATGTTTACAAAAACAGGCTACCCCTCGTCCACACACCGAGGTTTCAACACGATTCTCGATGGATACATAATAATACATTTTTCTTATACAAATACCCCATATTTAATATAGTTCGAAGGGTTTTCCCATGTTTTATATGGGTCAAGAAATGGCGTTGAGAATTCAATCGGGTTCTACAACACGCGGGAACTATGCTGGACTAAGTTCTCTTTGAGAGATTCAAGCAGTCATGTTTTGACACCGTGTTCACGATGCTATAATTAGTAGTTGCGTTTTCCCCGGACTATTGCTATAGGCTGTTTTTGCAGCTACCAGGAGTTGTGTCCATCCTACATTTTAGACCATGCACTAGTGTGCCTTGGTCCCGTGCTATCCTCTGAAGGCAGCATAGTTTCAACACTACACAGGTAACTCCCGCCAACATAACGAAATGTAATATACACATGCGATGAAGAGGCTAAAGAGAGAAAAAGTATCGATTCTGACTGAAGCATATGATGAAGGAAGAAGAAGCTGTCCAAAGATCCAGATCCTGGATAAACCAACAGAGGAACGGAGCCTGGGGCCGTCAACAGATGAGTATCGACGATATATCTTTCTTTGCTTTCCTTTACATTGGCGCTATGAGGACTTGATTCTCATAGATATTTTACCTTAGTAGCCTGTAAACCAAATCAACAAGTAAGGTCCAGTTCAATTGTGTTGCTTAGTTCAACAGACACGGACATAATCGACTATTAGACTTCTGAGTAATTCCCTGTACGAGCGGGCACGTCATGAACTCGGCCTGTGGTAGCTCAAGCTTCAGAGAACTAACTAACTTGCTGGCTAAGATTAGGTAGGCAACAGTATTTGACTCCCCAAACCTTTTAATATATCATTTGAACTCTGCCGATCACAGAATCACGGAGCCGGCGCCGAAGGTTTTCGTGGCTACGCCAAGAGCAGTGTCTCATTTGGTATTGCTATGGCTATGGGTTTACGACTCCTGTTCTGGTATTATACACCCTGCTCTCATGATAATAAGAAATGCACTTGCATATATAACCAGATTCGCTACTTAAATGGTTGTCACACAATGAAACTATATGGAGTGCATAGAATGTCTCTCCAATTAATCTTAGAAGGATCTTACGCAGGAACCAGTTGATCTTCTAAACAACTGAGAGTAACCATTAGCACATGAAGTGTGTAAGGTATTGTTTTGTAAATATAACAACGGATTCCTCATTCTTTCCATACCAGCATGAACAAGCGAGTCGTCTCTTACCAAACCGTACTCTTTGCCCATTGCAAGTCATTTTTTCGCTTCATTGGCGGTCCTCAGTGTTTTATGTGTTTTGAATTGGAATCTACCATCTTGTGTCACTCGACAGGCTATGATGATCATTGTTTGGGGAAAAGGTCGGACAAGGTTCATGGCTGTGGGAGTTTTGGCCCTCTTTCTCATCTGTGTCATTCATCTGCTCAACTTCGCAAACCCCTTTTTCAATCCCGACGAATTGTCCGCTTCAATGAATGTGATCACCGCGTGCGCTACCTCTGACTTTGAAAACCTTGACGACTCTCATTCTATCGCCCTCCCACAAATCCCCAACGTTGTTCATCAGACCTGGAAAACGACCGACCTCCGAACCTACTCTACGCAAATGAAAGCATCGCACGACCAGTGGAAACAAGAACTCGAGCCGCTTAACTATACAATCAAACTCTGGACAGATGACGACATCCTCCAACTCATCAAAGGAAAGTATGCTTGGTTTTTGTCGACGTACGAAGCCTATCCCCAAAACATACAACGTGCCGACATAGCTAGACTGCTTATCATCCATGCGGAGGGAGGAATATACGCAGACCTCGACGTTTACCCGAACTCGGTCGCCCAAATACAATGCCTCCAAAATCTCAATCTCGAGGTCATATTGGCCCCAACGTCGGGGACCCTCGGGCTAAGCAACCATTTCTTCATGGCGGAGCCCAGATCTCCATTCCTCCTATGGGCGCTATACGAGGGCAAGCGCCGCGGCGGTTCGACATCTCGATTCATCCCTCTACCGTACCTACAAGTCTTTTGGTCCACGGGGCCTACGATGGTGACGGCGGCATTTCGACAGTACGCATGGCTACACGGCACCCTTCGGCACACTCTGGGATTGCTAGATGATACATATTCAAGAGCGGTAATACAGCACAAGGCAGGCAGGTCGTGGCATGGATCGGATGGGCGGGCCTTGAATTATGTCGGGGACAATCTAACGATGAATAGTTTGATGGTGGTCGTTGCTTGTTTGTCCATTATATCGGGAGTTGCCTGTGCCGTGAGAAGATATTGGATTTGAATTGCGAAGTTGGAGGTTTTTGGGTCTTGGACATATTGCATGGGTGACAATGGGAAAACCGTGTCATATGTTTGGTGAATCGGATCTGCGTGGCATTTTGAATGCGGCTTCCAACCCGGCGAGGGAAGAGCTCGGAAGGTTATTAGCACGAAGGGAAGATGCCCTGATCTCGCTGAGTTCTATATACTGGAAGCATCACAGCAATTGAGTGTATCGCTGCTGATGGGTGAATCATGGAGCCCCTGTTTATTGTTAAAGGCGAGAAATTTATGGAAAGTTGGCATGATCACCCTGATCTACCATACTTTTAGACCGCTGTTTCTTCTAAAGGATATATTAATGACTTCTTTGTTATTAGATAGCTTTAAAAATTTTATAAAGCTATAAAAGATCGGGTAAAGAGGGGTGAAAAACGTATTTTAATATTCGATAGTTATAAGTCCTATTATAACTCTGCGAGGATTACGATATTATTCCTTTTTGTTTTCGGCCTTATACGACTTATATTTGCTAGCCTCCAGGGCTCTTAATAGTAAGCCTTTAATTGCTTATAAATAATATTTTCTCAAGTTAAATGACCTTATTTTTTAGTAGGGTAGGTGTGATGGGCTACAGCTGAATTGATTCAATTAGGCGGTGCCTGCATGCTGTTTATCTAAATCTTAGAGAACCGTAAACAAGGGAGCGGTCAACTGCTGTATAGTGTTCCCTAGGGCGGTCAGGCTACCCGTTCGGCAGTATCGGGTGCGGTGTCTGCACGGGCAAAGCCCGAGCCTCAACGTGGCCCTGGCCCGTTACAGTAGGATTCCCGTGCGGAAGACGGATTTTCTTAAGAACATTATAAGCGTACGTAATAAGACCTTTAACTAGCGAATCATTCGAAATTCCTTTAAAATACGTAGTATATACCTTACGAATAGCGGTAATTTTAATTTAAAACTTTCAGATATACTTCCGCCGCTACTAGACCTCTTCGCGCCCGACCTTTATATATACGGTAAATTAACATCTCCCCCGAATATATCTTCGTCTAACGTAGAAAACACCCCTTTAAAGAGTGCCTAAGACCTCGAGAAGAATTAAAAAAGCTTTTAAAGATATTTATTATAAAGGCCCTTATAAAGAAGCTCTAATAAGGCTTTTAATATACGTTCTACTACTATAAACGTATAGTAGAACAGCCTACGATAATAAGCGATATATTTAGTCGAATAAGGGAGATATAGGCTCCTCGGAAGCGACAAATCACCAAAAGAGAGATTCCTAAGATCTAAGGCTCTGGTATACTCAGTACAGAAGATGCCAATCGATTAATGAAGACTAGGAGAGAGAAAGAAGCTATATAAGAGAAGAAGAGGTTGGATAACCAGTGGACAAAATTGTACGGCCAACCTCCACCAAAATCGCCTACCGGGGAGAGTTCTATCCGAAATATCACTGTTATGACCCAAGGTGCATTTGCAAGCGTTCCTGATCTATGGCCTGCTTATCCTTTCATGCGACCCTTCATTGCTTAGAAAACCCCACAGTTACAAGCCATCCGTCAAGCCAGAAAGAGTGCTAAAAAGTGAAGTAACCTCCATTGACTGTCGTTTGTTTAGGTATATATATTAACGCGTGTCGTATGGGATCATCAAGCCGGTTATTCAGAAGCACCTCGAAGATGCGAAAAACCCTGGATTCACCCCAACCGCTGACCTGATTCAATTGATCATGGAACCGTGAAGGGAGATCTAGGGAAAGATGTGGACTTCCAAATCACCGCCCAAGTGGGGACCAGTCGTGCTGCTTTGTTCACGACTGCTTCGATAGTTACACACCTTATGTACGACCTCACATCTCGGCCCGAATACATTGAGTCTCTTCGTGAAGAGGTCCTGGCTTTAGGTGATGTCCTGATGAATAGGCTGAACGTTGCGAAGCTTCGAAAAATGTATTCCTTCTTTCGGGGATGTCAGAGGTTCGCTCTTTCTATGCGTGGTATGTCAGAACTATTCCTTGAAAGAGAATAAATTGCTAAGAATGTTAAGTTGGCACGATTTGCAAGGTCACTGCTCCAATTACCCTAGCGGATGGTACTCATCTCCCCGTCGGGGCACTCATGGGAGTAGATACGCAACATAATGTCTTCAAGCATTCTACTCTTGAGAATCCAGAGACATTTGACGGCTTCCGATTTGAGAAGTTGCGCAATGACCCAGCGCTAGACGGGAAATCAACTATGTATCATCTTAATCTTTTACCTGCCTGCTCCCTCCATTGACCACTTATTCTGGACAGGCTGTCGGTACTGGTAATGATCACTTTGTGTTTGGCCTAGGCACCCAGGCATGCCCTGGACGTTTTTCGCGATTCACGAAGCCAAGGTAATAATGGCACGCTTCTTGAAATACTACGATTTCAAACTGGCTGAAGGTGCCCCTGGACACCCAATGTGCAATGCCGCGGGTGTTCTGACAGTAGTCGATTCTAAAGCAAATTTCTGGTTCAAGAGACGTACCGCTTGAGCGAAGAATTTACTGGAAGGGAATGGCTATTATTTTTTTATACTTTTCTACTTCCGAGACTGACAGGGCCAAGGGTGGATTGGAGCTGCCACATACTGGGCTAGACGTATACAATCTCTTTCTTCGTTGTGTTCATTTGCATATTTTATCTCAAAATACGTAGGTAGATTGATTGATTTATATAGCCATGCAAGCCGTTCATTGAAGAAACGCATAGTTTACGTTGCCTCCAAAGAACTTTCACCCCGCCATCTGGACTCATTAGGCTGTCAGTACGATACAAGATCCTTTTTTGTACTGCGAACGAATGACTGGAGCACTTGATATTCGGATAGAAAATTCTGATGTAGAGTACAAAACCCTTTATCGTGAGAAGAATCTCTCCAGCTCTCCAAAGACCATGCGTGTGCATTCATTCTGATTTACTCTTCCAAAAATCACCACTGTGACATTCTCAGACTATAATCACATGCTTCAAATGATACATATTGATGTATATTTGTGAGGCAACCTTCGAAGATTTAATCAACATCGGTAGCAATGGCGACCGAACATGTAGCGTCCAAATCTCTCTGCAGCTCTCCAATCTTCGTCTCTAAAGCAGCCACACAGTCCTTACCCAGAGGAAGCCGGAGATTATCGTACCCTTTATCTGTAGCGTTCATGATTACTCTTGCCGCCTTCTCTGGGTCCCCTCTAATCCAGTCCGGAGCAACTGTAAGATTTCGAGACGCGCTGACCATCGCCTCAACTGGCATACCAGTGTAGCCGTCACTGAAGCCATTCTCAAATGCAGCAGGGACAACCTGACGTGTGGCGAAAGGGGTTCGGAATGCGCCAGGCTCCACAATCAGGACTTTGATTCCAAGGGACCTGACCTCGTGAGACAGGGATTCGTGAAAAGCCTCGATTCCAAATTTACTAGCCGAATAGGTGCCCCGTCCAGGGCGGGCGATGAATCTATGCGATATGAAGGTTGAGGTCAGTCCCATGGATCCAAAACGTTTGAGGTGGTATACACATACCCGGCACCACTGCTGATGAGAATGATTTGACCGGAGCGTTTCTCACGCATGACCGGCAGACAGGCCCGAACAGCACGAAGAGGCCCATAGAAATTGGCCTCCATGTGCTGGCGGACTTCTTCTTCACTGTACAGAAATTTAGAGAGAGGTACAGCAATACTGAATTGTTCCAGACACTGACCTTGTATCTTCCACACCACCAATGAAAGCATAGCCAGCACTATTCACCAGAAAATCCACTTGGTGCTCACGAGAGTACTTTGAAACCTGATCATACGCATTATTTTGAGCAGGATCGATCCTTACCCAAATGCCACCTTTGGCCGAAAATTCCGGATAGGTGGTTTCAGCCTTGCTGACATCGCGTGTGGCTCCAATGACCTTATTGCCAGCCTTAAGAGCTTCGGAAGCGATATATTTGCCAAGGCCTGACGATGCGCCAGTGATTAGCCAGGTCAATCGAGCGGCAGCCATGGTGACTTTAAACCGACTGGTTAGCTGTATTGATCGATTCAGCGGGGTCGAGGTTCCCTTGGCCAGGTTGTATGTTGGATAGCCTGATAGGAAAATTCTCGTAGTAGTGAGGGGTGGAAGGAAGGTGAAATAAGAGTATTGGGGATTAGCGGAGTTAAAACTCAATGTCCTCCATTATTTTGTTCAGAACCACGCATCACATTTCTTTGTTCTATTCAACACTGCGAGGCACCGGTGTGTTACATCATGGCAGGGATAATGACAGCTGAGGCTTACGAATTGATACTGCAGTGACTCCAACCGAATTGAATACCCTTATCAATATATGTAGAGATCACAACTGTTACGGAGTTTACATTTTTCAGAAGAACAACATGATACTTCTTTTACAACATCAATTGATTCTGTTCCTCAACTGCTTGAAGCCCCGAAGCAATTTGTACTTAGACACATGACATTTTGAACATCAATCCATTCAACCTGCTCAAGCTTACGATACAATGGGTATTTTATATCCATCTCGACGGCGAACTTGAACCCTGGGTGTACAATCTGCGAAAACATCGCTTCCACCAACTCTCACTTTGGGTCTGTCTTGATCAATATATTCAATATCAAACTTGAGCGAAATATGAGCCAGCATGACCTTGAGTTCGTGGGCTGCAAAAAAGCGACCCGGACACGCGTGTTTTCCAAACCCAAATGCCAAGTGTTGTGCGGTCGCAGATACTTATTGACCTTGCTGCTATTGGCCATTTCGCCGGATATTGTAGAACCTGTATGGATCCCACTCTTTGGCATGATCGTAGGTCTTCTCACTGCGCATGATGTCCGTAATGACGGAGGTCTGGGTTCCCTTGGGAATAGTAACTCCATTCGCTCAGTCGATATCCTCGGTGGCGTACCACTTCATAATCGCCAAGGCGACTGCATCCAGACGCTGCATATTATAAACTCCAGTCTTATTTAACCCGTGGACTGATATGGCCTGTTCTATCTCTTCGCGTAGTTCAGGTAACACTTCTGGGTGAGCAGCAATTCGGCCGATCGTTTTGAAAAGCAGATCCCCCGTAGTGTGAATGGCAGCCAGAGCCAGGCCGACTTGAGTGACCACCGCATCGACCTTTCGGTCCCTTGCTAGCTGCTGCTGCCAATCCATCGCATCATTATTCAAGGCCGCCCCGCCCTGCGAAGATCTTTCCTGCATCCTCTGGGCAAGGATAGGGCGAGGATCTGTCGTGCTTCTTTGAGGGAAGCTCGAACCTGTTGCGCGCGAACATTGAACCACTGTGCAATCCATCGCAAGGGCCAAGGATATCTCCCTAGCTCTTTTGATGCCATGATAGCATTAGATGTGTAACAAGGCTCGGACCGACGCGGTGTTGAATCCACTCGATATCACAGGACTCATGAAGGCAGTGGATGAGGCGGTTATCTCACTGAAATTGCGGCTGATGAGTCTGATTCAACTACACAGACGAGCTGTAAAGAGACTGCAACATATAGACTCATACAGTGCTTTTCGGATCCGAAGTCAACCTCACTGTGGGGTAATAGATGTAGCCGTCGTTACCAGAGACCAGCGTCACACTCTGACCCGCCATTTGGATGAGCCGGAACCCATGAGTCTTGGGCAATTGCCTCAACTTATTTTTGTCTTTTGTCGTATTTTTTTCTGAAGTGTTCGCCGGCGTATATCACAGGCTCAGGTTTAGTGAGATTCAGGGTATGACTGGAAGCAAGGTATTGCTGGCCCCCAAATGATTTTGCAACCTCTTCAAGAGTGTTAAGTAGACCCGAACTGCGTTGCATTCCATCCCTTTGTCCTGTAGAATTGATTTACCTGCTTCTTGTTTGTCTGTGGGGTTTGGGGTCAATTACGAGAGACAGCCGACGCAAGTCTCATAGAATGTCGTTCCCAGGGCCTTGAACTCATATTCCCATATGCCCAGGGCAGTTTTGTAGGCTCAGTTTTGGTCCCAGCACGTAACTCGATCCACTGTCACAGGCATACCCTTCACTTTCAAAGTTTCCTGCCGTGAGATAGATGGAAGGCGCAGTGTATACTTCGATGGATTTTTTTCCCAATACGAACATTGTTTCTGATTGTGAGAAACGATTACAGTATACCGTATGTAGTGGTGAAACAAGCGATCAAGATCAGGCAAATGTTGAGGCAGCAAAACTAGAAATAACTCAATCCAACCCCTTAGTCGCTATGCAATCTTCGCAAATCGCGTTGTTGGCGGAAGTTAGGCTTATCAGTTTCATGACCTCACCCCTCCTCCTAAATCACATAATTCAAAAATCAAAGGGAAAGTCTCGAATCAATAGCAAATCAAGTGGCCCCCTTGTCATTTGTTGTTAAAAATTCGCAAAGGTGATAGAAAAGCATGGATTTTTACGGCACGGGGTCTTTATATGCATATTTATATTTCCCTACTCGCTTAGTAGATCGCAAAGCAAAATGGCGTTGTGCTTTTACTATTAGTATAATTGAGCTGCATGAAGTGCGAAATAAGCGACGAAAGACACATGCCAGGCAGTATGATTGACATTTTCCCTCATCATGTAAATGTCCACTTTTTCAGCTGCTCCGGGAGCTTGAATGATCGCAGACTCAACAACATCGCATCTAAGGTTCCGGTAGATGGAATCCCTATTGGAGTGGCTATCGCAGTTCACACCCAGCTCCTCTTAATGGCCTCTTCTCGACCCGTGTTACACAACATAGTTGCGACCCCACGCCGGCAGAATTCGGGGTGTGTGATAAGCCAGAAAAGGCGAAGCTTCTTAGTTCTATTTCTTGCGAAATGCTCCTCAGACGCATTAGCCATTGCCACAGTACATGTCGATTGTCGGAATTCCGACGGAACATTGTTTAGTGTATAAAAACACTTGAGCCGAATCCCAACAATATCCGCTCCACAGAGGACCTCATTGAGTTTACAAAAATTCACCCGGAGGACAAACACCCGGAGAGAGACATCAGCAAGTTTGTGTGGAATCAAGCCGTAGGCATTGATGTGGACAGCGATAGATACGCTGAGATGGTGGAGCAAGAGCGTTACTACAGCGGGCCGGGTGGTGGTATCCTGGGAGCCACGGAGAAGTACGATGTTGATCTCTTCGCCGTTCCATCGTCTTGGGGCATCGTAAATGATCTCGCGGCAAATATGATGTTCCCTATGATGTCTGTGCCGCGCATCCTGTGCGCAACAGTGAGCCGGTGCCACCCAAATTGCCCTGAACGGAATTGAGAGATGTTCAAGATGAAGCTAGAATGATATAATTACTCTATTTGACTTTTCAACACTTGAATAGAACGGATGTGGAAAGCAGATTGTAAATGCAAATATCATTCTATGAACCAAATAACAACAGGGTATTGTAGATATAGCTCTAACACCAAACCCCCAAACCAAATTAGAATTCGCCACGCTGATGCAAAGAACCAAATAGATAGAACCCCGAAATAAAGGCCGGCTTCAAAAATGTACAGCCAGAGACCAAAATTATGAAAAACTCCAACCCAAAGGCAGGAAATAGAAACAAGAATGGAAATGAAAATGTGAGAGCAAAAAATCAAATGCTCGCAAATATTTGCAAAATTAAGAACGACGTCCCAGACCCTTCAGCACGACCCGTCGACTCGTTCCAATGGACCCAATATCGCCAATACTGCGGACCTTTGGTAGGGAGGGACCGTGGAAGGTGTCGGTAGTGTCAGAGTGGTCATCGATATCAATGTACGGCGGGGAGCCGAGTGTGAAATGGGGCACGTTTTGGGAGCTGGAGCGGCGCGTTTTTTGGAGGACGTCTGCAACCCAGGCTTCGCCTTCTGGGCTCATGGACTCGTAGCGAGCACGAGGTTTTGGTCCCGCTAGACCGAGGGGTGTGGAGCGGGTTTCGGTGGAGGGTAGGCCGGCGACAGTGTTGGGGGAGTGGGCCTCGCCGACTGAGTGGCCTGAGGAGACAGATAGGCGTCTGCCGGTTGAGGGGAGATGGGTGGCCATTGGTGGGGGTGAGGTGAAGGAGTTGAGGTGGCCTGTTGTTACAGCCCGGGTCCCCATGATATCGGAGGCGGTTGAGCCGCGGCGCTTTTTCTGAACGGTCAGGGAGGAGGGTGGGCGGGCGCTGAGGACTGATGGTGGTAGAGAGGGGGTTGCGCGGCCGGAGGTGATGTATGCCGAGGCCACCGGGGGTAAAAGGGTCCCTGGAGAAGTGTAGGAAGGAGATGAACGTGTCTTGATGCCCTGCACTTCAACACGAGGAGTCTCGGATACCTTGCGACGGCCATGGTGGATGACGTACTCGCGGAGGTACTCGCCCAAGTCAGCCCAACCACCGCCGACGCGAACCATGACACGTTGTCCCTCTTCTCCGACGGTGCGGACGAAGAGTTTGGTCGGCGCAGCCTGACCACCATGGTGGAGGTGGTAGAGCTTCACACAGCTGTCTTCAGCCTTGTAAGCGTGTGAATGCCTTCTGCGGGCAGCAGGCATCAACGTCAAAGAAGGCGCGGGTGTAGCGCTCCGTGTTCGAAATCCCGATGGTGATTCTGAGCGATAACGGATTCTCCGGTCTATGGAAGAGGACGACGAGGATGTGTCCGCTTCGTGATTTGAGTCGACTAAATGTATGTGACCAGGGAGAGAGTTGAGAATGGAACTGATCTTCTCGTCGAGGTGATCACGAGGCTGTCTGTGATGCTTGGTGGGTGAAGAGGCGCGGGAACCGAAATCAGTCAGCTCTGATTCGTGTTCTTCTACATAAGACAGTTCTTGACGCTTGACCCCGAGGCTTTCGAGACTCGGGTGGGCAGTCAGTCGCTTGCGCAGCCGGAGAGACTTGGGCTCCGCCTGGTGCTCCATGGCTCGGCGAGCAGTATTTTGCGCGAATGCGTTTCTATTTTGCTCCGCACGTCTGGCCAATTCGTTCTGGGCGTTTAAATCGGACGCAGACTTTCCACAGGAAATTTGATTGTGAGCGGCAGAGGTACGTGGCACTGGTCGCATGGATTTAGAGCTTCCTGGAACCGGGGTCGTGCTCCGAGACTAGAATCATTAATTAGAAACCTACATAGACATCAAAGGGAAGAAGGCCTTTCATACCTTCGGAGGTTTAGGGAAGTCAGAGGATGTGATAGGGCGTTTCATGGAGGTCTCCATGCAGTTCATATCTGGCTCTGACTCCCCTGCCAAGCCCAACTCAAGTCGTTCATTGATAAAGCGCTCCAGTGGTAAACTGACCGAACGATTCTGCTGGAGCGAGACCCGGAGGTCCGGCTTTTGGTTTTCCAAATGACGGAGACGATCCTCTCTCAGAGTGTGCACTCCATGCGAAGGAGGGTGTGTGGATTTGGTGTGAGATGAGGGTCGAAGTTGAGTTTCACTTGAAGAGGCAGTCCGCGGCTCAGGTGCATCAGGGCTCGAGATGAGAGAGGAATGATCCGAGAGCAAGGAGCCTACAGATCCAGTGGAAGTTCGACGACGGTGCGATATTTGAGGGGCGACCGAAGCATTCCTATCGAGATCGAGCTTTGTGGAGCGAGAGTCTGAAAGCTTAATAGGACTTTGCAATGGTTTGCGGACAGTCTTTGAAACATTGTGGGACTTTTGCTGGTGTCGAGGCTGGGGCTTGATGGGTGTGTGGTTGGATCCAGACTTGGGTGATGCCAAGGGGATTTGGGATCCCCTCATCGACGGTCTTGGTTTAGATGGATGAGTTTCCGATGTCTTGGGTGTGTGAACAGGAGATGCAGTTGCCGGCGCCGCAGAATCAATTGAACTTTGTCCACTGGATCCAGATATTCCCTTAGGGCTTTGATCAACAACATATCTGGGTGTGAATTTTATTGATCTGGTGGGAGGAGAGGGTTGGTGTGGGGTGTGAGCCTCTGGCTGCACATCTGCTTTTTCTCCATTGTTGTCAGGCATAGTTGCGACAGGCAGATCTTTGTCACCCGTAAAGACACGATTGACTTGTACAGCAGACACATCCTCGGCAACCGTGATTTGAGGTCTTTGAGTGTCTGCTTCGATGAGTGCAGGATGCTGGACTGAAGTGTCGCAGATGGCTGCTGTATTCTCGGACAAAACATTCGCCCTTGTGGGACTGTTGGCGACAGGTGAGCCACCTCCATCGGCCTGTTGGTAGCCCAGCGGAGGAATATTCTCCTTGTTTTCCGAGTTTGGATCAGACACACAAGACGCAAGAGCTGACGGGGGCTTGCTACCAATAGCAGATATATCTGGCGGAAAGTGAGATTGTGTTGGAGTTTCGGAGTCGTCTGTCACCGAAACAGGTGTGAGATTATCCTGCCTCTGGGCAACATGGAACTTTCCCACCGATGTTGAAACTGTGAGGGCTGAAGAAGAATGTCCATCGAGGGACGTTGACGGCAATACTGTCTCTTCAAGAGGGACCGCCGAGTCTTCAATCGATGAAGCCGAAGTACGAAGATCGAATTGACGATCAGCTCCATTTTGAGTATTAAGCTCTGGGTTAGATGTTTCACCTTCTGCGGGGCTGGAGACGGAATCTAAAATTAGTTCCTCCCGGAATTCCTTCGATGAAGTATCTGGTAGGAACGTGTCGACGACAGACTTTTCAGCCTGAGCCTGAGCCTTGGCCTTGGCCTCGGCGTCGGCCTTGGAACGCAACCACTGATTCTGGACTTTGTACTTCTCAGCCTCCACAACCCAGGCCGCGAAATCAGACTCGATGGACTCCAAGTCGTCAATCCACTGTTCGGGCAAAGAGTCCGGACGACCTTCCAGCGCGTCCAGAACGCGATCCATCCTCCTTCCCACAGCAACAACAGCAGACTCCAACTTAACATGATCGGCAACTATAGACTCATCGGAGTATCTATTCAACTCTGATGCAGCGAGCTGTGGGTCCCGTAACGCGTGAAGAGAGGAATCAAGGGCCGAACGGGTGATCGACAGCTCTCTGAGCAGGCCAGGGATTTGGCGCAGAACGAGCAGGCGAACGTCCCATGTCGTAAGCAAAGCGTTGAGTCGCGCAAGGAAGGGAAGAGCGCGCAGAATCGTCGCGGTAACCACGGCTGTAAAGTCGCTCAACTGTACATAGCTGAGGGGCGGGGGCACAGACACGGAACTTGTGGCGGAAGAGGGCCGAGACCTGGATGGAATGTGGGCATTCAAAACGTGTTCCTTTAATTCCTCCACGTTGAGATCGTCCATTCCATCGCGGATCTCCTCTATTCTTTTTTGGTTTCGCTCGACCACGCTCGCTGGCAAGCTTCCATAGTAGTGTTCGTCCAAGGTAGGGGGATGTAAGAATCCCGATTGTGAGGGACTGCTTCCAGCATATGAGCCTGGAGGTGGAATAAAACCCTTTCCGAATTTCACATCGTGCTGGCTCGGCCAGGTCCATGATTGGACCTCCTTGTGCCACAAGTCTAGGTTTTGAGCGGCTACGGCGGCGCGGATCCCTAGGGCGCGTTCAGCAGGTGAGACTTGGGAGATGCTTTGTGAGAGGATATCGTGGGCGGCTTTTTCATTTGAGGGGACAGCGTCGGTAGAGGTGAGGGCTTGGAGTGTTGATTCGGGGGAGAGATTGCTGAGGAGAGGATCGAGTTGTTGGTAGATGGAGCCGGTTTTGTCGGAGGAATTTTGGCGAGAGTGAACGGGGGAGAGGCGGATGATTGGGCGATTATTTATTCGAGCCGCCATTCCGAATGAATGATTTGTAGATGTGTTTCACAGTGAGAGAAAGCCTCGACTGTCTCGAGGATAACATGTAAGTGACGGCGGTCGGAACGAGGGCGGAAAAGAGGACTGTCGAGCCCGCATGCTGAGATGCGCGTTATAACAAATTGTAGAACCAAGCACTGAGCTTGAGCAGAACGTGTTTTTGTTGTTTTTGCTGCAGCCGAAAAAAGACTTGCAGAAAGAGATGCAGAGGGAATTGGGTTATAAAAGAGAGATCAAAAATAGGATGGAGGTAAGGAAGTTGGAGTGGAGCAAAGGAGGGGACACAGAAAGACCTGCTTTCTGATCACAAATATCAAATAATTCAATAAAACAAAGAGATCAATAGTTAAAAGAGGCAGGAAAGGGTCGGAAAAGTGTCAATAGTCGGAAGTTTTTCTGAAGCTGGAAATAATATTTGAAGTGGAGATCAGATCAGGGGGCGGTTAACTGTGGAGTGAAAGAGTGCACTGTCCGGCCGATCCGCGTTCATGTTACGCGTTGGATGTTAGTATTTTTTTCTACGAGCTTTGTGTAGTGAATAAGGTGGCAAATGGCTAATATTGGTTCATGACTTGAAAAAAGGGTTATTTTGCTTCGAGATCTCTGACGAAATCTCGATATAAACCCTATGTGAGCAAGATATGCACTATTTCTACTAGTTCAGATCCCCAGATGCAAGGAGAAAAAGAAATACTTCACGCGAATTATTGTTAATATAGGAATTATATCGCTATAAACAAATTACCTGAATGGGGGTTTGAACCAGTTTCTGAGGTTACAATCATTATGCGGTCATAATGGCGTTTCCGGAATTGACCTGAGCCCAAAGTAGGGCTAAAGATATCCCCGAAGATCGAGGAAATGTAGAAGACGAGCACGCTTTAACAACAGTCCAACAGTCATGTCGAACTTTCGATATCGACCAGAGATTCTGGATGGTGTGAGCGATGAGCTGACCAGAGAATTGAAGGAATGTGAAGGCATGGTTATAGTTGATGGACCCAAACTGAAGACGATCACCGATCATTTCGTCAAGGAGCTGGAGAAAGGACTTTCCGTGGAGGGCGGATGCATTGTCAGTACCTTGTAAACGAGATTGATCTCCAATGAATATCAATGCTGACTTGAATGACGAGAGAAGCCCATGAACGTAACATGGATATCGAGGTACCCAACCGGTAATGAGAAAGGACGGATTCTGACCATGGACATGGGAGGGACAAATCTACGCATATGCGACGTATGTCTGTCCACAGGAAGGAGAGACTTTGATCAGATCCAGCGGAAGTATAAGCTCCCAGATGGAATCAAGACAAGCACCCTAGAGACACTGTGGGATTTCATAGCGGATCGACTATCGTCTTTTCTGGATGATCACCAAAACGGTGAAGAAGAAAAAAGGCCACTGCCATTGGCATTCACCTTTTCATTTCCTGTCGACCAAAGGTCTATCCGGAGTGGAACCCTGCAGCGGTGGACGAAAAACTTCAACGTGCCCGGAGTGGAAGGGAATGACGTCGTACCCCAAATAGAAGCTGCACTGCAAAGAAAGGTCAGTGCCAACCAGTCATTGAAAGAGTAGCAGCTGAATGGGCTAGAATCTCCCGGTAAAAGTAGTGGCCCTGATCAACGACACGTCGGGAACGCTCGTCGCGTCCCATTACCGGGACCCACAGGTCAAAATCGGCAGCATCTTTAGCACCGGTTGCAACGCGGCATATATGGAAGACTGCCGGGATATCCCCAAGCTCCGTGAGTATGGGCTTCCAGAAGACGCAACTGTAATCATCAATACTGAATACGGTGCCTTCGATAACGAACGCAAAGTGCTGCCCCTGACCCTGTTCGACCACCAAATTGACAAACAATCTGCTCGACCGGGCACTCAAATCTACGAGAAGATGGTGGCAGGGCTATACATAGGCGAGATGTTGCGACTGATGCTCTTAACGATGCATGAGAAAGGGGTAATCTTCAAAGGGCAAGACGTAACCAAACTCCGGACAGAAAATGCACTAGAGGCCTCATTCCTGTCAATCGCCGAGTTGGATAATTCTGAAGGTCTGACGGACATGAAAGCCGAATTCTCAGAGATCCTTAACTTGAAAAGTACGCTGGACGAGTTGAAGGCGTGCCGTTATCTTATCGGGTTGATCGCGACGCGTGCGGCGCGTCTTTATGCATGTGGGATTGCCGCCATTTGCAAGAAGAAGAACATTCGCAAGTGTCGCGTTGGAGTTGATGGGGCGGTGTTCAGTAAGTATAGTATGTTTAAGGGTCGAGCAACGCAAGGTCTTCGTGAAATTTTCGATTGGGAGCCTGGTGAAGAGGATCTTATATCTCTCAATGCAGCGGAAGACGGTTCTGGCGTGGGAGCAGCTTTGGTGGCGAGTTTGTCTCTCGATCCAAGTGAACTGAAAGGACGTTAGAAACAACAGCAATATTAGCAATAGAGTCAACAAATAGAATTATTCTGAGTAAAAAGATGCCTACATAAGTGTGGTTACGCAAAGTGTGCAAAGTGGTAAACGAAAACATTGAAGCGATAACGATAAGCTCGCTTTGACATCAAACATTCCTCCGCCAACTACTTCAGTCATGCGATTCAGAACACAATTGAGGGACAGCAGGACCTTTTCCAGTAAGTCTGATTTATTCAGTTGAGAAATATCCTCAAAACTAACCAAACCAGAGCTCACTGCGTCCCTCGCCTCTCTGGGTAAGGTGTGCTGGATGCGCTTGGAAAGCGAGGTTGTCCGATTTACCATCATCCCTGACCAAGGTACCCAAGTATGGGCCACAATACCAGTCGTACGTAAGCCACCAACTCATTGTGTCCATATCCTAGCTAACTCCCCCAGGGTACCATCTTCGATGACACAACCTACGAACTCGAATCCAACTCCGATGCCATAAACATCGAAGTGAACATCAGCGTCCTGAACCGCGCTCTCCGCTCAGCATGGGGCTCAACACACACCCAGCTCCGCCTAACAAAAAAAGACAAACAACCTCTCCTAGCCTTAACCGTCCTCTCAACAGAATGGACAGACGGTAACATGGCCCTAGCCACGAGCACGGACGACATATCCACCAACCCAACCGACACAACGGGTGATCGCGGGCCCCGCGAACGCCAGACCTGGATCACGCAAGAAGTGCCCATCAAGATCCTGCACGAGTCCGCAGTCGAGGGTCTACACGAGCCGCACTGCCCAGACCCAGAGGTGCACATTATCCTGCCCAATCTGGCCCATCTGAAGAGTATATCTGATCGATATACGAAACTCGCGTCAACGGGATCGAAAGAGAAGCCCGGCGTAATGGCGCCCGAGGCACCGGGCATGAACTCCGTGTCGTTTAGCACAAATGCAGGAACGACGCTGTCAACGAATTCCTCGCCGAAGCTGGAGTTGTCGGCTAATATGCATGGCTCGCTGAGGCTGGCTATTGCAACTGATGAGCTGCGCATTGCTAGTGTTTGGTCAGATCTTGTTAATCCGCCGCTGGATCCGGCGCAGATGACGCAGGAGCAGATCGAGCAGCTGCCCAGTGAGCGGAATAGAATGCGCGAGGCTAGGGAGGGGGATGAGTCTGGTTGGGCAAGGGTGAGGATTGATGGGAAGGATTGGAGTCGGGTACTTAGTATTGGGAGACTTAGTCCTAAGGTCGTTGCTTGTGAGTATGGTGACTATCTTGAGATTGATCGGATATTGACTTCGTTGCTTGGATAGGCTTCGTCAATGATATGGCACTCGTTCTATACGTTTATCTGCCGGGGAGTTGGAATGGGGAGGAGTCCTGTCTCACTGTGAGTTGAAGCTGTCTAAAAATGTCCCCAATGAGTTGCTCTTTTAATGACGTTCAGTATTATATCAATTCCTTTACAACATGAGTCCACCAAAACCAAGCCACGAACTTTACGACCGAATGAAAGCGTTCAAAATCCGAATCAATTATTAGAAATTGGTATTAAGACAGTGCATAGCACAAGCCATGCAAGAAGAAACCTCCAGATCGTAGATTCCAACGGAGGGGAGGGTGATATACATAATGCCAGGAGGACGAGCCCTCGACTCCATGGATGAGGACGCGCCGAAGAACAAATAAGCTATGTGCAAAAGCAAGGCTTCGAGGTTCAGTGGGCGAGAACGCAGGGGCGTGTTTGCCTGAGGCCAAAACACATGCAAAATGCTTGGGGGCAATGACAAATGTAGCAGGGGGTGTATTATTCAAGGGTTGGGGCAGGGGTAATTCGTCAAAGCAATCATGGAATAACAAATAAAATGCGTAGCAATTAAAAAGAAAAACATAATAAAACAAAAGAAAAGGACATTATAGAACTCGGTCAGGGCCTAAGCACTATATCGGCCATCCGTATAGAATTTCCGATTATTGGCCCATCACGTCAACGTAACGGCCCTTCTTCTTGCCGCGGATGGTGTTACCCTTGCGGGCCGTAGGCGCACCAATCAAGTCATCAATCGAGCTGGCGTGAGTCAACGACGACGAGGGACGGGGCGGCGGTCCGCTGGAGCTACCCGGTGGTGTTGGCATAGCCGCACTGGTAGAAACGGACCTAGGGAGAGGGGGCACTGCTAGCCCTGAGATACCCGGGCTTGACGAAAGAGGCGCGGCGCTAGATGAAGAGGGGGGTCTGCTGCCAAAAGCGGACATCGCCGGCAGTTGAGGGACCGGAGGCACTCCATTTGGTGGCATGCTGCCTGAGCTCGTGGTGCGACTGGGAGGGGCAGATACTCGGGGCGGAGGTGGGGTGGCGCGGACAGGTGTGGCACTGTTTGGGTCTTTCTTGTTGACCCATTTCTTCAAATCCTTGTCGAAATAAAATGAACTCTCCTCGCCGAGCTTGGCTTTGATGGGACCGCCACCGGAGTGGTTGTCTTCCTTCTTGGCTCCACCAAACCAGCCACCAAACCAGCCCTTCTTGCCAGGCTGAGCATCTTTCTTAGCTGCGAGAGAAGTAATGTTAGCAAGTTTTTGAACGTCGGGTTTGTTGATACATACCATCTTCTTCAGCGGCCTTGGCAAACGCCTCCTTGGCCAGACGGTCATTCTCTGCCTTCTGCACAGCAGCAGCTCGGGCAGCAAGGTCATCGTCGTCGTCATCGTCCATGAACGACTTCTTCTTTGGTTTCTCATTTTGTTCTTGAGGATCATCGTCCATGTTTGAGCCAGCGCCATATGGATCGTAAGAGGAACTGCCCCCGGCCGGCTCGTAAGAGCTAGTGGCGACCGGCTCATACATGTTGGTACCGACCGGCTCATAAGACGAGTTCGCAGCGGGAGGCGCGTAAGGTGAGTTTGAGGCGTCCACCCCAGCAGGCATGCCGGGAGGTCCTTGGTAGTAAGGAGACTCGGTGGATGCAGCAGTCTGTCCTGTTGGCTGATAGAAGAGACCATTAAGCGCAGACTGTGGGGCTACAGGAGCCTCGGCAGCGGGCGACAAAGCTTCTTCCACCGGAGCGAGAGGAATATAAGAAGAAGATGGCGGAGTTTGTTGGTATCCGGCCGCAGAAGCATTTGGAGATCCATATATAGGTCCGCCGTATGACATCTGACCATCAAGCGAGGGGGAAAATTCTTGTGAGCTGCGACGTCCAGTGGGCGGGAAGTATGGGTTTGATCGCTGAGAATCCATCGAGGATCTGCCCTTGAATTGCTCGGGCGAAGCGTTGGGTGCATACTGGCTCGACGGGTGATACTTTGAGGCGCCGCCTGCGGGAATAGGCTGTACTCCGGCTCCGGGGCCAGGATAGGATCCGTAAATATCAGACACTGACGGCGAGCGGCTGATCGTAGGGGTTCCGGCGACGTTTGCGAAGGGACCGATGTCTCCTTGCTCACCTTTGCCGGATCCAGTCGATGCAGCGTCGCTGTCGTCTCCTGCCACGAAGTTGTTGAAGCGAGCCCACATGGAGCCTGACACCTTCTCCATGCTCGGTCGAGAGATCCAAGAGCCGCTTTCCGTTGTTGTTTGGCGGAGGCGTGCACAGAGCTCCTCAACTTCCGCAAAGAGGTGCTGGTGGTAGTATGACGAGGGACGAGTGGTTGCTTTCAGAGCCGACGCAACAGCATCGCAGTAGGCTTGCGCCTCTGTGTTACGCCCTCGGTCAACGAGGCACCTAGCATTCAGTATCTTGAATGACAGCAGATGGGGCAGATTGGCAGTGGTTGAGTTGCCAAGAACAGATGTAGCATACTCGTACGCCTCGGTCAGCATGATAGCATCTTCATCTAACAAAGAAGAAGGCGAGCGCTGGTGGTCAGCACCAAGCAGAACTATATTGACCTGCGGGTCATCAGGGCCACCGAACACGGCAGAGCGCGAGAAGATGTAGCAAATATGCGCAGCCTCTGTGCGTCCGTAAGATGCGAGTAGTTGCCCAAGCGCAAGGAGCGCTTGGTGGTCCTCGGGACTACGATTGCTCAACACCAGTCCCAGTGTGTCTCTCCACTTATCTAATCCTTCAAGGGCATTTCTAGTAGCGCCCTGGCCATCGGCCTTGCTGATCAACTGCAAACCTGCCCGTGCAGACGGGGGTACCAACTCATCGATGCTTTCTTCAACGTTACCACCGAAGATCTCGTAAAGCGCTGCAAGTGAGGCGGAGTTCTCGCTTCTGGATCGAACTTCACGGCGAACGAACTCCTGAGTGACCTGTTTCCCGATGGACTTGTCCATGGTGGAGGCGATGAGCATCGCATGTCCCCATAGACGACGATCGACGGCACCCCAAACAGCTTTCTCGCGATCGCCAGAGATCAAGTGGAGCTGAAGTTCCTCAAGCCATCGGGCGTCAATTGCATCGGACTGCAAATCCACACCCGAAGAATCTACTCCACTGAATGCCGCATTACTGCCATATGATCCATCCGCATCGGGAGTAGGCAGGTTGGGAAAGATAGCCTGGCGCAGAGACTTTTGAATTTCCGGGGAAGTTTCCAGTTTGCCATCGTTTTCTACCAACACTTTAACAACCTTCCAAAGAAGCGTCTTCTCGTCGTGGCGCTTGTGCATATCCGATTGAACTTGGTCGAAGCTTGGAACGCCGACATTCTCAAAGGCAGCAATCCTGCTAGAGAGCCACGCAACCAAATCCTTCTTCTTGGATTTTGTCTTCAGAGGGCCGGGGTGCTGTGCAATAGTATCAATGGACGGCAGCCATTCGTTCAGCTTGGAGATCTTTGTTTCACCGGGAGTGGGTTTGATCATTGGCGCCACTTGACCGGCTGAGTATCGGGGAATGTGTCGTGGGAAACAAGATACCATAGATCCACCAAACCCAAACTTGAAGATCGGGGCACCCTTCCAACGTTCTAAGGGATCCTGTTCCTGTCCATCCCTGGGTGCAATGAACTCCAGGTGCTGGGTGACAGCCCGATTTTGCGGAGGAAGCTGCACAGGCGCGTATGAATTCACTGTCTTTGTTGGAGATCCCGAAACATGCACCGAAGCTGGTCTTTGGAGTGTATTGATGGTTTGGCCAGATGAGCGCGGGCTAGTCATGTCCCGACCAGGTGATTGCGTTTGAGACCTGCGAAGAGGACCCATCTGGATATCATTAGGGGGGGGGGGACAATGGTGCATTTGCTGCCGGGTGGACGGCAGGATAGTTGGAAGTTGGCGCAAGACGCTGGGCAAAGTCATTGATGTAATCCTGTGGAGCATATCGTCCATGGGGTGGGGATGCTTGAACGGGTGAGCTCGCACTCTCTCTCCGCGCAATGTTGACAGCGGCATTATGATGCTGTGGGGCATAGGGTTTGGCCATGGTCTCGAAGCCGGATCCCTGCTTGCCTGGTGGAGAGAGGTTGATCGCAGGCTCGAGCGTTGGTGGTTTTTGTGAATTATCGGGCTGGTAAGAGACTTTCTCGTGATATGCGAGGGGGCTCGATGTACGTGGTTGGAAGGGCAAGCTCTGACCGGGGACATTCAATGGCTGCGAAGGATACCTGGGGCGTTCCCCGGCACTGGGAGGCGGCGCAGGAGAATATCTTGGCAGCGAAGGGGGCTTTGACGTCAGCTGCGAGCCAAGCGGCTGAGGAGAATACCTTGAGATAGCAGGAGGACCAGCCGGTGCACTCGATGCCAAGCTAGCATACGGATCCAACTGTTCGGGGGGTTGAAGCGCAGATGAAACTGGGAGCCCAATTGGCTGCGTCGTTGCCGGTGCAACAGAGGCATATGGTGCTAGGGCCGGGTGAGGAATAGATGCTCCTGCGGGTGGGTATTGGCTCTGCGGAGGAGGGATGGCTGACCCCACATTTGCATATGGATTATGAGCTGGAGGAAGAGCGGATATTCCCCCGGCTGCGTATGGGTTCTGAGGGACTGGTGGCATGGGGGGTGCCATTGCAGTCGGGGCGGGGGCCGCCTGCGGATTAGGAGTATAACGACCTGAGCTAGCAGGTCTTGATCTCGGCGGTGGCATAGGAAGCTCTTCGTAGAAATTCTTGGGCGCAGGTGGAGGGGCCGTAGCCGCCGCAGCACGAGCCGCCGGAATAAATCCAGTTGCAGGAGGTGGCATGCCAGAACCTCCTGGGGGAGGAGGAGGGGGCATACTGGTCACTGGTGGACCAGTCTTACGGGTAACCAATGGCTTTCGTGGCCTGGATAAATCATCTGGGAGATCGTAAGGAGATTTGTAACCCTGTTTTGACTGTTCCGCAAAGCTCTCTCCTCTGGTTACCACTGGATTCGGTGGGTTTTGGGGGAAGTATGATGGCATGGCAGCGGTTGATGGCGGGGCGGTTCCTGGTATAGGCAGCCCGCCTAGTAGATCCGAAGTCGATGGCTGGTGGGGCGTATGTACGTCCGTGGCTGGTCTTGACTGCAAATAGGGCTGAGGGGTTTGGAAGGGGCTGTTCAAACCTGTCGACAGCACACTGGTGGCAGACTGAACGGGAGTTTGCTGAACGGGGACTTGAGGAGGGACTGGTTGAGTGGATTCGGTATCCAGCAAGATATCGTCGTCATCCAATGCCGCCTCCCAACGAGCTGCCAGATCATCATCTGGTGAATCGCCTAATTCGGCTTCCCATCTTGCTGCAAGCTCCTCTTCCGAAGGCTCGGTCGCGACTTGGGGCTCGGTTGCTGGCTGTTGCTCAACCGATGGTTGTGGTTCAGATGTCACCCCCTTGAGGAGGTCATCGAACTGCGCTGCTGCCGATGCGTCACTCACTGGAGAGTCAAGGCTGAATCCAGCAGACTCCAACACCTGTGTTGTGCTCTTTCGGGTAAGGTGGGCGTGAGTCTCTTCTTCGGTGTGCTGCTTCGAGAAGAAATCATCTCCTTCCTTGCTATCCTCCGTTCTCTCCCCAGAGCCGAAAAAGTCATCCGCGGTGTCCTCATCATTGGCGAAAATGTGATCAATAGAGCTCTTTACTTCCACTGGCTGTTCAGGTGAAGCAGGTGTGGACTCGTCCAACAGAGGAACTCCTTCCTCGAACCTGGATTCTGCCTCTGGCGGTGCAAAAATCGGTTTTGTCTGACTTCGGAGTTGATTATAGAAGTCATCCTCATCCGAGTCAACACCACCGTTCGCCCCATTGGCCCAAGGAAGATCATTGTGATTGTTCGCGGGCTGTTGCGCAGCCGGTGGATCGGAAGGGGTTTCATTGGTCACAGGAAATTCTTGTGCAACAGAAGTCGACTCAGTGCCGTTTTCCATTGGCACATTGGTCTCCTCTGCGAATGGAAGGACACGGTTGCTTTCATGGCCGAAGGGAGCATTGGTAGGCACAGGTTCTTCCGCCGCCGCTGGTGCAGCTTCTTCAACAAAGTTCGACTCTACAGTATTCTGAGGTTCGCTTAAGCTCGAGTCTGGTTCAGAAATCGTAGTCTGATTTTCGCATGGCGGGGCCTCGTTGGTAGATGGTAAAGACTTGCTCAAGTGTTGTTCAAATGTGGCCCAGGGATCTTCGGGGTCGGTATCGGCTTCATCGGTTTGGGGGAAAAACTCTTTTATAGGACTTTGTTGCTGGTTATTACTGGCCTGAGAACTTTCCAGCACGGCTTCGGCTTCGGGTGCAGCCGTTTGCTCATCCGTGGAAGGCGCAATCTCTCTAACAAAAGTCAAGTCCCGGGCAGCTTCTTGCTTGGCCGCAAGAGTGGGTATGATGGGATCCGAGACCTGTGGGACAGGAGACAGAAGCTGCTCTTGGCCAGCGGAGAGATTCTCGGTGGTCTCACGTTCGACTTCGGTTGAAGGTGATTCTGTCTGGACCGGCTCGGGCTCTGCAGCATGTGTCTCCGATGGTGCCAGCTTTGTGACGGCGTCTGAAGTGTCATTAAAGGATGGCGTAGTGGGGGCTGATCCGGTTGTTCCACTTGAAATCTCAGCGCCCTTATCCACTGTGACAGCATTCAAAGACGGTGCCTCATCCACAGCAGGTGATGCGTTATTCACTAGCTCGTCCATATTCGTGTATTGAGCGGGAGTCACGTCGACTTCATCTGAAATATCCCACGCGGAGAAATCATCGCTTTGAGGGGAGATCACGTCGGCCAGTGAGTTGTCTTTCGAGTCGTCCGCCGCAATGAGATCTGATAAACCTCCCTCGGTCGAAGTCATCGTAGCTGTATTCTTACTGTCCTCAGGCCATGATGCCGGGTTCCATGAGCCCGTTACATTTTCGGTCGTTTGGTGCGCCATTTTCTTTGGCGGCGTTGTCGATTGTCAACGTGACTGGAGATGGGGGCGCAATCCGGAGTGATCAACCTGACACGTCTCCAATGACGCCTCAGGAGATCAACAATCGTAGGGAGAAACGGGAGTTGAAGGAGCCAACTTATGAATCCATTAAATGATGTAGATATAAAACAGAGTACCAAATTCAACGAAAGAAATCAATCATACAACGCATTCGATGACAAAAACCACGTAGTTGGCCGGCGGATTGGTATGCGACAACACCCGCCCGAGTGGTTAGTCAGCCCAGGCTCAAACCTTGGTTCAAGGTTGTCCCGTCCCGATTAGGAAAAATACAAACCTGTCTGGATTAACTAATGATCCGCCTTATGTCTAACCTTAATTCTGCAGTGCCATTACGTCAGCATGGATATCCCGGATTTATGCGCTCATGTGATTGCGTGGCCGATGTCCAGGCAGTCGTCGATGAACAACCTTGTAGGCTCCGCGCGGTTTCCACAGTATATTCTTCTTTCTATTTATTTCTTTCATGAGCGCGCAAATTGATTACTTGGTTCAACATAGCAAGGGGTTCCTCATCCGACTGCAGCATCTACATTCTTTTATCATTATGCTGCATGTGAGTCTCGATCAATGCCACCACACATGACAATATATTTGAAATGAAATGAACCTTTCTTTGATGCAGCACCAAAAAGCAACACGCCACATTGAGTGAACGACAATTTGGTCTAAACCTCCCAAACTCTCTCGAGAATGCCTCCCTCGCCCGAATACGAACACCCCCTGGACTACACTGATGCGCCGGACGACCTCACGGAGTCGGATGACGACTTGGACCTAGAAGAGCTAGATCCCAGTACAACATCACCTCAACAAGCTCGTGAATCTCAGGACTACACCGGCCGGAAACGAAGCTATGGACCGGGCATCGCGCTACGTAACTTGCGTGTCGGAGCCGGCAGTCGATGGAGGCGCAGTGCGTCGGGGCGTGGGGATTTCGACGACGACACTGATGCGCTGTTGCAAAGCCCAGAAGATCAAGATGTGCGAGACTCGCATGCAAGCTCTCGGAATTTGGAAGAGGACGGTATACCGCTATTAGACCGCCGCGCCTCCACTCGAGATCTCGGCGATCAGCCTCCCAAGAAACGTGGTCTTTTGCGATTCCCATTCAAAACACCCAGCTTTTGGCGAGGAAAATCCATTCGGCTTAGATCCAATGATAACGAGTACGCAAACCAACCTCCTCGCGAAGTTCTGGTTGGGCAGTACCAGGCTGCCAAATACCCAGCAAATGTGGTCTCAAACGCAAAATATACACCGTGGAGTTTCCTACCCAGGACTCTCTACAACGAATTCTCTTTCTTCTTCAACATATACTTCCTGTGTGTGGCTTTGTCACAGGTTATTCCGGTGCTACGAATTGGTTACATGTCATCTTACATCGCTCCTTTGGCTTTTGTGGTCTCAATATCGCTGGGCAAAGAAGCACTTGACGACATTGGACGCCGAAGAAGAGATGCCGAGGCCAATGCAGAGGAATATTGCACTGTCACAGTGGGCAGGAATAATCCGATGGAAGTTATCAAAAAGTCTCGAGACTTGAAAGTTGGCGACATTCTCAAAGTTCGCAAAAATCAGCGTTTGCCCGCCGATGTGGTCATTCTCAAGAGCATTTCGAATGACTCCGCTTCTCCCCGTCAATCTCTCGCCGAGGAGCCTGCTCCGCAAGAACCTACCGATTTGCTTGAGTCAGGCCAGGGGTCTTCCGAGTCAGCAGCCAACACCGCTCTAACTGGCGCTCCTGGTGCAGAAGATTCATCTGCTGGTGACACTTTCATTCGGACCGATCAACTAGACGGTGAAACAGATTGGAAGCTCCGGCTACCGTCGGTACTATCGCAATCGATACCTTTGGCTGACTTCGGTCGACTCCAGATCACGGCCAGCGCGCCCGACAAGAGAGTCAACGAATTTGTTGGAACCATTGAATTGGGAGCGCCCACCAGCTTCTATGATGCCCACGTTGACAAATCATCCGGCTCTACAAACAACGGGCCAGCTCCTGGAGAAAATCAGTCCGCTCCATCGGCGCCTCTGACCATCGATAACACTGCTTGGGCTAACACTGTCCTTGCATCAAATACAATCACCTACGCCGCCATCATCTACACGGGATCTCAAACCCGTGCTGCACTGTCGACATCAGCCTCTCGATCAAAGGTCGGTCTGCTTGAATATGAAATCAACAACCTTACCAAAATTCTCTGCATTCTCACGCTTACCCTCTCAATCATTCTTGTCGGGCTGGAGGGCTTCCAACCAACCAATGACAAGAAGTGGTACGTCGCAATAATGATCTACCTCATCCTCTTCTCCACAATTATCCCCATGAGTCTTCGGGTCAATCTAGACATGGCCAAGTCGGTGTACGGGCGATTCATCGAGCGCGACAAGGACATCCCGGGAACAGTCGTCCGTACCAGCACCATTCCCGAGGATCTGGGGCGAATTGAGTACCTTCTTTCAGACAAGACCGGAACATTAACTCAAAATGAGATGGAGCTGAAGAAAATACACGTTGGCACTGTGTCATACGCAAATGAGGCTATGGACGAAGTTGCCTCTTTCATACGTCAAGGTTTTGCGGGTAACGCCTTGACTACGCCTTCAACTGTTTTTGGAACTCAAGCCGGCCATGCCACGGCACCTCGGTCAAGGAGGGAAATCGGTTCGCGCGTTCGCGACATCATCCTAGCACTTGCTCTGTGTCATAACGTCACGCCAACCACCGAGGATGAAGATGGCCAGAAGGTAACGAGCTACCAGGCATCGTCTCCGGATGAAATTGCTATTGTCCGGTATACCGAAGAGGTTGGGCTCAAGCTCGCTTATCGAGACAGGCAGAGCATCGTGTTGGAATCTACCGACTCCAAGCAAGTCGTGGTCCGTGTCAAGATTCTCGATATCTTCCCATTCACCTCTGAGAGTAAACGCATGGGGATCATTGTCCAATTTCAACAAGACGAAAGCGTTCTGGAGTCTGGAAAAGATGACAGCGAGATTTGGTTCTATCAAAAGGGTGCTGACACTGTCATGACATCTATCGTCGCGGCAAATGACTGGCTGGATGAGGAGACTGCAAACATGGCTCGAGAGGGCTTGCGAACGCTTGTCGTTGGACGCAAGCGCCTCTCAACACAGCAATATCAAGATTTCTCTGCCAAGTACCGACAAGCATCATTGTCTCTCCAAGGCCGAGATGTAGGAATGACAAAGGTCGTGAGTGAATACCTGGAACAAGACTTGGAGCTTTCTGGTGTCACTGGTGTGGAAGATCGGCTGCAGCGTGATGTTAAATCGTCACTTGAGCTCCTGCGCAATGCAGGCGTCAAGATCTGGATGTTAACTGGTGATAAGGTGGAGACCGCGCGGTGTGTCGCCATCTCAGCCAAATTAGTTTCCCGGGGCCAGTACATCCACACCGTCACCAAAGTCACAGACAAGTCAACCGCCCAAGAAGCGCTCGACTTTCTGCGCAACAAAACCGACTGCTGTCTACTCATCGATGGCGAGTCCCTCAACCTCATGCTCGGCCAATTCCGAACCGCATTCATTTCCGTCGCGGTGCTCCTCCCCGCAGTGATAGCATGCCGATGTTCACCAACCCAAAAGGCCGAGATCGCAGACCTGATCCGCCAGCACACCAAAAAGCGCGTCTGCTGCATCGGCGACGGCGGCAACGACGTCTCCATGATCCAAGCAGCCGACGTCGGAATTGGTATCGTCGGCAAAGAAGGCCGACAGGCCTCCCTCGCCGCCGATTTCAGCATCACTCAATTCCACCACCTCACCAAGCTTCTGGTCTGGCACGGCCGTAACTCATACAAGCGCTCCGCCAAACTAGCCCAGTTCATTATGCACCGCGGCCTGATCATCAGCGTCTGCCAAACCATGTACAGCATCGCCAGCCACTTCGATCCAAAGGGCCTCTTCATTAACTGGCTCATGGTCGGCTACGCAACAGTCTACACCAACGCACCCGTTTTCTCCCTCGCCTTCGATCGCGACGTCGACGAGCGTCTCGCCAACCTCTACCCGGAGCTCTACAAAGAGCTGAAGACGGGCAAAAGCCTGAGCTACCGCTCGTTCTTTGGTTGGATTCTTATATCAGTTTACCAGGGCGCTGTGATCCAGGGTCTTTCGCAGATCCTGTTGGATACCATTACCGGGCCGCAGTTGATTAGTGTTTCGTTTACCGCGCTTGTGCTTAATGAGTTGGGTATGGTCGCCATCGCAATTACCACATGGCACCCTGTTATGATCTTCTGCTTGATCGGTACTCTGCTCATCTATGCGGGCAGCGTGCCTTTCCTGGGTGAGTACTTCGATCTGAGTTTTGTCATCACTCTTGATTGGCTGTGGCGTGTTGCTGTCGTGTTGGCTGTGGCGCTGGTTCCTGTCTGGGCTGGCAAAATGATCAAGCAGTCGTGGCATCCGCCGAGTTACCGCAAAGTTCGAGGATAAGGTTGTACGGTGCATTTTGGTTGGTTCCTTAGACGTTTGTTCTTCGCCTTTTTTTCTTATCTTGGCTACCCTTGACCTAGTCTGGTGTAGTTCCTGTATATGTACTAAGCATTTTGGGCTGTGAAGAGCATGTGGCGTTTGGTCATTTGGCCCATATTGAAAAATAGTATTTACATAGAGTTTTCATACCTATTGTGTCAATTTGGATTTAGTCTGTAGCAGGTGCAACACATATCTATGCCCAGTGGTCAGTCGTTAGGATTTGTGAGAAAATCTCTAAGCTTCTTACAGATATATATATATATATGTAACATATACCATAATTTCGCAAAGAATGGCTGGGCGATTTGTCAAATGCCGCTTGAACATGCACCCAGTCTAGAACTTAGGTACCCCGTGAATGCACGTTCCGATGCGAGAAAAGGAGGACTGAATGTAGGTCTTGAATGCCTTCCTTAACTAATTGCCGACAGTATACTCTTCGACTACAATGCTCATGTCATGATGAGAATATAAAATGAACATGAGAATTGAATCGGCCATGTGTTATAGAATGTAGACATTATAATTGTATTCATTACATTTGTTTGTGCAGAACGCTTACACGCCCTGTTATCACGATTGGCGGCACCCAAAAACCGTGACATTATGCAATTTTCAAAGTAATTCCCGCAGCTTGGCATTCCAGCTTTAGGCTGTCAAACATACCATTCAACCCCTCCTCATCTTCGCTTTGAATGCAGAGCGTTATTTGTTGAAGATGAACAAAATCACGTCTCTGACGCACCAGTTTGGAAAGTTCTGATCGTAGCGGGAGGTGATGATCAATCATCACGTCTATGACTTCCAGACTCACGAGTGAGTGCGGCAAGGATTCAGAAAGTGATTCCACATCCGAATGGTTATTGTGATCACAAGGCAGCCTCATTAGGTGGTCGTGTCGGACTGTAAGCTGTTCCAAAACAGTAAAGGCTTTGAACGACCCGAAAGGAGTTTCCACAGCTTCCATCTCTCCCAATCGATCTCTGTAGACATCTCCATAGCAGATACGCAGAGCCTTGAGGGTTGTAACAAAAGGAAGAATGGCGGCATGAAAATCTGCAGCGTTGAAAGCCTCCTCATCATCAATCTCATACTCGTCTGCCTGTATTTCGACACAGATAGAAATCTGCTCAAGACCCGTACACAATGCCAGCCAGTCAAGCATACCGCGGCACCAATAACCCTCTTCTACAGTGATATCCCGGACCGGGCATGAAGACTGATGAATATTAAGGTCCAGGCTATCGTCATCTTTCTTTTCTCCTATTGCAGTTCCGTAGATACGTCTAACGGCAGGGAAATAAAAGAACGGCGTCAAAAAGTCCGAGTCGATCCATGAAGCCCCCCAGTTAACACAGGCTCGAACCTCTTCTAGGTGAGGGAACGGAACACCCCGATGGAATGGTTGCTGACGCTTCGCTGCTTTGAGCAAGATATCAGAGATGAGGTCGGAATGTTCGTGCCCGAACTCAATGATTTGGAGGTTGTTTAGTCGGACAAGCAGAAGACCCAACCATGCTTCTGCACAAAGTCCCTCTCCATAAAGATGCTCTTTCCACAATTCTCGTTGCTCGCGCTCTTCCTCGGGGAAGATTTCATCCAGTGCGCCCTCAATAAAGCTGCCCATTTCGTTATCCATTTCCACTGGGTCATTCTGATCACATTGTGTCCAGCACAGGTCCAATCGATGGACTTGCCTGGCGAGCTTTGGCTGTCTCCATATGCGCATGATAAAGTGGATAAACTTCTTGGAAAATGTGTCCGAAGAGATGTATGAATACATTAAAGGTGAGAAGACATCGTGGAATCGCCGGCAGCAAAGGCTCAGGGAATGCAGGGTTGACTGGGGGCAGTAACTTTGCTGTATATGCTTCCCAATCAAAAGAAGCATTTCATTCGGCAATTGATCCATGATCTATGGAAGCTTGATGAACTTTGAAAGAAAATCACATAAATAATTGCGATATTGGCATATCCGACTTTTTTTATACCCCAACTCAGTGGTTAGCTAGGCGGATTGAGTTTTCGATATCGCCTTCTGTCTCAGAACATACGCTAGATGGGCCCTTGGCACAGCGACGCCAAGCTTCAAGACTATTGTGTTCATTTCCTTGTATTTCGACAACCGTCAGTGATTTGCTCTTCGAGTGCCTGGCCACTGTCAAAGTCTGTCAAATAGGCACCAGTCTTAGGTGTCTACCTAGCAACGTTCGACCTGGAATTAAGCAAACTTATTTATGGCTCATATTACAAGATTTCTGACTCTCGCTGCCTAGATAGCTCCACTCTAATTATCGCTCAACGAAAATGCAACGGAAAACTTTAAACCCTAAAACTCTATGCGCGCTAAGGCGTTGGCGGTTAGGCCAGAAAAGAGTTGCTCAGTCTGTATTGGTCAAGCCGATTTCGAGAATCACTGCAAAGACTTACCTTATTTTAATGATTTTAATGTGAGCTTTCAGTCGAAAATTTCAGATACAAACGGGCTCGTAATTCGGTTCACCATTTTGTTTCTCAAATTCTATTATTAGTGACGCCAGGCCTAATATAGTTAGTAGAAGACAACCCCTTGCTCATAGCCTGTATTTAACACTAAATAACTATGCCGCTCCAATAACCTAACGGCCTCGCATCATATCAATCGAATATTGTTGAATTATTCTGCAGAGGCTAGTTTGCATTAGAACTCCCGATACTCCGTAAAGCTTGGGCGAATTTAATGTTCTATTTTTCATTTGTGTCCACTTGAGTGTTGAGATGGATTCACTCTAGATTAAGGTTGATTATACCTTCGAGAGAGCTTTGATAATCTTCAGTAATTGGTACGATTCCCTCCCTTTTTCTGGGATTTCACCAAGTCCGTTGCACGAAATAGCCAAAAAAGAACGCCAAGTGTAAATCGATCGTCCACAGTGGAGTCTGGCTCTCATCTATAGATCGATAAATATATACGCAAGAGCGCATTACCTACTCATCACCCGCATAAACCGCCAAAGCATCAAACAACCTCCCAAACACACCCCCATGCCACCCTTTTACCGCCTCCCACTCCCCCTCGGGCAAAGTCCGGGAAGCCATCACCAACCAAGCCCCAACAATGAAATCCGCATAACACGCCGTCTCCCCAATAAATGGTCCCTCGGACGCAGTAAACAGCTTCGCCAAGCCGCCAAGCATGCGCTCAAACGAAGCAATGATATTCTCCCTCACCTCCCCCCCAACGGCAAAATCATCCCAGGAGCTCACTCCCGCCCGCCTCACAAACTCAGCCTTGGATGCCTCCTCGGTAGCAGGATCAAACGGCATCCTGTGTGCCATGAGAATGACGTGTGCAGTGAACGCCGCGTCGACGTTCACGTTGAAGCTCGCGTATTGTGGGTACTCGGAGTCGTCGCATTCCGATAATGGGATTAGGAGTTCGGATTCCGGCTTGAAGACGTAGTCCAGGGTCTGTGCGGGGAAGAGATTGCCGCCCGATGTGGGGTATTGCTTTTGTAGGTAGACTGCTATGTCGAAGGAGTCGCCTAGTTTGCGGCCGGTTGCGGGGTCGACTAGTATGGGAAGAGTGTGGAAATCTGTTCCGTCGGCGAATTTGCGGCAGGCTGGGATGGAGAGCGATTTGCGCACGTCTGGGATGTCCGGGAGTTGGACCCATGTTGTTTTGTATGGTGTTTGTTTGAAGTTTAGGGCTAGGCGGGTTTTCCAGGGGTTTACAGCTGTGTTGTTCTTATTTGCTGGGGGCCGCATGGCCACGTCGTAGAATTGGAGTTTTTCCATTGTGGTTTGTGTGGTTTTTGTTTTTGGTGTTTGGTTTCAGTGTTGGATGTTTGTCTGTAGGATATTATAATTGATTGTATGGGTGCTATATTTATGTGTATGGGTTGAGGGAGTTGTAGTTGATGTGTCCGCAGTCAATATGATTCAGGGTGAGTCAGAGTGGGGTTAAATTGGGGGGCAAGCGACGATCGGTACTTTTTCCAAAATGAAGCTCTATTGGATATTTTAAGGCTGATAGCTTTTACATACCTACGATGTGCTATACATCTCACATATTCTCAAGATTAGAAGCAAGCTTATCGCCATGGGGAAAAACATACATGGGAAGTACCTGCCTAACAGTACTAGGTGGCGCTAAGTCACTAATACCTAAAGTTTACATTTGCAAAGGTCGGCGGAAGATGTTCAAGAATTGATTTTCGCATTTCAAATAATATCTTTATAACATGTCTTACAAACATAGTATTGACTATCAATCTTGCTGTTACTATCAAATCCCTATTCTTATTGCTCTCGCCTATACTTCGTGCTCATATAAAACATACATACACACGTAATTAGTAGTAATATAGAAGGTAGAATATCATAAAACACAGCACATCACAACTTAAACCACAACAAATCCACCATTCAGTTATATGGCTCAGGCGAGAAAACCTTCTTCAACCTAAACCTCGCCAGATCCCTGACAACCTGCGCAGTCTGCTTCAAGTTCCTCTTAACAATAACAGCCGTTGGCAACGAAAACAACTCATCAATCTCCTCCAGGGACTTGTTCTTCGTCTCTGGCATGAAAATAATCTGATAAGCCCATCCCAAAACAGCAATCCCACCATAAAACCCAAGCGTGAGCCCAATCCGCTGCATACTCTCCATCATCCGGGTAAAGTTATACGTAACAATGAACGAGCACAGAAACAAGTTCGCATCCGCAGTCGTCATTCCATAAGATCGCAGATATGTCGGAAACACCTCAGATGGCACAACCCACGTCAAGCACGCATAAGATCCAAAGAACCCCATGTACAAGATGATTCCAGTGAGGTAGATACCCTGCGCGGTGGCCGGGTATTTTTGCGCGTCGATCGTGTACCCAACGCCAACGAGCACAAGTCCGATAAAGAACCCCGGCAGCATCGCGTTCGCCCAGTACCGCCGCCCAAACCGCTCCATATACAGCACTGCCGGGATCGTGCCGATAAGCAGTGCACCACCGCCAACCAAAGACATGAATACCGCGTCTTTATCGCCGAACCCGATCGCTTGCATCAGCGTAGACATGTAGTACATTACTGCGTTGACGCCGGTGAATTGGCCCAGGAAGATCATTATGTTTGCGTAGACAATGGCGCGCCGCGCCCGCGGCACAGTGAAGAAGTCCACCCACGGGTATTTCTTTGACTGTGCTTGTTCCTGACGCTCGGCTGTGACCGCCTGGCGCATGCCGAGGAACTCGTCTTTGGCTTCGAAGTCGTTGAAGCCACGGATTTTCTTCCACACGGAGTACGCTTCGACTTCGCGTCCTTTGTGCATGAGGAAACGTGGGCTCTCGGGGAGGAAGAGCATGCCTATGAAGAGGATTGTCGAGAAGAGGAGCGATGATCCCAGGATGTAGCGCCAGTTGCCAGGGACGCTGACGAACATTGCGGCGACGGCGTAGCCGAGGACTTCGCCGAAGGCGATGTTCAGCTGGTAGAGCGAGACGAGGTTGCCGCGGATTTTGCGCGGGACTGCAGCTGTTAGTTGAGTCTTTATATGATGGTTTATGAATGGTGCTTGATACATACCGCATTCCGCGACGTAAACAGGGACCGTGCCGCCTTCGAGACCTACGCCAGCGCCGAGGATGAAGCGGCCGGCGAAGATCATGCCAAAGTTGATGGCGCCAGCTTCGAGGGCTGCGCCGATGGTGTACAGTACGCAGGAGACGATGATGGCCATCCGTCGGCCGAGGTACTCGTTTGCTGGAGAGAGTAGAAGAGCACCGGCCACGGCGCCGAGGGGCATGCCTGCATTTACAAGACTGTTGTCTGCGGAGCTGAGGTGCAGATCAACGGGGAGGTAGAGATTTGCACCGCTGATGAGCGATTGGTCGAGGCCGGAGAGCATGCCGCCCATTGAGGCGAAGGCAACGAGGATGTAAGTGAAGGTTGCTGGGTTTGCCATGGAGAAATTGAAGCGGGACTTGGGAAGCTCGTGGAGTTGGTCTTCCAGCTGTTGGATCTCGGCGTCCATGGCTGCTTCGGTGCGGCCGTTTTGGAGCTTGAATTCTGCTACGTCATCCATTTCATAGGCGACTGTGTCTTTGTCTTCAGTGTGGAGGCCCGGGGGGGCCTCGACATCTTTGAGGTCTGCCATGATGGTATGGCCCTTGAAGGGAGTATCTATCTATTCACTGGAGATATAACAGTAACTGAACGGTAAAATGGAATAATATAGAGAAAGGAATGAACGAGAAGGTCAGATTCATGAGGGAATTGAAGGCTATTTGAAGAGCCGAGGACGACCAGAACGGCTACATGTCACATGGCAAGACTCGAAGCAAATTCCATCTCCGACGCTAAGATGTTCTGGAGTATGCACTCCGCGTGGAGAGACAAGTGGATGTTCGGGACCAAGCACCGGTCCGGGGAGGTCCAAGTGAGGAGAAAGGGAAGAAAGAAAATGCGGTCTCACCGGACCGCAAAACAGGACTAAAGAAGAATTATGCATGTCGATGCAGGGATCAAGAATGTGGAGGAAGAGCCGGGACTGGGGGGAACTCCAGAACCCGGGGCTATGGACGAATGATATCGCGAAGCTGGTGTGTCTTTGCGTTTCAAGGCGCATCATACTTTTCATATACTTTTAATTCGAATTAAGTCTCATACCCGTTGATCGCCACCGTACTACGTGACGGTATAATATCAAGTAGTCAGGCCAAGTGATGTCGGCATTCTGGAATATTCCCGGCTTCCCGTAGTTAAACACGGGCTTGGCCGTAATGCTATGTAGAAGAAGACAATCCCGAGACAGGTCGGCACGAGCGACGAATATGAAGAAAATATTGCATTTCCATCGGCCATCGTAGGGAATATTTCGGGTTGAAAAGACGCTAGATCGGCAGAGTGCGAGGTCACTTACTACTAGGTTTGATTCCCCGTGGAGAAAAATGCTTATCGGCGACACTTCGGGGAAAATACTATAACTAGTTAACATACGGAGTAAATTTAGTTAGTTATATGCTTTATTATATACTTCATCTTAAATCCAATGTTCAATATCAAAGCGAACTGGGCTAACTCATACTATATACTAGGTCAGACTCGGGAGATCACGGCTACAGAAACGGGAACTATGGGCGAAAACGCGGGATTTTCCCCAGCGCAAGCCGAGCTGTTCATTCGCTGCTAACACACTTGGGTTTTCGGTGGCTGACGCTAAGTAATTCTCGAGCGAAACTTTGACTTGGCCAAAATACGTTCCACGCCAATCATAGACCGGGAGGTTGTCGCGTATGCTAGCTGTGGGAAAACGTGGACTGATCATTACCACATTGGTACTGCATTGGTGGCATGACAATCACTCGACGCTGGACGTTGCGTAACGCGAAGTACAGTGTGAATTTAGCCTATTGTAAGACATGCACGTAAGACACGGCCAAAGTGAGTGAATCCTGCGTTGAATTCCCCGAGATCGGCAGAGAGGAAATCGATCTGCCTGATCCCAAACATGTATGTACACAAACACAGAACAGAAAGCACTTAAATTCGAGCTGCAAGCAGTACACTACCGTTTCGGGAACCCCACCGGCTTCCTCACACTAGGATCGACGTTCGGACTAGGAGACCTGCCGCCTTGCAATCGCGCCCGTAGACGGTCCTGCGCAGAGCCACCCCCAGACCCCGCACGGTCGAGATTCGGCCGACTCTGCGAAGACTGCGACGAGCCCGAGCGCTGGCTGGGCAGTGGTCGAGCGCCGTGCAGACCAGATACTGGCGAAGGCGAGTGCGACTGAGAGTGCGAAGGTGACTGGAAAGAGCCCGACGGCGCGCTGTTTGCTGCGGCCAGGGGTGATGCGACGCCACCGCGGCCGCGACGGAGACTCGCTGTCTGGGGGTTTTGTTGTTGGTGTTGGGCTGGAGAGTCGCCCCAGAGATCGCCTAGACCGCCACTTCGGCCTGAGTGGGCGGGGGCTTGGCCCGGAGGGAGTTGCGAGGTTGCGATTGTGCGGGAGGGGGCTGACGCTGGGGCTTTGGGATCCGCTGGGAGCCAGGGCGGATATGGGCGGCCTTTTTCGTTGTAGTAGGCTCGTAGGGCGTTGGAGATGTGTGAGCAGTCTTCATTGTCTGGGTCGTCGCCTTCGTCGCCTAGAGTGATGGCACGGCGGAGATTGGTCAGGCGAGAGCCGAGGCCGGAAATGGCAGCAGAGGTGGTGAAAGATGACAAGTATGAGCTCATTTTGGAAGTTTAGTTGTAATGATGTGCAAGTGGATGCTGGAATGCGGGGTGGAGCTTCGAGCTTCGAACTTGGGAGGATGTTATGCAAATACGTAGTGTTGATGATGATCACAAGCCAATATGAGTTGGGGGAGCACAAATTATTAATTTAGCAGAAGAACCAGCTCCTGGAGATCTGAAGATGAAGCTCAAAAGGAAACTGAAACCGAAGGAGACGCACTTGCCACGTGATCACGTGTTTCAGTCTTGAGTCCAGCGCTTTGAGAGAACAAATATCTCAGCTCTGAGCACAATATTGTTGATTTGTTGGCGTTGTTTGATTTGTGATTTGGCTTCAATTAAAAACATCAGATACAAAGATAAAATAAACAAAGATCCCGTATCGTAAAATGCAACAACAGGGTATGATGCCTGATCACTAGCACATATAAAACAAAATCGACCCGAACGCCATGCAAGATCCGGTAAACTTTTTTGTCCAAATCTCTGATCACAGTCATGCCATGAGCTGGTCCTTACCAGCTCCCTCAGTCTCGTACTCGATCTCAATGCGAGGTCCCTTCTTGCGAGGCTTCGCGACAGGAGCAGGAGCCTTCCGCTTAGCACTAGGCTTAGGTTTCTTCTCATCCGCACTAGCCTCCTCCTCACTGTCACTGTCCTCGTCGCTCTCATCCTCATCATCATAGTCGCTGGAGTCAGCCGAGTCAACACCCAGCCAATCCTCCATATCCTCAAGATCCTCCTCCTCATCAAGATCACTAACATACTCAACCTCACCAACACCCTCTTCCTCCTCGTCCTCAATCTCCTCACCATCATCCATATCAACATCACGCTCACCATCACCAGCGCGCTCAAGACCCCGCAGGACCTTCTTCCAAATCCCCTCTTCAACATTAAGCGGCCGGTCACCGTAAGCGCCGCTCCGCAAGCGCTCAATCAGCTCGCGCTCAATGGCCCGCTCAACCTTCGCAGCCGACTCGGCCTTCCGCTCGCGGGTCTCCTCACGACGACGGATCTTCGGCGCAAGCTTCGGCACCAGCTTCTCGCCCAGACGCTCGTCTTCCTTGGCGATGTTCTTCATGCGGATGTTGACCTGCGTCAGGCGGGTGAGACGCTGCTTGCACTTGTGCGTCAGGAACTTGGGCCAGTAGATCAGTCGCTCGTCGACCTGCTCGAGAGCCTTGGCGTAGTTGGAGGACAGGCGGACGCGCTCCCACCATTTGCTGGGCATGTGGGCACGCTCGACGGTCTTCATGTACAGGTACATGACGCCGGTGTCGGGGTCGCTTCGGATGGTCGCATAGCGAGAGTTGGCTAGCGGGCAGGACTGGCGGTTGCAGAGACCGCTGACATTGTATTCATTGCGGCAGAAGTTTTGGTCTTTTGTGGTTCTGGGGGAGGTTAGTTGAAGATTCTTGGTTTTTTTTGGTTGGCAAGAAAAGGTTTGCTGGGTGGGTGGTGTAAGTGTGAGACTCACTTGAGCTTATAGGAGCAGAACTGCTGGTTGATAACCTGCCAGACAATTTCGTCAGACATGATGGGCAGGAATTGACTGAGATCGTAAGTGACAAGACCCAAGTGTTATGCAAAGATATTGATCCCGAAGAAAAAAAAGTTGTGTTACCGCCTACCGGATTTGGATTAGTCTTATCTGACTTTTTCTGCCTTGAAGCTCAGGCGCCAAGGCACTTCATGAAATATAGCCAATCAGAGAGCAGGAAATTAGATCAGACACATTATCACTCGAGAATCAACCACTTCAGACCAATTAACCACGGGGAGTTATATTAGGACGACGCGATGATCGATTACCAAGTCAAGTGAGATAAGATGAGCAAAGTCACTATGCAAAATCATTTCTCCTTCCACTCCGACTATGGATTACAACAATATCGAACTTACTGAGGTACTTACTTTACTGTTAGGTAAATTGGTTAGTGCTACCTATGAATATTTAGTAATCCCATGAAAGGGGCATTTGATTTCGGGTCTAGCACTTTTTGCAGCTGTCTAGCACTTTTTGGCACCCTATCAATTTGATTTGCTTACTAGATACTATGCATCGAGCCCCAGGGATGTCAATAGGACCAAAGCTTTCATCCTTTCATTCTCACTCGGTTCCACATCTATAAAGGCCTTTCATAAAGATCTGATAGTTTGTAAGAGGGTCGTGATCGCATAAGTTGGATAGCTGACAGAACGGCGAGACACGCGCATGCCGATTCCCCTGCGATAAAATGGAGGGCGACACCGTCTATCCCGTGGGAAGCTATATACTCGGCGGCGTCGATGGCATCGTGCACCGGGGCTGGATAAGGATGTTCCGGGCCCAGGCGATATCCCACTGAAATTGCCGTAAGCTGGCACTTGTTGGCGTATTCTTGGAGCATTCTATCGGAGCTGTGCAAGGCATTAATATTTATGTGGAAACTTAAGGAGGACGGAGGCTTGCTGTTTGTGTGTTGCTAACACAAAGCCGCCCCCATGGTAATGTAGGAAGACACCCTTGCTTGGCTGATCATTATCGGGCTTATATATGCGGATTGGAACTTCGCGGCCAGCGTCGCGAGAGGAAACAGTGCCATCGAGAGCGGCTGAAAGATAGACGGGTTTAGGTAGGGGCGTTTGTCCAAGCTCCCGCATCTCACGGTACTTCTGGGCGCCGACCTCCCACCATCGGGGTCCGCTGGTGGTAATGGTTTCCAGGAGATTCGCGGCTTGCTTTGTTGGCTCCGTCACGTTCTCGTGGCGGAACTTGAGGCTGTCAAGGATGATATCGCTGGTGATTGGCATTGAGAGAGCTTAGAGATCGATGAATAGTTTGAACAGGATCAAAGAAAGGTTTGGTGAATTGTTTTCGCACCACGCTTACATATGTCACCATGTGTACCGGGTTTTCCCTAGCAGGTGGGGTTTTCCTATTTGAGCAGTAGCCGCTTTAATGAGGGCGCTCAATGAAGCTACTCCGTACTCTCTCTAGCGTTCCGGCCGATGATCCGTTAACTGACGGAGCCGGGCTGTTGCTGGCGTCCCGGGCTCGGGCACTCTCTTTCATCACATGTAAAACGGGTAAGGCTAGTTGTTCCAGATGTTTGCCAAGGAGAATTGACAGCTTTCTTCACTCGCTGCACAAGTTCGTAGAAGCAATACTGTTCTTCTTCTTCCGTTAGCTGAACACATATGGACTGCTTTTCCTGATCTGCTTTCCATTGTAAACCCCTCTCTCTCTTTCTTTGAACTGCATTCGGGACCAACTCTATTCGCAATAAAACACAGGCTCAGGAATAGTACACCAACTGATTAATCGGATCAGAACTTGAGCGTTGTTTTAAAACACTCCATCGTGATGTATTTTGATAATCAAACCGATGCAGACCGAACGATGGCTCGTGAAATATAGGCAAAAGGCCTACCAAGGGATTTTTCGAACGATTCCGCCTAGAAAGCTGCCAAGCATATCGCTGTGATGGCTGTGGAACTGTAAATAAATTTTGGTTTATTTGGAATATCATAGTTGGTACTGCTTGTTGATGCCAGACCATCGAAAACACCCATTTTCGCTTTCATTGCTTGGACTGCGACAATTTCGACAATTATCTTAATTGAGAACCAGACTCCCCCATACAAGAGTAAAATCTCCCAAAATGCTTCTTGCTATAATCCCTCAAAGGAACGCCGCCTTATACTCAACAACTGACTAATCCGTCGTATGAATGCTACCCATGGGATGAGCCTTATTCCGAGCCTCCTCCGAATTTAATATGCTCTCCTGGCTACCTTGCTTAGTTGCCCCAATAGTGGTGTTCATTAGGTCGTCGTCCTTGAACAAATGATTGATCCGCTTCTTAACAGGGCGACCGAGTGAGGAGTTTAGCTTCGCACCGTTGCTTCTATAGGACCGCTGATGCGAGCTCCAGGAGCGCTTCCCACGAAGCATTTCGTAAAGCGGGCCAAGGGTGGGGATGCAGGAAGCCATGATAATAATGTTTGACTCGATGCTATTTATACGAAAGAAGTGAGCGAGGATAGCAATAACGTTGTCACGATTCATTGTATGAGACTTACCTGGTCCAGATGACGAGATCCGCTGTGGCATCTTGATCCAGGGTCAGAGACAAAGTACTTCGAGATTTTCTAATGGCCACTTACAAGTTGAGTCGGCCGTGTCATAAAGACCCGGCAACTGGTTACATTTGACGATAGCCATTGCACACGCACTAGCCGAGGTTAGATTAGGGGGGGGTCCGATTGGGAGTTTTCTGCTAACTTACATTGCACCGAGCCCCAGCACCGCACAGAGAGCCAACTTCTTCTTCAGCGTCATTTGGAGGGACATCAAAACGGCGATTGGGTATATAGAGAGATATAAATCGACAAAGGCCGACATAGCTAGAAGACACAAATCAGTGCTTCTATGGGAAAGAAGCCCTATGATTACTCAAACATACCTCCTGTGAAGATTGCGTAGTTCACCAGTACTCTTTGTGGGCGGCAGGTTGCGCCTTCGGCCAAAAGTTGGGTTTTCCAGAGAGCCTGTGGGGGGTCACACATGGTGAAAAGAACGATGATACAGATACTGGATGTGACGAATACTGCGGCCGTCAATACCCATAAAAAGACCTGGTGGAATGCCCCAGGGTTCAGGACTCGATTCAAAAGGGCGGCAATGGCAAGCTTGGGCGTCGTGAAAGACATGATACCCAGAGCGAAGTTAATGTAATTGATCAACAGCACTTGTTCCAGCAAGTTCGCGCCACCTTCTTCCATAATCATGGCCGTATGCTTCCCATACCCCAGGACGACGAGCTCGGTGGTGACAACTGTATAACTCCCGAGTAACACCTATAAAAATGAGCAAAAAGATAAAATCCAATATTTATATGAGGAAAGAACCTCACCATTGCTGTTGCAATTATATAATCATCCAACCCCATATTTTTCAGCATACGGGCTCGGATGTAGAGTCGCGCAGAGACCATTACAAGACTCACAGAAAAGAACGCCCAGAATACTCCAATAATTCTCGGTCCTTTGGTCTGACTGGCATAATCAGGACTCAAACCAGCCATCTTGACAGAATCCTTACTCCATCGATAGGGGCAGGACACACTGAAGAGCGGAGTTATTCTGTAAACTAAGCTGTGACAAGTGAATATATGGAAACAACAATAAAATCCAAAACCGAGTTGTTCAACCATTCCAGAGGTAGAAGTACCCACATTATTATTTATCCAATAGCAATCCCGCCCCTGAACTGCCAAAATATAACGCCCAATGCATTTTTATTGTACTTGACAGAAATATAGGGCGGCCCCCGGTGCGTAAATGCGCGAGGTCAGTGCGACAGACGGGCCGTTTCAATCACGGACCCTTCTCGACTTCAGACAAGGGCATTGACGAACCGTTTGGTTCGTCTAGATCCACTGTGGGCCAGTGGACCCGAACGCGAGTCATTCCAGCGCCTCGCGGTTGAAACGCTAATTATGCGGTTGACGCAGTTGGGGGCCAGCAGGGCCATTGTCCCTCAGATCATTCCTAGTCAAAATTTTTGGAGTCGTTTATGATCAAAGGATTCATCTCCTGGCAAGACTAGCGCGGTTTTCGGAAATTAGCCATTGTTGCGTATTGGTGCTAGGGGAAAGTTCCCCTGTGACAAAACGTATTCCCGTCGGAAATTTCCCCGGGATTTTTGTTACATATATGTATGAGGGGATCTCCATAGCGTTGGTCCTTTTCTCACAGCCTGTTCTACCTGCTATTCACCTGTGGGATTTCGCATTTCCACAAATTTCAGATTCAACATGGGTTCGTCCAACGGCACTAGCAATGGCACCGGTCAAGTCTTTGCCAACGGGAAGAATATTGACGTGGAGAAGATTGCAGTCTCTGCTAATCTGCCTGCGCAGATTCCCGCATTGCTTGAGCAGCTCAATGCCGATGGAATAGGATACACTATTACAGACACTGAGGCTCGGCTGAAGCTTCTTGAAACAGCCAGATCATTGGTCTATGCGCTAGAAACTCCCCGCGAAGCAATAATCAGACACTGCTGGTCAGAGGTGCGTGTTTCGTTGAGATAACAGGTGTCCTGGTGTATACGCGCGTCAAATAGAAAGCAAGAAAGCTTACACCGACTACAATCTGATAGTCTACTAGCTATGCCGCGCTGGAGACCGGTGTCGATGTACGTCTCTTCCAGGCTCTCGGAACCGATGACACGCCCAAGTCCGTTGCGAAGCTTGCAGAGACAACGGGTGTAGACCCGGCACTGCTTAGTTAGTATTCCTTTGTAATTGAGAGCCTATGGGCGAGCATCTGACTCAACTATCCCTTACCCAGGCCGTTTGATGAAGCACCTGGCCGCTATGGGAGCAGTGGTGGAGACTGGATCTGACGAGTATGCCCCGAATGGTTTCTCGAAGACCTTGACCGAGGAGAGATATAGCGATGCGTTCCCGCTAATGTATGCCATACAATTCACGAAAAATCTCAAAAAGACCAGAACATTACCACTTACACTTATTCTCATCTCCCAGGACATCCCGCTTCACCCAGGGAATCATTGCCCTCCCAGCCTTTTTCAAAAAAAATAATTACCGAAACCCGACTAGTCCAACAAACACTGCCTTCCAAATGGGATACAATACCGATATGGGTTTTTTCGGACATATCCAGCAGGAACCCATCACCGCGAAGCAATTTAACAATCACATGGGCGTCTACGCACAGGGTCGGCCACGTTGGATGGATCCAGGCTTTTACCCGGTACAAGAGCAGCTGATTGACGGGGCTGCAATTGGCGAGAAAGACGTTCTGCTGGTTGATGTGGGTGGTAGCTTCGGACACGATCTCTCTGATTTCCGACGCAAATGGCCTAACGCTCCCGGAAAGTTGGTGCTGCAGGATCTTCCAGAGGTTGTGGTTTCTGTGAAGGAAGCGCACTCTTCTATTGAAGTGATGGCGCATGACTTTTTCAAGGAGCAGCCTGTTAAAGGTGAGATCAATACTTTTACATCCTTCATCTCTTATGGGTATTGAAGACAGATCATTAGAATAGGAAAAAAGAAAGCTGACATAGTGTACTTCCTTGTTTAGGGGCTCGTGCATACTACATGCATTCCGTTCTTCATGACTGGCCGGATGATGTTTGTCAGAAGATCCTTGCCAACCTTGTAGCTGCTATGGAGCCAGGTTACAGCAAGCTGCTTGTCAATGAAAATGTGGTCCCGAGTACGGGCGCGTACTGGGAGACTACAAGCTTGGACATGATCATGATGGAGATCGGCTCTGGAGAACGCACGGAGCACCAGTGGCATTCCCTGCTAGAATCTGCTGGGCTGAAAATCGCCAAGATCTGGTCTGCTCAGCGGGGTGTGGAGAGTCTGATTGAGTGTGAGTTGGCTTGAATTATTTCCTCTAAAGAAAAGTGTGAGACGCGAAGCAAGGAAACCAAGATAAAGCTGCATGTAAACATCATGATTCTTAGCTATTTCTCAATGATTTCGGTCGGAGGATATAGCACAATTCTCACAATGTGTCGAATAATGCTAGGCTGCGGCATAACCACAGATCCCTATGGGTGTATAAACATAATAAACCTGCCAAGAGTCGTGACCTACCCAGCGGGGTATCGCTGAAGCAGTCTATGAAGTATTTGCTGGAGTATCTAGATTTTCATAAGTTACAATAAGCTGATATTGGTAGGCTTCCGCAGAGCCCACAAATATGAGGCAAGATGAGGCAACAGAAAGCTGGCCGGAAATGCATTGGAAATACTTTGACTTGGGACGTTCTACATCTTATTGAAGGGTCCATATATAGATTGTAAGCATTGACTGGACCCGAGTAATCCGGCTTTTATGTGTGTGATAGCATTTAAGTACAGAGTTATGTTTGAAATCGACCCCCGCCATTTGTACCAGATGACAACGGAGGGACAATTGTATCATTAGCTAGATCTTTCCCGCACATCCACTGATTCTCTCCACCGAGGTCCCCTTACTTTCATAACCCAAAGCACCGAGGCGCTAACCAAAGCAAGGAGGCCTGCTATAGTGAACAGCCATCCATTGCCGATAGCTTCAATGATTGGAACTGTGGCCAGCGTTCCGACAAATCCAAGGATATTACGCACGAAATTATTGATGGCAACGCCCGCAGATGGTTTGTGTGGCAGGAACTCAGTCAACATGGTTGTCGACATGTTAAAGATGATCATGGATCCCAGACCAAAAAAGAACGTTGCAACCATCTGTACCCGATGTTAGTTTTCTGATATGATCACGCTGAACACCGAGTGCAAAAGACTTACCGGAATGGGCCATGCCACGCCGCGATCCGCTGTCCACCCGTACCAGAGCAAGCCGGCGGGATACAGAAACGCTGCTAGCCACGCATTCTCTCGGACACGATCTTCTGGATGATAAATCAAGCCTCCATCTTCGTCATACCGTTCTGACTTTCTAGCTTCGCGTTTCATTATGTAGTCCATCCATCTGCCCCCCAGGATGCTCGCCACGATATACCCCAGCGCATTTGGTATATAGAGCAAGCCAGTGATGATGATCGAAAAGCGATAGGGGTCTTTTTGAAAAGTGTTTTCAATGCTGATGTTCATCATAAAGAGAAAGCAGTATGTAATACTTGCGTAGTATACTGTTAGTAAAACCGGAGGCCGGCTTAGGTAGCGAAGGGTCTTCAAGGGGTCGAGCAGAAGAATCTTGACCAAGTTCAACCCCGGCTGCTTAACGGGCTCTTTGATGTCAAGATTCCCTCGTTTTGTGTGTGTTTCTGGGAGGGCCACGAGAATGAGGAGAGTTGTCACTGCTCCATAAAGAGCTAGAAACCAAAGGATGCTTCTCCAGTTCCACTCTTGGCTAAGAGCTCCGCCAATGATGGGAGATATCAAGGGGCCGCATAATGGACCCAGCCAAAAGACTCCCATGGCCTTACCACGCTCCTTTGGTTCCCAGACATCTGCAATGACGCCTGCGCCGATCGTTTGACCCGAAGAAGATGCCGCGCCGCTCAGCAGACGCATGCCTATAAGGACACCTATTGACTTGGCATGGGCTCCGAGTACGTTGGAAAGTATGAAGAGAAGAAAGCTCAGGAGGTATATTTTGCGTCGTCCAAATCGTTCGCTGAATGCCGACCACCAAAGGGGGCAAAATGCCATGCTCAGCATGTACACAGAGATGCACAGGTTTACAGTAGTAATAGACGTGTCCAAGGCGTCAGATACTTGAGATAGCGCAGCTATTGGTCAAAAGTCGGTCAGTCATTTTTTATATAGAATGTTGGAGACGTATTCTCGTCAGCAAAGACTTACGGAAGAAGATCGCACTGCCCATTGGACCTGCAACGCCCGCCACGGCGACAACGGATGTGATCACCCACTTGGCTGCTTGACTGTATCTTTGCGGGTTCTCCAGTTCATCCAGCAGACAGAGCTGGGACAAGACTCGTCCGCATTTTGATTTTGGGGCGATTGCGAATGCCTTTTCGTTTCGTCCTTCTTCAATCGAACCTCCTGGGCTGTCGACCGCGAAGCTCCCTTCGCTCCCTTGTGTTGCTCCCATCTTTGGTGTGTTCGGTTATCAAGAGCAGCTGGGGCTGTATCAGAAAAACACAATGAATGACTGCAAATAGCAGCAGGATATTAGCGACAAGTAAAAAAGACAGGAGATTGCTTCTATCTCATACCTACTGCTGCTCAATACTAGGTCAGATCTGCAATAGTTCTTCTATTGAGCAAGAGCAAGATAATAATAAGAGAGAGTCGGTTGAAGTCAAAGAGACAACACGGCTGACTTTATCAAGGTTTATATCCATTCCTTGAAGCCCCATATGTCACCTCTAGGGCTGGGGCCAAGATAACTGGACGCGTAACGGACATCGTCAACTATCTAGACGCTGCAGGATGAAGTGGGTTTTAAGGTGAGATGGTGGATAGACCAAGCGATTTGAATCGCGTCAACTGTAAGGGTTAAGCTGCCAAGACCACATTCCTATGATCATCCATATTTGACGCCACATGAGTATAGATGAACATCCGATCTGCTTAATACTAGTGACTAATTCGCGAACCAGGAGCAACAAAAAATCTGGTTTAGTTGCATGACCTGCTTCTATCTTTTTTTTCAGTATATTGTGACATGATCAAACTAGGAATATCTCTTCGCAAGAAGAATGAAGTGTACGCGGCCGGATGAAACCGAGCAAGGTCAAAATAAGCAATGAAATTCCGCCCGTTTCATCTGCAAGGGACATGTATAATTCTAGTCTAGATCTGCATAGCAATGACATGGCCTTATATTTTACAAATAACACAATGATGTCATCGTTTGTATATCTTATAAAAAAAGCCAATTTTTGTCTAGTTGAGAAACTAATAGTTATTTTTTTGCACTTTGTGTTCTTTCCCTTCAGAGCATTACAACCTGATTGAAACACCAGGCTAGGATAATGAACATGAAAATAATGTATCTATTCAACGTAGAAAATGGATTTATCGAGATAATTAGTAATTTATGCATCATTCCTAGACACAAGAAATAGAGTTCATTGGTAGCATCCCTAGAATAGAACTCGTTTTATGAAAGGCATACGTAAATTGTGTCATTTAGGGGTGACTGATACAGAAATATACAGATTTGATGAGCCAACATACGTACCTAGGTAGTAGCTAGGTACAAAAAGTAATTACTGTAGATCATTAGCCAATAGTTCCTAGTGAACTTCGGATTACCGGCATCATGGGTGAGAATTAACCAACCAATATCGTCCTTGGGATATCCAGAGTCGTATAGTAACAGTCGCAGTACTTAAGTATCACCTTGGGACTTCTTTTTACAACATCTCAATCAATCAATCACTTAAAGCCTCGAAATCTGCCCGGATTGATGAACATATCCCATCAACAAATGACTGCTCCTCTTCTAGCGGCATGTCCAAGGCCCCGGCTTGCCAGCTGACCGTGCACATCAAGCTACCCCCTTTAACACTAATAATGTTAAACACAAGCGGCGCACTGGGAACATTACCAGGCTGGGTGAAGACCATCTTGCTAATTCTGTACTTCTGATCTTCACTTCCATCCATATCATTGAAGGCAAGAAGATTGCTCAATTCATACGATGAGTCCCGCTGCTGGCCGATCTTGCTCAACGTCCACTTCCTGATTCCAGGCACGTATCTCAACAATCCAATTGCCTGGTCTTGAAGTGTGGCTGCACATGCAGCAATGTTCTTCGTCATCGAGCTGGCGGCTACCCACATTTCCTCAGAAAATACAGGACCCGCGTTGGATGGGCGCAGATGAACCTCGTAATATCCAGAAACGAAAAGACCCCAAGTAAGAGCTGGTGTACCAATGGATGCTCGCATATCGACAGGTGTCCCCGAGATAAAATTGGTTACTTCGGGGTTAGGCACGGCCTTGCTCAACGCCCGGATAACCATTTGATGCACCGTTCCGGTAAGTTTGGTATTGTGTTTTCTTGAGATCTGCAACGCATTTTGTACAAGTGGAGCTTCAATCTCGAGAAGACGAACTCTGCTCTTTTCGGTCGCATCTGGATCAAAAAATATTGGCGAGCCAGTCCAAGTACCCGCATCTACTGTGCTGGCTGCGGCGCGGAGACCGAGCATTTTCGCCAAAAACTTTGGCAAATAAACCGCAATCAAGGGTCCCAGGAGGAAGCTCCAAGATATTGGAAGTCTTCCAGGTGTATCGAACGGGTCCGGAAGTGCTCCGCCCGGCGGTGTCACTATGAAAGACGCACTGTCGACACCAGAAGACTGTCGCCATGCGTCCAAAAAGGTGTTATGAAATGACATTCCGACCATACCGTCTCCGAGGGCATGGGAAAATGCAAGGGCAATAAAACAGCGCGTTAAGGTGGGATCAGTCGAGGAGAGAGGGAGAACAACAATTCGCCAAGGCGGTAGGTCAACTGGCCATGGCCGGTCGAGTATGGCTGGCAATGCTCTTTCAATAGTTTCGTTTTCGCCGTCGCTACTATCTTCGGTGTTGGCGATAGACACATGGTCTTCGAGATTTACGCTCGAGCTTGCCTCGTAAAATGGCTTTTCGGTATGCTTATCCTTGACAAGCACGCTGAGATAAGGATACTTTTGGATGCATCGCGTCAGAGGTGGAATAAAAGAACGAGCGGATGTGATGTCTCGAGATCCACTGGGGATTTCATAAATTGCTCCTATCACTAGAGCATGGTAGAAACCAACGTCCTCACGACTGATAGTGCGGCGTTCATTGGGGCCTTATTGGAGGTTAATAAAGTTGATATGTTATGCCTTTGCCTAAAAAGCGTCACTAACTTGCGAACCTTATAGTGGTTGTGTGTTGCGACATTTTGTCCATCGACTCAACCGCGATGCTTAATTTCGTGCATGGATGATCACTGCCACCAGGGGAAGAAAAAGGGGATATATGGGTCTATGAACCGGCATAACTATCTTCCGATGAGCAATTGGGGCGCCATATTACAGAGCCACCGTGTAATGACACCATGGAGATATTGTGTAGCGGTTGATCTTCCGAAGAGGGTCGATAGGCAGATTCTTTCGTAAGAGGCCCCTATTATTGATATTTATGCTCTTCTTTAGGCCTTTCCAAGGACCCGGAAGGTGTGGATTGGGCCGGGGTTGGCGCGGGCCAGAGAAGAAGGGGGGTCCCCATATTTGATTACTGACATTTGCAATACATATGCCATCATGCTCACCGGACGCAGGTTCAGCAAAGAAAAGCTTCTTGCCTGTGCATATGCATTTGAGCAAACCACGTTCGCGGTAAAACAGAACGAGGAAAAGCTACTGATCAAGTCGCATTTTGGTAGCCAGTAGACAATTGTGGAAGTCGACAATAAATGATATGGAAAAGGAAGGAAGTTCAGAGACCAGTCATTCAATTCATAAAATATATATTTCGTCTTCTTATGACATATTAAGCCACAGTTGATGTTGAGCCTCCTTTTGGGAGCAGCGGTAGAAAAAAAGTCTGGCTCGTTGAGTATCTCGGACTTTTCTCCGATGCCCGATCATCGGGTTACCGACCTAAACTGTGCCCTAAAGTTCTGCAAATCACAATACCGAGTGGCGCCATCGGCATCGGCATTACTTCCAGTATACATCAAGAATTTTAATTAGGGATGATCACATACATACAGTAATCCTACAATGCCTCAAAGCAATATTACACAATAAACAGAGATTTTAACTGGGTGTCTCCACCAATTTCGGATGAAATGCCGATCCGCCAAAATGACTCGAATTTTCAAGTAATTTTTTTTAGAAAGATCCATTGGCACTTAAACTGTACCATTTGCACAATTTGGTGATTTAAAGTGCTCTGCGAAAGCTTCAATGATGGCGGCTAAATTAGAGCAGAAAAAGAAATCCTGCACTGCTCGGGAGGTCAATCCTGATCGGCATTTATCACACCCGTTTAATTTTTCTAAGGTACGATATTGAGTTCGGGACTACTAGCTCGGGCTTTTGTTGATGTAACCAAATAGTCTCGAAAGCTTCACGTTGTTGTCGCTGGTGTATATTTTGTGTTTAACAGCTCATTGGGATCTTCCATTGCATCGGGTGCCCATGATGAGATTTCTGAATATTTTCATATTCCAAGCGAAAGTATAGAAATGGTGCTACCGACCTCACTTTATATGGCTGGTTTTGCTATAGGTATGTCAGATGAAGCTCAAATCTATGATCCCAAAAAGGGCCAATCTAAATGACTGTCTAGGTCCTATACTTTTTGGTCCCTTGAGCGAGTATTTCGGGCGAAAGCCAGTCCTTACTATTACATACTCCATATACCTCATCTTCACCATGGCATGTGCGCTAGCACCGAGTTTTCCAGCGCTCTTGATCTTCCGATTCTTTTGCGGATTAGGAGGCTCAGCACCTAACGCCGTGCTGGGTGGTCTATTTTCAGACATCTATGAAGATCCCCACCAACGTGGATTAGCAATGTCCTGGTTCATGTTTGCAACAACATTTCCACCTCTGCTAGGTCCCATCATATCCGGCTTCATCTCAACCATTACTTGGAGGTGGACCTTCTGGGCGGGCCTTCTTATCGCTGCTCCTGGGTTCCCGCTTCTGGTCACAATGCCTGAGACATATGTCCCGGTTTTGCGTGCGAAGAATGGGAAGTCTGACGACGAAAAAGAGACTACGGACCCGAATAATTTAGCTGATCTTCCAGGCGGAGAGTCTTTCTTTGCTAAGATGAGTGTCGTGCTCAGTCGCCCATTCTCGATGTTCTTCCATGAACCGATTGTCTTTTGCTGCTCGATGTACCTCGCGCTTGTGTATGCAATCTTGTATCTGTATTTTCAAGCTTACCCCATCGTTTTTCAAAGTACGTTCTATGCTCATTTCCCTTATCGAACCTGATTCTAACATCTACAGATCTATACGGTCTTTCTGCTGGTGTTTCCGGATTAGGCTTTCTTCCAAGTGAGTCACTTCATCTTCTCCCCAAATATTGTTTCTAACCATTTCTTAGTTCTCCCAGGGTCAATTATGGCATTTGTCGCCTTTTTCCTGTACAGCTCGCATCACAGCAAAGCATTGAAAGCCGGACTCTCCTGGGCCAAATCGGAAGAGTACCGCCGTCTACCTCTCGCATGCATTGGGGCCCCGGCAATTCCTATAGCTCTTTTTTGGCTAGGGTGGTCCTCGAGGCTCTCAATCAACCCAGTCATGCCGATGATGTCAGGAGTGTTCTTCGGGTTCGGTTACTTGTTGATTTTCATTGCGCTCATCAACTATCTCACTGATGCGTACAAGCAATTCTCAGCTTCGGCAGCGGCTGCAGCAAGTACATCTCGATCCATATTTGCTGTTTTCCTGCCTATGGCTACCAACGCCATGTACACAAAACTTGGCATCAACTGGGCAAGCTCGCTGCTGGGGTTCTTTTCAATAGGGATGGCTATTATCCCATTCGTGTTTATTAAAAAGGGTGCTTGGATCCGTGCCAACAGCAGATTTGCTGGAAACCATGTGATTTCTCATCATGTAAACAGGATCTAGATATAGTTATAGATAGCTGTCTCGAAAATAGAAGTATCTGAATGTTAATTACTTATGTGCTTGCATTTTCTGTTTCGAGTCCCGTATCAGGAAAATTCAATGCCATCGATTCGAGAACAGCCAAATTAATCTCTATTTCCTTATAAAGTGTCTTCCAGAATAGCTGACGGAGTTCAATATGCCGTGATTGAAAGAACATGCAAGTTGCCTTCCAGATCCCTAGAATATTCTCTAGCCTGCAGAAATGCATGGCAAAAGGACCTACTTCGGCATCACATCAATCAACAATGCCATAAGGGTGGTCCATCTGTATTCAGATGGATATTATTTTGAAGGACGTTCCAATGATTAAATATTATAGCATCATCATCTGTGATGATCGATAGGAGCTGGACTTAGTTTTATTTAGTAGAGCTTAGAAGCGGGTTGGTAGTCCGTTTGTCATGCGGTCGAGGCTGGATGATTATTCGCCCTAAATTGAAGCTCTACTGAATGAGGGCATGGATGGCCGATTGCGCAACGCACACGAGGAGAATCTAAATCCTTATAAGCGTGGAACCTTAAGATGAATAAAGGTAAGTGTACATAGTAAAGTCGTGCATAGCCTGTTTCAGAAGAGGAGAGTTCTCAGGCCGGTGGAGAAAAGTATTCATTTGAAGAAGTGCGTCCCCAGATATGGAGTTCATCTTATATACCTTTAGAGGGTCTAGCCCCTTAATATACTAGTAGGTAAGATGTTAGCATGCAGGCACCAACTGTCTGTAGGTCTTCTGCACCCTAGATAGAAGATTGAGATCTAGAGTATTACTAGGACCACGGAACTAGACGATGAAGACATTTGTGTCATCGCTAAGTTGAACATTGTAGCTCTGTGCGCCTAGCAAGGGGGTCAGTTTTATGGATTCGCCGTTAGCAATGATAGTAAGTAAATCGTCGCAGATCTTCTTCGTAATTAGAGTATATCTTTCAAAGAAACTTTGCAGTTGAAAGTTTGATACAACATTCACATTGGCCGAGGCTTAACTGAAACAGTTCGTGGAGATCATACAAGGGCGATGGAATATGAAGATATGAATATTGTATTGCGGACGGAGGAGAGAAGGAGAGAGAGAGAGAGAGCGAGAGATATCTATCTATCTACTCCATGGGAGACTATCCCAATGTGGGATGTCACCTGACATCCCCAACAACAGTGCACTCAAATCTTGATATATTTTGGAGCATAAACGATTTCAGAATACGAGAGGGCAAAAAATGAGTATAATGTGGCCTATTAATGATCACTTTCATGGGAAGAGAAAAAGGGAAAGAAATGGTGGGGGAGAAAAATAAGGCTTGATGAAGGGGGGTGCTTCGGGCAGCCACAGGTAACATAGATATGTATATTAGTCAAATTGTTTTATGATGTATCTTTGAATCTAGTTTAAACTCAATGAAAATCACATTTGGTTTAAGAACTATCACCGAAAGTTCGCATAGATGGGATAATGAGAATCTTTTGTTGTGCCGGCCACAACATCATACCATTGAATTTCATTGTGCAAGAAAATATATCACCATCATCGAATATACGTCAAAAGCTCGAATTTGCAGTTGCCCAGCGGCAGGGACGACTTACCGACAAGAGTAAATCTACAAATTATGGTCCGAGGTACGCGACGTAATTTAGATTTGAAGTTACAGCTACTTCATTTACTGGAGAGGGATTTTTTATGTTATTCTGAGATAAGTCTCATTGTTTGCTTAATCAGTGGTATCTAGTAACATGATTCGTTTGCTTCATATCAAAATGTGGAGCCAAGACCGCCGCCTCTTTAGTTCTTAGCGGCTTCTGGAGAATTGTTAGCGCTATTCAAGACAGATCAACAGGATTTAAAGGTTTATTACCCTTGTGGACATCGGCCTTGGTATCGTGGGACACCTCGTCTTTCTTGTCGAAAACAGCGTCCTTGGCAGCGGAGGCTCGGCTACCCAGGCTGGCGTCGCTGTCCTTGGCGACACCCTTGTTGGCCTCCTTTGAAGCTGTGGCACCAGTGCCCTGGATGGTCTCAGAGACGTATTGGCCGGCGTTCTCGACAGTGTTCTAGGGAACATGTTAGGGCTTGATGGAGTTGAGAATTAATGGAAGTTGCGAACCTTGACAGACTCCATGTTGATGGTTATTTGATAAAGTGTTTGGAAGTGTGATAATTTGAAGAGTTGGACTGTGATGGTTGATGAAAATATGGATCGCAGGAGAAGAGAGGGCTTTTTATATTCAATTGGCTGGTCATCTGCACCAGTTGGGTATTACATCATAGTTACATGTAATTAATTGCCGAGGCAAATAACTTGAAGACGTTGGAACTCAAAACAAACCACAGGCTATGTCACAGTGACTTTCAAGATTGATAAAGTGGAAAGGACAGGGAGTCAACTTGTGAACTTGAAAGCAGATAGTGTTTGATACCCGCATCCCCACTTTATCCCGCATATTCCAGGTTTTTGGAGATAAATTGACCAATGAGAGGCTCCCCTAGGATCCATTATGACGACGAAGCAGATCATGGCCCTCTTAACGTTTCGCAGTGCAAGGTTGGAGATCATCTGCATCTGATCGCGTGGTCCTTTGTTCTAGGCACTGTAGCTTTTGCCCCCATTTTTGAAGCTAAAATGTGATTCCATCACTGACCAAAAACGACGTCATATCTTTCTGTGGTATTTTTGTCAAACAGTCTTAAACATGAAATTCACACTTGATATGGCCCACTGTAACAATTATTAATGGGTAAATTGATTAACTAATTCGCTCTAGAGCGTCATGAATGTGTCATAATAATAATCAAGCACATCTATCATATACCATCAAAACGAGAATATTCCCGGCCTTCCCCGCTAGAATTAAGTCCAGGCCGGCATCCCAGAATCGCGCAAGCCCACAACATGACAAATAACCTATAATGAGTCCCTCAGCAGGAAGACCTCAAAATTCACCGGCCGGCCCAGAACGGAGGGAACACCTCGAACGAAACCGCGTCGCTGCAAACAAATATCGACAAAAGAAGAAGAAAGAGCACGAGCAAATCGATCACAAACTACATGATGAAGCAGAAAAGAGGGAATTGCTCTTGTCGGAGGTCCAAATCCTTCAAAAGGAGGTCTGGGAGCTCAGAAATCTGATCTTCCAGCATGTTAGGTGCGACCACAACCTCGGCTCATTACCTCCAAGAATAGGCCACACTAGTTCAAACGACCTGAGCAACTCCAGTCAACCAAATCAACCAAATCGCGGAACACGGTCGTCTCCGACGCAATGATATACATGTTATCTCAACACATCGGTGGACGATTTGCTTCCGGTGTTGAACAGTCATTGTTTTTGCTTGGACAAGTGCTAGCGTGTTACTTGGGAGTTTACGATGCCAAGTGACCGAGCACTATATAATTTATGACCCAAATTTGGCACAAGCCTATGCTTCACATTCATTGATGGAAGATTGGAGTTATAACTTTATTTTTATGAGTCTCGCAATACCGGCGTTGGTTTCGGGTTATGTATAATAACAATGCGGCGTTTGAAATACCCCAGGAGATACCTGGTCTCCCAGTTTCAACATATACCCTAAATCCTATGAATGTACAGCTGCATGACAAGTCAGTCTGCGACGTATTATTTCCAATACTAATAGACCTATCGGTAGGCCCACACCCTCAGCCAATCTCACCCTCGGTCAATTTGAACGCTTTCGATCGAACTTCACTGAGAGACTACTAACATATTTCATAAGCGGGCTACGTACATAAGCGATCTGCATAGTCCAAAGCACATATCAAATGCGATAAACTACATTCCGTTATACCAAAATCAGTAGCCTAGATACACTTCCCTTTATATGGATATGGATGCCTTGTAGGTATGTGGAAATAGTGAGTGAGATATATTGATATATGTATATATTCTTTTCACGTTTACCCACGTCATTTTTTGTATCACAACAAGATCTGTTTTCATTTGATTTGAATAAAAACATACTGTTAAAGACGCTTATCGATTTCGGTCGGCAAGTAATGGATGGAGTAAACAAAGAGTGTGATTGTTGAACCATGGCCATTTGATATCTCACATTTACAATATGTTTTGGACCGCGCTTGTGTGCGTAGCCCGCTTCTGAACCACGTTGTAGATTTTTAGCTACAAAATAATCCTTCTTGAATTTTCTTAGTCATCCTTGTGTCTCAATGATCATCTAGCCATCTTACCATGACCAATGGGCGGCTGTTTCACCTTCAGCAAGATTGTCACCTAATGCAATATACATATTTTGAGTATCTTTTGTGTGTGTCTTACATATGGAATATACTCAAAAGTACATATTAAACATCCTCGAATATCTAATCATACAGATTCTAATAGAGTAATCAAATTATCCTAGAATGTTGAAGTAGAATTCTTATTGTCTTTTAATGCTTTAAATATCGATTTTATTCGAATGTGGAAATATGCTTCAATATTTCATTTTGGAGGGTCGGAAAAAGCCTCCGAAAACTATCTACTTATGAGAACTATGATACTGCTTATTTATATACTCCAGAAGTATTATAATGAGCATTGTAGTATAATAAAAATAATTATAGCTGAATCCATATACATCTATCTACCTTACATTATAAGATATTCGAGGATGCTTGGTATGTACTTTTAAGTACCTTTTATATGTAAGCCAAATACAAAGGATACTTATAATATGTATATTGAATTAGGTGACAATCTTACAAAAGGTGAAACAGACCAATGCGCGGTCGCGCGCATTGGTCATATGGTAAGACGGCTATGCCCTCTATCCTCCTTGAATGATCGACATCCGTATCTCTGGCATAAACCCGAAGATCGGGGCCCGCATAGCACGATTTGAGGCGCAGAGACCTTTGGCGCACTAAGCTCGATTTCCGGGGACATCTACTTAATACTTACTATAAATCAACGTTAGATGTCAAAAAGACATATCTATAATATCTATAATATCTATAATACTCATAATACATACAATACAAATTAAAAAACCGAAAGTACAATCTGCCCCCCATGGCGGCCCAAAGCCGCCTCCACGCCATGCCTCCTGTACCGAGATGTACCTACATGCAACCTCATACGCGGCATTCCGCCTTTCCCCTCTTTTCCCATGCCCTCGAATTCCACTACACCTCTCCAGCTTTAGCGCTGGCGCTAGTTTTCGAAATAAAACCTGCTGTCAACATGGATAAACAGGCTGACGATATTGCAGTGGTAAGTGTTGCTTTTTTGGTATTGGCGTTTTTCTCATCGCGTTTAGGATCCCAACTTACACTCTATGGGGGATGGCCTAGACTTGGACGATTTCCAGTCGTGAGAGACTACCAACCCTATATAACTATCTCTGTTGTCATATTCTCACCCTATTTCATAGGGAGACTACCTCTATCGCGTCGACGATCGCAAAAGGAAGGTTAGAGAATGGTCGAAGGTCAGTGCACTTGAATTTTGAGCCCTATAGGGTCGCTCCAATGACTAACTTAAGGCAAAGGTATCAGGCAATAAAAGAAGATGACTATTGGTTGGTCGTGGCTTGCATATGTCAGAGAATCTTAATTTGACCCAAGTATAGGGGTCCTTCTGATGAACAGCAATTCGAGGCCTTTGAGATTAGGTATATTGTACCACCGCACTATCTTTATTTTTCTCTCGCTAGAAAAGTCGCTGTCATACTAACACACCAAGTCATATATTATTTCTCGTGCTCGAGTACCAGCAAACAAATCCTCTTTTTCGCGCTCCTATAGGCGACTCACCCAAGGTATGTCTATGATGATGCAACCTCTCTGCTTGACCATTTGCTGACCATAACATAGCATATTTTGGATATCGGAACCGGAAAAGGAAGCTGGGCCTTGTAAGCTGACGACAATTTAAGATCATAAATGCATCTGACAATTCCACAGCGACGTTGCCGATTTCTATCCATCAGGTAAAAAATTCATTGAAGCGAGGCATTCCCTTTTTGTTGAACTGACACACATAGCGACCGTCCGCGGCGTGGACATATTCCCCCCACCAGTGACCTGGGTGCCCCCTAACTGCGTGTTCGAGGTAGACGATGTGCTCCGCGAGTGGACATGGCGAGACCCGTTCGACTTTATTCACTTGCGCATGATGTATGGTGCATTCGATTCCAGCGGGTGGAACCAGGTCTACAAGCAGGCGTACGAGTGAGTCTCAAGTCTCATTTCTTGCCTAGCTGACATTCGAAATTCATAATTTATTTCTTGTCGTCTACTATAGTGCCCTCGAACCGGGTGGTTGGATCGAGCAAATGGAGCTAGACATACGAGTCTACAGCGACGACGGGACTTTGAAGAAAGACAGCCTTCTCGCTGGATGGGGCGATCTCTTTATTAGATGCTCTGAGCGAGCAGGGCGGTCACTGACAACACAGCAAACGATGCGCGGCGCGATAGAGAGGGCTGGGTTTGTCGATGCTCACGAGAAGCTATACAAGATACCGCTGGGCCCCTGGGCCAGAGATAAGGTACTCAAGGAGGTTGGGCAATTGCAGTATGCGCACTGGAGCGCTGCCATACATGGCTGGGCGATGTGGCTTCTCACTAGGTTTGGGGAACCGGAACCGTGGACGAAGGATGAGGTTGAGATCTATCTCGCTGGAGTGCGATTGGAGTTGAAGAACCCTCGCACGCATGCGTATGGTTATGGGTGAGGTTTCTTCGTATTCAGCTGCTCTGAATTGCTTCGCTGATGATATTTAGGCGGCGTGTTTGGGCGAGGAAGCCGGAGGTCAAGACCGAGCTATCACCCTAAAAGTATGTTTCATTTTCCAGCACTGGTTTGATTGCTGTGGGTGGATTGGCTGAGATTCCGAAGGGAACTAGCGAGGGATGGGAAATTTCTTTTGGCAGGGTTTGCAGGCACACTCTCGGGCGGAGGTATTATCCACATCATAATCGTGAAAGTCAATCTATTAATTCGCTAAGGAAATCTATCGTGTGAAACAACAAACAAACGGAAAAAAGTAACAGTTACAGCAGCAAGAACCATAGACAAGAACAAAAAGAAAATCAAATCCGAGATCCACGGAAGTCCATATACTCAACACCCTTGGCTTTCAGATCATCGAGCACATTGTATTCCATGATCCACTTCATGCGCTCCATCAGCACATCCGGGTTAAAGCTCTCGCTCAACTGATCCGGTTCATCCGAACTAGCAAGCTTGCCAGCCTCAAAGCTAGTCCTGGTGACCCGATCGGTACGGGGCTTGCGCAGATCCTGATAAAACTGGAAGGCAGTCTTGAGGTCGTCGTTTTTCCAGTGTGCAAGGATGGTAGCTAGCGCAATGCCGGACTCGATAGCCATGCAGACACCCTGTCCTATAATATAACGCGATGTCAGCTCTGTGAAGAATAGGTACATGGTATAAATTTACCCTGATGAGGGAGCGTCGAGTGAACCGCATCGCCCAGAAGAACAATTCCCGCGTTCTTTGCATTGTTCATTTCATACCATTTTGCGAGTGGATCGCGGACATACAGTGCCTGTTTCATCATCCGGCCATCTGGCGAGCCGAGCTCCAAACCTTTGATAATATCCTGCACCTGCGGGCACCAATCCCGCACATGCTCGTGGAGGGTACTGATCTCCGCGCGGGCCATCCAGTTTTCCGAGTCCCAGCTGTCCAGGGACTCGGTCATGAATCCAATAACGCCGACGCGATCGGTTTGCGTAGCCGGGTTGCCGATTGGTAGGCAAAGCAGGTGGCGTTTCGGGCCACGGAAGTTCACCACGTTGCGGAGGAGCGTGGCTGTTTCCTCGGGCAGATCTTTGTATTCGACGAAGCCGCGGTAGACGACTTGGCCGGAGTAGGTGGGTGAGTCGGTGTAGCCTAGTTCGCGACGGACCCGGGACTTAATGCCGTCGCATCCTATCACGATATCTGCATCTGCCGTGGTGCCGTCTTCGAAGTAGAGAGTGTACGGTGCATCTGCGGCATTGCGTTCAATGAAGGCTAGGCGCTTCTGCAAGTGCAGTTGGTCTTCAGGTATGGGCTCTTTGAGGGAATCGAGGAGGTGGGCGCGGTGGATCAGACGCGCGTGAGGCTGCGAGAACTCCTCGATGTGTCCGAGATACTCGCCGGACTGGTAGTTGTGGTACTGCATGTAGTACGGCAGCTGAGGGGAAGAGCGACGGACCAGAGACTCCTGGAGGCCAAAGGCGTCGAGGATGCGGTTTGCGTTGGCTGTAATGTCTACGCCAGCGCCGACCTCGCCGAATTGGTGGGCTTGTTCGTAGCACTGGATGTTTTTCAGGCCGGCGTATAGGGCGGCGTTCATGAACGCCATGCCTCCTAGGCCTCCGCCGACGACTACCACTCGTTTGTCTTGGAATCCCATTCCGTGAGAGATGAGAGCTGGTCTGAGTGTGGTCTGGATGTGGAGACAGATGAAAGGAATTGGGTTGTTTGCTTGCTGTATTGTGTGATGTGATTTTTGAGTGCAATGAAGCGCGATGGGACTATTTGTATGTTGGCGACCATCTGCCTGTGTCTCTGGCATACTTCGCTATCCGACCCATTGACCTAGACGCATCTTCGGAGTTTCGAGAAGCGTCATATGTGGGCCTCATCCGAGGCATTAGTGTGGATAGCGGGTCGGATCTCTCCCGGCCGATCACCCATAGATGGAGTCGAGTTGATGCTGTCATATTTGGTCTGGCGATAAAGTTGAAGAACACTGCAAGTGACGGATTGTTTGTTTTTTTTTTCTCATCCGAAGGCTTGCCAAACTTCCGAGCTTATGCAGTTCCACAAATCCGAAAGACTCACGAGTGGTCGGATTGCAAAAGTCCATATGTAAGCAATCTGCCGATATGCCGACTTACCCTATCACCCAATCAATAGGCCATGGATGGTATGTCACGATAATCACAAAATGCGTCAAGCCTTTTCGAGTCACGTCTTAATGATAACAAGCTTTGAGTGGAACTGTATCAATCTGGTTTTCTCGGATGTGCTTCGGCGTTTATGGCCTTAACAGTCGATGTCAACACGACGCTAACTTTGACTGTATTTTATTTTTCACTCCCCCAAACGTTTCTTACTTTGTATGTTGCGGACCCGTTTTCGAGTTGAACAATCAAATGAGAGCCCAAACACAGCAAAACCCCCTTTCCCACCACGTTTCGAAGTTGGAGCCTCGCCCGGTTGCTGCCTGCACTATACCTGACTGGGAAGATAGGTACTTGAGGAGGTAGAGCGGAGTCGCGAGGAATAATTATCAGCCCTCGATTCAATTTAACATATTATCTCTCCAAATTGCTATCTTCACAATGAACTTTGAGTCTAAGAAACAAGCTCGTGAGTATGTCATAAGTCAAATTCCAAATCGGATACAGAGAATTTGTCTCAGCGATCGAGATTCCCTTCACCGGTTTCGCCTCCTTCCTCGCTCTCAGAATATACTCCGGGCGCCACTATGATTATAGGCAAGTTATCTTCCTATTTGAGGTGGGTTATACATACTTAATTTTCTTGGAAGGTCGAGGGTCCGGAAGTTGGGCCCTCCGTGGCGTCTTGGCGGGTCTAAATGGAGGGTCGCAGCTAGGCCTAAGTATAGGTCTTGATCAGTTACGCAATTGGGTTGTAAAGATTACTATTATATGAGTTCTCAGGAGAAGATAATTTCATTGTTGGATTTTTTTTCTCTTACGTCTGCTTGAGTGCTTAGCACTTATGGTAGGTATTTATATACACCAGCCGGATCGTCGAAAGTTCCTTCTCGCAGGTAGGGTGCTCGTACGAGCGGCGGAATACTGATGGTTTTATCTTTGGCACGGGTCGTTATGCACTTATGGTTGGCTTTCTAGATGAATCCTACCATGATTCCGAGGATGGCAAATCTACCGAGGCTTACATCTGCTGGCCTAAGGGACCGAATGAGTCGATGCGTGATATGATTTCGTGCGGTATGCAGTGCAGGAAGGCATTGTGAAATTTAAATTGATACCATAGTCTGAGAACGTTGCCGACGCTCTTATGAAGCCGTTGGGACTCGAGCGGTTCAAGCACCTTCGGCCTCATGATGGCCCGAAATCTCAGTGACGGGTGAATGGGTAATGAGTGAGAGGAGTTTGTGCCGAGCTCATTTGGCCACGCACCTACGGGCCCGAATGGCGGTAGGGCGCGTTCCGTTCAACTACTGCCCAATGAGGCCAATGTAGTTGCTTTTGAGTGAGTTTCAAATGAAAAGGAGGAAATAAGCCAATAGAGGGGGTGGCATTGCAGATTTGCATATGTTTCGTGGGTGTGCTGCGGTAGTCGGGTTGGCACCAAGCTCTGGTAATGTTTATTAGACAACATGTACTACTTTAGTCTCAGATAGTAGCTCATTCCTCCTTTCTCTGGATGGAATCACTTTCATGAGTTTCTCACAACTCAAATTCAACATAAACATGTCTAAGCATCGACTACCAAAAATGTACCCGTACTCTCCTATTGGAGCATGCATTTTTTTCACACCAGTTACGCTGTATAATTTACGCACTCAACGCATCTCCTTTGGCCTCTCGGCTATTTCGCAATCCGATCTGCGATTTGGGATGAAACATACGAAACAATAATTGGCCTACTAATTGCTCTGCCTCCTCCTTGCTGACCACGGTTGTTGTTTTTCTGCAAACCGGTAGCTTCACCGCACTTGTCAGGATATATCTGTCTGTCGTGCATGCCACGCTTCTCGTGTTCCTCTTCTTGCGCAGTCTCACCGCGATTTTAGATGTCGGCTTCACGAACGGAGCTTCCAAATATCGCAGTACCACGCTTGTCGATGTCGGCCTCGCGAACGGAGCTCCCGAATACCGCAGTACCACGCTTATCAATGTCGGCCTCGCGAACGGAGCTCCCAAATATCGCAGTACCACGCTTGCCGATGTCGGCCTCGCGAACGGAGCTTCCAAATATCGCAGTACCACGCTTGTCGATGTCGGCCTCGCGAACGGAGCTCCCGAATACCGCAGTACCACGCTTGTCGATGTCGGCCTCGCGAACGGAGCTCCCAAATATCGCAGTACCACGCTTGTCGATGTCGGCCTCGCGAACGGAGCTCCCGAATACCGCAGTACCACGCTTATCAATGTTGGCCTCGCGAACGGAGCTTCCAAATAGAGCCGATTCACGCTTGGAAGTTTCCAATTCATCGTGAGCTTCGTGGGACACGTCACGTGAGTTCATTGTAGGTGCAGAAACTGCCAGGGTGGCAGACATCATGAGGGTGACCAATGATAGCTTCATGTTGGCGAAAGCAAGCTTGCAGATGGTTTTTGATGAGAAGGCATCACTGAATATTAGAAGAAACCGTGCTTACCAGATGAGATAGATTATCTTGGAGATTGATTGGCTAGAATTGTGATCTAGCTTTAATGACATATCGGCATTCGTAGACTCTTATATACTTCAGACTACCTTAAAACTCCTGGAAGATATTTCGCATAAGTAAGTCGTCATGAATTTGCCCCCTGGATGGCATCATGCAGCTGACCCCTTGCCGGCAGTCCTGGATTGCTCAAACACCACATCATGCTGAGCATGCTACTTAGCTAAGTATGATAGATAGGGCTGAAAGCTACCCGGAACTCTTGGCAGGCGAATTGGGGAATGCTGAGTCCCTTTTTTTCTGCGTTGATTGGACAAAGTAAGGATTAGCATGGTCTTTTACGCTGGAGATAACCCCTATAATGACGCAAATATTGCACATCTGCCCGCTTTATAGCCAATGCCGATCAGAAACTTTCAGGATCTTGAGAATGTGTCGAATTGAATCCTGTCGGTAGATGGGAATGTAGATCGTACTACTGCAGGTCGTCAATCATTGGTCCACTTGTTCTACCACAGCTCCCCCAATGATGCGCACGCATCACAGCGACCGAAATAAACCGAGAGAAAGTCACATCATGCAAGGGTCAATTATACAGACTACGCGTCACATTAACTGGCTAGCTTAGCGGGCTATTGGTTCGTCTGTGTCCATCCCATCCGACCTCCCATACTCGTAAACATGAACTATTTTATGCTTTCTAGCAAGCCATTCCTACCTTTCGATTAAAAAGAATTATTTGACTGGTCAAAAATACAATACTGCACCCTTTGACAACTCTGGAAACGAAGCCAAATTATGGCGGTAATTGATCCCTCCAAAGAACACCTTTATGGACCGATTCACAGCGAAGACATAGACTCAGAATCCCGTAAATTGTCTAGGGACTTTGAACCGAAGATTTGCCAGAAGTCCCATCTTTATCTGATTGCTCCGTGGATTGCCTCCACCCTCTCGCTAGCCCTGATTACGGCTCACCTGCTATTTCAACAAGGAAATGATTCCTGCTATCTATTTACGTCTCCATCAGCCTTCCGAACTGATCTCCGCGATGCACATCCCTACATCGCTTATGAGGAACGTGTGTTCTCTGGGAAGCTTGCATTCAACAAGGAGATAGGCAAGGTTTACCGAGATGTGAACCCATCTGAGCCTCAATATTTCGGACTTCCATCACCTGAGATTGATAATGCCTGGGCTGACTTACTGAGAGGTATGTCTCTTCTTCGATAGTTCGGAAATTTTCGGCCCCAAAGAAGCCACTTTAACATAACGAGGGGACGTTATAGGCGAGTTCGTAACGATGACCGAAGAAGAAGCGGCACCATATACGCCAGAGCTGAAAAAGGACCCTCTTTCCCATCACTACCACTTTGAGTAAGCTGCCACCCAGGTATATCTTTCCGAATTTTCATTCTAACTTTTCTGTCTAATAGACCTGACATGTTCCACTCCCTCCACTGCCTCAATGCAATTCGAATGGAACTCGACATAGACTATTATACAACACATCATCATCACCACGCCGAAGTGGAGGAAGCTATCCAAAACTCTACCAACTTCCCAGATAATTGGGATCGAATTCACCGTGACCATTGCCTAGATCAGCTGCGGCAAGCTATCCAATGCCATGGAGACCTATCGCCGGTTCCTGTATATCATTATAATAATGATATAGTTGGGCTTGGAGTAGGGCAGGCTCACACTTGCCGCAAGTGGGGGCCTATAAGGGAATGGATGGATGCTCGTCAGACGAGTTAGTGTGATATATAGTTTTGAAATGAGAATAGCGAATTTATTTCGAGAAAGAGAGATATATATAATAACCTTCTCAAGAGCCCAAGGACCCTTCTCGCCTCCGAGGCTCTCCTAGTAGCCTCCTGAGGTGCTTAGTAAGGGTTGACATCCCGAGAGATAGGTAATGAGATAGTGAATGGGGATCTTCCGAAGAAATCGCCTATATTTGGATGACTAGTCTACGTCTTTGTGAAACAAATGAAATCTTTATTAAAAGCTTATTTATGAGGCAGCTAGACCTATGGGCATAGAGTGGAAGATAGAATAGAGAAACTAGTTCGGTTGATGATTGATTAAAGAAGGAAGCTGGGGAAAACCTACATGTAACTAGTTAACCAAGGTGGCAGGAATAGCGGCCTGAAACCTCAGGCAAGAAATATATGTCGGAAGCCTGAGAAAGCAGGCCCACTTGTTTGTCGTGTTTGTTCATTATTCAGCAAGTAAATTACACCTATATATAAATTGCCAGAATTAGGGGTAATGGAAACCAGAGTTATTGACATCACCTGATTGGCCAGCACCAAGTTGTATTTCATAATATATCACACGTAGTAAACTTTGTAATCAGCCCTGGAAGAGATCAACTCCGGGCCATGCAGAAGCTACTTCTTATAGTAGTAGATTGCCCTTTTCCTATCCCAGTCGCTCGAACCGAACGCTGCGCTCATCCTAAACTCACCTGAGCGATACCCACCCTACTACTTATCACATTCAAGACATTGCATTGAGTGTGATGGATGGAAGCCTTGATAGAAACAGCAATAAAATTTATTTTAGGGTGAGCGTGGATGATTCGGGTGATATGAGGTATTTAAGGATTGTAACCTATGTGTGTACCAACTAGTGTGGATAAGCACCTCGGCTATTGGTGTGCATTCAACTATCCGGGACTGCCGCCGAAGCGATGTTCTTAGTGCTTCCTACTAATGAGTGGGTATTTGCTAGGCGGATATCTAGTGTTCCTGAACGCTGTGACACCATGCCACATCGAGGCTCAACTTCCGAATCCCGACCTTAGCGCGGAAACGAAAAGTCCGTTCGGCGAACCCTAGCACGGACGGCATGCTATGATAGGTTCTCGCGACGCCATTAATTTGCCTCCTGGGGTGGGAGAACGTTAGTGGAAATATGGTAGCAGTAGTGAGAGTGGGCGCAGAGAATAAATAGGGTACAAAGGCTGCCTGTTTACCCTTCTGCTCGCTGCTGCGCTAATTTGTCGTGTTCGGAGTGTGGAAAACTTGCATCCTGCTACTTTTTCCTTGTTCATTTGGTTTGTTCTATGCCACTGGCCAGTATCTAGAGTTTTTCACCATCGAGATCTGTGTTGTCAGTCAGCCATGCGGGTAACCTCTATCTTGCCGATCGCCTTGGCAGCTTTGCCATGTGCCAATGCCATCACGCTGCACAAGCGGGACGATCCGGCCGTCTTTGAACTCCCGATTGCCCGCAGTGGACGGTCTCAAGCGTTGCAGAAACGCAGCTCCAAAGTCGCTAGCACAGCATTATATAACGTGGTATGACTCATATCTTCAATCCTATCTCATTTATTTCATTCAGTCTGTAGCACGAGACAGAGAGAAAGAGAGAGACAAAGTCTCAATGCAGATTGTACCACTTAACGATAGAACATGTTACTGAGTTCATGGATAGCAAAATATGTACTACATGGTCAACATCACCATCGGCACCCCTGCTCAAAACCTTTCACTTAGTCTCGATACTGGTAGCAGTGATATCTGGGTCAACGTCCCAAATTCCACCTACTGTGCGGCAGATGATGATCCCTGCTCTTCGACTGGCATTTTCAATCCAAAGGACTCTTCCACCTTCAAATTGCTAGATTACGAGATGAACGCCACCTATGTCAGTGGATTTTTGGCGGCAGGTCCCTATGCCACTGATACGCTGGCGATTGGGGGTGCGTCGGTGAAAAATGCGCAGTTTGCAGTGGCTGAAAAAAGTCGAAATCCACGTAAGTATATGGACCTTTGATCTTTCCAAAGAGGAAAGAATATGGGCTAACGGATCATGTACAGATGGTATTCTGGGAATTGGATATGCGTTGGGTACTTACGCCGGCGCCAACCTCGGCAAGAAATACAATAACCTTCCGGAAGCGCTAGTAAATAGCGGTGCTATCAAATCGGCCGCCTATAGCCTGTGGTTGAATAAATTCGATGGCACTGGAAACCTTCTCTTTGGAGGTGTCAACAAAGCGAGATATGAAGGCGAGCTGCAAACAGTGCCTGTTGTGAAATTATATGACAACTATTATTCGCTTACCATCGCCTTGACAGATATTTCTGTGAAGAGCACCAGTGGCACTGAGAGTTATACAACCGGTCTTCCCTTAGCTGTCACCTTGGACAACGGAAGCGCTTTCATCACGCTGCCCAAAGAGCTGGTGGACCCTATATACAAGGAAGTAGGTGCGGGTTATTCCTCAACCGACGGCGCTGCCTACATTCCCTGCGACATGTATAAGGCAGATTATAATGTGACCTTTAGCTTCTCGGGCGCCAAGGTCAAGATTCCCATCAGCGAACTAGTTTTTAAGGATTACGCCTACCCCGATTTCCCCGACGATAACTGTATCTTCGGACTTTCCTACAGTGAACCCGGAGTGAATCTGATGGGTGATCCCTTCTTGCGTGGTGCCTATGTGGTCTATGATCTTGCCAATAACGAGATTTCGCTTGCGAACACAAACTACGACGGGGGTGATGATGATATTCTCGAGATCGGCACGGGAACAGCTGCGGTACCGGGCGCGACGCTGATGCCCTCGGCAGTCACATCGGCAACGGGTAATGGTCCCAGTGAACCCACCGCGGCCTCGGGGTCTTCGGGATCCCAGTCGGGTGGAACCACATCATATGTCACCAGTATTGCGACTGGAACGGCTAAGAGTGGTGACGCTTCTAGCACCTCCTCCAAGGGAATGGCAGCGTTGCCCACCAGCAAGCCGAACCACCTTCTGCCAGGTCTTTTGGGCGCTGGCTTACTGTTGGCACTGTAGGTTACTAGCCAGTAATTGATGTACTGGACGTCCTTTTTGATTGATGTATCTATATTGACATCTCTATCTGTATATAATGGACCTGGCAGCTGGACTTGGAAATTTTCTGACTTTCTGTTGTATGAGAACATTCTCGTCCGCAGACATCGCAGATGGAAAATCGAAAATCACGGTCTGTCTAAATTAGCACTAAGATTAATGACAATACAACTCGATCACGGAATAGGTATTAGCGTAGATCACCGTAGCTGTTGCCGATATTCCTTCCCTAATATAGGATTGTCTGCTTGAGAACAACGCACCCCTTCTCTACATGGTAGTCAAGCATGTAGGTGAAAAGCGACACTAGGTACTATTCTCGGGCTCAACAGCGGCAGTACCTGTGATGGAGGTGGCAATTTCATCTGAGAAAATAATATTAGTTCGTGTCTCGATACCTCACGGGTGAGAGTGAGCAATCCCTGGTCGATCGTGCCGCGGGAGATCGTTCTTGTGATGAAGTCCCATTTCCCAGTAAGACGAGTGTCTGAGAGCGACAAAATTGCCAGTTAGAGGACTTACTGCTCTCTAACTTGGTCGAATCGTCGGCAGAGGGCGTTTTTTAGGTTTCTTTCGCCTCGTGCTTGAACGTATAATGTAAAATGTATGCTATTCCATGCATCGAATTCACATACATCCCCACCCAACAAAAGAAGTTAATTACCCATGGAATTTACATCATGATCGAAAAATTACAAAAAAACATACAACAGTGAGGATTCGCTGGTGGTCACCCACCCAACTACTAACTCACCGGCGTGTGGCTTAAGTACGGCTGAGCGGACGGGAAGCCCTGTTTTCCACACCCTATGGTCGTATGTACTTTTTACTGCTCTGCGTAGATATCTATACGTATGAAGATGTTAATTAAATGAAAAAAGGGTTCATAGATAGGGCGAGAGTCCAAGTGAGGGATGTGTAATTCCTGTTTGGAACTTAGTCTATCAACCGATACCAAAGACTAGAAGACTACCTAGAAATTATTACTATAAGAATTATGTCCAATAAGATGCCATCACAGAAAGTGTCGCATTATTGCATAGACAGACAAAGGAGCTGAGCCTGCAAATGAGGTTCCACTTCGCGCATCGTCAATACCCGTTATGCAAAAGATACGTGCGAGGATAGACTCCATCAAGGATAGCCCTCCTGCAGAACGCCGATGCAGATGCCGACTAATTGAGGCGGAATGCAAGATCTAACATAACAGGAGCGTCATTCTCTCTCAGTCTTTCTTGATGTTCAATATTCAAGATTTACTGATCATGCGTCAGCTTGGCCTCAACTGATCATCAGCCTACTCATCCCCTGTCGCACAACGGGAAGCTACGATCGCCCATCGATTTACTGGTGATCTATATGCCCTGTTTTCTAATATACAAGCACATACGACCATAGGGTGTGGAAAACAGGGCTTCCCGTCCGCTCAGCCGTACTTAAGCCACACGCCGGTGAGTTAGTAGTTGGGTGGGTGACCACCAGCGAATCCTCACTGTTGTATGTTTTTTTGTAATTTTTCGATCATGATGTAAATTCCATGGGTAATTAACTTCTATGTTAGTTAGGTGGGGATGTATCTGACTGAACCCAGTATACATACCGCTTGAAATCAAGGCAAAAGACCAAAGGAATATGATCCTTATGATCCTTCCAAGGAGCTTTAATTATACTGAAACAAAAGGCCATTTATTAAGGCTTGCGACTTAAAGCTCGAGATTCAAGATAAGGTGCTTGCTGGGACGATCGTTTTTCGAAATTAAGAAACTTGAAAATGACAAAAACAGGTTAGGGAAAAAGTTAGTTTCTAAAGGTTCTTAAGCAGGGGGAAGGAGGGAAATGAAGTTAAATTGATGCTCAATCCAATGACCAGAACTACCAGACACATATAAACCCCGAGATAGTGTCAATCAAAGTGGTGCAAATGTATGAAATTGCATAAAACTCTGATACGTCCGAAATATCAGCTCATTCAAGCGTCTCGGACATGGCAAACGGGTCTGGCTATTCGGCCTAATAGGCACCCCCTTCGCTGCAATATCATTTTCAGGATCAAAAAGTTCAGGATATGTCCCGAAGAATGAAGGATCAAGCTTGTACTGAGAGACGCCGTGATCCATATTCAACAGTTTGAACACCGCCTGGGCACACTCCGCAACAGAAAACAGTGATGCAACATCAGGCGCTGGAAGAATAGTGGATGGATCAATATCTTTAGTGCCCAATGCAGCTGCGCCTTCGGCGACATCAGTCACCCGCACGTAGACGGTTGTCTGCGGGGCACCGAAGACTAAATCTGCCATGCTGGCTTCGACAACGTAGCTGCTGACTATGTCGACGAATATTTGGTCGATTTGGGGATTTGCGGCGTGTAGCCGAATCAATCGATCCCTCAGCGCTGGGAATGGTGTCCAGTCGATTATTGCTGGATACTGGTGTTGTAGTTGTGACATTGTTGGTCGATATTGGGGGCAAATTCGCGTCAGCAATTCTGGGCATGGATATAGCTGCCAAGCAGTCAGGTCGACGATATGGTAGAATCTTGTTTTCGCATACCATGCCATAGCGGCTGGTCGTGTGAGGCTGTTGAAAAGTGCGAGGACAGCCAGGACTTGGCGGTAAAGACTACAAAAGTGTTAGCTAAAGAGTGAAAGCCCTTTGAACGAGCGAGTGTACCTTTCTTGTTGTTGGTACTTTCCTCCAATTTGCCCGATACTTGTTTTCATGAGGTCTCGGAGAGTGAATATATGATCAGAAAACGGTGAATTTGTTTCAACCCAGGGTTTTCCTAGAATCAGGCTTGAAGATGAGCTTTCAGAAAGAGCTTTTGTGTATGGTTGCAGGCCCATCTGGTACTCATGGCTCCAAATATTTGGTATTTGTGGAAATAGGCAGTTGATATCGTCTGGCACGCTTTGCCAGTCAAAGGCTTGACATGATGCAACTAGTCCTGGAGATACCCGAGAATTATTGGGCATCGATGGAGTCATCGTAAAGGGCTCGAATGGCACTAATAGTTCATTTGCGCTAGGCAATGAGCAAATAGTGGGATCGAGAGTCTTGTGCGCGGTAGTACTATCTAGAGAACGCCCGCTGGAATCCGGCAAGAGGCCTACCTCAATAATGTTTTTCGTCTCTGCGGCCGGACATTCATGTAATGCGTTTGATAACGAGCCAGCCAATGTTTGCAACGTCTCGGTCAACCTAGTCAATTTCGACTGCACATCGACTAGTTGTTTGCGTAGATAATGATTTTCATTCCGTAATTTTTCAAATGCTTGGTCTTGTGATACATTGCCAAACTCAGCGCAATTTTGAAGTTCTCTCACTTTCTCGGCTTGTCTGAGCCGATATGCTCGCTGTGATAAACGATTGCGAGCTCTTCTACTTCATGATCAATAAAGTTTCCTCACATTCCATAGTCCACGAGGGCTGCACTCACCTTTTAACTGGATCTTCACCCCTTTTGTTAGATTCATTATTGGCGCTTTGCATGGTTGAAGCTCACAGTACTATAGAACTTTTGTTGACAGGGAAATTCTTGTGGGCGGATGTATGTTAGAAGAGGAGGGAGGGCCACTGGTGGATCAACCTTGGAAGTGGTGATTAAGGTTTGACATGTTTTATTTTGATTGGCCAGTTTTACTACTCTCACGCCCTTCGGTAATGTGTTTGTATCAACGTATTGAAATTACCCAGCCAACAACATCACGTCAAACGGATCAGGCCTTGCAAGAAATTTTAGATAAGCAGAGCTTCTGAGAGCATCTGGGACTTGTTTTCAATCTATGTACGAAGTGATCACAAGTCTCTCTGAACAAATTCATAGGGCCAAATCAGTTAGATATATATATACTTAGTGAGATAGAGCCTCACAGACGAGGACTCTTATTCAGTAGACAGGGGTATGTCCACATAATCACTATCAAGGAAAGCCTGCAGAACTTGGAGATCTCCCTCAAGTTGCCTTGTATCACCTCCAAACCCAAGACGAATATATCCGGGGAACCGAATGCCATCCCCGAAGCATTTTCGACCAGGAACAAGTAGAAGCTTTTTCTTGTTCAGCAATCTCGTACATAACTCCAAGTCGTCGACTGGCTGACCATCTCTCTTGAATTTGATAAATCCAATCGGCGCTCCCACAGGTTTCACCCACTCACAACTTGAGCTATTTTTGTCAATGAAGGACTGAATCAAGCTCACATTTCTTTCTGCCAGTGAGCGATTCTTTTCCATCAACACTTGTGCGCACGGAGGACTGAGGATGAGCGATGCAATATGTTCATCAACTTGACTGGCAGTAATAAGTGCATAGGATCGAGCGTTTACGCAGAGATCAATGACGTTGGAATTATGCGAAGCAATCCACCCGATTCTGAGTCCAGCTGCGGAGTATACCTTTGACAAAGAGCTTGTGGCAATGGTATTTTCGTAGCCCATTGATAGGATTGACGGTGGGTACGCGGGATCTGTTGGCGAGATGGAGTGGAAGAGTGGGCGATACACCTCATCGCTGAAGACGATTATGGAATGGGTTCTTGCGATCTCCACAATCTCTTTGAGAGTTTGATTTGGAATGATCGCTCCAGTTGGATTCTGTGGATTGCTGGAAATCATCAATGTCCGAAAGTCGTCGTTGGGATAAGAATGCGTAGCAATAACTCACCTGATGATAATCATTTTCGTATTCGGTTGGACCAATTCTTTGAGTTCATCTAAATCAAGTTTCCAGCCATCATGCTCCTTGGAATTCCAAAAGCTCACTTCTGCCCCGAAACATTTCGGAAGAGCATATAACTGTTGATATGTAGGGTATTGCACGATCACATGATCTCCTGGTCCAAGTAGAGCGAACAAAACAAGAAAGTTTGCCAATGATGCTCCAGGCGTAGTCACAATGCTCTCTGTCGAAAGTTGACTAGACGATTCTTTCGAGTAATAATCGGATATCTTGGAGAGCAAATCTTCAGACCCTTTCATGGGGCCATAGTCGAGTGGCTTTGAAATGATAGGAGACAATATGTCAACATCTGTGCCAGATCCAGATTCTTGTTGCAGGTCACCGATTGATCTTGGAAGACAGTAAGAGTGACCCAGGTTGTGTTCCACGGAATTTGTGTTAGACAAGAGCCACTAGATGATGAATTAGTGTTGATCGTTGCGTTATTGGATATTCATTTGACAAACATGATCAACTTCGAAGTTATCAAGTTTCACCATTTTGGGTTGAGCAGTTGGGTTACAGACAAATGTGGTTCTGTAGAAAGAGATTGGGTTCGAGCCATCTCTATATAGATAAAAGTATGAGTCACAACACTTATCTCGAGTCTCGTGCACATGCAATACAGGTTGATTTCGTATTCGAGCCAGTTAGGTGATTGGGCGGTTACGTTGCTCCAAACCCGAGGTCTCCGTTGTTAATTACGTGAGCGGTTACGTGAGTGAACGGTTACATCAGCGAATAACTGTTTAAGACGACCCGCTTAATTCTTCAGGAGCCGCTCTTGATTGGTCGAAGGGAAAAAAATCATATCTCCGATTCCAGAACATCATCAAACCATACATCGATAGGTCATGGTAATTCGGTATATAAAGTTGAGTATGGTGAATTCTTTTGATCAAAAGCAAACTTCGAGTTCCTAATCAACACTCATTGTCCCAGTCTATTGTCATATCTTCTGTTCTGAGAGGAAGCTCTAGCACACTACCCAAATGCGTGAACCTACTTCGAGGAGGAACCTTGCTCATCCCCGGGGAAAGTGACAAGGTCTTACCTAAAATCGCCGATGTTTTTGATCGAAGGAGACAGTATCTCTAGAATTGAAGCCTTAATTTCGGTCCCTGCTGGGTGTGTTGCCATAGATTGTACGGACAAGATCATCTCGCCCGGCTTTTTTGATACACACCATCATGTCTGGCAGTCGCTATTGAAAGGGTTCTTAGGAGACACGGCCCTGCTCCCATATCTAGCGATTGGTTAGTTTGCCACATCCCATGAACCTGCCCGTACGGCCATTGTCACGGATTACACAGTTGTTGCGGCCGGGTTAGACCTCAAAAGCCGAAGACATGTTTTGGGCCAATTTGGCGGGAATCATGGAGTCCATCGATGCCGGAACTACGACCGCCCTGGATCATGCTCATATGAACTGGTCCAAAGATTTCAGTCAGCGAAAAACTATGTTGACAATGGCCAAGAAACTAAAAATGGATTTCGAAGGTCGATATGCCATCGCAGGCATCATCTCATCCGCCATCCGCTCATCTCCGGATATACCCTCGTGTCTATCATCAAGAACACACATCCCAAGATTGAATACGGGTCCGAACCACTACCAGCCTGAGTAATGGAGAATTTTGAAAAGCTTGCTACTTCTCACTCACTGAATGACCCTGAATCTCGTATCCAGCTGGGATTCGGATTTGACTTCTACCATATCCCCAAATAAATTATCCTGGGTGTTTTTGAGAAGGTCAAGTCCCTGGGAACGAGGATTATCACATCACACTTCGTACAAAATTTCATCCGTGGCACCGAAAGCCTTCCCGTCTTGTTGAAGTTATATGGCCTTCTCCAAAAGAGCATGGTTATTTCATACGTAGGCGGAGCGACCGCACAGGACGTAAAGATGATAAATGATGGAAATTGCTTTGTTTCCGCAACACCAAATACCGAGCTTGCCATGGCCGCTGGACGTCCTGTTTGCTTCCGCCCCGATCTCCCCAGTATTGAGCTGGAGTTGACTGTCATTCCGCTACAAGTGGCAGTGTGACCAACGAGATGTGCACGACGTTGCAAACAGCCAGGTGCGTGGAAAGTCAGTTTCACGTGAGCAACGGTCACTGGCTAAGAGGAGTGCCTTACATGACCGCGGATGCGTTTATGATGGGAACGCTTCGAGGCGCCCGGGCACTCTGCATGGAGAAAGATATTAGTAGTATTGAAGTTGGGAAAAAGGCAGATCTGATGATTTTTGATGCTCTTAGCCCGGCGATGGCGTGTGCCGCACAGCATGATCCTGTCATGGCTATTGTCCCTCCTTCGACCATACGGGATATCAATCCTGTGTTGGTGGACGGCGAAGTAAGAAAAAAAAAACAGCAGGCTTTGTCCTGTTAACTCGACTGTTTGGAATGATGGGGAAGGATTCTCAGATACAGGTGGTGTTTCGTGTTGGCAGGATGTGGCAGAAAAGATTCTTGCCATACAGAAGAGGCTTGAACTGAGCATGCCAAGGCCTCTGCTTCTGAAGATTGAAGATCATGTTCGGGTTTATATGGTCACTAAAACAGTTCCACCAAGTTGTAATATAAAGCAAGTAAAAACGAAGTTTGGTGGAAGATTAACAAAACCATAAAAGATGTACCCCTATCTCAAGTGTTTCATGAGCAATTACAAGCACGTCAAGTCTGCATAATTTGTGAACAGAGATATGCGAATGCAGCACGCAGGTAGCCTCGATGGTATCCTAATTTTTCGACTCTTTGCACAGAGATGTGAGATGAAGACATATTGTCCCATTGCTGATAGTGTCCTCACCCGTGGTAGCTCTGCAAAAGACTGTTATAAAAGGCGCCATTATATACCTAATTGGATGAATGATTATGTAGACTTAATTTGGACTCTTTGATTTCTTCAATTTTGTGATAGCCGAACTACCATTTGGAATAAGCGATTTGCATATCAATTGGAACTATGGCAGTTCTGTTTGGTCACTTACCATGTTCGAAATCACATGCTTTTAACAAATCCATGTTGTGGCCCGAGATCCAAACTTCTCCTGGAGTCAATACCGATATCCATGCCATTATCTTCTCACGCGTAATTTCTGCCAAAACATCTTCGCGTGATATCTCTCCAGACAGTGCCCTTGCAAAGAGCGGTTGAAGGACCTTGAGATAGTAAGCGCATATGTGCTGTACCCTTTCGATATCCAGATCCTTCCCATCCGTCCGCATGACTATGATACTCCCATCGAAGCGCCAATGAGAGCTAATAGGCATGCCCCAACTGTCAGATGCTGCATCTATATTAGTGGCTAGAATCTCTGCATGAAGGTTTCGCCAAGAATCCTTCGGTAATTCATCCAGTAGCGCGATTCCATCCTTCAGTTCATCACGATCGATCTCGCATGCCCACATCGGATCTTCAAGCGCCATGGACAAGCCCGAAGCCATCTTAGTGCTTGGGAAATCACGATCGACAACCACCAATTGAAAATTTTCACAGCTCTTGAGCGTCTGCTCAAGGAAACAGCTAATTTGGACAGCCCTCACAGAGCCGCCACTGGGTGTTTCGCGGATAGTTTCATCAAAATATGTGCCGAAGAAGTCCAGGATGTGTCGAAAATCGGCGCAGTCTATATCAAGGTCTTCGGATGATGGATCCCCGCGCCTGCCTCTCATCGCAACAAAATCTCCGCATAGATTGTAAGGCACTCGCATACCGTGGCATGCCTCTACAGCATGCTGAATGGATTGATTAGTCTTGGGAGATCTTTCATCCCAGTCTTGATAGTATATCGTGATCTGATGGTCTAACATCAACCCCCGCCTCTTATTTTCGTTGAACGGTAGAGTGCACAAGACAGCATGTTTTGGGCCGAGAAACGCATCGAAATCGGCATGGTATTCGTCCATTGTCCAAATGATGGGCACCCATACAAGCTCGGGCTCTTTCGTGTCTCTCGGAAACCAAATGCCAATCTTGTGCATATCTGATGGGCGCTCATTTTGAAAATCCAAGTACTGTGAGCATAAAAGCTTGTGTGTTGGCAGGTCCAGTTGCTGACATCTTTTGGAACAGTACCAGGTGGAACGGCAGCGTTGGCATAAACCATTTTTGGGGCGGGGCATTTGGCAGATAACGCAAAGACTCTTCAAGTCCTGATAGAATATTCTTTGTGGACCGACAGATCTGGGATTTAATCTGGAAACCTGTTAGCTATAACCTCGCCAAAGTGAAATTCATATGTCCATACAGTATTTGCATTTTTTCCCGGTGTTCCTGGCCTCTCTTTTTAACAATTGATTCTGTGATTATCCTGCCGCCTAATCATAAAGATATCCGTGGACTTCAACTCAGAGACCGCTGACGATTGCTGTACAGCGACTGTTTTCGAAAATTCTCCTGGATGGATAAGAGATCGTAGTATCTCCTTTATAGCTTCACACAGTAGCTGTATTCGCGGTTGCATAGAGTTTAAGTTAAGCAGCGGGATACCCCATGAAGGGTGACATTGACCATGACAGCCACGGACTCCAAGCTTCAAAGATGACAAGGCTAAAAAGCGCGCACAAAGGAAACATGCATTTTTGCTACACCCAAGGTACAAAAGTGTCGGGTTTTGTGAGGGTTTCGCCTTGTAGTGCGCCAGGAGCTGTATTTCGCAGTGCACTGTAGGGGTATGAGAACAGTCACTTTCGAATTGACTGGCCTTTTTTGCTACATTCTTTGGCAACCCTCCATCTGCGGTCGGAAGTTGAAGCTTCTTCCAAGCTTGGTTTGCCGTTTTCTTATGGCGTTTTTGAAGTCGGACAGGATCTGGCGGTGACAGTTCGATAAAGAAAACCGACCGAAAGCTAGGCAATAGTCGGGCGATGTCAGATAAGATACGAAGATCAGTCACTGGTCTTGCCAAAGTTCGCAATGTCTTCATGACTTTTATTGTATCCACGCAAGGAAGCATATCCTTCAGCTTAGAGTGCGTTTTGTGTGATGAGCGCAGGGCGAGAGCTGCAAGTTCCACAATTTGACACCTTTGGTTCTCCCTCTCCAGCAGAGCCGATGATTTATATTTCAACAAATCGAAATGAAGGAGCTCTGATATGAGACTCTCGATTGCGTTCGCAGCTAATGGGTGTGCTTTGAGACAGCAGCGAAGGAGACACGTCAAATCCTTAGACTGGCTTTCACTAGATGATTGAGGGATAAGACGCAATGATGATCCTTTCAGAAGCCGCGCTGCCTTTTCCACATTGTCGTCCACGCGACTAGCGTTGTATACTACTGTTTCGCGCAAAAATTCCATGGAATTTTGATGCAGAAAACCTTGACAGGTAGTTAGAATCAGAATCTGCAATAAATCGTACCGTTAAGTAGTATGCTACTTACTTTCCATTCGCCTACTAAGGAAGCGGACCCGTGAAGAAAGATAGTTCTTGTCTTCACGCCTGAATCTAGTGTTTCGAGCGATGTCAATCTCGATTGAATCTTCTTTCTCTCTCAACGCGGCAGCAGTAACATGCTTTCCGCCCTTTGTGTGGGTGAGTAGCTCACTGATACTATCTAGAAACTTCTCTCGGAGAATTTCATCGCCAAGTGCCAAAACTGCAGTGTGTGTACTTGTGTTGTCAATTTCAGGGCTGTCATCATAGTCCTCGTCGTCATCAGTTGGCATTATTTTGGGCTGCAACGGCTTCTCTGACATGGGAGTGGTGTAAGGATTCCAATAAGAGAGTATATGGGATACCCAAACAACCTTGGCAAATTCATCAATCGCTTTAGGTGATCGTGTTTCCATGCTTAACTTGAGATCATAAAAGAGGGCCGAAAATAGATGGAATAGAGAGGGAAAGCCTCAGGACATGATTCAACTTCCACTTGATAATGTGTTCCATCTAAATTTAGCTGAAATTTTCCATTTATGATTTTCTACCAGGCCGGCATCAGACGAATGATTTTGTGCAATCTTGACTCAGTTTGCCATTTCGACAAACTTCGTGTACCTATCCATGTTGTTCCATTATTTCCTGAATAGTTTCCGCCCAGACCACCAGAGAGGGAATCTATAGCTCCGCAAAATTGGTCCAGTTTGCCTTGCCCTCGGAAATTACCAAACAGAGTACAGTGATCAAACTGACAACACACATTCATTATCTGAATTATATAAACTTTAACGAGTGAAAATTCACAAATTCGTCCAAGTAGTCTTGGGCTGAATTTCAATATTACCATCGAACTGAACGATGTTGAATCTATCCAAGTTCCGATAGTCTCGGCGAGAAATTGGTAAAATTCCCCCTTTATCGATTGTCAGAAAACAGGCTGTTTCCAATTTAGCACCTGGCTCCACCATCATTGCCGCCACGGCATGAGGCACTATGACAGTCCTGAATCTCTGTCCACCGACCACCTCGACACTCGACCTTGTTAAACAAATACACATTAGCTAAGATGGTCTAACCATTGAACATGTATACGTTGACATACCACGCCTGTTCTATCGCAGCCGCAGAAGTGCCTATCTCCGTTTGAAGCCTGACAGCCACTGTTGGTACGTCTTTGATCGTTGGCATAGCCTGCACCACAGAGGTCGAGAACCTTTGGATCAGAGATCGCTGAAGCACTGACGGTGGCGGCAGCCATCAGAGTAAAGAAAATAGCTGTAACCTTCATCGTGAAAGAGTTTTTGTTGTATAGTGAAAGTATATGTTTGCTTGAAGTTTTGCTTGTTTGAGAAAGGTTGATGTGTAGTATTATGAGATTTTTGAGGGGATATCTTGATATATTTATATTTCTTCGGACCAGAAGTCCAGCTGCCTTGATTTCTTCCCAGGAATAAGCAAACAGCTGCATGGTTTTGGGCATTTATCCGCAGTTTACCGAGACTATCTAGGTATTGGCTAAAGTCATTGATTAGGTCTTAGATTGAAGTTACATTGCAGGAGCTTGATCAGTCGATAACGTAAGGCGTCCCAACTGAACAGGAGATAAGTCATAGAGGCCTGCAAGTATTTACTCAAATAGTAATACCTCCGCGTAATAGTGATACCTCCGCGTAGATCAATGTTGGCAATTCCTGGAACACATACAGGCAATCGGTAGGATTATTATTCCCTGATTATCCAATCGGTCCATGCAACTTCAAGGGGCGAAAACCCGAAAGTTCGTGTGTCCATAGCGTAAAAGCGATCAATTGAGTAAATAACGTCAAAGATTGATTTAAGACATGAAAAATGGAGGCCACTTGTCCCGGTGTCACTTGTCCTATGAACGCGCATGTGTAGGCCAGATATACAGGAGTACCAGGAGACGGCGACATTCTGCCACTATCTATGGCTGCTGTTTTTCATTACTTCTATTGGTCTTCCAACTTTGAGGGGGTTATGCTATAGCTGCTGGGTGATGCGTAACAAATCATAGTGTAAAAGGTCTATAAACATGCTTTTTGTTCTCTTTTTACCTGTAAAAATTCCACTTTCAAGTCATGCTTACTATGAGGCTGACAGTCCAATAGGGTTTGTGCGCAGTTCAAAGGAGATCATTGGGTGGGATTGTACGTAGAATAACCTGAAATTTTCTGTATTTGGTGCGGAGCAGAAGGGAGATCGACACGCCCCGCTCCGTGACTGGACAATCGCCCTTAGCTGAAATATGCAGGGAAAGAATCTCATACCACCCAAAACTCTTGGCGTCTTGGCGAAATCATCCAAAGTACAGACAGAATCAAGGATTATACGATTTTGAACGAAATATCTTTACGAGGTAGTAGTCCCTCCAGTGGCTTGTTTACCCATGACTAGAGTTTGCCTTGTTATGTTGTTGAACTATGCTGTAAAGTAATATGCAGCGTGGACTTATGATTTTATCAGGTCTACTACACAATGCTGCAACTTGTATATTGCACCGGTGAAAGCCGCCGCCGAAAACCATTCTTTAGAGAAAAATTTGTAAGCTCTGCGCTGTGTGTCGAATGGGAGCAATAGTGGAGTTGGTCCATAAGTCTGATAAACATTGGACATTCAGAACACATGATGATATTATGGATTTAGGACAAGTAGAATTTGAACTCTTCATCCTAAGGGCCCATCAAGTGACCTTTATAGCAGGCCATAAAGCATCTCCAGACTCACACCTACGACGATTTTGAGCCTTTGCCATCTCCAGACAGCGGATTCCAGCTACGCAGCCACCTCAACGCCAGATTACCATGCTAGCGTCGTCTAGCTTTCTCTTGACTAACGTGGGGCTACCGTGGGCGAGTCGCCCGAAAGGCTGCCTCGTGGGCTGGGTTTAACTCTTGGTGTTATTGCATAAAGGACGCTTGTTCTTTCTCACCATTATATTCTAGCAACAGTAACGGCTATCCGTAAGATTTAGTGCAATGTGAGTAAATTATCAGTTGTTGCATTCTTTCCCAAACAAGGCCATGTTATAGATTTAATTGCCATGGTGGCAGCAGCTTTTTAAAGGCTCTTGCATGTCGCGTGCATATGCCACGTGAAATGCGACCGACATTAATTTTTTCACGCTCCGTTGGTCCTCTAGTATTTTTTGGTGAGTCCCTTAAAGTGGTAGCAAAGGTTTTGCCCTTCAAATATGTCTGAGCGTATGGGAATCAGCTACGTCTTGAACGAAGTATACGTCCCGATAAAGATAATTTCGGGACTTATTTAACTTATTGATCAGCCGAACGAATATCGCATCTGCCAAGTGTCAATTCATACCAGAGACAAATTGAAGATGTAGTCAAAATCGACACTCGATGGCGTTCGGAGTCCCAATCTATTGACGAAAACTTTTATGATTACAATGTTAAATGAGCCTCTTTAATAGGGGCGTGCGAAGATTTCTATCTGTTAGAGCTTTAAACACTGATACTAGACCATTCTTAGCCTCTAGGAATAAGAGCATAATCCTTGATATGTGACATATAAATTAGTCCTTCGGGAACAGTGGCAGGAATTCTCCAGCGTTACTGTATAGAAAACTGATCTGGGAAGGAGCCGGCGTAGTCACCGGTTAGGCCCGCCAAAGTCTACAATTGGCTTTGCTATAGAGAATCAGATTAAATTGGAGTGCATTTAGCCTATGAGGGGAATGTCGAGGTGTTAGGTGCCTTCCCGGGATAATCTCTATTGCACGTTAGTAGATAGGAGATAGCCTTCTTTAACTATCTCCTCCCTTCTCTCTTCTCTCCACCGTCCGCAATTCCATATTGATTTCGTAATATCTCGTTGCTCATTGTACGATATGCATGATTTACACTGAATGGTGCCGTACTCCCTCGGGGCCTGAGTCGGGCGTCCCATTACTACTTATCCAACGTTCCCCGCTTTGTTCGAATATGATTCCCTTCGATGCTAGTTCGATCTCGATCTCGATATGATCATCAACCGGCTTAAATGCAACTATTGTTTTCAGGGGTCCTGTTGTTTTGATACCCATGCTTGTGTCGCGCATGGACGGTACGTAAGTAATTTTTGAGTGGAAGGCGAGTGCAACCAGATCCATCACATTCTGCCAATTTGAGACGAAGACGCCTGAGATGCAAAGTGTATAGACAATATGTGTCACTGCAATCGTGATGTAGCATAGGAGGATGATGATGGAGATCAGTGTTGATGTAATAATGCTTGTTGTTCCGCGAAGGCCATAGGCGAAGCCAGTCACAGCGGTTTGGAACACTAGGGTGTGGTATTGAAAGTCCAATGAAGGTGGTGCGAAGAGCGTTCCGCCAATTATTTGTAGCACTTGGCTAATTTCGGTGATTGTGCCTTGGAGGGTTGCATCGGCGCTGACACGACCCATGCGATCTGCCACGAGGATTGCGAGAATGGCTTCAATTTTCTCTACCATATACTGGCTTTCTCCGCCGGACAAGTGTTTTGCGGCCAATAGAATGTCAAATGGGCTAGAGAGGTATTTTGTGCTGCAATGAGAGGCGGATTGACGAGTGAGGCCCAAGCAGGGCTGATGCTCACATGGCGACTATGGTACTGACCGGAAGAATCATCCTGCGGCTGATACCAGTTCGGTGGTACGCCGTTGACAATGTACGGGAGCCCAAGGAAAGTCGACTCGACGGTCGCATTTGCCCACTGCGCATCAATAGTACAAAGAGAAGTTCGATCTCGATACCGATGCGAAACCAAGGTTTGGTCTAGCAAAGCTGGTAGCGGACATATCTAGTACTTCAAAGTAGGAGTCTGTGTGATAAGAGAGCAGATCAACTCTGAGACAAAATCACCCTATATTTGAACCTGTGAAGATGCATGGAAGACACACTGGAGACACATCAAATCAGACCCAAAAGATTAGCCTGTGAAGAATAAGCAGAAAGGGAACAAACATGGAATCTGACTAGGTAATGAGAGAAGAGAAAGAGAAGAAGAGAAGGGAGAAACTGGAGACGCACACCGAACGGCCATGCTAGCCAGTAATTTGGTCTAGCCTGGGTGGGGGGAACAGTCGTTCGTAGCTTTGTGGTCGCGCGCGGCCAAGGGAGAGAGGGATGAGTGCGTAGGTGTTGAAATGCCAAGAAATGTGTCGAAAAATAATAATCTTACGATTTTACGGAAATAGCAGTGATATGGGGATTGTATAAATATCATGGAAGGTATCCTGAAAGAACTAGGGTGGAGCTCAGTGTATTACTTCTATATTGTTTTACGTCCGCAAGGACGAAAAAGGGCTATGAGTTTACAGTAATTGAATCGCAGGCCAGACCAGAATACGAGAGCAGCCGTGATAGCAGCAAATGAGCTCTATCCAGTCGAGATTCGTTTCAGGACAGAAGCCTACGTCGGGTTGAATTGGGGGGCATCAATCACTCCTGTTGTCTGCGCGTCCATGGAATGAATCGTGCTCGATTGCCCCTCTACCCCTTGCATGTACACACCGCCACGAGCAGTCTTCGCAAGCCATTAGGAGTCTTTCATTATCACGCTTGCATGCTAATCAAGACATAGTCAATTGTTTTGACGTAAAAAATTCTCAAAAAGATAGACTGGAGCGCGCTTTTAACACATGATATATTCTCTACCAATCACTCGGCCGAATGGAAATTTAGATTCATTTGCTACGCTGATTCCATACCCAGGATCTCAATGCCCAGTTTTCGAACCAGGCATTAGGCTCGACTAACTCCGAACTGTGCGCTATCGTTCCTCAGTAATACTATTGAGACTTAAACGAACCAGACGTACATTCAGAGTGAACGAAACTAGGCACTGGATGCAAAAATTACTCAAGATAAGGTAGACACAAATTATATAGCCAAATCCGTCAACAGCAACATATTCAAATCAGAAATGAACAAGAATAAGTGTTCCAATCTTTCCATCCAGAGAAGGCGCAATCTTGCTATTGGGAGACAAACGCGAAGCAAAGCTGTTATTCTGAAAACGAGTGGTTTTTTCCCGAGATGTGGTTGACCATTTGTGTGAGACCATCAGAGAGGGGAAGCCAGATTGGGAACTTGAGTTTGAATTCCTTGTGTGGCTTCAAGGAGTCTGGAAGTCCGGACAGATGTATTTCACTCCTCGGCTTTCGAGATAATATGACGAACATGTCTCTGTACGACGGTTGACTTGTATCTAGTGCATACATCGGGGTCACACTGTGCTTGGTATTATTGTATGTAAAGAGCAACGTGTCCAGAAAGACCCGGTGCT